TTCAATTATCTTATGCAAAAAATGTGATGATCGTGAAAAGTGGGAATGTATGAATATAAAAAGTTAACCAGTTAATTGTAAATGCATCTACCGCATAACTTACTGGATTTCTCAGCCAAGAAAGAAACCGTTTACGTATTTTATTAACTCTTGAAGCAAATAAGTCAATATCGGACCTATTAAATTCACGGGTTATTTTTTAACTCCCCCTCAGTTTCAGTTTCCAACTGCCTAGATTTCTTGTCTGCCTCAATATTATCCTGAGATATACGATGCGTATACATAAATTTCCATTTTTTCGCACCATTGCTATATTTTTCTTTAAAATGCGTGTAGTTTGAACACGAAGTGGAAGGCACTACCAAAAACTTTCCTAAAACATTCCCTACATGACGTAGCTCGCTTTCAAGCTGAATTTTCCCATTAGATAGGTCGATCTCCTACATTAAAATACTATATTATGCAACAAGCAGCGACAACAAGCAAGGTACCGGATTATGTCATAAAAACGGTATATCGTTCGGCGAACTATAACTGAAGTATCGTTGTACTGAAAAGCGTATTACTTTCTTTCTCTAATAAGGCCATTTTTGGTAGAACGAGCGAGACGTCTATAAATAATTCATGCTCGAAATTCTCGTACCGCTTCAAATATTATGAATGATGTATTAAACGCGTGATGAATTTTTAGTTCATCTCGATAAATAGTTGCATAGATCGTATCCCATACAAATGGCGGACAGTACCCGACGTAAAAGGAAGCGATATGCCGCTTTAGGAAAATATCAATGAAAAAAATGGAAGGCGTTGTAGTATTTTTTTCAATATTATATCAATGCCCAGATCGGTATCCTGATTTTATTAACGCTAAGAGGAGCTATGATATCCTAATACTAGATCATCACGCGTAGCTAATATGTACACAATGCCATTAAGTTAGTTTTAAGAAGAACTTTAAAATCAGTCTGATGATGATTTGGTTCCAATTCATTCCGTTTTGCTAAAGTTTACCCTGAGGAAGTTAATAAAACTTTGATTAGTATTAAAACTAACGCTCATGGCTCAGAAAATATTGATATGAACATGATTCTTTTGACTACTCCTTATTTAGTCGGTCATATCACTTTCCTTGTTAACCGAGGTTTTTCCGGACTCATGGAAGCGAGCTGAAGTTATACCCGTTCCAAAGAAAGAATGTCCAAGTGGCATTAATGAGTTTAGACCAATCAGTTTATTGGCAACCATCTCAAAGATTATTGGAAAAATTGCAGCTAAACAACTTCGTCAGTTCCTATGCGATAACAAAATCCTCCCAGACACTCAATCTGGTTTTCGACCTCTTCACGTTACTGCTTCATGTTACTGATGAATTTATTGAGAGCAGCGGATGCTAAATTAAACTCTTGTCTCACCTTGGATCGTTTGCTTTTCCTAGCTAAACTGGAATTCTTCGGGATAAAATGTACCGCTCTTACATTTTTTTTTTAATTTTCTTGATCAGAGATACCAAAGGGTAGTTACAAGAAACACTCATTCAGATGCCATTGCTTTGCAGAGGGGCCGATCTTCTTCTTAAATGCGAACAGGGCCGTTTACCACGTCGTACTCCTGCCGGCTCGCGTTGCGCAAACACAAACCTTTGGATTCTTCAAGTGCAAACTATTAATCTGGACGACGCTATATGGAATCCTTCGGCGACCCGAATTCCAAAAATTTAGTGACCGCGTTCGCGCGGTGCACATCAGCAGTCGACCCAGTTATCGACCGGTGCGGCAGACGAATTGCCGGAGCCATAAAAAACGGTACCTTAAACAGGTTGAAGATTGATTGCGTCTAAAGAATGAAAGAAACGTACACACAGTTGTATGTACCGTTCGGGGCAGCGGAAGAAACACAGAGTCGAGCGCATAGTTTCCCAATGCCCGCGATCGAAAGACTTAAAACGATTTGTGCACCTTCTCCATTTTGTTTGTTAGTTTGATAGAAACGGATTTAAGCAAAACTCGAATCGTCGAGTTCTAGTTCTTCGACACCGTTAGAAAATGGAGATTTTGTAGTATGAAGTATTTGTAAAATAGATTTGTGAACATTTTGACATCATTGACAATAAAACTTTCGAAATTAAACCTGCAAATTTGGATGAAACTATTAAAATATGTTTTGTTCCTTAATTCGACAGCGTAATAAAATGTATATTCCCAACAACTTAAAAGTCATATCGTAAAGTTTACAACTTCATTTGTTCTACAGTTGTGTTGTGGCATTCCCACATTGTTCTATTTTACACACGCTGGACGTATTTCATTTCGTGTATTCATGTATAGGATATCTTTCACTTTTTTTCCAAGAACACATATCTTTTCGGATTCTCTTAAGTCGTAGCTGGCATCATCCGTGACTACAACAGAGCCCGGAGAAATAATATTTTGCTGGAAGTCTTCAAAAACATCATCATTGTTGTCTTCATGACGATCTTCAGAAAATAGTTACTTTCTTCAGTTTTCAACAAACATCCTTTTTAATTTCGGACATTATTTTGTCCAAGGTAGGTCCTTCCTTTTTTATGTAAAACGATTGTATTATTCTTCTGATGAGAATCTTTTTTTTCTTCCTGTACTTCGCTCTGATCGTCTGATGCGACCGGTTTTATTCTCGTGCACAAGTCGCAATCCCAGTTATATTCGAACACATTTCAATTCGAATATTGAGTTTGGTGGCGAAAAACTTTGAAACACTAGGTATGTTTAGAAACAAACTCTGCCAATAACTACTAATTTTAAACCTACCACTCTCGCAAACCTTGACAATCGTCATAGGTACTGCGCCTATGGAACACAGGCAAGACAGTTTGCATTAGGAAACAAAGAAATATTTTAGGTTATGTCGCCAAGTTCACGAAATGATCCTAAAAGGGGGTGACCGATTAGGTTAGAAAATTGCAGAGATGCTAATATAAACACACGCGTTTTAAGGCAAACACTGAAAAGTCGTTGCTGTTACTGGACGTTTTTGATGTGTCCCATATTTCGGGGAGTCATTTGTCAAGTAATTTTAAGAACAAAAAATTAACCAAACGGCCTTTGTTAAGCTTCTATATAATAGTTTTTTTTTCATAATTTTCGTATTAACAAATTTTTTTCATTTTTTTTTTCAATTCGGAGTACATTTTATTGCTTACTTTTTTTCGGATAGCCAGCCAATTTCGCTTGAAAAAATAAAATGGTTCAAATTTCGATATTGTTTAATATTGAAACTTAGTTTATGTGTATTTTGCAAACTTAAATTTTTAAATTACCTTATAAATTTATAAGCACACAATTTTCTTCCGCTCCCTTTGCAAAAATGTAAAGTCTGTTCATAGACATAAGAAACTGACTAACTGATACGAATTAAGGAAAGACCCAGGCAAGCTGTAAGAATGAAATGTGGCCGAACAGGTCCGTACTTGGCTTAGAATTTAATTATTTCACATAATTCACATGTCAGTATCACTATCACTATCATCACCTGTTCTAAATATTATTTGTTCTATATTATTTGCAATAATGGATATTGTTCTGCTTTTTCTGTCTAACAGAATTTGCCCAACTTTGTGGAGGGATGTTAAAAATTTCGGTGTCTATAAGTTTGAGGACATTGGAGTTAACACGGGGAAAAACATTGTTGCGACGAATCGCAGATTTCAGTTGGTGCCAAACATGTTCTATGGGATTAAATATACAGTGGTAAGGTGGAAAACTGTATGCCCTAGATTTTTTGCATAATTATCACAGACGTATTCATTTTGTAGGTTCAAGCTTTGTAGAACCTCAATTAATTGCTTTTTGGTATAATCTTCGTGAAAATAAATGTCGTTGTTATACATGCAATTTTGGATTGGGTGCTTTTGTGTCACATGAGGAAGGGGTTTTGGTCAACTGTCTACTGTGATAACTTGCATTGGAAATAATTTGTTTTTAAACCATCTTTCAAATAAATCAGCGGTGGTGTCTTCATGGTAATCCAAAGAATCTTTAATATTTTTCGCAGACAGAGAAAGTCCATTTGGAATTCAACTATCTTTAGAGGCAGCATGCAAAATAGTTATTCTTTTACCTCTTTTTGATGGCGCGTTTGTTTTACACTTATCAGTTGAAGTTGAATCCAAGTAAATAATTGGCCTTTGTTGTTCTAAAAGTAAAGTTTTTTCTCACTTTCCTTTAACTAGGATACCACTTTTTTACCGAATAAAAAAATGAATTATTTTGTGAATGTCGTTCTTGTTCCATTTAGTATTTGCAAAAAAACGTTACGTTATACATATAAACGTATAGAATTTTCGAAATCGGCCTACCAAAATGTTCAAAAAAGTTTAATTTTTAAGACTTGTGTTATTCTTTCTCACGGAGCGGTATATTCCCGATACGCCACGCTTCCACTTATTTTTGGGAAAACTTCACTGGAAGGTGACAAGGTCTCGCCGGAAACGCCCACTATTTATGCCTGCGATGTGCTCTCCGATGGGGGTCAAGGGTTAACCCCGCGGACTCGTAGCACACATCAATTACCGCAGCGGTTCAATGAACCACCGGCACCAGCGGCGGGGGCGGGATGATAATTAATCACTTTTTCTAGCGACCTCTTGACCGCGCGAGCGATTTCGGTGAATTATGAAGGACCAGGCGCGTTATGACGTACTGCATCCTCCACTTTGTCAACCTTTTCATTACTGTCCTGTTTTGTTGGCGTCGTATTAAGAACTGGTCAATTATAAATCGGACACTGGCGAAAGAGACGGCAAAATGGTCCGTATACTCCTTCTAATTTACAACCGCTACGCGAAACCAACAATGGGGATGCATAATTTACGACCCTCTCCAGGGTAATATACGAGTTATTCATTTACGAGCGACGATATAAAACTTCTAAAATGGGGGAACGCAAAACCGCCACGGGCGTTTGCCGAACCTTTTTCATCGCTTCGAGTGATAAAATATTAAACATCTCGTCGTTTGTTTCAGATGACGGCGCGAGGCCCGCAAATGGTGATGATCGGGGTCGTACTGGTACTAATAAACGTCTACGGTGCCCTGGGTAAGTCAACTTGCAGAGTTCTCCAAACGATATACCGTTTTTACGAACCCTTATGGTTTTAACTTACGTGTGCCCAAGCCAGGGCCGTATTTAAGATGTTAGCCGACAAGAACTGTACCGTGCGTACTGTTGTACGATTCTGGAACGGCATTTTAGAATTGCGAATCTATTTATTGAGGGCTACAAAGAGAAACCAAAACGAGGTATCCCTCTTAAATACCAGATTATGTCGTGAAAACCACATTCGACAAATAAAAAATACGTTAATTTAATTTTTTTAATTTTTAATATTTTATAATCAATTCGGTCATGTTTAAACTAGAAGCGGTATTTTTGGAAAAAATATAAGCTATTTGGAAAAATATAAAATATTTGTATCAACTAAACTTTGATGACGATAATAAGTTAAGCACTAGGCTTCATGGGACAAGCCAAATATGAATGGTTTTTTAAAAATTAGTCAAGATTTTCCTATCGAAGAATTATTTTTTGAGAAATATATTAGTTTTGATCAGTTTTGGAGAATAGATTGGACATAACGTTTATTACATTATAAAAAAGGGTAAATCTAATCAAAAATATTAACAATCCATCCATTTTTTTCTTTTTGTTTCAACACTTATTTGTTTTTTTACGAAAAAATATTTTTAAGATTCTCGTACCCCATCGGTTCGACAATTTTGTCAAACACGTCGCCCACTCGACCTCCTTTGTCGCATCTGTACGGTATATATTCTAAGGCATCCGAATCGGGTCTCGTTTAAGAAAAACGAGGATAAAAACGAACCCAAAGCGCGGTAGCGCGACCAGACCATTAACCCAAATCGGTGAACCGTTCGACTCGCGGTAACGGGTTCCGAATTTATTTTTAAAAAACCGATCCTGGGTCCGCCTCAAAGTAACACTTTCGACGCGACTCGTATCGGATCGGCGTGTAGACAAAAAAAGCACTGGCGGTTTTGGTTTTCGTCGTCGCTACCGATCGATTTTTCGACAAAAACTGAAAACTGTCAATTACGCTGGCCAGAGCGCCCGACTTAAATGCTAAAAACGTCATATCATTTTACTGAATATTTTTTCAGGCAGTAGCCACAGCTGAGAATGACATTCGGGAACTCTACGGATGCGCGGACAATCCAATAATTAATAACGATAATGACAAGTAGTCTTCCAATTTTGGAGATAGTTTTTCCATCAATCTAAAAATATTTAATGCCGATATATAGAGTGTGGGGAATGAACGAACTGTACAGGGTGGTCCAAATTCGAGGAGCTTTAGTAGTTAAAAATATATCTGCAACTTTTAATAATTATCGTAGTAGGTTGTGCTTAACCCTAACCTATGCAGTTTTAAGGTAGCTATGATCAGATAAAAACAATTGCCATGATACACAAGCCCAAGTGTCAAAAATGGCGTCTTCGTCAAGCTATAAAAATGTTTGAAAACTTTGAAAAGTACGACATGATAAAACGTTATATCGAAAATCGACAGAGATATCCGGAAATAAGGCAACCAAGCTCAAAAATATTTTTGAAGTTAAAACGTCATCTACAAAAATACGGATCCTTTACCAAAATCGCGGCCTATGACGTATAGGAGACCAGCCAGAGATAGAGAGTTGGAAGAACTAACGGTTCTGGGAAAAATAGAAATTAACCCGAATACTTCAGGACAATGGAGAGAAACACTAGAATTCCACGCAAAAATGCCGTGCGGGTGCTTAAAAAACACAAATTTAGGCCCTATCGATCCCGGCAGGTGCATCAATTACTGCAACGAGATTTTGCTCCAAGACGCTGCGCTTTGCAGGTGGTACCTAAATAAATGCCAAGAAGACCCCGATTTTGCCAGGAAAGTTATGTGGACGGATGAGGCAACCATTTCTAGTGATGGAATATTCACTAGGTATAACTGCTATTACTGGAAACAGGAAAATCCTCATATTATGGTGCAACAGTTGAATCAGGGAAGGTTCAGTTTTAAGGTATGGATAGGCATCTACAGAGGATAAATTATTGAGCCGTATTTTTTTTATCGAAATGTAGATGCCGAAAGATACCAACAAATTTTAGAAGAGCACGTAATTCCGTTTATCGACAATTTGCCACTTCAGCAAAATAATGAGCTATGCTTTCAACATGACGGTGCACTTTCTCACAATGCACGAAATATTACTAATTTGCTAAACATCGGAAATAAAGGTCCCATGTATTGGTCCCCCAGGTCTCTGGAGCTGACCCCTTGGGACTTCTTTTTGTAGGGGAGAATCAAAGACCTTGTATTTCGAAATCGCTCAACTACTAGATAGGAATTGGAAGAGACACTTCGTACTGCATTCGAGCAGCTTCGTGCGGTAGAACTTCTTAATGCAGAAAATAGCATCAAAAGAAGATGTAGGATATGTTTACTAAAAAAACGGCCGTCAATTTGAGCATTTGTTTTAAAAATAAAGAACCTTGTTAGATGTAGATTTTAAGCGTTACATAGTTTAATTAATAAACATTTTAAATAAAAAAATTGCTTTTAATAATTTTATTTCCCTTTTTATTTTAGGGTTGGTAATTATTGTAAAGTAGAACTTGATTTTGTCTGAAAACAAAACAATAAAATTTTACCTACACGTTTAGGGCGCACACAACGACTATTATGGCAAATATCAAAAAACTATTTAATAAAAATAGGTGTATAGGAAATATTATTAGAAAACTGATTTTTTAGAAAAATTGGGAGTATCCCATGTAACTTTGTGTGATACCTCAGGAACTAAAGGCGCTCTAAGACAAAACGGCTAAAAAAGAGAGACTCCCGCGTAAAAAAAAATTTAAAAAATGTTTTTTCCCAAAACTCTATTCTTACAATTAAAAAAGTTATTGAGCGCCTTTAAAATCGCACATTTTTGAGAATCACTGTGTAGCTCAAAAACGCCTCGACATATCACGATGCGGTTTTCAGTTTTTGACTTCTCTCGAGGCCGTAACATGCATGGGCTACGTATGCTGCAAATGCTTAAAGCTATCGAGGCCCCTCGTATTTGGACCACCCCATAGACCCTTGTAAAATTTTTGTTTATGGTTCGATTTTGATTTTTTTGTTTTGGTTGGATAAGTCTCTGAAAAATGTACCAAAACTTTGTTTTGCTTATTTTTTTAACTTAAAGTAACGGCCATCTGAGACTATTTAACAAAAGAAAGAGGAATTAATTCAACGCCAACCATAACAGTTTTTATAATGTTTCAATACAGGGTGTTTGAAATATCATTTGCGCTCCGCTTAAGAACATACATCATTGATTACGGTTTGATTTTGATATTTTTTTTTGTACTAAAACTTTATTTTTCCTATTACTTTATTTTTCTTATTACAACCTGCAGTCGTGGTCAACTGGGATTAATTTTTGTCAATTTTTTTTGTCAAATATCGAGAAGGGCCATCAGGAATTTCTTTAAGAATTCTTATTCAGGACTACATAAAACCTAACCATACTAATTTCAATGAAATTCGAATACAGGGTGTTCGAAATATTACTGTCGCCACTTTGAAGCTTCAGAAGCTGTAGAATGTTTGTTTATGGCTCAACTTTGATAATTCTATTTTCTTTTGTCAAAATGGAACCATAAACAATGATTCTACAAGTGTGTACAGTTCTTAAGTGCGACACACTGTATATTTAATTATGATGTGACATTTTTATTTGTCAAACGGTACGTTCTTTGTAAGTAACTGTTTTTATCACCATCTTATCTGGACCAATTAAAATTATTGTGTTCTCCGTCGCTACCATTTTTATTATAATGGTTGACTAGAGGATTTCAGGCAATCAAACTCATTTTCTGCCTATCGTCCTTTGTCCCATAAATATATACCTGCTATAATATTTCTGATTATATAAACGAAAACTAAATAAAAAAATTAAAATCCAACATTTCCCACTTTTTAATATAATTATTATTAATTTAATGAATGTAAATATTGTCAATATAACTAAATAATTAATTGTTTAGAATCACGAAAAAAACAATTATTAATATTTACAAAATTTCCGGATTTCTAGTTTGTTATTTGTTGTTATTGAGTCGAAATTGCTAACGGAGGAATCCAGAAGTTTTGTAAATAGTAGCAGTCTGTGGAAGTTTCTTTGAAAAATTAACAATTATTTCGTTTAATGGAAAAAATTCTTTAAATGTGTCTTGTGTCTATGGTGAGAGAGAGAAAACAGACAGTGCGATCTAGGAAAACTCTAGTTTTTGATCAAATTTTACCGTTTTAATTTGCAACGCCATCAAGATCGGCACGTTGCACGCGACCCCTCTGCCTAACCGGGCCATTCGCGTTGTTCCAGGTCGAATAGCGTTCGAGAAGCTGACCGACTTCGATTACCGCGGTAACACCTACTACACCGTGAAAAACCTCACCTTGTACGAGTGTCAAGGGTGGTGCAGGGAGGAGCCGGACTGCCAGGCGGCCGCGTTCAGCTTCGTCCTCAACCCCCTCATTCCTGTACAGGTAAAACTCTGCGTTTCGACAAACCGCCAGAACGATCCTCTCCATCGCTGTCTCTGATTCAAGGAGACCCAGTGCCAGCTGCAGAACGAAACGCAGGCCAACAACCCATCGGCCACGCCCCAACGCAGCGTCAACATGTACTACATGACCAAGCTGCAGCTGCGCAGCGACAACATATGCCTGAGACCGTGGGCGTTCGAGCGGGTCCCCAATAAAATGATCAGGGGGCTGGACAACGCGCTGATCTACACTTCGACCAAGGAAGCTTGCCTGGCCGCCTGCTTAAACGAAGTAAGTCTGAGCCAGACGGGTTCAGTCTGTCAACAACGCAAGCACCTTCATACCAGAACTCGCTTTGAACCAATAACGCCTGTCTTCTTCTTCTTATTCCTACGTTAAGTCCAATGACTTATGTTTACTGGGTATAATTTTTGATTTTGATGACCAGCTATCTTGCCATCTTTTTGTGGTCTTCCTCTTGATCTTTTCCCCTCGGGTTTTCCATCTCTTGTGTACTGTTAGTCTTTTTACTTTTTCTATCATTTTGTCCATAATCAGGTTAAATAGCTTAAGCTGTCTCCTTATCTTATTCCTGTGTTTACCTTTATTTCTTCAGATACCTTTCGCTCAGCTTTTATTTTCTTATTATTTTATCAGATACACTTTTTTCTTTAAGTAAGCATACTATGTTATTAAGTCGTATTTTATCAAACGCTTTGGTTAGGTCCACGAAACACATGAAGATAAGGTTTTTGTATTTGTATGACTTTTCCACAACTGGCGAATTATAAAGATGGCATCTGTTGTTAATCTGTTCTTTCTAAAACCTTGCTATTCTTTGTATATCGGAATTGTTGCTCTTAGTTCTTCGGCTATGGTTTTGGTGAAAATTTTCGATATTGTATCTAGCAATGATATTCCCCTATAGTTTGATGGCTTGTTTTTGTCTCCTTTTTTAAATATCAATGTAGTTAATGTAGTTTAATTATTTTATTGAAAATTTTTGTTATTTGTTTGTGATCGTGTTTTCTCCTGATGCTTTTCGTTTATCCCATTTGAGCCCATTGTTTCTGTTTTGTCTTGAGCATTATTTTCTTTTGAGTTGCATGGATTTTTAAAGTATTCTTCTATTTTTATTGAGTTGTATTCCTTTATAGGTCTTTTAGTTGATCGTAATAGTTTCCACACTCATTTTTGACTTCCATAAAAATCGTGTTCGATGTCTTTGGTGAATCTTTGATGGTTTTTATTCTTGCATTCACGGTGTTTCTTATTTCTATATAGTTTGCCTGTTCTTCTGGTGTTTTGTTGCTTTTATATATTAAGTATGCGTCTCTTTTTTCTTTGCACATGACTTTTACCTCTTCTATAAACCATGGTTTGTTGACTTTTTTGTTATTTACATTTATCTTTCTTGTTCCAAGTGCTTCTCTTGAAGCTGTTATTATATTATTTGTTATTTTTTTCCATGTGTTATTTCGTTTTCTTCTATTTTCAATTCTAGTCTGTTTTGATACAGTTTTTGTGCTTTCGTTTTCTAGTGATTCTATATTAATTTTCTCTATGTATTCTGGTTGGATTTTCATCCAAGGTAGTCTCTGTAATCTTGCTTAACACTAATTGATGGTCTGATCCTATGTTGGCTGAGGATAGTACTCGAAGTTCCAGTATGTTCTTAGTATATTCTATTAGGGATTTCCTTCCTCTTGTATCTGCCCAAGTATATGTGTGTTGAGGTTTGTGTTGGAAGAACCTGTTGTTAATTCTTAGTTCGTTGTGTGCACATAATTCTATTAGCATTTCACCTCGGTCGTTTACTACATCTTCATTACATTCTTCTTTTACTCTATCTAGTATTTCGTTTCCCACTCTTGCGTTCAGGCCTCCCATAATAAGGATTCTGTCTTTAGATGGTATGTTGTTAAGTTCGTCTTGTATTTGGTCGCAGAAGGCTACATATTCTTACTCTGGTTGGGCGGCATCTGATGCATAGGTATTCAATGTTACTATTAGTATTCTATCATTTACGTACTTAACGTCAGTTATGTGTGGTATAAATTTTTCATTTATTAATAATCCAACTCCCGAATTTGTCATTTTATCGGTTTGCTCTATGCCACTATATAATAACATGTAATTTTCGGATTGTGTGGTCCCTTTTCCTTTGCGTCTGGTTTCCGATAGAGCACAAATATCGATTTTATGATTATATACTTGGTCTCTCTTGTTCCATGATCTAATATGCCAGCATGCAAAACTTAATAGATTTTTCTATTTCCATATCCGTCCAACATCCGAGGCTATGTTACCAGTTCTATGAGCTAGATTATTTTTTTACACAACGCAGAAAGCTAACCTTCTCAATCCACCCATAATCATGCAGACAGAGCCCGTTATTTTAATTTAATAAATATGTGGCAGTTTAAGTTTTTAGCCAGCTTTACAGTATTTGTCACCCCTATAATATTCAGTATGTGTTCTGAGCGCATGCGCGGAAATTATTGGTCATCTTCTTAAATTTACCCATCTTGACAGTCAACGCCAGTTCTTACCCTAATTTCATCTACAATATAATTAAAACTCCAATTTTGACTTCTTGCGTACTTTGGGTTCAAAATTTGCCAAAGATCAACGACACCGCTTGCTTGTGCGAGTACGATACCGAACATCGCGCCAATTCTGTGGTACAAAATGATTGAAATCTGTTCTGTGGCCGAAAATAACTCCGCCGCTCCGCCCTAACCGATAATCGTATTTCAGCATCGTTTCACGTGCCGGTCGGTCGAGTACAACTACGTCACGCTGCAATGTCAGCTGAGCGACAGCGATCGTCGCTCCGCCGGCCAATTCGTGCAGTTCGTCGACGCCCAAGGGGTCGACTACTTCGAAAATTTGTGCCTCAAGGGCTCGCAGGCGTGCAAAGGTCCGTTTCTGCGCTCGCTAGGCTCTCTCTTGACCCGCCGTTCGTTTGTTCGCAGGTAACCGGGTATTCCAGACTCCTCGAATAGGCGTGGCCGATGACAAGGTGGCCCAATACGCCACCCTACATTACTACACCGACAAGGAGCTCCAGGTCACGTCCGAAGCGGCCTGCCGACTGGCCTGCGAGATCGAGAACGAGTTCCTGTGCAGGTCGTTCTTGTACAAGGGGGCGCCGCAGGGCTCCCAGTACAACTGTCAGCTCTTCCACTTGGACCACAAGACGTTACCCGACGGGCCTAGCACGTACCTCAACGCGGAGAGGCCGTTGATCGATAATGGCGAACGTATCGGCTCGTACTTCGAAAACACTTGCGAAAGTACGTGAAAATCAACTTTATTTTATTAATCAAGATTGATCTGTACTCTCTACACTACGAAATGCAGTATCGAATATTAATTTTTCATTTCAACTATTTCTCTCCAATTTTTGGCATTCATTATAAGATAGAATAATGCAATCGACACTCCTCCAAGTTTAATGAGTCTAATAATAATGTATTTTCAAATATGGAAATTAGGGCTATTGAAATAAGTATACTTCGACCAGAATTATAGTGCTTTTGCAACTGACCCCGCGATTAAGTTTGCCTACTGTTTATTACTCCAAAACCGCAGCCCCGTAACCATTCCAGGACCGTCCTAGGAATTTATCTACCTATATTAAGAAGCGGGATATAGATATGTTTTTTGACATAAAAATGTACATAAAAAATTAGCACAAAGTAACAATTTATTACGTTCTATGTCACTTGTTTTCATTGCTGCTCCTACTTCCCCTTCTAAACTTCTTATAAAATTGTAAACATCCAAAACAATTTGTTTAGCATCAGAAGACAAATGGATCCGTTTTTATATTTGCTGAGGTAGTTCCTCTTTTAAATTGTCATTAGGTTCGACTACCATCTCCACTTCGTCTTCAAATTCTGCGTTGTTGTCCATGCCTTGTTCCAACAGGAGAACATCCGCTTCATTCCACGGTCTCCACATTTTAAAGTGTCAAAAAACAGGAACCTTCAAAAAATGTTTAATTGTAAGATTCTAATAAATAATCTGTATTCTTATGACGTCCTTTTATCAACCGCGAATATAATCTACAGTCTTAAAGAAGACTGTTGTTTAAAAATCGAAGAACTATGTAGAAGACACACAAAAATATAAGAAGAATGGTGTTAATCGACAGGCACACAAGACAAAAATGATTATTTTCAAGCTTATCTTATCATTTACGTTTCAAATAAAAATTTCTAGAAATATTCGTTACGCTCAATCTCAGCCGAAACCCACTTAATGCAGAATAAACATCTGTCGGGATGGGTTTTACCACAGTACTGTGAAGGCCTGCAGTTAAGGTAAAGTCTGTTCATAGATATAAGAAAGTGACTGACTGACACGAATTAAGGAAAGACCCGGGCAAGCTGTAAGAATGAAATATGGCCGAACAGGTACTTAAATTATTTAAAATTATTCATATAATATATCAGTATCACTATCGCTATCACCGCATGTTCTAATTATTATTTGTTCTATATTATTTCTGCTTTTTATAAGTTTGAGGGCATTGGAGTTAACAGGGGGAAAAACAATGTTACGACGAATGGCAGATTTCAGTTGGTGCCAAACATGTTCAATGGGATTAAATATACAGTGGTAAGGTGAAAGCCTTAAAACTGTATGCCTAGATTTTTTGCATAATTATCATTGACGTATTCCTTTTGTAGCTTCAAGCTTTGCAGAACCTCAATTAATTGCTTTTTGGTATAATCTTCGTGAAAATAAATGTCGTTATTATACATGTAGTTTTGGATTGTTGCTTTTGTGTCACATGAGGAAGCGGTCTTAGTCAACCGTCTACTGTGATAACTTACATTGTCCATTACAATTACGCCATTAGGAGGATTCTTTTACCTCTTTTTGATGGCGCGTTTGTTTTACACTTTTTTTCATCTTTTTCAAGCCTCCTAATTAAGATATCTAATGTAGGCACGCTTTGTTCCTCGTACAACTGGTAAACTTTACGTCGTATTATATCTTGATCACTTTCATCTACACTAGAGGAAATGTCAGCATCGCTTCTTTTTTTCCTCGCTGAAATGGGATTATTCACAATTTTCCATACAGTTGATGTTGGAATTTTCGTCAATGTGGCCGTTTCTTCTAAAGATGCTTGCTTGCTGGCACCACGTTCAATGCGAGTGAAATAAACATTTTTTATAACTTCTTTAGTCTCAACAGAATAGTGTTTTCTACATTTGGGCGGGAGCATCTCCTGAGATACACTAGACTCGCACATATTTTGCATAATTGCATTGCATAAATACTATTAAACGAAAACTAAGTAGTATACCAAACCAAAGAATATTAAACACAAGTATAAAATTATTTTCTATTACGGACCACAATTTTACCTAAATTTAAGTTCCGAAACTTTAGGTAGTAATCTTGTTGCATTGTATATTAATGACCACCCTTGGATAATCCCATTGAAAAGGTCACTTTCTTATATCTATGAACAGACCATACTATAAAATACTTAAATATATATATATATATATTTTTGGTCGCACAATACCACTCACCATTACCCTTTCTTATTAACAAAACAGAGAATATCCGGAAGTTATTTATAAAACTCTTCCCCTTCATATATATTATCAAATATTTCCTCAAAGCAAAAAAACAGAAACCGGCAACGGCAACACAGTGATTGCGGCCCTTATAAAGGCGTTTCGGGCAATATGTCCGCATCGCAATTTAATTCAGCGTCCGCAATTTCGTTATTAAGTGCGGCCCATTCGGGAAATGAACCATCCGTCTAAGTAGTACCTAGGCGGCACTCCGCTTCGACGGAGTTTTGATTTTTTTCCACCCGATTGCAGAGGGCGCCATCTCGCCGGGAGGCTCGTCGGACAACACGCTGCCGATCGAATTCAGCGCGTCGGAAGACCCTAACCTCAACAACCTAACCAAAAATGCAGACAACGTCAACTGCGACAAAACCGGCACTTGCTATGACGGTAAAATATACTTTACGAAATATTAATTAAATTTTTATTCTCCTCGGAAATCCTCTGTAATTAGCTGGAATTCCTCCATACATGTAGTACAGGGTTATTCATTATATTTTGACACCCACCTACAGGGTTGATTTTGAAAGATAGAAAAAAAAATATCTAAAGACATCCAGGTTTATTTTGCCCTCTTAAATCACACGGCACATATCCCTCTACCTCTGATGACAGGTGCGACAATACATATATAATAATACTATGTAAATTTAAACAGTGGCAGTCAATTGCAAGGACACGAAGATCGCGGTGTCGGTGCGCACCAACAAGCCCTTCAACGGCAGGATATATGCCCTGGGCAGGTCGGAAACCTGCAATGTCGACGTCATCAACAGCGACCTCTTCCGACTAGACCTGACCATGTCGGGGCAGGACTGCAACACTCAATCCGTCGTAAGAATCATATATACGGTTCGGTTTTCCGCTAATTATTTTCTTTTCATTCGTTTTCGATAGACCGGCGTGTACAGCAACACCGTCGTCCTCCAACATCACAGCGTGGTGATGACGAAAGCAGACAAGATCTACAAAGTCAAGTGCACGTACGACATGTCCTCGAAGAACATCACGTTCGGCATGATGCCGATTAGGTATGCGCCGCGCGTCCGAGCGGTGCCGCGGTACCGTTGGTCAATCGGAATTTATTTTCCAGGGACCCGGAGATGATCAGCATCACGTCCGCGCCCGAAGCCCCGCCCCCGCGTATCCGAATTTTGGACGCGCGCCTGCGCGAAGTAGAAACCGTCAGGATAGGCGACAAGCTCACGTTCAGGATCGAAATTCCCGAGGACAGTGAGTATTCCCTCGTTCCGTTTTGAGAAAAACTTCAAGTTCGATTGTTACAATTCTAAAAAACTATGTTCCAGCACCTTACGGCATCTTCGCGAGAAGTTGCGTAGCAATGGCCAAAGACTCGAAGAGCACGTTCCAGATCATCGACGAAGACGGTTGCCCGTTGGACCCTAGCATATTCCCGGCGTTCACGCCGGACGGGAACGCTTTGCAATCTGTATACGAGGCGTTTAGATTCACCGAGTCGTATGGAGTGATCTTCCAGTGCAACGTCAAGTACTGTCTGGGGCCGTGCGAGCCGGCCATCTGCGAATGGGGCCGCGACTCGATCGAGTCCTGGGGCAGGCGAAAGAGAAGCGTCCACAACCAGACCGACGATGAGAAGGAGGAGGACATGACCCTTAGCCAGGAGATTTTGGTACTGGACTTTGGAGACGACAAACAGTCCGAGTTCTTGAAGAGCGACCCAATGAGCGCAGAATTCGGCAAAGGTATAGTCCGTTTTCGACAAATTTTAACGATAAATGACACCCTCAGCGGTAAAAGTTTCACAACCACTATAACGACTTAACGATACTAGCTATAAAATTATAGCATATAGATGAATGTTATCTACGGTGAAAACTCCAATAACAGGACACTCATGAATTACGTTTATTTCTTCAAAAACATACAAAACACTATAGAAAAATATGTAGGCGAATGCACTTTAATTATTTATTTACAAGCTCTAAGATACTAGTCTCACGCATATTTATTATTTTTTGCCTCTACAAACTTGACTGAAATGAACTTCTCTTTAGCAAAAACTTTTAGATCGGTTTTTCTACTCCCATCTGTAAAATACCTAATTACCCACCGATCTAGCGTGCGGGAAGCGTCACTTCACCACGTCAGTTTCGTTTCCCATGAATCCGAGCCTCTTCGGACATTTCCGGGATTTTACCGCACGGATTTGGGAGCAATCGGATGTTTTCGGGGATATTTCCCACGCTTTGAATTTTGACGTTTGTCAATTCTGACAGTCATGTCATGTCAGTCAGAAAATGTTACGAAAAACTCACGGTCGTAGAAAAAGTATAGAAAAACTCACGGTCGTAGAAAAAGTATAGTATGCAACACGTTCGGTAAACTTGTTAACTCACCCGTTTGTTAAAAACTCGCTCCGCTCGTGTCAAATAAACTCGTGAGTCAAATGACGTTTACCGCACTTATTGGATAATATACTATTAAGGCATTATTATAGCTGTTAATTGTGCTAGGTTCCCCACTATCATATTCTTAATCGCTGTCTTCTTCCGGTTCAGGTTCTTTCATGTTTTCAATTGGATCTTCAATGTTGAAGCTGGTCTCTCAGACGCTGTAATATTGTCTACTCCAACATGGTTTCCAAGAGTTTCTTGCTTTATGTTTTTATGTTTTTCAAGTATCGTAGATAGTGGGGTATTATCTTCTCGATCCCATTCCATTGATGTAGAAAAATCATTATTTTTTTTTGAAAAGCAGCTTTGTCGAAACAATTTTATATGGTTTCTGGCGAAACTTTATTCCAGGCTGACGCGGACATTACTTGCTCCATCTTTGATAAAATGTGCTTCAGTATGAGTTCACGATAATAGAATTTAACATTCTGGATGATACCCTGATCTAGAGGTTGACATAGTGACGTCATATTCGGAGGCAAGAAGATAATTTTTATGCGATGCGATGCTGCGTTATCCAAGGATAATTAAATATTGTGCTTTTGTAGGTATGATCTGTTCATAGGTATAAGAAAGTGACCAATTGCTTTTGAACGGATTATCCAAGGGTGGTCATTAACATACAATGCAACAAGATTATTATCATTAAGTAAGGTAATTATTAATTATTAATTAAAGTAATAATCTTGTTGCAATGTATGTTAATGACAGCCCCTGGATAATCCGTTCAAAAGCAATTGGTCACTTTCTTATATCTATAAACAGTCATCCATGCCGAAAAAAATTGCTACAATTTAAATGACCTAGGTCATTCTCTCCTTGGAAAGCTTTCCGCCACTACATTTTTCGGATTTGAAAGCAAGTGTTTTATTAATTACTTTTGTTAAGACTCTAAAGAAAAGGCCAGTCTCATCGGCATTTTAAACATCGTGTGACTGATATCCGAGGATTAGTGTGGGTAACTTTAAACTGATTTAAACTTAAAACTTATCGCATGGCTCTTGCGTCACTTTTCCAGCCATCCATTGGAAACTTTAAGATTTCGAACATTAAGTTTTTAGGTTATGGGAATGTTTTGACCTCACGACCGAGAAAACCAATCAAAACACACTTCGTCAATTTGGAGTCCCTCAGTTTTTATAAAATTTCTTTTTTTTTCTGCGAGCTTCCGCTCTGACAAATTTTCATTTTCCGAAACGTTAACAATTTCCATTCCAAAAGTTTTTACAAAATAAAACTGCAAGTCACGATATGATATGAAAAACGAAAAAGGTAATTCCGCTATAGGATTAGGAAAAAGGCATTGTGTTGTCCTGTTATTGGAGGTTCACATCCGTTTAAGAGAGGTATTTTTTTTAAGGACAGTGTTGTCCGCGTCCGTTTAATAGTGTCCGGTTAAAGGAGTTTTTTTATAGGTAAAAGGGTAGTCAAATATTTCGTTCCAAAAGACATGTCCGTTTAAAGTGTCCGCCTAATGGAGGTGTCCGTATTGTGAGGTTTCACTGTACACCATTTTTAATTAGATACAATCAAATCGGTCGAATTGCCAAAAATATATGTAGGAAACTATTATTTTTTCCTTCAATTCGTCAATTCTACATTGTCAATATCCAACAAAGCAACGTTTCGTCCATGGTCTCATTTTTGTTAAAGCTTTCTTAGAAAAGAAATAAAAACGCGCTTTTTTTGAACGCGGTTTCGCAAGCATACATTTTATTGCAATCGTCAAACAAACGAATCCCTATTTCGCAGACAAAACCGTCACCATCATCGAGCCGTGTCCGACCAAGACGTCGGTGCTAGCCCTAGGCGTGACCTGTGCCCTGCTGGTCCTCCTCTACATCACCACCCTGTTCTGCTATTACATGAAGAAGTGGTTGAACCCGGGCAAACACATCAACTAGTTCCGGGATAAAAAGACGCTACGCACAGTGCACAAACCCCTATATATACAATAATTTTTAGCAATGTGGCAATAGTAGACTTCATAGTCGACGCCCTAAGCACGGAACCAATTTTAAGGCACATTTTCGTTTTGTATATAAGGAACGAGCCCATACTGTTAAGAAGGGCAAATCCGTTGAACAGCCTTCATGTTAGTTCCCGCATAGGCTCTTTTAGTTAGTTCAAATGACTTATTATTATACAATCTCGAGACTCATTCGCGATGTTATCATACATTTTAGATTCTCTTAGATAAGGCGACTAAATTTCGGGGAAACTCGGTGGTGGGTCTTTACAAAGGTGGAGGGCAACTTTCTCATCCGAAACATTCGCAACTTTTACCGTTACAGATTGAGAGGAAATCGCGAGCTTCAGCTATTTTTGGATAATTTTGGGGCAAATTGTAAACGCCAACGCGGCATACATTTTGCTCCAACTCATTTTCCACGTTCGAAATTCCATTAGATTATATTGTTTGAATAAATTTGTAACGGTAAGACATTCAGTTCGCTTTCGTTCTCCCATCTAATTTATTTATTTAATGTGAACATGCATATATATCGATAGCTCTTAAAGAACCATTGTGTATATACCTAAATTTAACTTAAGTCAATAAACAAATATTCATTACTTGTTCTTAGCGCATTTACGACACGTACTATGCCTTATATAATTGTAACAGTGATAAATAAAATTATTATAATAGAATTGCACGGCTCAATTTCTGCATTACGTGCCGCCATCTAGCGGCGAAACAAACACTGAAATGTTTACGAAGAAACAGACTGAGTTTGGAAATTTGAACAGCATTGGGGCTGCAGATCTCTCAATTTGCACTATGCGATGTTTTATGCATTTTTCATAAGAAACTTCGAATTGCCACAAACATATGTTTTTACAACTCAAAAGTCAAAAATTAAAAGTACTTACAAGCTAGTTCCAGCCGATATCGATTGGTTGGGGTTGTACTCGCTACTTATTATCAACAATTATTCGAGCAGCGATAATAAACCGATTACTGCCCCGCACTGGCCACCAGAAAAGCCAGGTTTTACGCCACAGCCTACTTTTTTCATATTAACAATAATTATCCAAAGGTATTGCAATTTATTTTCCCGCCTCCTAGCGGAGAGTTCGCAAGCTAGTAAATATTTTCAAAAGGCAAATTGAACAACCTATCGAATCGCCACCACATCACATGTTTTTGAGATTTATAAATATTGGCATAGGTTGCAATTCCAGCTGACTCCGCCAGTGTGCCAAGGGATTGCAACTGGTCTTCAAAGGAAACATGCGCACATTTTTCAACTAAGCAAAACATACCAATTAACTTAGCTCCGAAAAAAATTATACCCCGCTTGAATAATAACGAAAAACAAATCTACCACCGACGCCATTTTAATGTACCGCCAATCTTCTTCTCTTTTACAAATTGAGCTACTAACCAGAGATAACGCTAATTCTAGTAAGTCGTCCAAAGGGACCATTAGCAGTTGAAAATAAAGAAGGCTAGGGTTACCAAGTTATTTATTTGAAAAAAAAAATGAAGTCTTCAAGTGAATTCATAATCCTGCAGGAGATGCAATCTGTGTTGTGTGAGAAAAGCCACATCCGCCATAGCTTCAGGCAACAGGAGCTCAGATGCACTGTACTTCAGTGATTCCTCATATGCGAATATAATGCTTGTCGAAAAGAGCATCATTTTACTCTGAGCAAGAGCAAGGATGCAGTTACGGACCCTTGACATGGCTTCTCTAGTATCTCTCGGAACAACCTAGTGGCGTGAATAAGTGAGGTTAAGCATTAAGTCTTTTCACAAGCTTACTTCCTCCAAATTTTGTACAAATCCTCCTATATTAGTGTCGGTATTATTGTCCGTCGGTGGACTTATCCAGATATACCCATTACTGCCCAAGATAATGTCAACCCCGAATGATAACCGGTAAAAATGGACTTTCGTTTTCTTAACCAGGGACGGAAAGACTTTTACAAGAATCCCTTGTGATAGCTAAAAATTCGAAATAAGTTCTGTAAAGTGGATAGACAATCACAAGCACCTTTCTCGAGTGAGAACTTCTAAAGTACAATGACAGTGAACCATCAGAGAAGACACTAAGTACCTCTGCACTAATGAGGTCCCCTTCTTGTAAATATTGCCGCATCATATGTTGGTCTTCAGCAGATGTTCTTCTCTGTTCTCCAGTGGGTAACTTAATTGAAGACAACAGTAAAACTGAATCTAGGCGAGAATTTGTATCTACTTTCCATCGTTTTTGTTGCACCTCTGTTATCCTACCAACTAAGAATTCTCCTACCTGCCCTGTATAACGACTCTTTAGAGGATTGATTGAAACGATTTTGCCCCACTGCTCCTTCACCCCAGCAACGGAAGCTTTCAAGTTGCCCTCATCAAAGTAAGTACCCTGTCCCCTAAATAAACGACCAACTACATACAGAAGAATGAATTCTTATTTAATGGGTCACCTCAAAATGCCTGTCTCAGAAGAGGCGATAACGGTTTCCCCCGGAGTGAAAATACGAGGGTAGCTCTGGTTTACAGCAAACGGATTTATTCTAGTAGAGTCCGAGGCGGCCCTAATGTGTATTTTGTTCGACATTTTACTATCAACAAAGACCCCTAAGTAAAATTTCACTCGCTTATTTTGAAAGAAAAACAGAGGTTATGATCTGCTCTGTGCTCTTCTGCAGGCAAATACCGCCAAAACGCCAACAAATACCGGAATGAATTTCATATTTCGGAATTCGTATCAGGAGAACATACCTCCAAGGAGGTATGTAGATTTTTCGGTACCGATGGCGCCATCTTTCGACAGCGCTACCAATTTAATTTTTATAAATAAAATTCCATTTTTACCTTAATCCGCAATAACCAATGTATATTCCGTGGGTCGGTGTACGTGATTAGTAAGGTTTTAGCATAAAAAGAGAATGGATTTAAGTAACCTGCGAGCGGAATATAATGAGAAAACGAATGTGTTACTCGAAGAACAGATTAAGGTCAAAGATCCTATTGTCCTATTCGATGAGTGGTTTAAGGAAGTGCAGCACGATTCCAGGACCGTAGAGCCGAACGCGGTATGTTTAGCGACGTGTACAAAAAGCGGAGCCCCTTCGTGCCGTTTTGTTCTGCTGAAAGGGTACGGAAAAGAGGGTTTCCGTTTTTTTACCCATTATACAAGTCGTAAAGGAAAGGAGTTGGAAGAAAATCCCCGAGCTGCCCTTACATTTTACTGGGACCACTTTAATCGATCCGTGAGGGTCGAAGGGGACGTTGAAAAGTTGCCCATCGCCGTTGCTGACGAGTACTTTGAGAAGAGACCCTTTCAGAGTCAGATTGGTGCTTTGTGCAGTGACCAAAGCAAGCCGGTGGCCGGTAGACACAGTCTGGTGGAAAAGGAAAATTACTTGAAAAAGAAATATTCAGATGGGGGTGTGCCGAGGCCGCCGCAGTGGGGAGGATACCTGGTAAAACCAAAGGTAGTGGAGTTCTGGCAGGGGCAAACAGACAGACTACATGACAGGATAAGGTTTCGCTTTCCAAATGACAATGAACCGGACGGAATCTTAACGAAACCCGGCGAAAATGGATGGATTTATGAACGACTGTATCCCTAATTAAGTCGTCAAAATATCTGTAATATTTGTTTTAGTTGTCATATCTGTTAGGTTAGGCTTATCACAAATTGTATACAATACCTGCATTTATTATGGTATATAACGTTATTTTTTTAATAAAATTGAGGTTTAACCATACATATCTTTTCGGTAACCCAAAACAATGCTTTTTTTATTACGTTGATCCTTGACGTTCTGGAGAACGGTGGAAACTTTCTGGAAGAAAGAACATAACCTAAAAATTGTTTGAAATCGTTTGGCATCGTATAAGAAACTGGAGCTGTTTCGAGATTTAATACAAAGATGGATGAAAACGACGAACAAGACCGCGAAAAAGAAGAGGTAAAATCTAAAGCGATAGTAAAATATTCCGCCCCAAAGCCGGCGACTTTCGCCAAGTTGCAATGTAATACGGACCTAAATTTGCCCCCTTCCAACTGGTTAAGCAGTTCCGCGGACTCTTACGGCCTCCAAAGAGTGTTGTATCATCAGAAAGGCTTTTCAAGGTTTGCATTCATCTATATATTATAAAAGTGTCGCGCTTGACACTCTCCCTTAGTTTCAGAATGGCTCACATGTTTCCTGACAACGTCGGCGAAGTAGACGTGGTCTCGGACGCGGAAAATATTAAAAACTTGCTAAAGATACCTTACAGCAAAGGCCACATAAGCATGATCGTGCACCGTGTGAAAAACACCTTGCTGGTTGACGAATTCGATATTTACAAGCATCTCCTAAAAACTTCCGAAACAGAATGGGAGTGGCTAAAAAAATTTTTCTCCGAAAACATCGACAAGGAGACGTATGAGGAAGACAAACAGCTCTACTTGAAGGAGAGAACCCACAAGGCGCTCAAACAAAAAAGTCTGGTCTCCAAGTTTTTGTACCATAGCCTTGTGGAGGGAGAAAACGCCGATGGGGGACTCGAAAATATCGATGTTTCCAAGCCTTTGGGATCGTATTCGTTGACGACAACGCCTCAGCTGCCAGATCCTTCACCTGACACTGAATGCCCCAACTCCCATCCGCTCGCTGGTCAATTCAATCGGAACGTAATCTGGACTTTTGAAGACATCGAGATGTTGCTAGGGACCGATATGCCTATATTTGGCGGCGGCACACATCCGTGCATTTCCTTGAGGTTAAGCGATATGAGCAAACCAATATCGGTCCTGACTGGTATTGATTATTGGCTCGATAATCTGATGTCTAACGTGCCGGAGCTTGTAATGTGTTACCATTTGAACGGGATCGTCCAGAAGTACGAACTGATCAAAACGGAGGAGCTGCCGCGACTGGATAATTCGCGATTTTCGCCCAAACTGATACGGGACGTTGCCCAGAGTATCTTGTCATTTTTAAAATCAAACGCCACCAAAGCGGGCCACACTTATTGGCTGTTTAAGGGTAAAGGTGAAGAGGTGTGTATTAATTCCCCCCACTTTGCTGTTGTGTTTTCTTCGTTCTCTCTGAGGTCTGTGCAAAGTGATTTCGAGCAGATATAGGACATAGGATTTTCTGTTTTAATTTTTATCATACATAACAATTTAGGTCCCTTTTGATAAACTAAAGGGACTAAATACGTGTCAAAAATGTTAGTGTTCGCCATAAAAAATTAAATGACAAAAATAAATTTTCCCGCCTTAAAACTTGCACTATCCGAATATTTGATTTATGGCTAGGTGTCATATTTTTGTACCAAAGGAGACAAATTTTTCACCCCTAAATCGACCATCCAAAGCAGCATTAGCTTTTGAAGTTTAAAGGGAGTTGTAGATTTCCTATGATTTTAATATTATTAGTAAGAAAAGAACTTTGTACTTCGAAATTAGCATTACCATTTGTAAAAAATGAGGCGCGACAGTTTTTTACTTTTTCTTCAAAGAAGTGACGCGCAAACCTTAACAGTGTAAGTGTTAATTTTTACTTTTTGCTATTCTCAAAAAATCTTGCCCAGTGCCCATCCCTTTGCCACCAGTCCGTTAAATTTTCAAATTTCAGGTAGTGAAACTTTACGATCTGACGAGCTTATGCTCCGAAGAGGACGTCAACAGGGGACAGAACCCGTTCACTATCCCTGTGGCGATGCTCCTGTACCGAGTGGCTCGCAACATGAAGCACTCGTGCGACAGCAAACCCCAACCGGGCACTATCCGCATGCTCCTTAAAAACTGCATCAAACTACTCCCGGAAGAGAAATACCCGGAAATAGCAACGTCAGCCCATTACATGCTGTCCGACCTGTACGTGCCGGCTGACGTCGACCCCGAGCATCCGGACCTAGACCAAGGCGGATTAGAAGACGACGTCGGTAGCGTGTACGAAGACGACGACGACTTGGACGACAACGATTCTGTCGCTACACTAGACTTGACCAAATGTCAGGACGTCGTTAAATCGAGCAAGCACTATAAACAACCGCCCCCGATTACGGGCAGCATCGAGGAACGGTGCATGCAGTCAATCGGCCACGTGACGTCGGGGCTCTCTTGCCTCCAATTCTTCCCGGAGCAAACCAACGACGGCATCGAAGGCGAAATCCCGATGGCAAAGCCTTTCGAGGCGATCCCCATGCCGTACGCGAAACTCGACGCGGACCCCGAGCCCGCCGTTACCAAACGTTCGAAAAAGAAAGACAAAAAGCGTAAAACGTCAGCGAACGACAAACCGAACGAATCTCCCAACGCGTTACTCGTCAAACCGAAGAACGAGGCTAGGAAGGCGTGGCCTTGCTACGACGACAGCGCTATCTCGTGGAAGACGCACCTGAAAACGCTTCTGTTTGAGAAGGCGGTGCTCGTCTACGCCACCCTCGTTGAGCAGTATTTTCTCAAGGCGCGGTATGGCTCCGCCCTGAGGGTGCTCGCGCTCCTCGCTCGCTGTCAACTCGCTTTGGACCGCCTCCACGCGTCGCCCGGCGCGCTCAGACTCAGTTGCCTCGTGGGGCGCGTCGGCGACGCGTGTCTAATGGTCGTGCAGAACTGGAAACACTCGGACGCCTATCGGGAGCAACTCCACGCCCATCGAGACGACGACGTGCGTCTGCTAGAGAAGCTCGAACTGGACGAGCGAACGGTCGGTGTTAATTTGGGCGATAGCGAGACGCGTTGCGTGTTCGTGCACGACGTGCGGACAATAGAACAGATGTTGGTCAAGGCGGTCGAGTGTTACGACGTGGCATTGAAGATGTCGCCGTCCGAGAGTTTGTCGTTTAGGCTCGCGAACGGTTTGAACGAACTAGCCAGCTACCACTTGAACGTCGCGAAACAATCGAAAAGTCCGCGGGACGTGCGCGCGGCTTGCGACAAGGCGGAGCCCTATCTCGTGCGGAGTCTCGAAATATTCGAGCGACTCAACAACGACGCGAACATAGCGCTGCTGAACTCCAACGTCGGCCACATGCATCGCATGTTGGCCTACGCCCATGGCCCCGACGACGATAGGTGAGTGTGTGGGCGGGGCGACTTGAAAAATATTTGTCCGCCGTCTTTTCAGCGACGTAATGACCGCGCACAAGCAGAAACACTACCACAAGGCGATCCAGAGCTACAAGAGGGCGTTACGTGTACTCGGCCAACGAAAACACTGTCCGGGGATATGGGACGCAGTCACGTGGGAGCTAAGCACCGCCCTCTTCACTGCCGCTTGCATCCTGTACGAAAACCCGCCCGCGGAATTGGTGAGTGGTTTCTTTGCGTCCGGGTCATTTGAACTACTTTTTTTTCTGAATCGAACTTGCTAACGTGTCGTCATCCTGATGGCTTCTTCGAAGCTTGACTGAAGCAGGGGCGCATTTACTCTGTACCTGCTTATATATTAATGACATTGTCGAAAGTGTTGATGTTAATTGCTTGTTATACGCTGACGGTCTAAAGTGGTTCAGCAAAATTGATGGTATTCAGGACTGCCAAAACCTGTCATTGAATGTAAAGCATATCGAAGACTGGTGTGTCCATAATAACTTGTCGTTAAATCCCATCAAATGTAACGTCCTGACGTATTCACTTAAAAGTAATATCAGATATGATTACCAAGTCAATGACATCATACTTCAGCGTCCAGCGACTTTTGTTGATCTGGGTGTCGCTTTTAACCTTAAACTTTCTTTCATTCCACATATGTACGGGTTTATAGCACGGAACTCTCGAGACTTAACAGATTTAGAAACTTATAGAAATTATCCATAATCAGGTGGTTGATCTGGGCCTCTTAACAAAATTGAACTTTGGTGTTTTCACGGTTATCTGAAGAGTAGATCAAACCTTTTACCTTTCTACGCCGCGTACGAATATTTTAAAATTTTCTCCTTTCCACAGAATGTGCGATCCGTGCAACTCTGCAAGTTTCCAGCTTGATATATTTTCTTCTTCTGTACGTGTGTTAAAACATGTTTTTTAAGGAATGGCATATAATTATTTTTGTTTTACTTTACGTTGTATTAGCATTTTGTTGTCCTTTTGCATTTTTTTTTTTCAATTTGTCACTTATGTCCCTGTTCTGTAGTTGGGTTTATCCTGTTGAACAGTGTATCTAATAAGACGGAGCTAAGTGAGAGGCACAAACATCGTCTCAGATAACTGCCATTCCCATATTGGTGACAGGTAGCGACCTGAGTCGCGGCTAAGATTGTTAGGTTGTTTATAGAGTTCTACTCTCGGATTTTTCGTTGGTAAAATGGATTACATATTTGTAAAACAGTTAAAAATTCACTTGAATGTAAATTAAATATAGGTACTCTACAATGTATAACAGTAATAAGATTAAGTAATGTATACTTACCTTTTTGTTTTCTTATTTATACTTTTACTTTTACGCCCTGTTTAAAGAATTCTCAATTTAAAAAAAGTAAATTGTTGAAATTTTTTAGGTATAGGCTTTTTGGAAAACTTTCGGAATTCTTGCAAATTTATCAGTCATTAATCATCTCATCATCATTTGTGTTCTGGCAACATGTTATAAAAATCAATGGATTTTTTTTATAATATTATTTTGGTCTTTGCTTGGTCGGTTTGTTGAACATCGATCGATGAGTATTCTCGTTTTTGAAATAGTTTTCTTTGTTTCTGAGAATACAGAGGAATAGTTTATAGAGATGAGTATAACATACAACAATATTCTTTTAAAAAAATGTTTGAAGTTTTTTACAAGACTTCTGGAGTCGAACTGGCTGCCGTTTCGCCAATCATCTTGTTGGCTTCTTCAGAGTTTCACTGAAACTGGCTCGCATTTTACTCTGTACCTGTTTATATATTGTTTGAGGGGAGCGGAGTAAGATGAGGAGCATAAACACCGTTTCGGGTGACATATTGGTGGCAGGTAGAGACCTGAATCGCGATTAAGATTGTTAGGTTGTTTATATATTTCTACAGACTGTCGGATTTTTTGTTGGTAGGAGAATTGATTAAATGCAATAATTTTAGTTTTATGGAATAAAATTTTATTACCGGTTTCGTGATTGTGTTCCGCAGCTGCTGATGAGTTTATTTGTCTCAGTCTTAAGGTTCTTTCATGTTCTTTGAGCCTAGTTGATATTTTTCGTCCGGTCTCTTCAATATATTCTTCGTCGCATATGGATGGAATGCTGTAAACTCCTGGCATCTCAAATGGAATTTTGTCTTTGATAGATCGAAGATGTTGAGAGATTTTTGGACAAGTGGTAAATCTCATTGGTACTGGAAGGTTCTGATGAAGTGTATTTTGTGATGGAACGGTGAATGTGGAAATTATAAGAGAGAAGAGCAGAGGTAGGGTGTTTTAATTCTGGGTTCAGTAACTCGGGCTGAGAGTTTTATGGCTCTGTAAATAAGGGAGGTGATAGCCGGTGATTTTTGAGACGGGCTGTAAACTGAAAAAGTCAACAAAAACCGACTCAGGAGGAATCCGGAAGTTTGGTAAAAAGTAAAATGAACTACTTAACGTTTCAGAGCAAGCCGGAAGCGGAAAGAGAGGTGCTGGAATCTCTGCAACGGGCGTTGGAACATTGCGATCTCGACGAGGCCAATCCGAAGTACCCGCTTTACCAATACCGTGCCGCAATGCTGCATTTCAAGATGGCGTCCGTGTGGCACCGGCACGCGTGGGACGAGAACGCAGACTCGAAACGTCACGCCTTCCAACTAGCAACGCGCCATTACGACAAGGCCGTCCGGCTGTTGTTTTTGTCAGGAGAGGCGGTACCGTACTTGACCGCGCAGATGCAGAAAATTCACTTGTACGAACTGACCGCGGACGGTGGCGTCGCGACGCAAGCCAAGCTCAAAAACTTGCACGCTTGTCTCGAGGCTTTCGTCGAGATGGCGGACATGCTGCAGTTGGTTATCGAGGGGAAGGTGGAGGTGCCAGAGGCCAACGGCGAGGTACCGTCCGGTGCCGAGTTTAAGACGCTGTTTTCCGTGTTGAAACTGGTGAAAGACCGGCTCCAAGAGGACTTGAAGGGTCTGGTCAAGTTGTGCGTGACCAAACCGACCAAGAACGGGGCGGGGCTCACGGAAACTTACAAGGCTTGCTACAAGGCCACGTTCGGCATCGTCACGACCGACCGCGACGCCTTGCTGCGCAGCCTGCACCGCGCCCTAGTCGAAATCGGGCGCATCCTGAAGGACCGCGAATAGAAGTGTTTTTTATTTTCGCCGATCCGGATCTCTTTGTCTGTGATCCGTTGTAAACCATTTTATCGTTAGGTAATAAATTATTTTCCAAACGTTATGTGTTTTTTTTTTCGCGAACCTGGCGGTCGATCATTTGAACTACTTTGTATCTTGGTTTTGACGAGAACATCTTTTTTTCAAAAAAAAATTTTTTTTCTAGTTAATATACCAGTTATTGAGAGGTTCCAGTAGTGTAAGCACTATTTTGTCGAAAACCTCTATTACACATTACACAAGAAAGGCGATAAGCACATAGAAAGCAATTATAGGTCAAGTTGCTTAACATGTCATGTCATGTAAATGTATGGAGAAAATTACCGTAGCTGAATTAACGTCTTTCTTTTTAAATGATAATAATATATCGAAGAAAAATGCAATGTTTTAGGTATTGGAACAAACAGAACTATCTTTAATAAAAAGAGCTTACAACATAGAGAAGAACAAAAAGACCTTGGTATTTAAGTAAGTATTTAAACAGGTTAAATCCTTGGTGTTTTGTATGAAGAAGGCCTTTATTAATAGATCATCTCAGGCCATAGTAAAAAAAAAAATAAATTTGAATATGGCCAGACAATATGGGATCCCTACTTTATTAAAGACATTGAAATGCTCAAGCGCGTTCAAAGAAGGATAACAAAACTTGAAATCCATTTATTTAATGATTCTTACGAGAAAATGCTTGTAAAGCTGAATTTAACTACCTTGAAAGAAAGAAGATTACGTGGCGATCTAATTGATACAAAACTGTTACTCATGTGAACCGAACATATTTCAAAATGACCCGAATATCCAACTACGAGGTCACTCCAAAAAATTGACCAAAGAAAAGACTGGCAAACTGCAGTGAAAAAACTTCCAATGCAACAGAGTGGTGTATACCTGGAAGTCCCTCTCGGAAGACAGAGTGTCCGCAACAAGTGCTAATTCTTTCAAAAACCAATTGGACAGAGAATTGCACCATGTAATGAGAGTAGATAGATACTCATTTTAAACAATATCTCTTTTTTCTTCCTTTTTCTCTTTTGCAAAAATCTTTTTCTTTTTTGTGATATACTATATACATACATATATCATGTTTTTTTTAACAAGGATTATTAGTATTTTTTTATATATATAATTTATATTACTACATTAGACATTGTAAATTTTATTCATCAGCCTCATCGGGTTAACCGCTTGCTGTTGTAAATAAATAAATAAAACAAAAATAAAAACAAATTTTTTGGAGAGCTGCTTTATAAAGGCCTTATCTTTTAAAAATATTCTTAATATGAAGACATGCAGGTCATGAATAAGTAATGTATCTTTTATTTAACTTAATCACAAGAAATTTGTAAACTACGAGTGTTTGATGGACAAGTACATCTTCCCTTTCAGCGTCTGCTTGACGGGGTTGATCTTTTTCAGAATCTGGGTCATTATGTTGACCAACTGTTCGCTAGACAGGCCCGTCTTCTTCGACTTGAACTTCTGCAGGAGTTCTGTCGTAGTCATCGGTTTGCGCATCAGGTATTTCCTGACCGCGTCTTCGGTGATTCCCGACTCGGCCAGTCCGGGAATGTAATTCGGCAGGTCGAGCTTGGCCTTCTTGCTCGAACCCGCCATCGCGTCGTTCACGATCTTCCGCTTATTGTCTATCGTGGGCGTCACGGATCTGCTGCTGTTCTCGCTGCAAACGACCTTTCCAACATGCCCCAAACGAAGAAAGCCCCACACCGTTTACCTGCTCGGTTCCTTTTCATCCTTTTTGCCCTGCTTTTTATCGCTCTTCTTCTTCTTACTGTCTTCGTCGGTGGTGCTGTCCGAACTGAAATCGTCGTCGGGGTCCGCCTCCTTCTTCTTTTTGCCAGCCTCCTTCTTCTGCTTCTTCTTTTTCTTTTTCTTCTCCTTATCTTCGTCGTCCTTTTTCTCGCTCTCCTCGCCCTCCTTCTGCTCCTCGTCGTTCTCCTTATCCTGGTCCTCTTTCTCTGAATCTTCCGACTCCTCTTCGTCTGAATTTAGAAGCTTTCTGGAGGGAAGGGAGGCGTTATCAAGAATGATTTTACGCAATTAACTTACTTCAGGCCCTTCTCCTCGGCGACCCCGTCCAAGTTCACGTTCTCCGGTTCGCTCTCGCTGCTATCGCTGATGTAATCCAACTCCCTGCCCTCCTCGTCCCCATCGTCGGAGTCCTCCACGGCTTCAAGGTCGGTGTCGCGCTTTTTCGGCTTTTTCGCGACGTCTACGCCGAAACATTATTCAACCGCATAGACCCTACTAACACACTTACTTTTTTTATTCTTCTTCTTGCCCGCCTTTTCTTCCTCCTCTTCTTCCTTTTCCTCGTCCGCATCCGACGAATTTCCGTCCGAACTGTCCATCCACTCGTCCATGTCTGATATCTTCAGCTCCTTGTCCTTCTTTGACGTTTTCTTTGCCTTTTCCCCTTCCTCCTCCAAATCGTGATCCTCCTCACCTTAAATCATAAGATACTATATAAATTCAATGAGACCTCATCCATAAATTCCAATGCATGTTGTAATATTACAAAATACCAAACCATGGCATTTACGAAAAGACACTGTATACAAAAACATAATACCAATTAGTAATTCATCTTGTGACTATTGCTCGAAACATTATGCGCTTCTAGCGCCTCCCATAGTCGTTTAAAAAACTTAAGGACAATATTGCGATTTAGAGCATTTTCAGCGCTTCCTGGTGACGTAATTTATGGACGTGCCTACTGCTTGTACCTACCCTTCAACCTCTTGCGCAACATGAGCGAGAAATAATTCAAGTGCTTGTTGCGTTTGTTGAATTCCATTTCGGCTTCTTCCGCTGACAGCGCTTTGTAGCGCTGAATCGACTGGAAGTTGTACCACTCGTGCAACGGGAACGCCTCGATGGCGCCGTCTTCCGCGTGCGTAAAAACGTAGTAGGCGGTGTTTTCCGACACACCGCCCTCCCTGATGCCTTTAAATTTCTTGACCGTGCTGCCGAAACATTTCAGAATCCACGGTTGATCATCGGGTCGATATTTTTTCGCTACAATTCCCAATTTTTTACGTCTCGCCTCTTCCTTCGCTTCCCTGCCGAATTCCGAACCTGCCCCGAATCTACAATAGGAACCCGCCACTGAGGATACCGCGGCCTCCGTATTATCTCACTTGGGGGTTTCTTCCTCGATCCCTTTGAACTCCTTCATGTTGTTCTCCCTCTCCATTTTTACTTGGCTCCATTTTCCGAAATCGACACCCAGGTTGCCGTTGAACCGCATTACGTGGTACTTTCGCTGAACATTTTTCGGCACTCTGATGGAAAATTCTTGGACCGTGACCTAAATCGACAAGCATTTTCTTTCGACTTGTTCTGTTACGCGTAAATACCTGCGACGATCCTGAAGCCATTTCCGTGGAGTTGGTTGGAACGATTCTCAACTAAATTAAAAACATAAAATATATTAGGTTAGGTAATGTTGGAGAACTGTCAAAAATTTACAGCAGTCGAAATCGATTTGTTTGCGATTCGTGAATTTTAACCGCCAAAAACGCCCAGATCTAGAAATATAATTCTAGAACAACGAATTCCAATCGAAGAATATGGCACGTAAAATCGATGAGGTAATTCAAACCCCCTTTATTAGGGCCCGTTGTCGTGATTTACCTTCTTTCAGCTTAAAAAAGACGTCGCCGAAATCGAGAACTTCGAGAAACACGCGACCAGACAAAAGGTGAAAGACATCTTGAGCATCGAAAAGCGGAAGCTCCTGTCCGAGTTAATTAAACTCGAACAGCAATACGTTCAAACGGATAAGACCGAGCCTAAACCCACCGTTAAACCAGCGAGTGCATCCTACGAAGTCAAACTCAACAATTATGGTAATACATATATAGATTCGTTTCCGACACGAAATTATAATATATATTATTAATTGGTATTTCAGCTTGGGATCAGAGCCAAAAATTCGTGAAATTTTACATCACTTTGCCCAAAGTGAATACGGTACCTGCTGACAACATTCAGTGTGTGTTCAATGAGAAGTCTTTGGACCTCAAGGTCAAGAATCTGGAGAACAAGGATTACGTGTTCAACGTGACACGTCTGTTGCATGAGATCGAGCCTAAAAACAGCACGTGCAAGGTGAAAAACGACCTAATACTGATCAACTGCGCCAAGAAAGAGGATATTCAATGGTCCCACGTGACCGAGTGGGAGAAGAAATCAAGCGAGTCGAAAAAATTGGATGCTGATGATAAGAGCGACCCGTCTGCCAGCTTGATGAGCCTAATGAAAAATATGTGAGACAGTAGAGTCTGGTTTAGGTGCTCCATAAGTAATCACTCTAAATTTTTAGGTATGACTCAGGCGACGACGAAATGAAACGGACCATAGCAAAGGCCTGGACTGAGAGCCAACAGAAAGGTCCCACGTTTTAAATGTTTTCCTTCATATCATAAATGTCTAGTTTTTCAAGTTGTTTTTTCATTATATTTTTTGATGCGTTTTTATTAAATATAGGAAATCAAAGAGTTTAATGCATGACTAATTTTAAGGCAAATGAAACACCAATAAACAATTCGATGTATTTTTTTTTTATTCTGGAGAATTGAATTTCCAGCCCTGTGGACCAGATACTTCAAATGCACCGCCAATCAATTCCTTAAACTTACAGATTTTTGTCTCCAAAGTTTTTTTTTTTCGCATATTTTCGACCATGTAACAAAAAACAAAGGAAATGAAAGTCCAAAAAACGATTGTAGATTATTTTATGTAAATTGTTTCTCCAAAACGTTAACAGTCATAAAAGTCTTTATAAAAGTAATCTGCAATTATTGCTGTTGCCGCAGTCGCGTAAATAAAACAAACCTCTCCCTCCATTTAAAAATAATACTTCAAATCAGATCTCGAAACTCCTACTAAACTGAAAAATAAATCCACGGCCGAGCGACGAGGGGTAGTTAGAATGTACCGCCCATGAACCCGAAATTTCACTAAACAGAAAATTGAAAACTCTGGAAAATAAAGTGAAAAAAAAAAAAAACGTCTCACTCAACAACTTAAAAATAAACTTAACATTCGTAATAATAAATAAACTATGGCGAATTTTTTTTGGTAGTCAAGTTTTTGGTAAGGGCAAGTAGAACAATCAATATCTCATGACTTGGGTTCTTCGGACCTGGGCACTTGCAACCGTTTTATAACGTCGTGCATCTGAGGGTGATTGTGCCCCGTGACTGTGAGCAACACGGGCCCTCTTAACGTCGTCAGCGAACCCCTACAGTTTAAAGTTTTCTTCTTGACGCACACCCACAGCATGCGATTTTGTCTTGTGTCGGAGTATGTATACATGTGCCCATTGTGTACCAGGACCAGCTGACCCTTGCCGCTTTTCAACAACACCAAACCCATAGTTGAACCTAAAAGTGGCAATGTCTCTAACCCATGTGACCAAATCATCTCAGACCAACCTGTCTGACCACAGTCGGGATCCTGGGTCGTCCACTGTGCTCCCTGCTGAGACGATTCTCCCAAACTTGTGTCCAACATGTTAGCGATGTCCATATTCATCTCATCGCCACTGCTTTTGGACACCTTCTCCTCCTCCTCTACGACATGATCTGGAGGCTCATCTTTGGGCTTTACCAAGGGCAATGCCTGCATCTGAGGACCTGGACTCACACATGGCGGAGTCTCCATGCACACCTCTCTTTTCAGCAGCGGCGGCGGAGGTGGCGATTGCAATAAGGGGCCTAAAGTCGATTTCTGAGGCACTGCCGTCGGTTTAGGGCTTTCCGCTTTTGAGAGCTTTCTCGCGAGGCGCGGCCGCTTCAACTTACCGACCTCGCCGATGGAGTCGAAGCAACCTCGCGGCGATGTTACAAATCCGTTTGCCCCCTCCTGAAACGGTTCGCGCGCCGTGCTTAAGATTTCTACCCAGATTAAACCCTACCGACGCGTTATCCGTCAATCCCTTCACCCTAAGCACCTCAGCTACCCGCATAAACGAAGATATCTCCTCCTGGCTCACGCTGACCTCGCCCTGATACATAAAGTGCAACACGCTGCGCAACGCATTGTAATCGACATCGGGCAGTATCACTATAGGATGCTCGCAGGGATTTACCATGAACAGTTGTTTGAAGAAGGGGCTGCACACCGACAGCACCGTCTTATGAGCTTTCATGAACCTACCCTCAGCGGCCAGCGTGACGTCTACGAAGTTTTCGTCTCTCAGTAGGCTGTGGAAGCCGGTGCTCAAGTTCGAGTGGAAATTATTCCAGCACAACGAGAATTGTTCCGCGGTCTCCATACTCGAAAAATAAAACACCGAAAAGCACCCGCTGCTTCTTTCTTTGTTTCAATAGATAACCGAACTCATTAAAGCGCGGTACCAAAAACTAGCCTTGTTTTTTTAAGAAACAAAAAACAAAGCACTTGCAAAATAATATGACTCTTCTTCTGTGCCTGAGTGGGACTAGTACCTAATCGCCCGGCGGCAAATTTTAGCACCAACTTCTGACGTCATATGTTGCTTACGAAAAAAAAAACAGGTGAATTTTTTATTTAAAAAAATGAGATAATTCGTTTACAAATTACTGATAAGTGTATCGCGTCGCTTTTTTCGTATAGAGGGAACTGGAACTAAACCCTCGTAAGTTCAACCCACTGGCACTGACACTGTGAAAATGTATTTTGTTCAAAAAGCTCGCGTTGGTACAACCAAAAGCCTGAGTGCTTAAAATGTACAGTACCCTGTTGAAAACAATGACATATAAAAAAATATGTGCATAAAGCATCTTAGAGAGCACTAGAAAATAATATACTCGCAAAGTTAAAAAACAGAATACTAGAAAGCGTAGTGTGTGTATATAAATAAATAAGTTGAGATGATATAATCGAAAATACTTTTAAAATACAGTTTTTCATGACGAAGGTCACAACGCGACAGCCGCAATAGAACGGGCATGTCCACAGACCAGGTTCTAACACGTCCGCAGACCACAGATCTAACAATTGTCACTCCCCAATCATCATCACAAAAACTTAACTCAAAGACGTCTGCCACAGTACCTCCTGCAGATTCTCAATAGGAACTTCGGAATCCTCTTCAGGATTGAAAGGATCAGGCATTATGGGGTGGTTATGCAAGTAGGGCCACTTGACGATATTACCGTTCATGGTCCAGCATACAGCTTGGCACTTCTCAGGGGTCCGCGAGTTTTTGCAATACCAGAACGCTTTGCCCTTGTAAACACTCTTCTTGTAAAACACATAACCATCTACGATCAGTCTAGGGTTACCCCGCCTGCCCAGAATGCACTGAATTGTACCTTTAAAAAGAGAAAACAGGTAACAGGTTCTGGAAGTCATCTCAGATTATTTACTGGATCCTTACTACTAAAATATAGTAAAAAAAAGGTCTTTTCAATCTCTTGTCAAACATATAATATAAATTTACTAATAAATATTACACGACTAACCAACCTGGTTGGGAAGGGTCTTCTGTGTTGGCCGCCTCCATGTCCCCTGGGGGCCATGGTGGAGGCAATTCTGCCATGGAAGGGTCCTCCATTGTTTCCCCCAAAGTGGTATCCAACATATTCGCAATGTCCATACTCATTTCCTCCATACCCCCCTGAGAGCCCGTGTCCTCTTCACTATGATCAACAGGTTCCTCTTTCGGTTTGATGAGGGGCATGGTATGAACCTGGGGACTGGGACTTGACGATGGGGTCTGAGTGCCTGATGGAGTTTGCAACTGCAAATCTATGTTCAACGCTTTAACTTAACCCCATCCCCTCAATTGCGATGAGCAATCTTACCGGGAGGATCAGTCATGATTTTTTTAGGAGGAGGCTGCACCGAAGGCTGCAACACGGGCGGTTGTGGAGAGTTTGACAGCTTTACCCCATCTCTAAAGGGTAGGGGCATGGGCCGCACCATCTTTTTCATGGGCGGCCGTGGTCGTTTGAGAATTTGCTGGGCGCCGAAAGAACTTTTCGAATTCGGAAAACCGTTTGTGGCGTCCGATGAGTTGTCAGTCAATCCTTTGACCTTAAGCATCTCAGCCACCTTCATAAAAGTCGGAATTTCTTCCTGACTGACGCTAACTTCTCCTTGGTACATAAAATGCAACACACTCCTTAAAGCGCCATAGCTCACCTCTGGCAAAATCACGATAGGGTGCTTGCAAGGATTCGCCCTAAACAAGTCTTTAAAAAATGGGCTGCACACAGAAAGCACCGTTCTGTGCGCCTTTACGTACTTTCCCTCAGCAGCGAGGGTGACGTCGACCAGGTCTTCGTCTTTCAGAAGGCTGTGGAAGCCGGAACTGAGATTCGAGTGGAAATTGTTCCAGCACAACGAAAACTGTTCGCTGGATTCCATTCTTCAGCCGCCCCCGAGCCGACAAGCCGAATGAACAAGATCTACACCGGAATTTTACGTACGAAATTACGCGTCGGCTTTCGTCCAATGAAGGCTGACTATCCGGCATGAATACCGATCGAGTGCCACGGCCGGTACGACTTATTTTTTCCAATATTTCGGTTTTTGCATCGCGAAACGAACAAATGGAGGATTCTTCTTCTTTTTGCGACGGCAAACACTGGCCCGAACCAGCAGGTGTTTAAAACGTGATCCAAGAAAATGTGCATACCAGCGAATGAGAACAATTTTTTTAACTTTAAACTTATTATAATTAATAATTTATTCAAATAATTAAATGATTAATTATCTTAGATATATAGTGTGGGTAATTTAATTTGTTTATAGATTGTGACCCAACGTTTTTTGCCTTCAATATCTACGAGGTACATAAAAACCTGTGTACAGTATGGAAGTTTAATGAAGATACAGTGTAGATCGGACATTTTAAGGGTAAGGATATGGTTAAAATTTAAAACTCGTGGTTTCATTGATCCATCAGGTTTATTTAATATATATATAATATATACAGTGTAAATCAAAAACTGTTTGTACACACAACCACAGATTAACAATACTCAAAAATATCACACTGCAATTTAACATTTCATAAGGGGTTGGTGCACAAATTTAGAAAAAAAAATTAGTAAAATTAGAGTGGAATGGTTTCGTTTCATTGTAAAAGGATATTAATACTACTCGTGTTTAATTGACTAGAAATTGCACCCTTCCGAGGCCAAAGTGTCATTAAAAATCGTCCTAAATGACTAAAAAAAATGTCAAACGCTGCTCAAGTTTTGTATAAAAAGCGAAATTTTTTTTTTTTAAAATCGGGTTGTCATGAACGCATAAAACGCGGGACTACGTAGTCAAAGTGAGAGCTATCAAATCGTCTGAATTACATCATTTGAACAAACGTCAAAACCCAGAATGGCCAACGTAATTATAACTGGCATCATAGCTGACAATTGTCGATTGAAAATTAGCAACGTCATTCGATTCGCATTTTGTAGGTTATAAGTACATTAGTCAAATATCAACGAAGAAAATAACGTTTGCAACTGACCTAAAAACCAACGCTAAAAAAAAGAGCGCCTAGTGTAAACTGGTATCAGGGTGAATAATGCACTACGGCCGCGGCCCGTTTGAAACTACTTAGGCCACATTACGCCTACCAATGACATCGACGTCTACTTAAAAAAAAATGTAAGTACATATTACGTTCCCGCTTCATAACGAATACTGATCAGTAACGGTGCGAGATCGAAAACACTGGGCTATACGATTTTCTCTTGCAAATACTGCAGCCCCGAGCAGTAATGCAACATAAGTACCGAGAGGGCGTGTACTTTAGCGTCCGCCTGACCGCTGAGGAACGCGAGCTTTGCCCTCTCCACTTCCGACTCCTCAGACGTCAATTGCCGTTGCATCTCCATGTGCTCGGACGTCGCGGCATCTAGCGCTCTCTTCAGTTCGGCCATCTGTTCTCGAAAACCTCGACCATAGACCCTGTCCCACTCCAAAGCACCCAGCCCAAACTCACCATCAGATTAATCTTGTCGAGCTTCTCGTCTCTACTCAACCCGACGTACATCCTCTGGCCGGTTTCTTTGGCAGCGTCCATGAGGTTCTCGTCGGGCGGACACGCCATGACCTGCTCGAGTAGCGTGGTCACCGTCTCCGACGCATCGCGCGGACTTCTGGACACCTCTTCCAGTGCCGCGGGACAAAGCGTGAACGGATTGAGACAGGCTAGTGACTGCTTCCGACTGGGCGTGCGTTGGGGACTGGGCGGAAGGCTTTTCGACGACGACAACGACGGGGACCCTTAAATAACCGTCATCTTGGGGGCGCACACTTTCGGTGCGGCACTTACCAGGCACCGTTAAGCTGGTGACGCTGTTTACGCGCTTCAGACTTCCACCGAGCTGTTCAGTCTCCTCGACCGACGTCGCTCCGTCCGCCTGCAATACCACGTCCGACAGCGAGACTTCGCCCCGTTGTCGCTCCACGCTGCACCCGTTATTGTTTTGGCACTTTACCACGCACTTTTTGTGGCACGACATCCCGCACTGCCGGCACTGGACCGCATCTTTAAGCCATATCTGAAGCGGATAACCTTACATTATAACATACCAGGAGCAAACGCAGAAATTCATCAATAATAGTCAATATAACCTCAAACGTTTATAAAGTCCACACCTACTAACACTTTTTTCTGTATAGCCGTAGAGTCGGATGTTGATATCACCCGGACCCTCTTTAGAGAGGCATCCTTCATGGAAATAGTTTATTGCACATTACTACCGGCACGCTGGCCGAAATGCCTTGAAAAACCTCAAACGTTACTAATAATTTACCGTGCCCAGCGGCCATTTTAAAAGTGCCTTTTTAGAGACTGAGGGGTTTTATTTATATTATACCGGGTGTTCATTATTGGCTTGACGTTTACGGAGAACCGTGAATGGTTTTTGTTTACTTTGGGTACTTCAGTTTTCAAGTCTATTCTATGGAAGCAAAACATTTTACCCTGTATACAGAATATACTGTATGTTATTTAAAATTCTGAAAGATTTTACTTAAGACGACTTTAAAATTCACATAAAACAACGTGAACGTAGGGGGTACAGAGTAAATAAAAATATACAGTGAAGTGAGGTGAAGATGCATTTTTTTTTATTGGTACGCTTAGGAGTAAAAGAGAAAAAGTCGTACAACCTTCATATGTGTTTAATAAACGAGTTACTTAAGAAGTTTACCAAACAACGATTAGTGTGGAATAAATAAAATGTCTGAAGTGGCTTGGATTCGGTAGGTAGATGTCAAAATATACGGCGTAAGTTCTCGCATACCCCCCAAACAACCAACCGAAATGCAACTACTCATAATTTAGGCATGAAACAAATCTTAATCAATTGTTGTTAAATATGGCGTTAGGAATAGCACTATTCTACCTCATTTTGAGAAAATTTAAAGATTTAATGATATTTTTGAATTTTAAGTCATAATGTTGAGAATTGCAATAAAAAATTCAGCGTTCTGCTGGTTCAAATGATATATAAGTTAAGAGGCTTAGTGGTGTCAATTGATTGGTTAAATTAACCACTGTTTCGGTGATTATTAATGTGAAAACGGGTTCGACCCAGAGTAGTTCGAATGTACCGGTCATTTTTCAGGCGCAAGCGGATCAGCAACTGACCTTCTTGGTGCAAAAGTCGCAATGGGTGGTCCCGTGGAACTGCGTCCTGATGAAATCGTGCTTGCTGCCGCCGACAGCCGAGACTTCTCCCTTCTCTTCGGGGGGCGCAGACCGCGCGACGGTCGCGTCGCCGCCCTCCGCCGCGGTCCACGCGAAGCACAGCAACGCGTCGCCGAAACAGAAGACGTGCTCGAACCCTGAGTGGGCCTTCAGCGGGTGCGCCGAGCTCGTCGTCGCGACGCCTGCGCAAATTTTAAAGTCACGATGCTAACCGAAAAACCAGAGTATTCAATTGTGGCTCATCATCTTGGCTTTTGACGGAAAGTAATTATGACCTGGGGTAAATTACCCCAAATGGGGAAAAAATGAAACTTTTTTGAATTTGCTATTTTAAAACCTGTTAGTATTTTTTTCAACTTAAACAATTTAGGCCACGCCATCTCACTTCCCACCACTAGAGTGTTCTCGAGTTAAATCTTTGCGCAGTAAAGCACACCTGCTCAGTCTGTGCCATGCCGTGCAAATACAAATACATTGACGAGTCAGAGAGCGAGTTTTTACTAGCTAGTTGCCGACAAGACCACCATTTTATCATTCATCATCGATATATCGATCAAGGTAAGCCGTAATTTGAAAATTTAATTCAAGTATTATTCAGTGCCCTGGTCTGCGCGAATTGTGATTTATTCTCCTCTCGAGTTGAGATCTCGTGGAATTGACGTCTACAATAAAGTAAATGAATACTTCAATGCGCAAAGTTTAAAATGGGAAAACTGTATTTCTGTATCTTTGAATGGAGCTCCAGCTACGCTGGGTCATATTAATGGTTTTTCGTCTTTCGTAAAAAAAGTAACCCAAATATTGTTACTCACTGTATGATCCATGGCCAGGCCCTTATAGTCAAATATTTAGAACCTACCCTGGCAGCCAGTATGCATGATGTCATCAACATTATAAATTTTATCAAGGGATATGCACACCTTAAATAAGGTAGCTCTCTCGCGGAAATGTACTAAACCGAGTATGGACTCTCAAAAAATATTCTCGCAGATAAGTTTAAAAACTCTTCCTGGGTTGCATATCTCGCCTATCTAGCGGACATTTTTGAGAGTATAAATAAAATAAAATAATTAAAGCCGCAATATTGGAGACAGAAAGTAGAACAGAACAAGATAGCTTTTATTAGTTAGCTTTATTTTTGGAAGATTACGAAAATATTACTTTTGCTGACTTCAAGGATACAATTGTAAGACATCTAATCAAACTCAGAAAGCGGTTTTCAGATTACTTTCCAGATCTTGATACTGTCAGTTGGATTGCAGATCCTTTGAAATGTGAAGTTGCCGCGATACCAGAAAAACCTTCGACTTTGGCAGTAGCAATTTTTGAACCTTGATCTAATACTAAAGCATGTATTCAATTTGAGAGTAAACCAAATCTGTCGTCTTTTTGGATGTCAAAAGCTGCAAACATATTTGTGACCAATTTTGAAGCAATTGCATCGAATATGAAACAACATCATTTCTCCACAATTTTTTTTTTTCTAATTTTTTCAATTATAATTTTTGTTTGTACAACCATTATTATTATTATGATTTGTTACGGTGCCCAAATTGTCAACCCTCAATTGTACCCCAATGGGTGTCAATTTGTTATATACAGTTGAAAAAAAAATCGCCCCCACAACAATATAAGTAAATGATAATTTCGTGTTATTTTGTAATTCATGATATTTTTCTTGTATTATTAGACGAAAAAAGTATTTTAAATTTTATATATAGCCCTCATAAAACATATATGTTAATTTAAATGATTTTTTTCGGGAAAAAAAAATTTGGGGTAATGATTAAAAAAGTTCCCCGACCGCTGTTCTAGAGATATAGAGGCCCTGCCTATGCCGATAATACAAAAACATGAAGCAAATATGAAAAAAAAATGAGAAGGTTAATTCAACATGCGCATGCGCGAGATATACAATCTCGTTTTTACCCAATGACCTTGCGGTATTCAACAACCAACATGGCCGCCGCCAGATCGTCAACAGCTTTGGATGAGGTATATTCACTTATTATTAGATACTAAACAAATTGTGACAACTATGTTTAACAATTAAATAATAAAAGAAACCTCCCTACTATCAAGAACTCCAATATCTTCGATATAGCATATTGTTAACGGTGAATTATTAAATGAAAGAAAAAAAAAGGAGTGAAAAGGAAGCTAAAAGAAGATGAAATCAGTATTATTATTAGCCGTGCCACCCTCTATAGAATTATTTGTAAAATAGGACTTAAATACATCAAAAAAGTGATAATGGAATTTGACAGAGATTTAAATACATTGGTGAAATTAAAAAGTACATCCGACTAGAGAACGCAATATTTGAATTTTACTATTTTACTCCCACTATACCTAGTTTCTTTCACCTAGTCTTTCATATCCTGCTTGTAATCACTTCTTTAATCCCGACGCGAAAAAACAGGAAAGAGAAGACACATTTGATAAGTAACAGATAGGTGGTTCCAAACTTTTTACCCGTTACCTTGTTTTGCACCAAGGTAAGTCTAGTCATTTTTTTTTGCGTTGTATAAATAAAGTCAAAGTTCCGTAAGTTGAACTTGGCTGGGGAACCTTAGATATTATAACGAGCGGCACTTTGTGATATATATAAATATCCTGCTCTGTCCTGCAATACTGACTGGCGAGGTATTTTAGTTATTTCGATAATTGCCGTCCAAAGCCAAGACGATATACTTCGGGACAAACCGTACCCGGCGGAAGAAACGAATAGCGTCGTGAATGGTGACCAAGGACGCTGGCGGCGCATTCGAACGCGACGTGAGCCAACGGGACGTTCAGGTAGCCGAGGAGGATGTCGGGCGCGTCGGCGACCGTCGCCCACGCGTTGACGTTGACGTATCTGGCGCCATCTTTCGGCGCGAAGCGGAAGTCGTCGTCGAAGGGCAGCAGCGCGTCTACCGGCAGCTCTTTGCCCTTGAACACCTCCACCAACGAGAATATCTGCTCGGACTCGAACCCGTCCAAATCAGTCCGCACGATCTCGGGCAGGTCGCAGGTGGAGCTTTTTTTAGACGCGACAGGTCGGGATTTTTGGGGCGTGCCCGGCGCCCCGCCTTTCCGCTTTCTCAGACTAAAACTACTGATTGTCTGCGCCAGTTTCGTCATGTTCTCGTTGCTGGGCATCATCTTCGGCGAGCGGTTCTTGCGCTCGTCTTTCTTCACGTTGTCCACCATGACGAAAGACTCGTGTTCGGTCTGCGTAAGTTCCGGCTCGTCGTCGTCGCATTTCGCATCGACGGTATCCCTACTTTCTTCCACGCCTCGGCACCTTATAACGTAATTATCCACGACGCGCTCCACCCTCAGGGTTACGCTCGTTCCCGATATCGATTTCATGAACTTCCCCACTTGGGGAACGGTGCTGACCAGCTTGTTCTCCACCGAAATCACCTAAACGGGGACCGCCAATGAGGTTTTCTTAGTTCTAATCCCGGGTGTCCTTCAACCTTAGGGGCGTAGGTGTTTAAAAAGTAAAATAGAGACTTATCCAACTACGTGGGTGCCCAATTGCTTATAAAAACACTTAATAGGATATAAATTCCATGCGTTTTAAAAAAATAACAAGTGAAAAAGACATTTATCAACTTTGGTATCAATTGGTTGAAAAACACTATTTAATCGCAAAGATTACCACGTCGCAGGAGCGTAAGCCGGCCTGCTGCGCGCAGGAATTGACAGCCACGCTGTCAACGACGACGCAGCCGGTCTCCTGGCGAAAAATGGCGCCCAACTGGGCTTGTTTTAGCTTCACCACGGTTATTTCCAATGTCATGCAGATGCTACCGTCTTCCCTTTGATACAAAGAGATCCAGGGGATCGAATCTGGAACGCGGCCGGTTAAAAACGCTCCGCCCCCACAACAACGGGACCCGACATTGGTCAAGTATAATTTCTTTTTTTAATGATGTCAAATGTTTGAGTGATTTCTATGTTGGAAAAGCAAATACGATAGCCAGAACCAACTGTCGGGTCTCCTTCAGCCCAATGTCACTGCGCTCACCCACGGCGACGGTGCAGTAGACGCTTAAAGCGTTATGAGGTACAGCGAGCCTCGAGACCTCCGCCAAGTTGACCTCGAGCAGCCCCTGCAGCAGCGCCTCGCCCTCTTCGAGGTCCAGCTGGCTCGGGTCGGTTTTCACGAAGAATGGCTTGTACCTTATCTTATAATTTGGCAAGGTGTGTTTGCGTTTAATAGCCTTTTTTATTTGATTCATAATGAGGTTGGTTACGTTTGATTGTAATTGCCTACCCTGGAAATGGGATTCGACCGCTAAATCTAAGGTGGGTTCATTGAAGAAGCTAAATGACCAGTGTGTGTAAGGTTGTCGGGAAAACTGCAGTCTCACCAAACCGCTGATTCTTTTGACTGCAACACCCAGTACCGACTAACCCAAATCGCCCCGCAGTATCAGTACTTACCCTTGATAGAAAGGTAAGCGGTTTTACCGAATTTCATTCTCGCGTCTACGCTAAGCAAAAAATTGCCGGCATAGTCGACGTCGAGGCACAGGCTCACCGTTTCGATATGTTCCTCGTTTTTATCGAGCTTTACGTTATCGATTGCTATATCTTTTATATCTGGAAACTGGCTGCCCAAATGCATGTCTTTAATCTAAAAGTAAGGTATATTATGCTGTCTGAGCACGCAGAAACAAACAAAGTTTACGTTAATAGAGTCGAAAAATTTTCCCACTGTGGTCTTAGTCAAAAGCTCGTCCAATTCCAACGTAAGTTTTTTATAAAGCCATCTGCGAATCGATTCAGAGTGTCTGAGCTCGTGAAACAGGAACTGCAAAACGAGACTCACGGCCAGGCCTCCTTTGCCTTTGTCGGCCAAGTCGCCTTCCAATTGCTTCTTTATAGCCTGGAATTTTGCGGCGGGTATGACAGGAGCAAACAAAAGGGTTCCGCTACTTACCATAGGCAGGGAATAATCTAGAGAATTTTTGGGGTAATATGGATGGGCGATGGGACCTTTTCTCAAGTAAACATACACGACATAATACTGTACGCACAGCGTTAAAATAATACCAAACACAAGGGAAACCAAAGACAAAAAGAATATAGCGAAAATATCCATCGTTGGGCTTAAAATTACATCGCGACCGCTTTTTCTCTAGACCAGGACAGTCGCGTTAAAATAACGATTTAACTCGTTTTTTTAACGGTGTTAAACGTAATTTTATCATGTCGTTCATTCATTCAAACCTGATCCATCTCTACCACCCGTCACCGACATAACACATAACAGCTGTTAAATTTTATTACAAATGTTGACGTATGCTAATGATTTTCTTGGTACAATTTATGTTCTGGGATTTTGTGCCAAATCTTTTGGGAAACGTAATAAGAAGAAGAAGATGTTCTGGACTTTGTGTAGTTCGGAGTCAACTCACTTCTACAAGTTAACATTATTAAAACTGACCAAACGATCCTGCCGGTTTTGGCCTTCCCATGGTAGTGAGGAAAAAAAAACAAAAATTGCATGGTTTTGGATCTTAAAAAGAATTTAATTTAAATGGACGAGGAAAATGTTGATGTGGAAAAGTTGTTGGGTGTCGTCCCGGATTATATGAAAAAGGTTAAATGCGACACATCGCGACGGTAAATCAACATCCTCCGTCTGCTGTAATTTTTCTTTAAATCGGTCCATTTTTCAGAACCGGACCATTTAAATGCGCGGTGAAATCGTGCAAGAACAGATTCGTTAGTTTCGATCTGCATCAGCGCTCGCCTTACAAGTTTCACAACTTTCCGACCAATGCGGAATCAGCAGCCGAATGGATTAAGAGATGCAAGGTTCCACTGGGAGTCAACACTAATCTCTTAAAGGTGTGTTCTGATCACTTTGATCTGGACGATTACCTACGAAACTACAAAGAAGAAATCTTCAACCCAAGGTTCAAAAGAGAACTCAAACCTAAAGCCGTGCCGCACAAAAAACTAGGCAACCCTACAGATAGAGTTACGCTCGATGATTTTGAGTTGGAATGTGCCCCTGCCCAAGATCATGATACCCCCCTAGTGGAAGACACTAACAAACAAGCAGAAAGTTTGCCGGAGCAACTGGAGTCTTGTCAAAACGAAGTCATTACCCTGACGACCGAAGTGAAAAAGTTGAAAAAGTATCTGGCAACCGTCAAGGCCGTTATAAAGAGGAAAAGTGCAAACATAAACAAGTACAGGCAGATTGAGAAAGCCGAGTACTTATCCAGGAGGAAGATATTCACGAAAGCACAGTTTAGAGTGTTGCTGGGCATGAAAGCGGTGTGGAGCGACAATGATTTCGCACAGGCTTTCAGCCTCAGGCACATTGGCGGGAAACAGTGCTATTTGTACTTGAAAAACACCCTCGGCTGGCCCTTGCCATCCTTGAGTTCTGTGCAAATGTGGGCAGGGTCTCATTTTTAAAACTCCACATTTATGCTGGGAACAAATTCATCAATAAATTTGCCAAATCACTTTATTAATTCGTGCATATACTTGAAGTATCTGCGTATTTCACCTGAAGTAGGGTTGCCAATAAACTGAAAATGCAGGTCAGAGAATTTAGTGGAAGATCTTTAATTTTATTTTATTTGTTTTTCTTTTGATCAGGTTAATTAGATACCTTTTTGCTTGTATTCATCGCATCCAACTCTAGAAAAAATTAACAAATAACACTGGAACTTTTTTACGTTGGTACCTACTGCTATCCTGTCAAAAATTTTAACCTTAGCGGATTTTTATTATTGAGTTTTTTACCAGGTTGTATCAGAGTTTTTTGTGCAGCAATCCTTTAAGGATGAGTTTAAACTTGGTCCGCCCTCACCAAAATGTGTTTAGCGCCAAAGATTATCAGCTGATACAAATACAAGATGTCCCTGGCGATGGCAATGTAAAATTAGAAATACCCATCGTGTATTCAAAGGAATTGAATGAGGAGCCCCAGGCGAACGAAGAACTTCCGTCTCGGTACGAGGAGCAAATCAAAAGCCAAATGAAGCGCTTGTTAGAACTGAAACGAGATAATTTATTAAAAGAAAAGCAAGTGTTGCAGAGGAAAGTTGACAAATACCGAAGGTTCAGTAAAAACATGAACTTACAGAAGGAGATAATGATGAAGTCGGGTCAATGGCGCATGACTCGACTTCGCAAGGCTTGCGAGAAAGTGTTTTCAAAGACGCAAATTGAGTTGATGCTTGGGAGGAAAAGGAAGCACAAATGGAGTCACGACGACCTCGCAATAGCTTATAACATAATCACGTTGGGTAATTATCGTTGCTTCGCGTATGTGAAGGAATACATGAAAATCCCTTTACCATCGAGAGGTTGCCTCACCAAATGGCTCAGTGTTAAACCCTCCGCGAAAAAGTTGGCGGTCAATGTTAAGGAGGTGGAGAGATAAGGTCGTTTGCGGTATATGCTCTTTTAATTGTAAGAAAACAAAAACATTCTTAATTTAATGTCATTAAGCAAATAAAGAAAGAATCTTTGGAACTTTGTCTTTTTGCATTACCACATATTTATGTTTAAATGCTAGACAAATTAACGCCTCTCTGGGTAACTATCAACATAACAAAATCTCTTACAAAATGGCTAAACATGTCTTAATAAATAAACAACAGTATTACAAAAATATTGTAGGACCTAGATTGTGTAACTAACATATACAACATGGAGATCCATTTACATCACAAGAAAAATGTTTCACAACTCTACATATAATACTTATATGTTATGTTGTTTCTTCACAGCGAGATATCACACAGTTATAAAAACACTGAAAAATAGTTCATCTGAACAATAGTCTTTTAGGGGAAGATATGTTCCTTAGTCAATTACCCAAAGAATTTAGGGGCTTGGGCGAGTTTTTTTCTCTTGAATTAATTAAAATACATAAAATTTGGATTCCTCCTACTCATGTAACTGACTACATAAGCGGGATAGTATTCACAATCAAAATACTTAACATAGGTGACTCCCCCGTGGGCAACCACAGTGTCACAACCAGGGTTAGGCAAAAATGTTCTTTCGTCTCCGTACTCCACGTTCTGAACTAATACGTCTACCAAAAACATCGCACGATTGATGCCATTCGACTTGGAGCTGTGCTTGGATGCTATATCTGGGCTGATTGAAAAGTACACTCCTGGTCCAAACATGAACCGGGTCCCACACTTCCAATCGAAATTGAATTCGCTTATAGAATGGATGTTGCGATCGGATGTATCATGATAGAGTTGTTTTATGGTAAAGGGGCCCCTCTGAGAGTAATCGTGCTGCTTGAGCGCAAATTTTGTGTACATGAGAGGGTTCTGAACTTTGTAAAGGCCGGTTATCTTACAGTAATAGTCGCCCTTGAATCTCTGCATAACTTCTTCGAATTCGGTACTGTACGGAGGCACGGGAATAACGAGGTACCTGGCTTCACCCGAATCCATAGGGTACCAATGGTTCGGCAGGTATTTAGCCATATCGTCGAAAATCATGTCCGGTTTTTTGGGTAGCTAAAATGGATCGATTAGAATACCATCCGTCGGAATTTTGGAGCTCGACAATATTTTTTTTAAGCGGGAAAGTGGGAAAGGAAATTTTACCATATCAATAATACCAAGAACGCTTCTTCGTTTTATCCAACATTAGTTTTAAAAAAAGAAGAGTTGGTATGGTGTCTTCTTTTTTCCATAGGGTACCATGGCTCGGCATGTAATTAGCCATATCGTTGGCAATCATGTCTGGTTTTTTGGGCAGCTAAAATGGACAGGTTAGAATACCATCCGTTGGAATTTTGGAGCTCGAGGATATTTTTTTAAGCGGGAAAGTCGGAAAGGAAATCAATAACTCCAAAAACTTTTTCGTTTTATCGAGCATTCATTTTGAAAAGAAAGAAGAGTTATGTATTTGAATTTGTTGTTTTTTCTCAGATCTGACGAGCCTGGTCCCATGGTCCATCCTGGGCCAGGAACGCCTGTCTCAAGTTCCATAGTGTTGGAGATTGTTTGTCCTTTTTTTGTTTTTTAGATGTGACCGTCTTGCCTGTTTGTCCTTATTTTTTGTGTGCTCTGAGCCCACTTACTAATGGACCCTATCTCCTAAGCAGTTTTTTTATGCCTCTTAAATAGAAACAGAAGTCTGAAAAGTAAACTTCCCCAGGAAAACAGTCTCCATTATCTGGGGCAGTTCTAAATAGTGCTGTCAAATTCAGTAGTAGCAGTGCCAATCCAAAAAAAGAAGAAGAAAAGAAGAGTTGGTAAGGGGTCTTCTTTTGGATTCTGTGGTGGAGCATTGCACGCGGCGGTTTAACCTCCGTTCGCTCCCGACAGAATCCCTTGTATTCGTCCTCAAAAGTTTGATATCGGTTTCCACTGTGTGGACTTAGTGTTTTTAGTGTTCAGTGCATGTTTTAAAGTGATAATCGTCGTCGGCCCCGTCGTTTTTCCCTGTTCACGCCGGTATGGAGGCCGGATGGGCCCGGATGGTCCGCGGTGGAAGCGGAGGGAAGCTGATTTTTTTGGTATCGGTCAGAATCGTTTTTTGCTAGCTGAGCAAATTATTGGTTATTCTTCTTCTTTGTACGTGGTGGCCATTGACCAGAAGCGAAAATCCTCGACGGAAGTCGGCAATGGGCGAATGATCCTAGCAGTCGTGCCCAACATTTTTTTGTGAAACGTATAATTGAATTGAATTGAATTGGGTCTTCTTTTGGTGGTGGAGCATTGCACGCGGCGGTTTAACCCCCGTTCGCTCCCGACAGAATCCCTTGTATTCGTCCCCAAAAGTTTGCTATATGTCTCCACTGGGTGGATTTAGTGTTTTTAGTGTTTAGTGAATGTTTTAGTTGTTGTTTTGTCCGCGGTGGGAACGGGGAGATGTCGGTTTTTTTTTTGGTATCTGTCAAAATTGTTTTTTGCTAGTTGAGCAAATATTAGTTATATGCTTTCTTTGTACGTGTTGGTCTATGACCAAAAGCGAAGATCCTCGACGGAAGTCGGCAATGGGCGAATGATCTTAGCAGTCGTGCCCAACATTTTTTGTGAAGCGCATAATTGAATTGAATTGGAACTTCTTTTTTCGCGAATGATCCTGGTAGACTAGCCCAACAGTTTTCTGTAAAACTGTCAAAAAGTGTCCGTTGTTTGTTGAATAACTAAGCTCCAACAGCTATCTGTGAAACGCATCATTGAATTGAATTGAATAACTAAGCTACACCATATGAGGAACAAACATGAAATTATCTAAAACAATTTTGTTCCAAAATGATCTTCAGCAGCATTACTTCGGTTACTCTGCTTTCGAAATATACACCGACTGTAAATGCAATTTGAACCGATAACGGATAATATTTTATCATCGACTTTTGCAGATCGAGCTTATGTGGATCAACAGCTAAAATATCTGCTTATCGAATTGTCGAAAGTATACGAAGAATTGCACAAAACTCGCGACATGAAAAGCCATTTGTTGGAGGTGTACCACACGTTTTGGAAGTTGGCGGAATCACCGATGCAAAAGTTTCATGTAAGGTGCAGACTGTTGCTTTTCACTAGCTTGTTACATAGTAAATTTTAGATGGAACTTCAAAGCATATTCCGGGTACCATTCTGCGCAGTTTTTCCTGACTTGGCGTCTGCAGAAAAGGTGTATAGCAAAGAAGATATACAGGCTCTGCGAAAGGATATTGACATGCTCGAGGACGACTTGTTAAAAGTGGATACGTTTTATTTCTCAATATAGAGAGAAAATATTTTTCTGTTTTAGAAAAAATGCTACCTGGAACACATGAAGATGTTGAGGAAACAGGTCGTTCCGTTGAAACAATGGGTAAACACGGCAACAACATCCCTTCAAGAATTGGATGCACAACATATAAGATTGCAAAGTTTAGAGACAAAGGTCCACAAAACACTTCAGGAGTTGCAAAAGTATGACTATCCCAAAATTGACAGGAACAAAGAATCGCAGGTGATGGAAGAATTCTGGCGTATGGTGGGCGAGTAAACCACACATGCGGTAAGTATATTTTTATTATTAGGTGTTACAGAGTTAATAAAATAATTTCTCACGGCCTACTTGACTTCCGTTCTCGCTCGCACCCCTGAAAATGAAAAACAACCCTATTCAACGACCGTCTCGCGCGTTTACCCCGCTGATCACCTCGGCGCGTCTTCCAAATAGTTCTCCCGTCTGCTGAGCGGGTTATGGAACTGGAAATCGTCGCGGGTAAAGAAATTTTTATCCAGCGTGCCCCCCTCGATCCCACTTTTTTCGCGTTTCCGCAGCTTCCCGTCTTCGTCGTAGCGGCCCAAATGAAACGACGAACTTATGGAGGCCCGTTCGAACATGTGCTTTTTCACGTACGTCGTCGGCGAGCTGCAAAAAACGAATGGAAACGAGGCTTTATCATTAGTATCCGGACATTGCAACGGCCGACGGGAAACCGGCTCGTATTCTTGGCAACCGATCCCCGTCGATTTCCAGGCTCTTGCGTTTTAGCAGGATCTCCCTCTGCAACGCTCCCTTGCCCTCGACGAGCTCTCGGAGAGATTTTTGCACCTCGCTCAGGCGCCCCCTTAAAACGGACGCGTGTCCCTCGACGGTGGCGATCTCCGCGTGGAGCCCGTCTTGGGTGTCGTCCATGCAGTTGTCCACTCCGTGTCTGTGGCGCCTCCGCTCCAGGCGAGTCTGGACCACCTTCGCGGGCCCCTCCAATCTCCCCATACACTCGCGGAGACTCTGTACCAGCTCTTCGGCTCGTGCTATCTCGCGTAATGTGATCTTCAGCTCGCGCTCGAGCCCCTTGAGGGCTTCCTCCGTGCGGCGGGCTGTTTCGCGAAGGGCCGCGTCCACTTTGTCGGCCTGTGTGCGCAGATCGCGCGCGGCGTTTCCGAGTGTGTCGTCCAAGGTCGCTCGTAGCGCCACGGAGCGGCGCGTCGTCGATTCCGCCTCAGCTATCGTCTCCCTCGTGAAGCGCTCCCAGTAGTCGGGCGTCGATTGGTCCTCCGAGAACGTTGTCACGGGGCACCTCATCAACGTCCCAGAGCGCAGATCGAGCATCGAACATTCAGTGTCGATGTCGAGGGCGCCTCTCTTGCCGCTCCAGTCGGTCTGGACCATCCGCGACGCGGTTCGATTGTCCGCCGACTGTTTTTCCAGGTCCTCGAGACATTTTGCGAAAGTTCGCCTTACGTCCGAGCAAAGGGCCGCCTCCTCTGCCAGGGCTTCTTCGACCTCGTCGCGGATGAGCTCCGTGTCGGACCTGTCGGTCCTCCGGTCCAGACATTCGGTCGTCACGGATTCGGGCACGAGCAAAACTGCCGCGGCCCGCTTGAGTCGTCGCCTCTGCTCCTCCAGGAGGCCCGTCTCTTCGGCGACGGCGGCCGCGGCAAGCTCCAGGTCAGTTTTCAACCGCAAAATGTCCGCCCGACGGCAGTTGAGCCTGTCCGTGTTTCGTCGCCGCGCCGCGTCGGTGGCGGTTTGCGTCTCGTCGATTTCGGCGGTCGCCGCCTCCAGCACCGCCCCGAAATTTCGCCGCCGCGTCGCGGCCGCCTCTAGCACTCGCTCGTTTCGAGCCCTCCACTCGGCAGGGTCGCACCTGGTAATCGAATAACGGTCCGCGACGGGGAAAGTACCGGTGAGGCCCGACCGCGGACTCCACCGCCCCATCCCGCCCGCCCACGCCGCCTCCAGCCGCGCGGCCCGCTCGGTGGAGTCTTCCGCTTGTGGGAGATAGGGGGGCGGACCCTCCGGGGACACGGGGCGTAGATCTTCAGGCGCTGAGGCTTCTTGCATGGCGTCCGTCGCGATTCTTGTTTGGTCGATATTTTCGGGCGTTTCGGCGGGGCGACGTTGCCGTTCCATCTTCTTAGTTTTTCTGATCACCTCGCAGTTTTTTGTCAAATCAAATTTTCCTTCTGTCGATCGCCATGTTTTCGGAATTTCAATAATGACTCTTTTCATCCCTTGGGATCCCATCATTCACGAAAATTATATTGATCAGAAAATAAGTATGCATAACTTCTTTGTTTGATAAACATGCTCCTTTTGTGATTTCTAAGATCACCAAACCTGTGCTCCTTGGTTAACACATACTATTCGTGAAATGAGGAAAATGGGAGATAGTCTATTGTCTAAATATAAAAAATCCAAATCTATCGCTGACTACATTGCTTATAAAGAAATAAGGAATGTTGTTACAAGTGCAGTACGTAAACAAAAAATTTGTCTTACAATTTCGATTCTAGGAACTCTAAACATATATGGAAAACTTTAAATATGTTTAAAAACAAACATCATCAACAACAATCATTATTTTACTTCTATTTTTAGCAATATCTTTTTAGCAATGTCTTGATAGTATTAATAAATATAGATTGCAAAAAATTGAAAACAGTTGCTGCAGATTTATTTTCGGCTTGCGTAAATTTGATAGGATTTCCCACACAATCCAGGAACTTGGCTGAAAATTGAGAGTACTTTTAAGTACTTTTTGGCGTCTACGATTCAGTAAAATCACATTCAATTAAATTCTTTAAAAAATATTGCAGGTTAAAACTACTCAAATAATTTGATTTTCAATGTTATTCTTTTTATTTTTAATAACTTTCTATTGTTCCGTATTACTATTACATTTATCTATTATACTATATCTAATTTATCAATGTATTTATACTATTATACTACGTATTTATATATTTCCTATTTAGTTTTCAATTTAAATATTTAAGAGCAGGTTAAGTGGAGTAGCTTTTATATATATAAATACTTATTTTATATTTATAATATACAACAATAAAGGCAATTTATTATAATATCCAAAAAATGGGGATGTTAATTTTTTTTTGATAAGTTGACGTGTTTTCCGGCATATAAGAGAACACTGATAAAGGGAACGGGATATGTCATCATTATTTTTGTATCTTTACTGCACACTGCCTCATTCAAAATATCTAAGGTGCCGGCTACTTTCTTGAAGAAGCGACAACGTCGCATTGCGCGGTTTATATAAATGCCTCGTTTTTAGTAAACAATTAATTTATTTTGAAATACTGTCAATCCAAACCGGTTATCATGATTAATCACATTATCGATTGGATAAAATGCAATTGAATGAAAATTCTCCTTACATGTATTATATTAAAAAGTGTTAATAATTAAATAATATCCGTTTTGTTTTTTTCATCTCACCCGGAAAAAATTCTTGTATAAATTTCTGCATACTCTCATTTTTGTACATTTACACACTCTATATTACCAACAAAAAAAAAACTACCTCATTCAAAATATCTAAGGTACTGGCTATTTTCTTGAAGAGGCTGCAATGTAAAAATTATGTAAATACCTCGTTTTTAGTAAACAATTGATTTAATTTCAGGTACTGTCAGTCCAAAGCGATTAACATTATTAATTACATTATCGATTGGATAAAATGCAATTAAGTGAAAATTCTTCGTACATGTATTAAAAAGTGGTAATAATTAAATAATTTCCGTTTGTTTTGTTTGTTTTTTTTTCATCACGCCCGAAAAAAATTCTTATGTAAATTCGGCATACTCACATTCTCTCGTAGTTGGCCATAGGATCCAATACCCTAACTATTCTTCTCAGCTCTTTCAAGCGCACGAACCAAATTATAATAACGCACAGTATAAGCACGGCAATCACGAAGCTAAGGCAACTGAGACCGATCATCACTTCCGTCTTGTACGCTTCGAGTTCGCTTCGCTGCAAAGTGTGCCCTGATAAACGGGTTGTTTAAATATTTCCACTCGATATTTACCAAATCCTTGACCGCCAGCAAAGTCTTCGTGCAGTTGCATGTCGGCACGGTCTCGTCATCTGACATAATTTTTTCAGTCTCCACGAGAGGAAGATTTTTTAACGACGCGTCGTTAAAATATGTACCCGGGTTTTCTTATTATCTTAATCCGGAGTGTATATCTGATTAATTGTTTGAGACGACGTACGAGATTTTAGATGTAGATAGTTTTTTTTTTTGCGAAGTGCTAGAAGAGTCAACAATGTAGATAAAGTTCGAAACCCCAATTTCCGTCGTAAAAAGTAGCGATTTAAATTTAAGCGACGCGCGAAGCTCGGGTGTATAACGGGTTGCGTCGTTCATCGATGTCAGTAGGTCAAAATTTACAGATTTCATTTTGGAGTTGATAGGATTTCGAGACCCAACGGGTAACAGATAAACCGTGACAATAATTTTGTGCGAACGAACGTTTATCTCGGGCAACACTAAATTCGTTCGCGTAAAAAGTTGTTTTGATCGTTATGTGGTGACGAGTACATCCGCACTGGGAGGGCAACCATTTAATTGCGAAGATGTCTTTTAACGCGCTGGGTCGCAAAGCTCTTCCGAGACTGGTCAATTTCGCGAAATGGAATTACTTGAAAACGTCAACGCGGCTAGTGTCGACGGGTGAACCTGCTTTGGCCAAGAAAGAGTAAGTAGAGAGGGCCGTTTTGGCAAGGGTGCGCAAGACACAGATTTTAGGGTGGAAATAACGTTCGTTAAAGCTAACGGGGACCGTATCAAAGCCAAAGGGAAGGTGGGAGATTCTTTGCTTGACGTTGTAGTGAATAACAACATTGATTTGGAAGGGTTCGGAGCTTGTGAGGGGACCCTCACTTGCTCCACTTGCCACTTGATTTTGTCGGAAGCCGATTACAAAGGTTTGCCTAATAAGCCGACCGATGAGGAATTGGATATGCTCGATTTGGCGTATGATTTGACGGACACCTCGCGACTAGGCTGTCAGATTCTTTTGTCGGAGAGCTTGGACGGCCTGGAAGTTCGGGTTCCCGCAACAATTAACGATGCACGAAGCTAACAGAAATTTATATACAGGATGAATTTTTGAGAAGATTATTGTTTAGCGTTTATTGTACAGTGTTTAATAAACAATATTAAGTTATGTATTTATTTCGCCTTGAACGTTCTAGGTCTGTCCCAATAGTCGGTCAATATCTCACCCAGTCAAGGCTGGTTGCATAAGTTAAAGTAAACATTTTCCTAATAAATGTATTTTTTGGCACTTAACAGCAGTGAATCTGCATTAGCACTTTACCCTATGCTCCTTTATTACACGTAATGAAAGGATTAAGTTTTTTTTAACTGTTTTCTAGTTTCACGCCATTAGACACATGTCAATGTCATGGCCAAAACAAACTATTTAATTTTTTTAGAGGAAGATTACACTCAATTCTAAATTTTTTTTTTGTAATTCAAAATTGCTGTGATAATATCCAACAACATGTTCCCCTTAAACGTCGTCCCGCGGTGTAGAGCAGGTAAGTTTTGCACTTTTGTCTATGGGTTGGATTTAAAAAGTGAGGTTAGGTATTGCGAAAACATTCTGCACACAACCCGCCAAAAGCAAACTTCGGGGCGCCTGCGAGTCCGGCCAGGGGAAACCCCTCGGCCAGCCGGCGCACCACACCCACCCGCATCTACTGGGCGACGGAGAAGTGACGCCCCTAATCAAAAAAGGCGAGTACCAGTGCCGCCGTCAGAACTTGGTCGAGTCGGTTGTATCTAATGCCACCAAAAGCGACCCCCACGCGAAACGCCACATGGTAAACGTTTGCCGTTTTAGAAAAATGCCGCGATCTTGCGTCACTAATTATTAGATAGTCATACCGGCCGCGACCAAGCAATATATGTCCGACAAAATCCCCTACGTCTTCCGTCAAAACTCCGAGTTCCTTTACCTAACCGGGTGCCAGGAACCAGACACGTGTTGCGTCATAATGACGGGCGAGTCTCCCGGGGACCATCGCACCACCCTCTTCACACGTGACAAGGACGAGCACGCGGAATTGTGGGACGGGCCCCGTACCCACCCCGAAGACGCTCCCGCGTTTTTCGGCGTCGACCAGAGTCTGCCTGTCAGCGAACTGTCGAATTTTTTACTCTCCTGCCGCAAGGAGGCCCCGGACTTGCGTCTGTGGTACGACGTCGCCAACCCAGTACACAGAGACGTGCACCAAATTGTCTGTGACTACTTGAAGGAAGTTTCGGCCAAAACGTGCGAGTCTCCGCGCTCGTTCATACACAAACTGCGGCTGTACAAAAGCACGGCTGAGATGGCGCTCATGCAAAAATCGGGAGACATCGCCTCCAAGGCTATAGCGGAGACGATGGCGTTTTCGAGACCCGGGATTGGGGAGGACCAGCTATTCGCCAAGGTCGATTTCGAGTGCAGAATGCGGGGGGCAGAATTCTTGGCTTACCCGCCGGTGGTAGCCGGCGGCAGTCGAGCCACCACTATACACTACATCGACAACAACCAGGTGCTCAGCGATGACGAGCTGGTGCTCATGGACGCCGGTTGCGAGTACCACGGGTACGCCAGCGATGTGACGCGCACGTGGCCCGTCAACGGCAAGTTTACCGCCCCCCAGCGGGAGATTTATGAGATCGTATTGGACGTGCAGGAGCAGCTCATCCAACTATGCGGTCAGTACCCAACGTTGGACTCGCTGTTTGAGTCTATGTGCTACCTTCTTGGGAAAAAGCTGCAGGATGCCGGGCTTGTGGGGCCACAACCCTCCAACAACTATTTGATGAAGGTAGAGTACACTATGGTTAATACAAAAACATGTACCCAGTGTAATTTGCATATGTACCACAGGTTGATTATAGAATCCTGAGCTTTAAATATTGAATTATATCCCACATCTCTGCGATATCTTTGTCATACTTGGCGGGAAGTATAGGTACTGTAAAAGTGTCTCGAAGTATATCGTCTTGGCTTTTGACATCCCTATGGTTATTGGGTAAGCCCAAGAACCACTAATAAAGTCATAGAAATCACTTGTCATTAAAGACCAAAAAATAATTGAAGATTCATACAAACATTTACATACAAAATTTTTTGGCTACTGGCAGAGGCGTACGCCAAATGTTACGCCACTGGCGTAATTTTTTCTAATTTCCGATAATTTATATGTAAGTAACATAACTTATCCTTGTAAGGATGAATTCGTATAACATAGTTGCACGGTTATTTTAATGTCAAAGGCTAATTACAACTATTACTAGTGTTTAATGACTCGCGTCAAATATTCTGGTACAATCTGTCGTTACAAAAATAAACACACTCTCAAACTCAACAAAAATAAATTGCAAGTTCTTGAGAAGATGCCATATGAGTAACTGCCTACCTGAAGATGTTAAAAATTAAATTCTTTAAATTTATTTTAAAAAAATTTAAACTTTAGATAACCGAAAAACCACTTAAACTTATGTACGGTTTCATAGATCCTCAAAATATGTATTTATTAGTCAGTATGTAAAAAATAAACAAAATGATATTTTTCAAATAGTTTTTTTTTTTAACAATTCATTTAACTGTTGATTTTATCTTGAAATTAGGACAAACTTTGTTAGTCAGCAATAATTTTAATTCTATAGTGTTGTGTTACAAGTGCGTGAAGAATATAATATATTAATTAACGCTGCCCACGCTCAAGATGTTTCTTTAGTAGGTTTGTTTGGATTATATTTGCGGTATTATAAAAAAGTAAAATAACTGCTTTGGTAAATATATTATTATTATATAGATGCGCTTTGAACATCTAAAAACAAATTGTTAATATCTATATAAAATACCAGATTTCGTAATAAGACAACCTGAAATAACTTTTTTATCTGACTAATTGGGGTTAAATCTAAATATTTTCAGCTCAGGATCCTGCACTTAAAGTGTTTTATTGATTAATGAATCGCTGTATCCACGACACATCGTTATTTGTCGTCCTCATTTTCCCAGGCCGCGTACCAGCTTTGCCCCCACCACGTCTCCCACTACCTGGGCATGGACGTGCACGATACCCCCTCCCTACCGCGGAACATCAAAATAGAACCGGGCATGGTGATCACCGTCGAACCCGGCATCTACGTAAGCGACCGGAACAGCACCCTGCCAAAGGAGTACCACAACATTGGCGTGCGGATAGAGGACGATGTCCTCATCACAGTCAACGGGCCCGTCGTGCTCAGCCGCAAGTGCCCTAAGACTGTGAGCGACATCGAGGCCGTCGTCAGAGAAGGCACCTGCGTCCTCTAAAATCGTCCACTTTGTGTCCGTTTCGCGTCTTAACCAATAAAAGAGTCCGTTTTAGTTCGATTTTATTTATTAAACTGTTTCTAATGATTCCATCTACCTACTCGAAGGTCGAGAGCATGGGAACATCCCCTGGATAGACGTCAGACGCTGACTGGCAGGTATTTTTATTTATTTATTTATTTATTTATTTATTTATTTATCAAAGAGCCAACCGCCCAATATATAATAAGATTCATATAAATAAAAAAGTAAGAAACAAAATAAAACAGAATGAAATAGATAAAGACCCAACTTTAACCACACCCAGGAACGATAATCCAGGTGTGGAGCAGAACAGTAGTCAGAGAGACGGAATACTTTGGAAGTCCATTGTACAACGCTTAATAAACCGCAAAATCTGAAGTGATTTAGACACTATAGATGAAACATGGTGTGCGTAAGTCAATTTAATATCGAGTAACACTCCAAGATCCTTTATTACGGAGTCCTGCAATAACCGTGATCCTTTTATGTTATACGTATAATGTTTCTGTTTCTGCTCCGTTTGAAGTTCATTAGCTGGCATTTATTAATATTTAGTTCCATTCCATTAATCTAAAACGAATTTGAGTTTTATACAGTCTCATGTAATTTTAGGTCGTCATGAGATAATAGGAAAAATGCATATTTTTCAAAGAAACTTCCACAGGCTACTGCAATACTTTTTACAAAACTTCTGCGTCGGTTTGCTGACGTTTCCCCAATCGACTCAGCAAAAACCGACGCAGGAGGAATCCAGGAGTTTTGTAAAAAGTAGGAAAAATGCATGATTTTCGCTAATAAAAGTCTGTTTTGGGGGAAATTTTCTTTATTAAACATACAAAATCAATAAATTAAACTTAACGCTACCGCTAATGAGACCCGGACCGTGTGACAGCGGCTCGCGAGGCCTACTAATCGCAATTCGAGTATTGGTACTTCACCAGTCAAGGTCTCCGTTGACGATGGGAACGCCCCCCGGGTAGACGCCGGTCAGGCACGCAGTACAGTGGCCGATTTTGTAATTGGATTTCGATTTGATGTCGTACCTGACCGCTTTGATGAGCCCCTCGACGCTCAGATATTCTAAACTGTCTGCGCCGACATATTTGGCGAGCTCCTTAGAATTGAGCTTGTTGGCGATGAGCTCCTCGCGAGTGGGGATGTTGATCCCCATGTAACACGGGTACAGCAAAGGGGGACTGGCCACCCTGATATGTACCTCGAGGGCGCCCGCGTTCTTTAACAGTTTGATGATCGGCCCGATCGTGTTGCCCCTGACTATCGAGTCGTCGACCAGGATTATACGTTTGCCTTTGACGATAGAGCCCAGAGCGCCGAACTTTTTCGCCACCAACAGCTGTCTCAGCCGGTTACTCGGCTCGATGAACGACCGCCCCACGTATCGGTTCTTACACAGCACTTCGGCGAAGGAGATCCCACTCTGCGATCGGCAGATAAAATCAGAAAATTCCCACTTGCTATTCTAAGACTATTTATGTATAAACGTCGTCGACCGCTGCCGTAACCGCCCCTCCCCCGACAAACGATTCAATAAACAAATTTTAAAACTTAAAACCACCCTCTCGCGGCGGATACAAATATAATACGACCAAAAATATAGTACATTTATTGCTTTGACTTTTTAACTAGATTACAGTACCCTAACCGCAGACCGCAGGACCGTGGTCAAACCCATACCAGGTTATTTTCGAATAAGTAGAAGCGTTTATTTTAACATCGGGTGATATTATTAAGAGTAAGAGTTTAATATAAATTGGATTATGTTCGTATATATTACGGAGGTATTTGACTGTGTTCCTTCCAGTAAGTACCTGATTCTCGAGGTTTGACGCTGCGAGGCTGTTTTCACTGAATAGTTCAAAATGTAAGGGTGAGTATCTGTACTCTATTTATCTCACAGGTAAGTTTGAAAATAATCATTTTTCTCTTGTGTGACTGTCGATTAACAACATTCTTCTTGTATTTTTGCGTCTTCTATATAGTTCTTCGATCTTACAATTCAACATTTTGTGAAGGTTCCAGATGTTCCCCTGTTAGAAGAAGACATGGAAAACAACGCAGAATTTGAAGATGGGAGTGGAGAATGTAGTCGAACCTAATGACAATTTAGAAGACAAACTACCTCAGCAAATAAAAAAAAAAACGGGTCCTTTTGTCTTCGGATGCTAAACAAATTGTTTGAACGATTAGTTGCAGAGTTGATAATTGAACTACTACATTAATAATGATATTAGGTTAATCGCAAGGAGAAAGTTGAATTAATCTTTGCTACACCGGTAACATTTTTTCAGGAAGATCCAATTTTTTTTTTAAATCGCGAAATTTGGGTAAAAGCAGTAATTTTTATTTTAAGAGGTGATTTTTTGGGGTAAAACAACGAGAGAAAATGACCAAAAATCGCAAAATTGAGGTTTGTATAGGCAAAAATTCGTTAAAAAGTCGAAAATTTGAAGGTAAAGGTTAGCCTTTAATCTGGCACCACATTTCGTAGAAAAACCTTAGTTACGCGATTTTGCATTTAATGGTATAGTAGAAAGAATTGTTCGGCAAAAAACAAAATGAAAACATACTTATATCCCCCCGCTTGATTGTGTTACGGGTAAGGGTCTGCTCGGCAGGGTGTTTTATAAGGGGCTGCGGTGTTGGGGTAATAAACAGTAGGCAAAGTTAATCACGGGGTCGGTTGTAAAAGCACTATATTTCTGGTGGAAGTATGCCATTATTGCCACCGTATACGAGGGTTGTTCAAATCGTACCCGATCAGTTTCTGGGTATGAACCCGAACGTGACTCACCTGTCTCGAAAACCCATGGGCCGCCGCATTACCGGATTCTGGTACCGCACTGACTACATCCGCTTCTACAGGGTGCTCGATGGCCAGCTGCTTGCCGCACTGCAACCGCACCCCGTACACCATCTGGCCCTCGAAAATACTGTCGGTCCTCGCGAAGTACACGTACTCGAATATGCAGAACGCCTGAAAATGCGAGCCGTCAATTAAGCCCCAAACGTCTCTAAACGTTCCCGTCCCACTTGAGCCTTGTTTTCCGGCCTCTGCACGATGTCGATGGTCCTGATACCGTGCCGGGTCATTTCGATAATCTCACCCGGGTAGACCTCGCGCACATACTGTGCGCCTATCGACAGAAAACCGCAAGACTCGGAAGCCACCACCCAACCCTCGGCCTCTCGCGCTTCATCACAGTCCCCGTCCAGCGCTGAAATTGCGCGCAATATTTAATTCGTGACGACGACGGCCTGAACCGTATAGTGGGCCGTCCGGGTTGGTTGGGCCCACTATGCGGACGCCGGACCAAAGTCGACCCGCCATCTACAGTGCGACCGAGCCGGATACCTGGTACTCACGCTCGTTAAAAGGCAGAATTTTCCCGAGACAGAGCGGTCTGTTGCCGTACGGGTCGCGTACCGCGTAGATCTTGTTTCGCAGCATAATGACGAGCGAGTAGCTGAGAGGCGCGAGCTGCATAAAGTGCCTGATCCGGGCGGGCCAGTCCGGTTCCCCGTCCGGTTCGCCTTCGGGCGGGTTAAGGCACAGCGCCTGCGTGATTAGCTCGCTGTCCGAGTGCGTAGACAGTCCGACCCCGTGGTTCAGGACCTACGGTAATGCTGTAGCTCGGTGAATATCTACAAACCATCCTCACCTGTTTCCTCAGACTGTCGCAGTTGACCAGCTCGCCGTTGTGCGCGACTGCGAGAGCCCCGTGCGCGGTGTGCACCACGAACGGCTGGCAGTTGACCTCCTCGGAAGCGGCGGACGTAGAGTATCGCGTGTGGCCGATGCCGAGGCTCCCCTTGAGCTTCTTCATGGCGTCGTCGTTGAAGATATTGCTGACCATGCCCATGCCCTTGACTATGTTGAAGTGCTTCGAGCTCTTACCCTCGCTAGTTACGATTCCGGCCGATTCTTGGCCCCTTTCAGAAGACCACTTTTAGTACGCTCACTTGGGGACTTAGGGACAGGTGGGTGTTACCTATGTTGAAGGGCGACGAGGCCCCAGCATATGATCTGCGCTATCTCGAGCTGCGACGGCCACTCGCCGGTCCCTATGGCCCCGAAGACGCCGCACTCGTGCGTCAGGCCGGACGTGACGCGACCCCTGTCTCGACGTTTCGCCAGCGAGTAACTAGACCCCTCGTCGCAGCGAAAACCTTCCGCCGTCGTTGCTTCTTTCGAGGTCATTTTCGAGCGATCGTGACCACGAATAGATAGAGAGTAAGCAGAAATCCGATACCGTCGGCGTTTTTAGCTCGTTATAAGCGTTTGCATAATTTTATTATTTGTGAAATCCGAGCGGATTGTTTATGGCGTGACCGATAACCCCCTGCCGCAGCCTTTGTTTTGACTTTTGAAATCGCCGGGCCCGTTTTCATCATCATCGTCGTCGTCGACGGAAAAATATTTACATGTTCGCCGTATCTGACTGATGCTGATTGAGCGATTTGACAAAAAATAAAAGACGACGCGGTCCCTTTGGGTCGGGTGACGTCATTGTGTTTTAGGTAACACGCGACGTCATCGGTTGGAATTACGGAAGTACTTAAAGCGGCCATCGCGGCGACGAGCATAGGACCGCGAGTTTTTGGGGACTCCGAATCCATGATCTAAATAAAAGTCGATGTCGGGCGCTGATAACTTATCATTTTTTTTAAATTATCGGCAATTATTGGCCAATAAGTAGAACCGCACAAACAGTAAACAAGAGGCCGTGCGCATGACGCGCTTGAATTTATAAAAGAAGACGTACGCACGTTTACCATTCCGCTGCTTCACCTTAACCTCTGACGCGTCGACAAGCGTTGCGACCGACTTTTTATTTTGCGAGAAACGCGATGGCGAACGTCGTAAAACAGGGTGAGTACGATGGTCACACTAGAAAATTTGCGTGAAACATCCAACGCGAGGTATGTGGATCCTCGAACGGGTTCGACAAGTGTCGACGGATCACGAGAGGTTTAAAAAAACTTTTTCTTATCGGCAGTTGGCGAGTACAAGCTGGGCGCCCTGATAATCGAGGGCAAAACGAAACAGGTTTACGACCTGCCGTCGGAGCCCGAGCACTGCGTCCTGCTGAGCAAGGACCGGATCACTGCCGGGGATGGAGTCAAGGCGCACGACTTGAAGGGAAAATCCATCGTGTCGAACAAAACGACATGCAAAGTGTTCGAAATACTCAACTCGGTGGGTATAAAAACGTCGTTCGTTAGGCAGGCGACCGAGAATGCGTTCGTCTCGAAGAAATGCCAAATGATACCGATCGAGTGGGTCACGCGGCGCCTCGCCACCGGCTCATTCCTCAAGCGACACCCGGGCGTGAAAGAGGGCTACCGTTTCAGCCCCGTCAAGCACGAAACATTTTTCAAAGACGACGCTAACCACGACCCCCAGTGGTCCGAGGAGCAAATAATCAGCGCCGGGTTCGAACTCAACGGACTGCTGATTGGCGAGAACGAAGTCGACTACATGACGAGGGTTTCGATTTTGGTGTTCGAAGTGCTCGAGAAGGTGTGGCAGACGCGGAACTGCGCCCTGATCGACATGAAGATCGAGTTCGGTGTCGATAACGACGGTAAGTCGACGAAATGTGTGTCGTAATCGCGTTGTTTTCGTGTAAAATTGAGAGAGGTCGACCGATAACCTTTTGACGTCAGCGGCGCAGTAGGTGGCTGCAATTGTTTTTCCTTTTCTTCAAGGCGATATCTTGGTCGCCGACGTCATTGATTCGGACAGCTGGCGACTGTGGCCTTCGGGCGACAAACGTTTGATGGTCGACAAACAGGTGTACCGAAACCTGACGACTGTGACGCAGTCTGATTTGGACACTGTCAAGCGCAATTTCGAGTGGATCGCCGACCAACTCGATCACCTGTTGCCACCGAACGATCACCTGGTGGTGATCATCATGGGTAGCCCGAGCGACAAGGACCACTGCCAAAAGATAAGGAAATATTGTGAGGACTTGGGGTTAAACGTCGAGGTTAGGGTGTCGTCCGCGCATAAGACGACTCAAGGCACGCTGAAAATCGTTAGCCATTACGAGTCGTTAAACGTCAAGGTCGTGTTTATTGCGGTCGCCGGCAGATCAAACGGATTGGGGCCGGTCATATCGGGAAACACAGATTTTCCGGTCATCAATTGCCCGCCCACGACCAAAGATGACGTCGACCGGGATATATGGTCGAGCCTGAACGTGCCCAGCGGTTTGGGTTGCAGCACTGTCCTTTATCCCGAGACGGCAGCCCTGTGTGCCGCTCAAAGCATCGCATTATCAAATTACGTAATATGGGCGCGACTTCGCTCGCGGAGACTGGTTAATTATAAGAGCCTCCCGAAAGCCGACGCGGAGTTTAAAAATAAATAGAAATAGTTTTAAATAGTAATATACTTCACTTGTTTTGTATTAAATAAAAAATATTTTACGTAACCGTACTTTTCTCACCGCAAGACGGAGAACATTGAAATATAATTAAGATAAACCACGGAGCCGTATAGCGAATGATTTTCAACGAATGCCTATAAATTTCACCTACTAACCTGCACCTTTCTAAACAACGACATCCCACACACTTAAAACGTTTAACGGGATCTGGGCATATGCAGGATACCGCATAAAAACTTACTGACGATCTGTCAGCAGTCATATTAGTTGTTGAACGCAGGTAAGTCTTATTGGTTGTCTTCAAATGACTGGTGTTATTGGTTAAAAAAGAAATTTCAAATGATCGCTCATGCCCCATCACAATATTATTTTCATCGGCGCTTCAAAAGTTCCCGCATTACGCAGGGCCTCTGAAGGTTTAATAGCTATTATCCTCACTATCCCAATTATCACCACGGACCGCAGATGTGGTACGAGTTTTACACCAATCCGCGATCACTGCTTCACCGGTACTTAACCACAAATTTGCGTTCGTTTGAATCGTTTTGCCGAAATTTGCACTATTAGGTAAAACGATGACTGATACTGATATCATTTGGAAGGGTTTAAAACCTGTCGCTAAGAAAGATGACCGAACGAATGTTCAAGTTGTTTCAACAGGGCGCAAATTCGTTAAAGCAAAAAAGAAAGCCGCTAGGCAAAATTCAAGAAATGCTCCAAAACGGGATAGCAGCGAAAATAGTAAAGTTCAGACGCATGACGACGATACGACGCGAGTTCGAGTTGAAAACTCGTTAAATTTTACCAACGAGCAGAAAATATCGCCCTCCAAAACAGCAACCAGCTTTGGGATACGTAAACAGCGTGAACGAAACATAATTCCTTCGGTTTCGGAGATGGTAGAGAATGATGCTACTGTTAAAGTTAATAAGAAAAGGAAACGCTCTGATAGCGACTTGTATTCTTCGCCGGTCAGAAAGAAGAAAACATCTGACGGCAAGAAACAACAATTATTTTTTGAAGATGCAAATTCTTTCAATAACGTCAGTGGAGGATTTAACAGCTATAAATTGAGTACATCGGCTAAAAAGAAGAAAATTTTCAGTAAAAAGCCAAATCATGTAGAATTGAAAGACCCAGTGATCGAGAATAATATGAAGGTAGAGGTTGATGATTTTTCCAGTGCCAAGGAAAAAATTGGGAGAAAAAATAAAAACACAAACTTGAACACAGCAAATGGTGTAAGGAATGGTATGGAGAAGATATTTAAGAAAAAAAGGATAAAAAAAGAGAATACAGGCACAGACATAAACAAAGCAACAAAGAAAGATGGTAAACCTTATAAAATTAATGGAAAGAAAATGAAAAGTATTACAGAACTTGCAGAAAGTGCCGACTGTGTTGAAGATAAAACGGAAAGGAAAAAGACAAAAAAGGAGAATGCCCCCAAAGACATAAAGAAAAAAAAAGAGAAGGCTGCTGAATCTAATAAAATTAAAAAAAAGAAAATGAAACATGTTGCGAAACTTGTGGAAAGGGCAGACTATGTTGAAGATAAAACTGAAAAAGTGATAATAAAAAAAGACAATAGACACAAAGTCATAAAGAAAAAAAATGAGAAGGCTGATAAACCTAATAAAATTAAAGAAAAGAAAATGAAAAGTATTGCGGAACTTGCCGCAAGTGCAGACTCTGCTGAAGATAAAACTGAAAAGCTATTTATAGAAATTGAAGTCACTAAGTCCAAACCATTGACCAATGAAAATAATGAAGCAAAACTGAAAATTAAGAAAAAACGCTCCCGGAACGAACAACAGAAACTGAATAGTCATCCAACATTTAAGATAGAAAGGAAAGATATTCGAAGCAACAAAGAAGACCAAAACAGTAACAAAGAAAACTGTGCCTTGGCAAATGGAAAGTGGGATATCTCGTCTGGCGTTTCTTCAGACATTGAAAGTTGGGATGCAGAAAACATACAGGTGAACAATTTAACTTACAAAGAGCTTTGTGGTATTAGCATTGTCCCGGAAAACGAGTCGATTCTAAGGCATGGGACCCAGTTAAACATTCCAGAAGAACACTATAATGACTCAGAGGGAAGTGAATGTGATGAAACGTCTTCTGAAAAAATTCAAGCCGATGAAGACAAACGCGAAAACATAACACAAGATTCTCTGCAATCGGGCCCACACGAATCAGATTTGGCAATTGAAGAATCAATAACGGCAAATGAAGAAGTGATTGTAGAAGAAAATGGGGAGGGGTTAAACGATACTCAAACAGAAGCGGAACAAGTCAGGCCTATGCAATTCTTGACCTTAGAAAACGATGATAAAGTAATTATATTGAATCCCGACGGGACCATACATTTTTATGGCCTGTTCTTGATTGAAGTACTGCAAGGCGAGGTCGAAATCCTAGGGGCGCAGCTTTGTAAAAACTCCGGCATTAAGAAGGTGTATTCACCCAGGGGCACGGCACTGCTATACCTTAAAAATTTAAGACCCGACCTTAAAAATACCGAAAAGACTTTGCATCATGTAATCACTGCCGATTTACTGCCACCACAATGGCGGGAAATGACAGTAGACGTTAACAGTGCCGTGATCCTGTGCAAGAAACTAAAAGAGCCATACGTGGATTTTATCTTGAAACATATGTCGCAGAGGGTCTTCCCATACGAGTCTGGCGATTCAGGGCCACGAATAATATTCGAAAACCTCCCCAGTAAAGTTAGAGTGGGAGAGGCGTGGACAATTTGCGACCAGGTAACGGATAGCACGCGGTTGGCTATATGCGGTGGCAAAGGAGTGGGAAAGAGCACGCTGCTGCGCTACACCGTCAACAAACTGCTGAAAAGGTTCCCCAAGGTCAAGGTGATCGATTTAGATCCTGGCCAATCGGAATTTTTTATGCCGGGGACAGTTTCGGTCGCGACCGTTTCAGATTACCTCTTGGGGCCCAATTACACCCACCACCAGATGATCGACAGGTAAAATCAAAACTTTAAATGTGTCGCTCTATATATTTTCTCAATCAGCCTCTATCAAAACGACTTTTAAAATTGAAATCATCAGGTAATCTGCCTAGAAAAGGCAAAAAAGTATTTTTACAAAAATCTATATTTAGTTTATCAACGCGAGAGATGAAAGATTATATCGTGAAGTTCAGATAAATTGCGGCGATTGTTTCAATCGTTCCTAACACTAATTTACATAGAATAGAAAGACGAGCTTAAATAAAATAATAAAATCGAAATATGGAAAAAAATGGACAGGTAATTGAAATATTAATTATTCTAAGATCAAGTAAATTAAAACTGATCTAGAAATAAGACTAATATGAAATAGGGATTGTAATAAACATTATTATTGCTTTTTGCAATAGAATTTCATTTGTAAATTTTAGCCATGATGTTGCAAGTAGTTAGGTGAACTATAGAACTATTCATTCTTTCATTTTCAATCACCTATTTGAAGCACTTACTCCATTTTTGCAATCCAGTCCTTATCCCGTCTGGTAAAACGGTTTCAACGTCCCTCATTTTAAAAGTTGTGCGTTATCCTTTTTTATTTTGGACATTTACGTCTCTTTGGTGAGTTGATAAGGCCACGTTTATCGTCCTGCAAGTCGGTTGAGTTTTAGTGACAAAAGAACACATTAGAATAATAATTTTCTCATATTTTTAAATCTCAGTTTTATTAATCTGTCTCTCAGCAACAAATTAAGGAACCAGAGAGTAACTACAATTGTAGTATGTAGTAAAGTATTGAACTCAAAGAATAGATAGGTCAACTATCTGTCACTCTTGGTACCCTGGGACCACTAAGTTTTACAGTTCAATAAAACAACAAAACTGCATAAACTCTATACTTTTCCACAAAATACACATGTTTCACCAACAGAAAAAAATCGTGAGAAATTCGCGCTTTTTAGGGCGATCTTGGCAAACATCAACGTAGCTTACGATGTGAAAAAATACGTCGCTTGCGTGGAGGCGGTGCTCTGCTCCTCCGACCAGGAGGCGTTCCCGACTGTAATCAACTTGTGCGGTTACGTCACGGGTCTAGGCCTCGACGTCACACTCGAAGTATTGCGGTTGTTAGATCCTCACTTGGTGGTTCAAATAAAAAGCCGCATGCCGAGTAGAAATTATCCAATCGACCTGACCGCGGAAGAGGCGGGGTTGTCGTACGACCACTTGACGCTCGACTCGATGGCGGAACAAGGCGACGCGTGGAAACTAGATGGCCGACAGTCGCGGGAAATCAACACCCTCGCCTATTTCGGTCGAATGATGTCGGGCAGTGTCCGCGACTTGACCAGTTGCGACGTGAACATGTACAGGTACGCGTGCCGGCGGAATAAAAGGGGCGTTCCCGCACAAATAATAATAAAATTGATATTCTATTCATTTGACCCCAGTATTTGGTATACGGCTCAAAAATCGATCAATGCAGATTTAAAAGAACTAACAGATTTTTCAGCACTACATGGATTGATAATTAATCAAAGTAAATCATCTGTTATGCTCTTTAGAAAGAATAGGGATCTTTTGGTGTCTGAACTTAACATAAAAGTGAGTGGTAGAGTTTTGCAGGTTACAAATTTTGCAAAAAATCTTGGCCCAAGAATTAACACAGATTTTCGTTTTAGAGAACAAGCTGGCTATTATTTACAAAAGGGATGCGTCTCCTTAAAGTTGCTTTGTCCGCATCGCCATTTATTGTCTGAGGCTCAAAAGATTAAATTAATGGATTCTCTAGTGTTAAGTTACTTTAACTATTCTGACAGTTTATACAGTCCATGCCTAGATAAAACTGACACATATAGAATTGAGAGAGTACAAAAAAACTGTTTACGGTTAATTTATGGTATAAGAAAATATGATCCAGTCTCACATAAACTGCAGGATGCTATATGCAGAATAGGCGTAGAGTACACGCCTTGGTATTTTTTCACAACATCATTTTTAATAACACTCCTCCTTACTTAACAAATAAAATAACATATCGGACAGATGTTCACAGATTGAACCTTTGGTTTAGGGGTCTTATCTCTCCACCACCACACAGGGCGTCTCTTTTTCAAAGAAGCTTCTCCTATAACGTTTACAAACTTTACAATACCGTTCATCTCTCTTTAAACGCTACTATTAAACTTAAAAAAAAAAAAATAAGACAAGAAATCTTCAGCCAACAAGCAAATTGCAAGTGATTTTCGAGTAAGTTGAGTCCTAAAATTTTCTATCCAATTTTTAACATTTTCTTTTTTTGCTATAGTTATCTCATGCGAAAAAAAAAATTATAGGGGTTGAACTGGAACGATTTTAATTGCTTTTATCTCTTTTTTTGCAATTTATGTGGTTTATTGGTATTTTATTGTATTGTAAATTGAACATTGCAGAATAAATGTATTATTATATATCTGTTTGCCGATTTCTACACTTATTCGTATAAAGAACATATCGCACCATGGTCGTTTACACTTTCCTTAAGTAACTACCTACAAATAGAAAAAAAATTTAAAGCTACCTCTGTCGACGTTTTTTTTCTTCTCTGTTTAATTGAAAGTAACCAGCATTTTACTTTCTTTGGGAGAGAATTTAGAAGGGAATGAAGCAGTCGTTAGTGAAGTATTTTTGAAATATAATAATAATAATAATTGTTCAGTTTTGGTTATTTATTTTGTATATTGACACTAAATATTAATTCATTACCTGGGTTTTCTATATATTGATTTCTTTATGATTCGGGGTTAATCGAATACATTTATCAATTTTTATTTTAATTTAATTTTTTATATACTTTATGGTAAAAAACGCGTGTCATTTCACCGCGATAATATGAGCCCTCGGGTTTTGTTTGGCCGAATTACCGCGCATAGTTTTCGCGTGTTTGCGATTGGTAACCCCCACTACATTGCTGCAATGGACATGGTGTGGAGAAAGAAAATCCGAGAGGTCTCGGGGGTCTTACACTAGAGTGCACATAAGGTAGGCCGTTTATTTTATAATTCGAGGGTTTATCCGTAGTTTTGTTTTGTTTGTGATCAAATTTTAAATTAAGAATTTATTTCGATGAACTTGTATACTATTATTCCACACGCGGCTTCTAAAAGGAAGTCTAGGAAACATTGAGTTTCTTACATATGGTCCTTCGAGCCGGATTTTTAAAGAATCAGTAATTCAAAAATAAAATTATTTTGTCTTTTCTAAATTCATTTTCTAATACTAAATTGGTAAAAATAATTTTGATTTCATTCACTATAAAGGCGTTTAAATAAGACGACCTTGAATAAATTTGACGAAGTATCGGAAAACAGGTAAAGAATTTAAATCGTTTAGAGTTTTTTGCGGTCTTGATTTTGTGTACGATATTTTGATTGTTTTTTGTTATCAATTGTGGTTTTGGTGGATTTTACGAGGTTGTTCGCATATTTTAATATAATTGAATTTAATTTCTTCTTTCTTGCCATTTTTTTATGATATAGAAAATTTCTAAAAATATTTTTAAACCATGGCAGATTCAAAAGTAAATAGAAGAAGCGTTTTTATACAAAGATTGAAAGAAATCTACGATTTAGCTACTGCTGCTACACAGAACCCAGCTAAAATTAATGATTTTAAAATACGATATTCGGCGTTAGAATCAACATATAATGAGTTTGATAGGTTGCATTTGGACATAATTTCTGATAAAAGAGTAACGGATGTAATGCTTGAGCAGCAGGAGCTAATTCGAGCGGAAGTTGATGATCAATACTTTTCAATTAAAAGCATTTATAGTGAACTTTGTATAAAATCTGAAATATCCATGATGGTACCACCTTCGCCACCAGGCCAGAGCCATAATTTGCCGCCTTACCTAAATTTTAATCTTCCCCGTTTAGATATACCTGTTTTCTCAGGCAATTTAAAACAGTGGCCGACATTTTTTGATTTATACAGGAGTTCGGTGCATAATATGAACTTTTCCGCTTCACAAAAATTTCAATTACTGCTTACTCTCGTAACCGGAGAACCGCTCAGTTTATTGAGAAATATTCCTATAACTGATGACAATTACGCAGTAGCCTACGATACTTTAATAAAAAGATACGACAATAAACGGCTTTTATCGACTCATTACTTCAATGAAATAATGAACATTTCCAAAATTTCAAATCCATCGAATCAGGCACTGCGTAATGTTGTTGATAAGTTTTGTGAAAATGTGGAGGCATTAAAATTATTGAACTTTCCTATTGCGGAATGGGATTTTTTGCTTTTTAATTTACTCTTAATGAAAATCGATTCTGATACCTTACAGCGATTTGAAATGGAGCACGCAAAATTTGATATACCCACTTTTGCGCAGTTGAAATTATTTCTGAATAACAGGTGTAAGGTTTTAGATACGTTGACCTATACTCAGGAAGAAAATAAATCAAAAAATGCCGGAACCATTTATAATAGTAAGTCTTTTGCCAGTAACCGTCAACATAAGTCAGGTTCTAGGAATAATGGTGATCACTCCAAAGCATTTTTTACTAATACTCCTTCTAATAACGTTCCTACATTGAATTGTGGTATCTGTAGGACCCAGCATTCCATTATAAACTGCTCCGTCTTTTTAAGTAAGACTCCTCATGAGCGCTATTTACTAGTTAAACGCAACCGTTTGTGTGTGAATTGTTTGAGTTCGTTTCACAAATTTTCGAAATGCAGTTCTAATAAGACCTGTTCTTCTTGTACGAAACGCCATCATTCTTTACTACATTTCGAGTCGGCACATGGTAATGAACGTAGTTCACCTAATGACGATGTTTTGCCCAGTGCTAATGACTCTTCCGTAGATCAACCACATTGTGGCACCACTTCCATAAATTCTAATAGTGCATTTACGCTCCTTGCGACTGCAAAAGTGGACTTTCTGGACAGCCAAGGTTATTCCCACACAGTTAGAGTACTACTGGACAGTGGAAGCCAAGGCAATTTTATATCCGAAAGATGCTTTAAGAAATTAGGACTTTCCCGCTCTCGTTTGAACATTCCAATTAATGGGTTAGGTAATATGACATCTGTATCGTCGAATGGTGTTACTTGTTGTACGGTCCGCCCGGTGGGTAAGAACACACCTTCTTTTCCCATAGAATGTATCGTTTTACCGCAGATTTGCTCATACATGCCTTCTGTATCTTTCAGTCGCGAGAACTGGTCACATTTGGAGAATTTAGTCGTTTCTGATGACACCTACAATACTCCTGGACCTATAGATGCTCTCATCGGGTGCGAGTTATTCCCTTTAATTTTGTTGCCTGAGAAGGTGTGCGGTAAAGAGTTGGAACCTGTCGCATTCAATACATTATTTGGCTGGGTAGTGATGGGTAAAATTGATCGTATAAAAAGCAAGTCCTCATATTCCTGTTGCACACTATTGGAAGAAAACCGGGATATTAATAAAACTCTTCAAATGTTTTGGGAAATGGAGGAAGTTCCAAGTAGCAAGTCTTCATTAACCCTTGACGATCCCGCTGAAATTTCTTTTAACGAGACTCATTCTCGAACTCCTGAAGGACGTTTTATCGTTACTCTACCGTTTTCCAGTGGTGAGCCATTATTTTCTGACTCACGCTCCATAGCCCTAAAAAGGTTTTATAGCTTAGAGCGCCGTCTTCTTAAGGATCCTCCATTATTTGAGATATATTCCAAATTTATGAAGGAATACTTAGAGCTGGATCATATGGAACCCGTGTCTGCTCCTGTCTCTGACGTTGCCCAGCGCCACTTCTACATCCCTCACCATGGGGTTACTAATTCGAATAGTACGACTACTGCATTGCGCGTAGTCTTTGACGCATCTTGCAGTCCGCGGGATCGATCGTTGAATGACACTTTGTTGATTGGTCCCAAACTACAAAATGAAATTGTAAGTATTCTGTTAAGTTTTCGAAGGTTTCCTGTAGCATTTACTGCCGATATCAAAATGATGTATCGACAAATACTTGTTAATGACAGCCACCAAGACTACCAACGTATTTTATGGAGATTCTCCCCTCTAGAACCTGTTCAAGATTTTCGCCTAAAAACCGTAACCTACGGATTAAATTCAGCTCCTTTCCTTGCTCTGAGATGTCTTTTACAATTAGCCACCGAGGGTAGAGATAGATTTCCTAGGGCCGCAGCAATTTTAGCGTCCCAAGTGTATGTTGATGATATATGTGTATCTTGTAAATCTTTAGAGGATGCTGTGGATATCAAACAACAACTTATTGCTCTATTGGATGAGGGTTGTTTTTTCCTTAGAAAATGGTCTAGCAATTGTGTTGACTTCTTAGCTACTATACCTTCAGATATTCTACAGAAACCTCTCGCACTTGACACTAAATCCGATCCTTACTTGAAGGTTTTGGGTCTCAGATGGTCTCCAGAGAAGGATATCTTCTCATACGACATACAATTTCTCAACTCGACATGTACTAAGAGATCTATACTTTCTGAAATCTCCAGAATTTTTGATCCAATTGGATTACTTTGTCCCATAACTCTATTAGTTAAGCAGCTAATGCAATCTTTATGGGCGAGAGGTATCGACTGGGACAGTGAAGTGCCCGCAGATATTGCCCAAAGGTGGACCGACTACAAAAATGAATTGCCAAGTCTGTCAGCATTAGAAATACCCCGTTATTGTTTTATTTCAAAGTATGTTAGTTTAGAATTCCATGCTTTTGGGGATGCTTCAGAGCTAGGTTATGGAAGTTGTATCTATTCTCGCCTCGTGTCTCCAGATGGCCAAATTTCTACTTATCTCCTCTATGCTAAGAGTAAAGTATCTCCATTGAAGAGATTGAGTCTTCCTAAATTGGAATTAAGTGCTGCATTAATGGCTTCCAAATTGCTTAAATATGCCTTAAATGTCTACAACATTCCCGACGTACAAAATATTTATGCTTGGTCTGACTCGACTATAGTCCTAGGTTGGATAAGGTCACCGCCCTGTCGTTGGCGCACTTTCGTCTCAAACAGGGTGAGTCAGATTCAAGACAATGTAGCACCTGAACGTTGGTTTCACATCAAATCAGAAGACAATCCAGCTGACCTTGCGAGTCGCCCTGTCATTCCGTCTGATTTAGTTGACTGTCCCTTATGGTGGGCGGGACCAGCTTGGTTGTCGCGTCCCTCCGAAGAGTGGCCCAAACACGAACTTGGTGAATTGGACGAACCACTACCAGAAGAAAGAGCGACCATTCTCACGGTAATAAAAGGCTATAATCCTGTTGGTGATATTTTGAATAGGTATTCATGCTTACAGAAAATACTTCGCCTTATTACTTATTGGCGTTGGTTAAAAAGGGTCCTTTCACGGAGTACGAGTTATTTCAGAGTCTTCTCCGCATTGTGAAGCAAGTACAAGCAGAAGCCTTTTATGAAGACATTTCCAATCTTTCGAACAAGAGTGTTTGTTCCAAGCCGTTAAGAAAGCTTGCTCCTTTCATCGATGAACAAGGACTTCTCAGGGTAGGCGGACGCCTTACTCACTCTCAACTTGATTACGATCAGAAGCATCCCGTTTTGCTTCCCAACAAACATAGGTTGACTGATCTTATAATAGAGGATTTTCATAAAAGATACCTTCACTGTGGACAGCAGGCCTTGCGCTATTTTATATCTCAACGGTTTTGGATTTTGGGTGCTAAAGGAGCTATAAAACGTATTGTCCATAAGTGCTTCCGCTGCTTTCGAACACATCCTCAGGTAATAGAACCAAAAATGGGCGATTTGCCTAGTTTCCGCATTACCCAAGCCAAGCCCTTTCAATGTACTTCTTTGGTTTTCGGTGGCCCTTTTCAGATACTGATGTCAAGACATAGAGGTTGCCGTACTCAAAAGGCTTATCTATCTCTCTTTGTGTGTTGTTCTACAAAGTGCCTGCATTTGGAACTGGTATCAGACCTATCCACTTCTGCCTTTCTTGCGTCATTGCGTCGCTTCATCAGTCGACGTGGTAGATGCTCCAAACTGCACAGTGATAACGGTACCAACTACGTTGGTGCAGCTCGATACTTAGCAGATTGCATGGCTAAAGCAGCCGCTGAGGAATTAATCGAGTGGCAATTTTTCCCTCCTTCAGCGCCTCACTTTGGTGGGTTACACGAAGCTGGCATTAATCACAATTGATAAACTTTAATATTAGCTTATTTTGTTTATTTTCTTTTTTTTGTTGTTTTTTGAAATACCGTTGTATTTGGTGGGCGGTATGTTCAGTTTTGGTTATTTATTTTGTATATTGACACTAAATATTAATTCATTACCTGGGTTTTCTATATATTGATTTCTTTATGATTCGGGGTTAATCGAATACATTTATCAATTTTTATTTTAATTTAATTTTTTATATACTTTATGGTAAAAAACGCGTGTCATTTCACCGCGATAATATGAGCCCTCGGGTTTTGTTTGGCCGAATTACCGCGCATAGTTTTCGCGTGTTTGCGATTGGTAACCCCCACTACATTGCTGCAATGGACATGGTGTGGAGAAAGAAAATCCGAGAGGTCTCGGGGGTCTTACACTAGAGTGCACATAAGGTAGGCCGTTTATTTTATAATTCGAGGGTTTATCCGTAGTTTTGTTTTGTTTGTGATCAAATTTTAAATTAAGAATTTATTTCGATGAACTTGTATACTATTATTCCACACGCGGCTTCTAAAAGGAAGTCTAGGAAACATTGAGTTTCTTACAATAATAATGAACTAACCAAATTACCCTAGGAACAAGAAAAAAAGTATCAAATAAACAATTAAATATGTTATGTTAATAAATATCTTTTACACAGGTGTTTAAAAATTTTTGCTTGATATTGTGAAATCTAAAAGATTTAATTTATTGTATGTGAAATGTGATAAAAAAATTATCTTTTTCGATTCTCAATATACAATTTTTTCTTAGATTCAAGTCATCAACAGCTACCTCTGTCGACGTTTTTTTTCTTCTCTGTTTAATTGAAAGTAACCAGCATTTTACTTTCTTTGGGAGAGAATTTAGAAGGGAATGAAGCAGTCGTTAGTGAAGTATTTTTGAAATATAATAATAATAATAATAATGAACTAACCAAATTACCCTAGGAACAAGAAAAAAAAGTATCAAATAAACAATTAGATATGTTATGTTAATAAATATCTTTTACACCGGTGTTTTTTTTTTGCTTGATATTGTGAAATCTAAAAGATTTAATTTATTGTATGTGAAATGTGATGAAAAAATTATCTTTTTCGATTCTCAATATACAATTTTTTCTTAGATTCAAGTCATGAACATCTGTACGAAAAGCGATTTTGTTAAAAAGATATTCAGGAGATTTATACTTAATGAAATTAAAATAGAATATGATAACGTTAATATGGATTCTGCCGCTCTAGTTTAATCTGCGCTTTCGTTTCAGTATAAACTTGGCGAGCGTCAACATAACCAACGGGGACGGCAACAGCGTATCGCCGCTGGCAGTCAACGCCAACCTGGTAGCCTTATGTTCTCGCCGGGACCACGCCCTCTTGGAGTGCCACGGTTGGGGTGAGTCGTCGTCGTTTTGTAGCTGACCCTGTGGCAAACGCGCCGCGAAACTTTCAGGGTTTGTGCGAGGGGTCGATTTGGACAGCGGCACCATGGTGTTGCTCACACCCGAGTCGCTGCGGGTGCTCGATCGCGTCGATCACGTCGTGCTGAGTTCCGTCGCGGTACCGCCCTCGCTCATCATGTCCACGGGTGACATCACGGGGCACGCGCCCTACCTCAACCCTGGCAAGCCTATCGCTCTAGGCACGTTCACGAAACGCCCCTACCTACCCCCGAAAAAGGACTCCACCCCGCAGAAATAAAAACGCTTCGTAAGTCTGCTGTATATTGTTACGCGTTTCTATTATTTAACAATATAAATATTACACGGTTTTTCCGGTCTGTTGATTTTCCCGAACCTCCCCGAGAAAATCCGCGAGTGGGTAAGTACCAAAAAAAAAAATGGCGTCCTCGAAAAAAAAAAACAGAAACCGAAATGTTACTCTTAAAGCCGTTACTCGTAACTCCTTTGTCCGTCACTCGTTATTGAGGTTAAGTATGGATTGCGAGTCCAACGCGTCGCCGCTAAGCAGCACGTCGTTGATGGTGGCGCCGCCGCGGCCGAAGGGAAAAAACCCGTTGGCCTTTTTCAGGAGCTCGAGGTAGTAGTCGTCGTCGCCCGTCGTCGGCCTGGCCCTCGTCGTACCGTTGACGTCGCCGGCCGCCGCGTAGTGTTGGAAAATCTCCGACACGAGGTACCTGCGAGTACACAGGACATTTTTTTGCATTATACCTTCAAACTAGCAAAATAAAAGCACTATTTATTAAATTAAGCTCCGGTTAAATAGTATAAAGGATCAAATACACATCGTACAAGTGTTCTAGGTACGCTAAAAAAATAAAATTTGTACATAAAAACTGTCGAAAAATCTTTACTCTTGATGATTTCTAAAAAATGTACAGGGTGCGTCGGTAATTTGCAAGAAACTGAAGGCGGTGATTCTGTTGTCAGTTTTTTTTTACATAGCTATATATATGGACAGCTAAAACTTATATATATATATATATATATATATATATATATATATATATATATATATATATATATATATATATATATATATATATATATATATATATATATATATATATATATATATATATATATATATATATATATATATATATTTATATATATATATAAATTATTTTTGATCATTTCATAATGATTATTTTAATTTCTGCTTCATTTTCCTTCTGCTGCTTATGGCTCATGTTAACCGAAAATAGAACAATAATGAGAAATTCGCATTTAAAATCTCCGTTTTGACATAAATTATGCAGTTTCCATGGTCTACTCACAAAATAAAATATATGCTTTGTATTTGAAATGCCTCATGTGTTACATAATTTTGAAAAGCTCATAATAGCCTGATAAAATCATTATATACAAGTATAGTTTGTATATCAAAATTTGTGAGTTCCGGAAGCAGAGTGACCTACTGGATCCTACGTAAAAACCCCTATTCAGACCAATTTTTAGGCTTGGCTCCATAAGATATCCAAAATTACAAAACTACTAAAATCTAAAGTCCAAGATAGCTATAATATTTCTCTTTGCCACCTTACATTTCACATAAAAGCTGCGTTGGGCCACGAAAGCCTCAACACGCTAGCTTTATTAATAAAGGCGGGCCTACCTCGAGTAAAGGTCGATTTGAGGTCGGCCTCCCCGCGGGATTTCCAACTCCGACAACCACCTGAAGTAGCACTGGTCCCACACGTCTAAGCCGGAGAGGCCAGTCGAGGGATTGAGTGGCCCCGCGAAGCTGTCATCGTATAGCGGGTTGCAGAACAGCGCGATGTCGCGATCGGCGAACTGCTCGCGCCAATCCCACACGCTGCGCAGAACGAGCGGCGGGTGGGCGTTCCCATTGCCCTAAAACGTCGAATCGGTAAGAGGCCCCAGAGCTCGTCCAAAGTGCGCGTAGCCTTACGAGGCTGGCCATCACCCGCTGATGCTGGCAATTGAAAAGGAACGTGTCGAAGACGGAGACGTGGGCGGAGTCCCACACCGTCGTCAGGTACGTCTCGCTCACTTGAAACGCAGTCGGGAACTGCCGCGTCAGTTGCCACACGCAGTCGAGGAACAGCAGGAATATGGGCGACTGCTCGATCTCCTGCCCAGCGCACGTTTTACAAATACAATACGAATTCTTTTACTTACATAAAAAAAGCCCGACCCGAAAGTAACGTCGTTTTTTATCATTATTTTAAACTACATATATTTTTGTTTGGTTTTATTTTCAATCAATAACATAAAAAAAAAAATTGGTTGATTGTTAAGGTGAAGAGGGCATTTTAGATATCATCCACATTGTTAAATTTTTTTGCACCAATCTAAACAAATGATAATCACATGGCGCAATGTCAGGTGAGTATGGTGGATGAGGTAGTAGCTCCCAACCCCGAACGTCAATTTTTTTCAACGGTCTTCTTGGCGCAATGTGGTCTGGCAGCATAACGCCTTTTCTGTTTATCAAAACTGGACGTGGGAGTGCAGAGCTACTGCATTTATGTAGTAAATATAAGAATGAAACGTTATGTTTGGCTTTTGTTATGCTTTGTGTTTTGCAGCCATAATTATAGTATTGATTTTTTTCCCAATCTTAGTTTATCTAGATTACCTTGAATAATCAACAATCCTTTAATAAATTCTTAAATTCTTCTATATGGCTGCTTAGGATTGTTGGAACAAAATATTGATGGGTTTTATGAATGAGGATATATTCTCAGCACCATTCATATTCATATTTTATTAATGGTTACTAGTCATCCATATGGTGTTATGTCTTACTGACCTTACTCAATATATGTCCTAACCTATTGGTGAACGGGTGACCCAGCACGACCCAGTCTTTTTGTATAAGTGATTGGAAGCCTGATTTTGTCCGAAAGTAGGGATCGAGGATGATCTGCGTCAGACTCGAGACCACGCAATTCAAGTCCTGACCGTTTCCTGCAAAATTAACGATATACACCAATCGTCCTCCCCCTTCAGCATTCTGAGCGCACCCTCTTGAAGCACGACTGTACAACCGTGGTCTTGGAGCTGCTCTGCCGCCTCCACCGCCCTCGTCAGACAGGTCGACACGTGCGTGAGCCACCTGGTCGAATCCAGCAGGCCGTAAAACTTGAAGTCTTGACTTTTGAACGTGCGCGGACTATCGGGCGTGCACAGCTCCCTCAGCCGGAGATAACTCGAGTTTATCTCCTTCGGGGTGGGGGAAGATAAGTCGACTATGTGGGGTTGCTTCCGTTCCGGATGACTCTTGCGGATGTGCTCCAGCAATTTGTTCTCCTCGGTGCGGTCCGATATCGTCGGCAGGATATCGGCCATGCGGACGAGGGCGGCACCCGATGCCGTTCCCCAGACCCACACTGGACAGAACCGGTTGCGGAACTTTTCGACCGCGTCCTTGATGATGGTATCTGTTACCGACTGAGGCACGATTAGAGTCTCGACGAGCAGCGGTGACACCTGGTAGTTGTAGTTCACGTGCGAAACGCGCCAGTTTTGACAGTTGGTGCGCCGCAGTTCCTTCTCCCAGTCGAGTTTCGAATAAAACAGCCGCACCTCTTTCCCAAGGTTGGTACTCACATAAGGTTCACTGGAAAGCGAAAAAAAACATAAAAATCGAGAGCGGAATAGTTTGCTTCAAATTAGACCCTATAATTTTTTACCCACTTTCCTAGACCTTATTGATTATTATGACATTTTTAATAAAAAGAAAAAAATACCTTTCAATACTAAATCTAACTTCAAAATCTTGAAAAACTTTTGAAAATAACATCAGAATCAGAAACACCAAGATTTCTTTTTTTGCAAGTATATCACGCACCTTGTTTGCTAGACAAAAAGTGTAAATACAAAAATTGTACCTTTTGACGAGAGTTATATTACTGATCATACCAAATCGACGTATTTTTCATGGTTTTTAATTTATGGCCTAATTTATACCCGAAAAAGACAATTTTACAAAATGAAATACCTACAGGTTTTGAGTAAAATTTTGCAGTTTTAAAATTTTTGAAAATCCTCCACTGTTTTAAATTTTTTTACACTTTGTTTATTTCTAATCATGAACTTTGAGCAAAAACATGCCGAACAAGGTCATGTTAGAGCACTTTGTGGCCAATATTAATATTTGGATCACGAGCAGTGTTACCGACTTGTATTCATACGCGAACAGCAGCTGGTGCCTCTTGGGGTATGCGTGATGTAACAGGGAATTGGCGATGTTCTTGCCGCTATCCTTGTCGCTGCTCTTAAAGCTAAACTCCAAATACTTCATGTTCTGCAAAGAGACACACGCGCGTGGGCAGTCTTCTAACGTGCGCCGCAATTCGTCACACCTACCTTACAAACTATTAACAATTCTTTAACTTTGCCGCTCACACTCTGTCCAGGTACAAGTCGTTTTTTCGTTCTATCGCCTATTTGGTAAATAACATCTATGGAAGACAGACACAGGTCGTTGACGCCCAACAGGCAGTTCTGCTGACAGCAGTTCGGCTGCTCCGTGTCTTCCGCGGACGCGAACGACAACTTAAATGTCGTTACCGTCAAAACACCGCACACCTTGTGGATGTGTTCCGTCATCGGGGTGTACATAAACACTTTTTGAGCCTCACAGACCATGGTCTCGCCTATAAATAAATTTACCGTTAAACACGATCGTCGATATGAGTCGCGAGAGCGTCTACCGTCGAGGAATTTGGTCCGCTGGGCGTCATCTAGGGTTATACTCTGAAAACAAATATTTATGATAGCAGGGTAGTTTACAAACGAATGGCTAATTTTATAAACGTTGCAAACGTTATTAAAGTCTTACTTCGAGCTCGGACTCGTCCAGGTAGCTCTTGAACCTGGAATCCTCTTTAATGTCGTTCATTTTTTGGTTTGTTCCGACGACTCCTATAGCTGCCTGCAATTGAAACTGTTAACATGATGTTATTTGCATAAAGTTATGACGACCCACTTATCCCATCTTAACAATATTTATGAGGATTAAGATAAAAATGTCTTAATAACAACGCGAAAGGCGCTATTGTCTAGGTTATGTTCCGTGGGGAATTTCCAACTCGCCCCATTGGCGAACGCCAGCGTCGCCACGGAATGGTCGACAACGAATTTTACATCATTATTTTAAGAGACGTAGTAAATTTGTGTTGTAGGATATTTGCAAAAATTTATTATCGAAGTTTAAAACAAACTTTTATTTCGTCAAAACTGCCAAACATAAAAAAATTGGAAATCGTGTTAAGGTGTACTTTAAGAAGCGCGACTAACTTCACGTGGTGGTTATGAAATACGTATGTTCGTCAAATGTCAAATCAGCATCGTAATTTTATTATCTGTGATTGCTGATGTTCTCGATGATCTATTTTACTCAAAAAAAAGATAAGTTAAAATGTAAAAAAAACAATTAGTTCATAGTTTCATACGATACCGGATTTAGATGTCGCGCAACCCGCCGAACGATGCCTACGAATGCGGCCGCGTCATTTTCGACAAAAAACAACTTTGCCGCGAGGTTAGAGAGACGCACCGTAAGCTCTGTGAGTCACGAATGTTATTTGCGCGTTTTCAGGCCCGACGCGACCGACGGCCTATGGGTGTTGCCGCTATTGCCGGCCTCTCTAATCGTCTCATTCATTAGGCACTCAATTATTGCGACGCCTACCTACAAGCTGACCGTTTTAATAGCGGTGGGATTGTTGTGTACTTCTTTGGCGATAATTTTTTATCGTAAGAGAAACGAAAGTCTGAAAACGTTCAGCCCGTGCGCGGTAGCTGTCGCAATATTTGTCGGCTGTTTGTTCCACGTCTGCCTACATAAAGGTAAGTGTTTGGCGCCTTGAGTGGAAATTTCGCAAGGCGTCTCTGCGTTTTAGGATGGTTGTTTTCTTTGTCCAGCGGTGTATTTAGCTCGCTGATTTATATAAAAACGTTCAAGTTCCTTTTGACCTCGTTCAGGGAGAGTTTTTCGTTGGGGGAAGCGGGCGTGATAGCCCAGGGCGCTGTCATATTCATTTACTGTGCCATAGAAAATACGGCGCGGCATGCGAGCCAGAACTCCGTGCCGAAAAGCAACATGCAAATATCGACCGCGATAATTCAAGTGACGCAACATCAACAGCGAGCTGTCAAATCCTGACTTGTCGATTTTTAGGTTGGACTCATCAGCGTTCTTCTTTTCGGCTACACGGTTTACCAGTTCAACATAACTGGCGCTAAACGATTTTACTTTACGTTCGCTGTGCTCGTCATTTTCACGTTGCTGTTGCCGCTGCAGGTTTTGCTCGATCGTAGTCCGCTCGTTTGGGTACTGGACGAGATGTTACGCGATCCGGCCCTGGTACGGTGCCCAAGCGGTCTAGACTTGATGCGGTAGTATTTAATCGCCTTTCAGCTTAAACTGATAATATACTGGGGCTGCTGTGTCGGCGTGGCGGTTGTTGCAGTCAGTCATCAAGTAAACCGCGCGAAAAAGGCGTCCACGTCCATCAGAAAAATTTTTCACCTGCTGATCGTGGCCGTGTATCTACCCGGCTTAGCATACAAGTGTTCGTTCTTGTACTTGGCCAGCGGTGTCTCCCTGGGGGTATTCTTTGCTCTGGAGGTGATGCGAATCCAGGAAATCCCGCCGTTGGGCCGCAGACTCCAAGACGGCTACGTCGTGTTCAGCGACGAGAAGGACGCAGGGCCGCTCTCCCTGACTGCCATTTATTTATTGGTCGGATGCTCTCTACCTCTGTGGATACACCCCGCTCCTTGCGACGTCACCGACTCTTCTTTATTTAGCATTCTGCCTCTTTTGAGCGGACTCTTATCCGTCGGGGTGGGTGACGCTTGTGCCAGTTTTGTAGGTTCCAATTTCGGCAAAATCAAGTGGAAGGGATCGAAGAAAACCGTCGAGGGGACCGCCGCGTGCGTCATCAGTCAGCTCGGGATTTTCTACCTTCTGTGCCATACGGGTAGGAAAATCTCTGCGAATGTCAGATTCCTTTCGATTGCCGTTTTGGAATTGCAGGATATGTTCCTTACGTAACCGAAGAGCAATCGTTGAGGATCGTGACCGCGGTCGCCGTCGGCTCTTTGGTGGAAGCAAAAACCACGCAAATAGACAATATCGTTCTACCATTAATTTACTACCTAATATTGATATAATCGAAGTTCTTTTTTTTTGTAAATTCATAATAAAAATTGTCCTTATTTGTGTTTTTCTCTGGGTGCTTCATACTGACCTATGATTTTAAAATTATGCTCGGAATGCGAAAGAAGAAGAGGCAGCTGATTGTCAAACGACGGGAATTAAAAACCGTCACGAATAAAAATTACGGCGAGAAGCGGTTAAGTGGAAAACATCAAAGTTGCTTTTTAAAATTGCAGTAGTTCCTATTCTCAAATATTTTTCGATTCTCCATCTCCTACGCCGATTTGAAATATTTTCCGCCCGCGGCTCATCTGACTGTCACACAGCGACGATATCGTCAACAAAAAAAATAGCGAATAGTTTTTGAACGTAATTTTTTCAAGAATATTTTTAACCGCGATTATTACACCGCGCCCATGTTCCATCTAACTGCGCGAATCTACAAAAACCGTCGGTGCCGTTAGCCCAAAATAATGGAGTCCCCAGACAGTAACGTAGAACTGGAATGGTCCGAGAACACGAACAGTTCGTGGGCGGCCAAAGACGCCGACAGTGTAGCGAATCGTGACTCGGTCCAGTCGATGTACGAAGCGTTGCTCCAAAACAACGAGGTGCGCCTCATTCCTTCGACTACCCTCTCTTACGACGACGTACAAACGTTGCCTAGCTTCCAATACGACCCGCCCGCCAGTAGCGAGCTGGAGGACTACCTGGACACTTTACTCAGCTCCCAACTGCAACTTGCCAAAGAGACGTGCACGTCAACCCAGTTCGCTGTGATCCTGAAGGAGCGCATGGTGATTTTGAGGCGCATCTATCATGCCCTCAAAGTCAAGTACCACGAAAAAGACCAGAACGAGGCTAAGTGTTCGAAAGTAACGTCCGGGCCAGCGGCATCGTTGCCGTTGGCGCCCCGCGAGGTTCTATCTGGTGAGCTTTTTTTGAGGTTAGATCCTGGCCAAGCAAGGATTTATTTTCGTGTTAGGGTCGCAGGCCTTGCTGGAAATAGGAGTGAAAACAGGGCTCAGTCTGCTGTTTTCACTGCTCCAGCAAAACTGGCAGGTCAGCAACATATTGGGCATCCCCTCCCTGTGTAATTCCGTGCTGGAGACGACGAGCGACCTGCTCAAGCGCTTGCCGCAGCTGTGTTTGGCTAACGACGCGCAGCTGACCAATCTGGGAGTGACTAGTTTGGAGCAGGTCGGCGATTTCTTAAAAAACGCGGTCCTCCGCGAGATGGCGGCAGATTCCAAAGGTAAACTGCTCGCTTCGGAGATCCTGCTGACCTTAGCGCTGCAGCGCGGTTCGTTGCGGTACCTACTCGAGTGGATCGATATGGCGCTCGAGGCTTCCTGCAACAGCTCCATGGAAAGGTTAAGTTCGACGGCGTTCTTTTTTGGTGCTTTTTTTAAGCTCCATAAAAGGTCAAACAAAAAACAAGAAAAAGTATTAAAGCTGTTTGTTTTTATATCAATAACACCTCCCATTCTATCCCAAAAAACATTATTGGGAAAAAATGTCTTTTGTGGAATATTGATTTTTTAAATGTTGAAAATATCTTATTTCTATAAACAAAAAAAAATACATGGTGAACTTTGTAATAATAATAATAATAAATAATAAGTAGTCTTTATTGGAAAAAAAAAGAAATAACTTATCTATTAACAGTATTTTACAACAAGCAAACCTAACCAGAGAATTCAATAGTGGCGGAGTCTAGCTTTCGATCACTACTCTACTGAACTTTTAATCAGTTGGTAAATTGCGCACTACTTATTCAAATATACATACGAAACTGTGGAAAATACCTGTAAAACCGGAAGAGAAAGAAAACAAATCCCACTCAGCAGCAACACGTTTTAGGAAGATAGCATTTCTAGAATTGTAAAAACGAATTGTGTTGAATGTAAAGGATCTTTGAAACAAGGCACTATGAAGATCTGACGGGGTTAGTTTGTTTCTGTTTGTTACGTCTACAAGATTGATGATACTTCTAGGAATAATTATAATATAATATTATAATGACGAAATGAAAAACGAAACTATTTTCGCGTATTAAATTAAATATTTCTTTTCCTGTTGCAGACAAAAATTTACTACGTTGTCACAAATACAAAGGGACGTTCTTAGATTGGCAACACTTATCTTACGAATCATGAAAACAAACATTTGCACAAACAAAAAAAGAACTTTAAACAGTGGATAGATCTCGTATACCATGTTAAAATTTTATTTTCAGCTTCAATAATTTCATTAATTCTGGCCACTTTCATTTTTTGTTTTGACGTTTTCTTGCTTTGTTTGCTTAAAAAATTGCCCGCACCATATAGCATAGTGCCCCTGGTACGGTAAAAAAATAGATGCGCTTCGGGGGGCTATGATATATTCGTGGAGTACGTACCCCTAAAAGTCATCACTAACCTGCATTTTGTGACATTTTCTTTCTAAGCAACGATCTTCACACACTTAACGTGTTTTCCCAGACAACTTGGCATAGTTTGAGAAAATACTGCTGTCATCTTTTAAATATCTAGTAGCAATATGGTCCCCACAGAAAACTAGAGGTCTGTTGAAGAAATTGATGTATATCAAGTCCTAAAGGTTTAATGCACTTATGTTCAATGTTTGCCCCGACAGCGGGTTGTCTTTTTCCAATAACTTCCGGATTTTACAGCGAGCTCTTCAGCGAGGCCATAGCGCAACTCGAGGACGGCAAACATCGGCTCGACAGTGAGTTGTGGAAGAAGGAGCGCTCGGAGCCGATCATAATGTATACAGCCGCCATGTACCTAATGGAACTGCTGGCATCGATGGCCGTCGACTATGGTAACGGGCCATTGCCACGTCTACCGAATGATTTGGAGGTTATGTCATTCGCAGGTGGCGCCCCCGATCACGGCGCCCGCGACTCGGACCCGTCCGACTACGAGAGGGGAGACGTCTACGTGTGGGGCAGCAACTCGTCGCATCAACTAGCCGAAGGCAACCACGAGAAGATCCTGCTTCCCGTCAAATCGAAAATATTCACTCAGGTGCAGCAGGTGAGCGGCTGGGCGGGGCTTAATACCGGTATGACATCGTTTATCGCGGTACCCTAGGTAGAGGCGGGGCAGTACTGCACCTTCGCGATCCACCGCGACGGCTTGGTGAGTGCCTGCGGCAAGGGCAGCTATGGCCGTCTGGGCCTAGGGGAATCGTCAAACCAGATACTGCCCAAGCGGATCCTGCTCGACAGCGTCGTAGAGAAACTGTCTAGCTCCAAAGGTAGCGTAGCAATCGTTTAGGCGCCTTTTTTGATTACGTGTTTTGTGTTATAAATGTCAATAATAAATAAATAATAATGCCGAAGCAATGGAATAAATAAGGCAGTTCAATACTTCAATTAAAACCGTACCGTGCCAGTGAGAGGTTCAAACGGACCACGCCCCTTTCGTAGTTACCTCTCGAACGATCCCGGGCTGAAGGGTTCCTTATGGCAAATCCGAAGAGCAGTTTTTATTAATATTTATTTATTTGTTATGGATTTTATGGACAGAGTCCATTGCACGTTGCTACAAAAGTAAAAAGTAAAAGTAAAAGCCTATCTTACAATCTCACAAGTTAAGCCTAAATGCTTGTTCTTATTGGCCAATCGGGCGGCCCTTGCGATAAATGTTTTGCGTCCATAGTTGGTCTTGCGGTACGGTACAAAACATGTGCTGCTTAGACGAGTTATTTAATTAAAATTCATACATTTTCGTCTTAAAATTTCGTTTCAATTAACACAATCGCCTCCTCGATTAAAATTTTGCCACAAACTTCACTCTCTTCCACATAAGTGGGAGAAGCGAATGACCGAATCCCACGGATCTTTTCAGGTAGCGACGGTCAGGGCATAATGTTATGTTATGCTTGCTTGAATCTGATTCCTAAACCTACCCTCAGCAGTGAAAAAATTTAAATGCTCGTGCACATTGGCCAGCCAGGCCGCTCTTGCGATAAATGTATTACCTTCATAGTTGGTCCTGTGGTACAGTACAAAAAATGTGCTATTTGGACTTGTTATTTAATTGAAATGAAATGGTTTATTATCATTGACATTGGCATTGACATAAGCAATGTATTATATATTCGAATCGTAGTAAATTACATTTATATAAAAGGAAAAGCTAATTCATACTAATATTAATATTAATATAAGAATCTTTTACCATTTTTTGGAAGCTTTTTATATTTGGTAAATTTTTGGTGTCCGTTGGCAGAGCATTGAACAATCGAAGCTCATCACTAAAGATGTTTTTTTGCATTTGTAGAGTTTTAACAAACTGAATATCAAAATCATCATAAAAACATTATAAGAATGTTTGTACGACCTAGGAATTAAATAATCTTACATAAGTGGGAGGAGCGAATGACCGATCCCCACGGATCGTTTCAGGTAGCGACGGCCACACTCTCGCGTTGACCGAAGACGGTCACGTATACAGTTGGGGCGACGGAGACTACGGTAAACTCGGTCACGGGAACTGCGCCACCCACAAACAACCGGAAAGGATCGGGGGTCCTTTCGCTAACAAAGTCGTTAAGTATATAAACGCGGGTTACCGGCACAGCGCCGCCATAACTGATGACGGACGCCTGTACACCTGGGGCGAAGGCGAACACGGACGTCTCGGCCACGGCGACAACGGCGGCAGGCAGGTTCCCACCCTCGTGGCCGACCTCTTCGAGGTGGGACTGGTCGCTTGCGGTAGTTCCCATACACTGGCGGTTTCGCGCGACGGCAAAACCGTTTGGTCTTTCGGTTCGGGCGAGAACGGCAAACTGGGTCACGGGGAAATCGCCAAGGTGTGTCGTCCGAAGGTCATCGAGGCGCTCCAAGGACTCGTCGTGCAAAAAGTTTGCGCCGCGACGTCGTTTTCCATCGCGCTCACTACCCTCGGTCAGGTGTACACGTGGGGTAGCGGTCCGATACTGGGCGTGGGTTCCGCGGATGCCATTTCACTGCAGCCGCTGCTCGTCGAAGACCTTGCCGCGTATCGCGTAGTCGACATATCCGTCGGTGAGAATCACTGTCTCGCGTTGACAGACGAGCACGTGGTGTACGCGTGGGGCACCAACAGTATGGGCCAATGCGGGCAGGGTCACACCTCCAGCCCGGTGACGAGACCGTCGAAGGTGGTCGGTCTCGAGGGCGTGCCCATCCGACAGATTAGCGCGGGTAAAAATTAAATCTCCTTTATTCTCCCGTACATTTTTTAAAGCCCCGCCCACTTCCAGGCACGTCACACTCAATCGCGTGGACCTCGGTACCCGCCAAAAGCCAGCAAGTCACCAAGCATCGCCCGTTCTGCGTAGACTTGCACGAGAACACCTTCAAGTACCTCAGGGGATTTCTGGACAAGTACACGCGCACCTTCACGTCCGCCGAACCTCCGTCACCTTTCAAGTCGACTGACGACCAGCAAAAGTTTGTGCTGCTCGCGCTCCGTCTGCTCGGTACTCACCTGAACCTCTGCATCAGCGGCAACCTCAACTCGCTCGCCCTCGAAAAACACGCCAAAGAGCTGCGCACGGTGCTGTTTAGGTAAAGTTAGTGACCCCCGGACTCCACTTATGCGACGACCGCGTCCCCTAGGCTGGTGGACATTGGTGCGCCGGAGGAGATCCACGCGACTGCGAGGGAAGTACTTAACGTGGGGGCGCCGCTCCTGCTGCCGTTGCTCGGAGAGCGCGTCGAATTTCTCCACGCCCACTTAGCGAGCGGTGACAAACTCTCGCAGGGTCAGCAGATGCTGCTTGGCATCATACTGAGCAGTCTCGAGGACCCGGTGCACGTCGCCACGTTGCTAGGTTACAACCGGGGCGTCGACAAGTCGGAAGACACCGCCCCGAACGGCGCGACGACCGCCTTACTTATGCGCACCTTGTTGCGCTCGTTCACGGAAAACACGGTGAGTGGGCGGGACGCGAGTCGTTACAATGACGATGCTGTCATTTTAGGAGGACGTGCTGGAGAGTCTGTCCCGTTACATGGCAATCACCACGTCGTACAAGTGGCAGAGTCCGGGGAACGCCAAAGTGCACCACCTGCAGCGGCTGTTGTCGTCGTTGCAGAACCACGCTCTCGCTCACCAAGTCGCCTCTGACGACGCGGCCGCTCTCGTCGACGGCGATTTCCTCGTTGACCATCTGCGCGACCTGTTCGATCACGTAGTGCGGGTACTGCGCAAAGCCGCCGCTGTCCTGGTAAGGGAAAAAAGATTGTCACTAGGGGGCGTAACCGCCGCTAATTTAGAAGGCCCATATTACGTGCTTGGCAACGAAACTCATTTCTCGGATACGGTGCGTCGTACAGCGTCGCCATTGGTACAGATGGAATCAGCATCGAAAAAAAAAAAAGTTTTTATTTTTTGTCTGTTTGTCTGTTCTCCGTCGACGCTCTATAAAAATTCGAATTACTTCCGAACGGTATGAGCTAGGATCCCAAAATTTGGCTCCTTTTAAGCATCCGACGGGACACGTAAGTCTGTGAGAAATGGCCGCGATCAGACATTGGCGCCCTTCTTTTTTTTGCCATTTTCGTCTGTTTTTTCTATATCGCTACGAAACACAAGTGTTGGAAAAAAAATCATTTTCCAAAAACGGTCTATACCATCGAAAAAATTGTTGAACCAAAAGACGCACGAGAACAGGATATATATATATATATATATATATATATATATATATATATATATATATATATATATATATATATATATATATATATATATATATATATATATATATATATATATATATATATATATATATATATATATATATATATATATATATATATATATATATATATATATATATATATATATATATATATGATGACACTATATTCCGGGATATCATCCGTTCGCTCGTTGAACTCCGACTGGAATCCTGCATCCGACTGGAATCCTGCAAATCTTGCATCCGACTGGAATCCTGCAGACGTTTCGCCAAAATCTCACTTGGCATCTTCAATGCTCGCGCTCCGAAAACACTTCGAACACTTCGTTTTCGGAGCGCGAGCATTGAAGATGCCAAGTGAGATTTTGGCGAAACGTCTGCAGGATTCCAGTCGGATGCAAGATTTGCAGGATTCCAGTCGGATGCAGGATTCCAGTCGGAGTTCAACGAGCGAACGGATGATATCCCGGAATATAGTGTCATCACATTTTTCCATCCGTGAATCAATACGTGAGAATATATATATATATATATATATATATATATATATATATATATATATATATATATATATATATATATATATATATATATATATATATATATATATATATATATTATTCTTGATGATTTTTTTAAAATATACAGGGTGCGTCAGTAATTTACAAAAAATTGAAAATTGGGTTCCCCTTTTAAAAGATAATTCAAGAAGGCTGTGATTCAGTTGTCAGTTTTTTTTTTACATGGGCACCATCAAGTATGGCGAAGTATTTTTTAAAAATTTTAGAAAATTTTTTTTGGGTTATATTGGTTTCCAGGAAAAAATCATTTTCTCCAAAACTGTCACCCCGATCGGCACAATTCTCTAACCAACAGACGCGGAAGATCTAGTGCTATGTATAATATTTATTTCATGCATTTCATGCCTCTTTTCGATTCTATACACAGTTTTTCTATTATGGACAAAAATTTAAAAGACTGAAAATTGTCGTTTTTGCTATTAAATTCGCAATATCTCGCCGTGAATCTAGACACGACGATTTACTATTACAGTGTATTGCATGGTTTCAGAAAACAAGTATTTTCTCGAAAACTATTTCTCCCATTGAAAAAATTCATATACCGGGGAACATGGGAGATCCAGGGCTATAACTTTTACTTTGGGCATTTTTTGGATTATGGTTAAAAAAAATAAATAAAAAGATCCCGAAAATTTTTGTGGGTAAATTATTTGGTTAGTTCTCTGCTTTAACCAATATCGAAAATTATGTCTAGAGAGGATTTCAGGTTTCGTCTATCATACAGGGTATGCGAGATATTTGAAATAATACCATTTTAAATCGCTATTATTTGTGCAAATTATTACTTTTATCAAAGTTTGCTGTGACTTTGAAGTTTGGTGATACGTTAAACTTCCTTTATACAGGGTGCATGCACAATAAATTGACATCGATTTTGCGAAAGTTCGATAGTGGTCCGTAGGAGAAAAATATCTCCCTCTAGGACAAGAAACCGCGAAGCGACTTCTTTTTGAAATACAAAGCTGCTTAGCGCTACGCGCTACGAACTTGCCCGCCCAGCCACGATTTTTCGAAAGCAATCGTGTATATTTACGTGACCAAATTACAGGTAATCTACCCTAGCTGCCTGGAGCTGCTATACAATGTGTTGCTCGATTCGGTAACGGGCGGCATGCTGTTCAAAATCCTCAACTCGCTGCTGCTGATGCCCGTCGGCCGCGTGAAAATTCTCTACCCGCCTCTGCTCGAAGTTCTGGACGCGATGGACGCTTTCAACCAGTTGCTGCCGCCGGAATTGCTCCCGGAAACGGATCGTGATTCTTCGAGTGAGTATGATGTCTTTGTTTTATTTTATTTATTAATGATTAGATACTGCTAACAAGATACAAGTATGTTACTATTATTCAACAAATAATAATAATTTAATCTAACAATACAATACAAATGTGGCTATAAATTAACATTTTCTTTACAGTATAAAGCACATTTTTTCTTAAACTTGACTGAGTTCGAATTCTTCACTGTATAAGGTTGTGTTGAATAAGTCCATTGTGAAAATCATCATTCTGGCCATAGCTAGTGGTAACTCTAGGAACATAGAAGTCTTCTTTGGCTTAGGATTGATAATTATGTATGTCTGTTAGAGTGTTGATAAATATTCGAGAAGCAAATTGTGGTTCATTTTATATATAAAAGTAATTGTGTTAAGACAATTAAGTTGGTTTACACTTAATAATCCTGTTACTACCAACATAGTCTTTGTATGTGTGTAACGATAAACGCATGGCTTGGTTTTGTTTTTTCTGAAATACGCTTTTCTCTGCCATATTGAGCAAGAAGAGTATTGACTTTTATATTGTCAGTTTAGACCAGTCATTAAGATATGTGCTCATTCTTTTCAAAAGATTGATTTTCTTTGCAATTTTACTTGTTATGTATTCTGCATGCTTAGAAAATGTCATGTGTTATCAATTATAACACCTAAGTATTTGCACTTCTCTGTCTGTTCTATTCTTTTGTTATTTATAAATATTCCAGGGTGACTCTTAGTTGGTATAGCATTAAATTTACCTTTAATAATCATCCATTTTCTATCAGTCACTTATACAAAACTTCCATTTCTTCATTCAGGATTTGTATCACCTCGTTAATATCATCTACAGCAAGGTATCATCAGCAAATAGTTGATTTAAGTGTCGTACACTCTCGCCGCGCGTCCTTTCAGGGTCGGAAACGCCCACCCTCGCGCAGCTCGCGGAACAGTCGTGGATCTGGATCGTCGACCTGCAGAAGACGTGCTCGCTGCTCATAGGCCATTGCCTTGGCGGCATGCTAATAGGTCCGCCGCCCACCAAAGAGGAACGGCAGTGTCGTCGCTGGCTAACGGACCGCATGTTATCCTCCGGCTTGGAAAACGAAGACGTGAATCCGCACGCGTTAACGGAGCTGTCCTACATGCCCGACGGCGCGGATACCATCATCGAGCGTTTGCCGTCTTCGTTGAGGCCCACCGTGGAGCTCGCGTACGGTTTCAAGGACCCGGACGCTTCCCTCGACGAGGACGTCTTTGAGAAACTGACACGAAACGCCGAACTGGAACAGTGGGAGTTGGACCGGCGCGAGGCGACGCTCTTCGACCGCATCACCAGGTGCTTTTTCTACGCCGTCTCGAAGGTGACGGGTTTGCTCGACTCCAAACCTCACCCGGACGCGTCCGCGGAAGTCTTCAAGGTGAGCCCGATGACGACGCCTCCCACGACGCTAACCGATCCCCGATTCCTAGTTCGCCGTCGCGCTGCGCCAACGCCTCATCGGCATGCTATGCGACTCCAAGTTCAAAGAGGAAGACGCGATCGCGGAAGAGGAAAAGGAGGCGAACCGATCTGGTCTCATCGTCAACGAGAAAGGTCACTCGATCGACGGCAAGGTGGATTTTGAGGTCGACTGCCGCGGCGTCATGCAGCGTTGTCTGTTTCTTTTGATTTACGTCAGAGGTAGCAAAATCGAAATAGTCGTCGCGGGAACCGACCCGGCCGACGAGGAAGCGGCGGAAAAAGCGTATGTGGAATTCTACAAGGAGAAGGACGACCCGGCGTACGGTGAGCTGCGCCGCATCGCGTCACACTGTCTCGACTACGTACTAGGCGATGCGTGCCGGAACGCTCCCTCAGATGATCCCGCGGTCCTGCTCGAGGCGCTCGCGAGCCAAAAGAGACGAGCGCGTAGCCGTCTCGAAGGGCTCGACCGTCTGCTCTTTCACTTGGTCGCCAGACCGCCCACCGCCACTGTACGACGAGGAAGAACTAGTCGGATCCATATAATTATCCTCTTTTCTTCCCCAGACGTTGAACTGCGTTCAGCAGCAGCTTCTCGAGGGCTGTTTCGGCTTCTGCAACGTGTCGTGCGCCGACACCTGCACCCCCTTCCACCACTATATGGAGGGTATAGAGAGCTCCCCGAGGGACACGCAGGAAAAGATCCGGACCGTCGTGCAGGGCGTCTACGAGTTCCTGACCTCGTCGCTGAAAAAACAAGTCGCCACCGGTTCAGATAACAGGCACCTGCTCTTGGTGACGGCGTTCTCGCTTAGTACCAGATACCGTTCGAGCGACCTCGGTCTGGTGATCAACAACGAGCTCGTGCAGAACCTCGCGCAGCTGGCTAGCGCCGCCCCGTCGCCGTACTATCCCCCCTACACCAAGTCGGAGGTTCTTAGCGTCGCCGCGCTCCGTTTGATCCACATTCTGGCGGTGTCTTGCTGCATCAACTCCGCCGGCTTGGACGTAGGCGCGCTCGAGGTCGTCGTCCACGTGCTGCACGAGCGTTTCGTCAAGGCGACGGAGACGTTTGCCGAGTGGTGTCGCGGTTACGACGCGGACGCCGGCGACAAGCAGCTCGGCGATTTTCTGCTGTTTCTGCGCGTGGTAGCGTCGAGCCGCAGCATCCAACGCCTGCTGGCCACCAAGCGCTGGATCTACGGCCTGCTCGCCGTCCTCGACACGTCCGGCCACGCCCTCTCGTACGGTTGTCAAACCAAAGCGCTCCGACCGAAGCTGCTCGTCCTCCAGATCCTGACCGCGGTCCTGCCCGACCTTAAAGCGGTCCACATCGACGACGACCTGCGTCGCAACGTCGTCGACGGCCTACTCGAGCTTCTGGGTAAAGACGTGTGGGGCAGCGACGTCGGGAATCGCCCCGCGTCTCCGGAACCCTCAACCGAGGACCTCGTCGTGCCGCTTGCCGCGAAGGATTTCAAGGACGGCGAGGGAAACGTGCCCGTCCACGATATGGGCTTCGACCCGGACAAGTGCAGCAACTGTTCGATAGAGGGCGGCCTGACGCTCGTCCACGGCACCGGCGGGCGGGGCTACGGCCTAGGATTACAGGCTATTAAATCCGGCTGCTACCAATGGAAAATCCTGATCGTGAAGGAAAACCGCGGCAACGAGGGTACCTGCATCGGCGTGTCCAAGTATCCGGTGAAGGATTTCAGTCACCGTACCACCGGCGACATGTGGCTGTATCGCGCGTACAGCGGCACCCTCTACCACAACGGCGAAAGGGACACTTGCTTCGCCAGCTACACCCAAGGCGATTTCATCACGGTGGTATTGGACATGGACGCGAAGACGTTGAGTTTCGGCAAGAACGGCGACGAGCCGAGGGTGGCGTTCGATAACGTCGACGCCGCCGAACTCTACCCGTGCGTGATGTTCTATAGTACGAATCCCGGCGAGAAGGTCAAGGTGACCGACATGAAGGTGCACGGCACGCAGCGCGATGTCCTCCCCGGCGAGCCCGACCTCGCCCCCCTGCACGCGGTCCTAGGCGAGGCCTACGTGGGCGTATTGCGCAGACTGCACCGTTCCGATACGTGGACAGCCGACGTAAACTGCGCTATCGGCCATCGCCTCGAGAGAATTGCGGGCCTATTCCCTAGCGCCGAGACGCACAATCTCGATCATTCCGACATCAACTTGGACGAGCTGAAAACTGACGTCGAGATGAACGTGGACGAGTTATGCGCGCGCGTGTGGCCCGCCCTCGCGGTTTTGGGCGGGTTCGATCGAGGCCTGAGGATGGGCGGCCGGTGTCGTCACAAAACCACGGAAAAAACGGCCGTAGTGTTGGGCGTGCTAAAGAAGGGCATAGCGACGGTCAACGTGCAGTGGGAGCACGACGGGGGCGTGTCCGACGTCGCGATCGGCAATCTAGAGTTCATCGAGGCGGAGCCGTTCGATACCGGCAAGTTCGCGGGTCTCACTTCCGACGTACTGCTCCAGGTGGCGCGTCTGGCCGGTGTCACCGGCGAAATATGCTTTCCCGTGTGCGAACTGAGCGAGGACGATGAAATACTGCTCGATCCGCCCCCAGAGCCGGAAAGACCCGCGGCTCCGCGCACCGTGGAGAGTCTCACCGACGAGATGGTGTCGAGCATAATAGGCGAGGTGAAGAGGATCGGGACGGAGACTATAACCGGTGGGGCCGCGGTGCGCGACGACGCCCCGCCCAGATCGAACCCGGAGGAGCGGCTGCTGCGCAGAAAGCTCCTCGACGCCGAAGAAGAATTTCTCAAGCTCGGCTTCCTACAGTTTGCCGCGATGAAAACTCTAGGAACGTTTCTCGCTTCCGCTTCGGTCGCCGACATGTTCGACAAGGGGCGTCGCGAAAGTTCCGATCGCTTCGGCGAAGTGATGCGGGCCGTCGTCGCCAAAAGCGTGGAACAGTGCAAGCTGAAGAATATAGTGAGCGTCGCGGACATGGAACGCGCGGAAACCGTGCTCCATATGAACTACACGAAGAGCAGGAACGACGAGGACACCGGTCCGAAAGATATAGCTCGGGAATCTTCGTCGTCGTCGTCGATCGATCCCGGTTGCAGCTGCACGCACCGTGGCTCGTCGCCAAACGCGCAGAGGGCGGTACCGTCGTTCCCGAGAACGATATCGTTGGGTTCGAGCCCGACCGGCTCCGCCCCTAACGAGAACGCGTGGCGCAGAGCGTCCGCGCAACCGCCGCCTCCGATCGCCCTGCCTCTGCTCGACATGGGTTTCCGTCTCGAGCACATTTTAAAAGCGCTGCAGGAAACCAAGACCTCAGGTTATAATAATAATAATTAATAATGATAATAATAATAATATCTTTATTATCCCACATATTTAGAATACAATCAGTGTATTATGGATTTCGTCAAGTTCGTCAATGAGGCAGACAATTATTTATATAATAAACATATATATGACAGAGCACAACAATACAGTGATGACAAACAGCAGGTGTTCGTAAAATATTTTTTTGAAAATTCTAGTCCATTTTTTTTAATGGAGAAACAGTCTTTGTTACGTGTATTATAGTCGTGGAAATCTCCGTTTTTTTGTAAGGTATTTTTACGTTTATATACCCATAAATGAACTTCAAATACACGCTAAAGGCTACCATTACGACAGTGCGGTAAGAAGCCACTTAGCTGTCCCTTGTGCGGAGGTGAGCATAATATTAAATCTTGCATATCTCAAATCAGGAAATATTCTAATTGTTTGAAACTACATGGTAGTCGTAATTCTGATATATTGTGTTGTATGGGAAAAAGATAAACGTTCCGCATATAAGGCTGCCGTATTAAATTTAAAACATGGAAAATTATGGCAATCATCGGCCTCATCTCGGTCTTCCCTTGGTATGAGCACTAAAGTTCATGAAAATTCTGATAAACGTACTGACAAAAGTACAACCATTTATCATCGGAATACTAGAGGTTTGCGGTCTAAAACTGTCGAATTTTTTAATGCCGTTTCGTCGAATGATGGTCAGATTGTAGCTTTAACGGACATGTGGCCTAAAGACTCAGTTTACAGTAACGAATTATTTCCTAGTCACTACTTAATTTATCGCAGGGAGGGGGAGTTCTTGTTGCAGAGGATGACAAGTTTTTATCGACATGTGTCAACATTGACGATTATTTTCCATCCTCCCTCATCTCTGTCAATATTATAGTGGTTAAAATTGTCACGGATCTAGGTGATTTGTATGTCCTTAGTGTCTACGTCCCACCCTCAACAACTAATGAATAATAATAACACACTCTTGATAGGTGATTTTAACATGGCCTCATATTGCTGTATCGCTTGAGAATAACCTGAGAAATGCAAATATTTCAACATTGAATGACTTTCTGCTCATTTCCAATTCCATTTTTATTGATTATGCTTGATCTTATTTTTTACAATAATATCTGTATGGTTGAGAGATCTACTGATTGTTTAGCTGAACTTCAGTCACAGTTTAAAGCGTAATTTTCCGACATTGCTTTGTAATGAATATAATGTGCGGAAAGCCAATTTCCATCTAATGTAATGTATTCCTTGTATAAGTTATTGTCTTGATTCGGGTTTAAAGGCCATCGTCGGTTGAAATTACTTACTAACGTTTCGCTAGCACGAGTGGCGAGCTTCTTCAGAGGTCCTTCCATCTCCGATGTTGGACGTAGACTGACGATTTCTCCTGCGCAGGTTGTCTTTATGCCGATTGGTGGTGGGCGGGGCTTGTTCCGCTTCGGTTGGTCTCGGGATATCGATCGGTACTGCTCGGGAGTTCCTAAGGATCGGGTTCCAGATTTGGTTGAGTCTAAGGGTCTCCTCCTTTCTGTTGAAATTGTGTGGGTGTTTTTGTATCTCAATGGCTTCCCTGAGTAGTCTGTTGTGATAGCCGTTGACCGATGCTAGTAACTTACAGCTCTCAAGTGTGCCCAGTGCGTGTTCAGCTACTGCAGACTTCTCTGTCTGTCCTAGCCTGAAGCTTGCTTTATGCTCCTTAAGTCTCGTTCCCATTGATCTCTTGGTAGTTCCGATGTAGACCTTTCCGCATGAACACGGAATGCGGTAGACTCCTGCAGCTGAAAGTGAGTCCCTCTTGTCCTTCGCTGACCTGATACCGATCGATATCCCGAGACCAACCGAAGCGGAACAAGCCCCGCCCACCACCAATCGGCATAAATACAACCTGTGCAGGAGAAATCGTCAGTCTACGTCCAACATCGGAGGTTTAAGGACTTCTGAAGAAGCTCGCCACTCGTGCTAGCGAAACGTTAACGGCCTTTAAACCCGAATCAAGATAATAGCTTATCAACGGGGCGCGAAAGTCTTAACCAATTTATTCCTTGTATCTTTTGATAAAGCCAATGACGCCTGCACGTACTTTTACGGTAAGCTTATACGCCCCGTAAGCGAAAGTATCACCCGTGGTTCACGCAGGATATAATCAAGCAAATCCGTTTAAAATCAAAATATTTAAAATTGTTTAAGATTAGGAACGATCTTGATGCCATCAATCAATTTAAGTTATTAAGGGCCAAAATTAAATCAGATCTAAATAATTCTTATAAACTGTATGCACTGTCTGCTGAGTGTGAGGGGTTCAACTAACATTTTAGATAGGATGTTCTACAATGATAAATTATTAGATAGTTAGCAGAGCTAGACCAATTTACGAAAAAGGTGATAATTTAGATATCAGTAATTTTCGTCTCATTTCATTACTTTGCAATTTTTCTAAGGTTTTTGAAACACTCCTTTTCGAAGGCACACGACAGACTTGACCATGGGATACTTATTTCTAAGTTAAATGATTACGGATTATCATTAGTTGTTATTATTATTGTCTAATTAATTTGTTTTTATCTTATCTAAAATATCGGCTCCAGTTTGTTAAATTTGGTGGACTCAGCTCTGTAGAATATGTCGCAACATCCGGTGTTCCTCAAGGCAGCAATTTAGGTCCCCTTCTTTAATATTTTTATTAATGACATTGTCGAAAGTGTTGATGTTAATTGCTCGTTATACCCTGACGATCTAAAGTTGTTGTGCAAAATTGATAGTATTTAGGACTGCCAAAACCTGTCATTGAATATAAAGGGTATTGAAAACTGGTGTGTCCATAATAACTTGTCGTTAAATTCCATCAAATGTAATGTCATGACGTATTCATTTAATAGTAGTATTATCAGATATGATTACCAAGTCAATGACATCGTACTTCAGCGTCCAGCTACTTTTGTTGATCTAGGTGTTACTTTTGACCCTAAACTTTCTTTCATTCCACATATTGACTCCGCTGTGTCTGCCGCGAATAAAATGTACGGGTTTATAGCACCGAATTCTCTCTGTATTACGCATTTGTTAGATCTAAATTAGAATGCGGCGATATTGCATTCAGTCCGTTTTACCAAGTCCATACAAGGAAGCTGGAATCTGTACAACGAAAGTTCTTGAAACTCTTGTCTTTCAGGCATGGTAATAAGGTGAACTGAGGTGGCTTTTACTTGATGAAAATCCATTTATCCAAATAAATAATAACTAAAAGTTCAGATTTTCACAACGCCGTGTCTTTGACCATAAAACCATAATTAATGTTGTTGTGAGAATTTAAGTTCAATAAAGGAGAGGTATTTAAATCTAATTGACCGTTAAGCAATACATTTGAATGTCTCATTTTTTTAATCTCCACGTCTTCCTATAAATACAATTTTCTACTTTTTGTGGCTGTATCTAACTCTTTATAAACAGACTTCTTAATACGCCACTCCCAACAGAAAATTACAACAAAGAACTTAATATCATTAAACAAATTGCACTGAATAACGGCTACAATTATAGATAAAATTATATCATTATAGATAAAATTATAAATAAAAAACAAATCCAGACAACAGTAAACTCTATTTATCCGAAACCTAATACGAACAATTTAAAACAATTACATACATAGGAGAACCTAGTGAAAAAGTTTCAAAACATTTTTAAACATGTGGTTTAAAAATAGCTTTCAGAACTAACAACACAATAGGAAAAAATTTAAAAAACAATAAAACGAAATGTCCAAAATCTCAAAAATCAGGTGCGTACAGGTGGATCGTTCAAGAAACGCATTAACGAACAGAGCGTTTAAAAACTATAGTCTAGATTCTAATTATGCTGCACACTTAAACACAGAAAAACACATTTTTGACGACAATTTTGATATTTTACATACAAGGAGAAAATTTTAAAATATTCGTAATTTTAAAATTTTCTCCTTGCCACAGAATGTGCGATCCGTGGAACTCAGCAAGTTTCCAGCTTGATATATTTTCTTCTTCTATACGTGACGTTAAAACATGATTTTTTAAGTTCCTTTGCTTTTTTTTTAATTTGTCACTTATGTCCCTGTCCCTCAGTTGGGTTTATCCTGTTGAGCAGTGCATCTAAATAAATAAATGGAGATGTCAACCTCTCACGCTTGAACATTTCGATTTCATTTATTTACAAGAAACTGTCGAATCTAGATAAAAATAAAAGAACCGGTCCCGACTGCCTCCCACCATATCTTATTAAGCATTGCAGTTTCATACTTTCTAGACCACTTTATATTATCTTTAACGAATCTTTAAAAACGGGAACTTTTTCAACTTACTGGAAATCAAGCCTCATCACCCGTATCCTAAAATCCGGCGATAACTTGCAAGTCGACAATTATAGGCCCACCAGTATCCTGAGCTGTATTCCTAAAGTGTTCGAAAGATGAACCTGCGACTATTTATCTGGTGGCCGGAAAAGTTGCTTCATCAACCAACAATTTATATTTCTCCCCCATCGCTCCTCTGAGCTAAACTTGCTAACATTTACAGATTTTCTGCTAGAATCATTGGAGGAGGGGTCTCAGGTTTATGCCATTTACACAGACTTTCCAAAGGCATTTGATCGAGTCAATCGTCAAATCTTAATAAGAAAATTGCGAAATATTGGAATCTGGGGGAAACTTTTGGAACGGTTAATATCGTACCCTACTGAATTCCAATCCACCGAAATTAAAGTGCCTTTTGGTGTTCTGCAAGGATCACACCTCGCACCAATGATATTTCCTATTATTTGCTGACGACCTAAAATTCTATATGAGAGTCCAAAATTCTGATGACTGTATAAAACTCCAAACCGATTTAGATCACCTGTCGCTATGGTGCGATTTGAACTTCAACTGGAGCAAAAATCTCTAACATAAAAGGGTCACCGTTATTGCAGACCTCCGTAAGTGTGGAGTGTTACTCGATATTAAATTGACTTACACACACCATGTTTCAATCACTTCATATTTTGAGCTTTACTAAGCGCCATAAAGTGGACTTCCAGAGTGTTCCGTCTCTTACTATTCTGCTCCCTCGTGCGTCCACACCTGGATTATTGTTCCTGTGTGTGGTCACCTTCGTCTAACATCCACATATAGGCCATAGAAAGAATGCAGCATAGGTTCCCGTGGTAAGAGCATTGAAGGAGCACCAAGGATTTGAGAACGCCGATTAGTCGCAATTGGAAATCTCTCTCTAGATTCGTCGCATGCATTTCACGATTTTTTATAACCTGCTGCACTCAAATTCTGATTTACGTTTCTGTTATACGTGTTCTTAATCTTCTGTCGACTAACTATATTAATATTAATATTTTGGAAAACCAATGTTTGTCATAATCTCCTTCTTCTGCAGCATATCCATTAATTCCTTGTTGCATGTATTAGTTCTTAAATTGTCCTCAGCCGCGTCCTCTTCCTGCCGATTCCTCTCTTTCCTTCAATTATTACGTATCACGTGACCTAAATATGCTGTTTTTCGGCGTTTCATTGTGTTTAGCAATTCGCGGTCTGTATTGATCATTCTCAAGATCCCATCGTTTGTTTTTCTTGCTGTCCATGTATACGTCTGTAGATCCACATCTCGAATGCTTCAATCTTGTTTATATGGCTCACCTTTGGTGTCCATCCCTCCATACCATACAGTAATACAGGACAGACGTATATTGTTGACCCACACGCCATTCATCTTAACGTTCTTCTAGGGCTTCCTGAAAGATGCTTTCAGAATACAAATTAAAGAGAAGCCGTGAAAGAACACATCCTTGCCTGATCCCTCTGCGGATTGGTTTTGCTTCCGTTCGTTACCAATTTTGACTTTAGCGTTTTGATTCCTGTATAAGTTTTCAATGCAGGTCTATGTCATAATGGACCTATCTATTTCATTTTGTTTTATTTTATTATGTTTTTTTACTATTTTGTTTATGTGAATCTCATGTGAATTGGCCCCTTGATAAATAAATAAATAAATAAATTTCAGATGTAAACGCGCGCAACGTCAATATGCTTGCGACGTGGATGTGCGAGCACCCGTACCCCGAATCGGCGTCGGACGGGGCACACTCGAGCGGCTCCCCCGTCAGGTTTAACGACCTGGTACGCCGAAACTTTATCATGGAAAGGTACATATTTGAACGAGATATTGGTACGGTTTTTCTCAAGCGTGCGCGTGGTCCAGGGCGCCTCAGGATTCGATAAGAAACCCGAACGCGGACTGCGTCCACCGACGCGGCATGGGACCGCGTAGACGCGCCTGCCCCGAGCTGAGAATCCTGGTGGAGAGGGCGGGGGCGGCGCTGCAAGACCGGGTCCGCGATCGGTTACGGGAGCGCCAACACGTTCGAGGGGAGGCTCATCCCCTCCTACACGGCACCGCAGCGGACGACGCTCCCACGCAACGATATTTCCCCAACCCGTGGAGCTACGCGGACGTGTCCACTGGTTGCGGCACGTGTCCCTATTGCGAGCAATTCTCGTCTCATTTGGAAAGTCACCTACGGTCGGCGCATCCTGGATGCGGCGTCACGTGGGGCACCGGCACCTGCGGCACCGTCACCGACTGGTTCTACGTCACGTGTCGTCAGTGCCACATCAAATATTCGAACCGTGGCGCGGCGATGCTGCGCACTCTCGCGCCCGATCTCGTGCTCGACGACGACGACGCGACAGAGACGGACGCGCAGACCTTGAAGTGCCCATTGCCGGAGTGCGAGGAACTCGAAGAAATCAAGGCGTGAGTGGGCGGAGCTATTTTTTTTTCGCGAAGGATAAAATTCTTGCCCGCGTTGCGGATGAAGAATTTTAACCTTTACTGTGCCTTTGGGCTGCTGAGTTTAATGGGTTTTTGTTAGGATTTTGTTAGGCGCCCAATAATGGAAGTTAATTTTTAAAAGAAACTTCCACAGGCTACTGAAGTATTTTTAACAAAACTTTTGGATTCGTCCTGCTTCGATTTTTGCTGAGTCGAACTTACGGACGTTTCGCCAATTATCCTGTTGGGTTCATCTTGTAGAGACCATAACATTATCCCCAATTTTCTTAAAATATCCCATCACGTCAAAACCTCATCCGCTTACAAAATTCTTTGAAAATCTAGTTTCGCTTTACTTGGAAAAAGAATTCATCGTACCCGTAAGGAAATAGACCAAATCAATAATGCTCTTCTGTCTCTACACCTTGAAATTTCTTCCATTTTGTCGCCATCCGAGTTCGATATCCATTCATTCTTCATTTATCTACTACCCAAAATCACATTCAGAAATTTGAAAAACTAATCTCAACACTAGGAAAACCATCAAATTCTTCTCAACTACCAAACACTGTAATAAATATATCATCACACCAACTTTCGGAATTGGAAAAATTAGTTCTTTCTAAAGGTTCCAACTTCGTTCGACGTATTATCCCAAAGGAGGAAATCATTTCAAATGTCGAGTCTGTAGTAAAACAAACTATCACCTCAAACAGCTAATGAAATTCGATTTGAAACAGCAAAAATACTTAAAAAATCAAAACCTCCTAAATCCAATATTGCAAAGCGTAAATGCATTGCCCCAAAATCTCTAAAATCTAATCCAGACACCGCAATCCTAAAAGCAGATAAAGGAGATACTATTGTGGTCATGGTCACAAATGAATATCAGATCAGGAAAAGAAAATATTCTTACAAACAATTCTCAAAAACCCTACGTCATCTGTTATTAAATGCTATCAAACTCCGTGAAAAAATTTGTTACCCCCCATGGCTCTAAAATTCCTCGTCTATACGGATTTCCAAAGATCCACAAACCAGGATTACCCCTTTGACCCATTGTCAGCACCATTGGTTCTCCAACGTATTCTCTAGCAAAATATCTAGCTTTCTTATTAAAACCCCTTACAGCCAATACTGACAGTTTCGTTCTTAATTCCTTTCATTTTATTAAACAATTAAAAGCCATTACATTAAATACACAAGATATTCTAATTAGTTTCGACGTAGAATCCCTCTTTACCCAAGTTCCTATTCCTGAAACTCTTAACATCATTTCAGATATATTAAAGTCCACCTTACTTGAAAAGATGCTTGTCTGGAACATATTTTTCTCGGTCAAATTTTTGGAACAAACGTCGGGAACAGCTAAGGGTTCTGCACTATCAACAGTCATCGCCAATATATTTATCGAAGCCTTTGAAAAGAAAACTCTCTACACCTTTCATCTAAAACCAAAATTATGGGAACGCTAACACCCTAACATACGTTTTACCCGTTCATTTGGAAACTAATAATAGTCTTCCATTCTTAGATATTCTTGTCAATAGAAAATCAGACCTTACATTAGGTCATTGTGTTTACAAAAAACTTACGCACACAGATGGATACCTTAAGGCATGGTAACATCACCATCTGGTCCAAAAATTATCGGTTATCGACAATCGGTTTACAGAGCTCAGATCTCAACCCGAGTCACTGAACACAGAATTAAAATACCTTACATCTGCTCTTCCCTCTAATAATTTCCACATAAAAGATATGCGTTCCAACAAAAAATACACTTCACTACAACCTTCCAATAGCAATGAGGTCGAAAGTAATTCTACACTTGCCACTGTGGTTCTTCCTTACATTCAAAACATCACTGAACACATATCAAAAGTTCTAAAGAAGAATAGCGTCAAAATCAGATTTACCACATGTCCAAAAATCTCTCAACATCTTCGGTTCGTCAAAGACAAAATTCTATTTGAGATGACAGGAGTCCATGCATATGCGGCAAAGAATACATTGCAGGGACCGGACGAAAAATATCAACTAGGTTCAAGGAACACGAAAGAGCCACACGAAACCGGGCATTTTTTTTTAAAATTTTATTCTACCAACGGAAAATCCGAGATTCTAGAAATCTCAGGTCTCAAACTGTCACCAATATGAGAATCAGTCATCCGAGACGGTGTCGATGCCCCTCATTTAGCTCCGCCCCCCTCAAACAATATATAAGTAGGTACAGAGTAAAATGCGAGCCAGTTTCCGTTTTATAGTTTGCCACAAAAACGGCAATTTTCACCCTGTAAATAATCCAAAAAATTCCCAACGTAAAAGATATAACCTTAGATCTCCCACGTTTCCCCCATGCAGTACGCCGTAATAATCAATGACTTCATCACATCTCGATTGAGGGCGAGAAATGGTGATTTTCATTTGGATTTTTTCAAATATCTCGAACGACGTACGTGATAGGCGAAAACCGTAAATACAAAAATTGTAGCTCGCGATGTGCCCTGTAACAGTGTTTAAAGCAATTGGGTTCAATAATTTTGCCGATGAAATTTTTTTCGAAATTTGCACCTAGTTTTTACAAATTGCATGCGGGAGTGTACTTCTATCAAAGTGCCAAATTTGAAGTCAATAGCTGCAAATTCCGGGCCCTTGCTGCATTTTTCAGCACAACACGTTATATCTCGAACACACTGTAAAATATGTGAACACTTTAAATACAAGAGTTTTAGCTCTTTGTATGGGCTAAACTGTCATGTGGAAGAAACCACCGACTGAGTAACAGTGTTTAACTTACAGTTGAAAGGTAATTCAATTTTCAGATTTTTGGTAATACCGGTACACCTTGTATGTTTTCGGAAAATTGTGAAGAATAAAAGTTTATGTGCGCCAATATTCCGCGTCTTCTCGAAAATTTTATAATTGACTAACCGTGCGGCGCCCTTGCCGTCGCCAGGCTCCTAGGTGTGTCCGACAAAGAGTCCGGCGCGCAGGTGGTCCCGTTCCACGGCGCGGACCCTCTAGGCGCCGGCGCCGTCCCGAAGGTGAGAAGGGAAGCGACGCGCGCCGAACGAATCCGCTCCCGGGGCGGTGTGGGCAACCAAGCCCTTTCGCTCACGACGTCGTCGTCGCGGATGCTCGCTCTCCGCGATCTCACCGCGTCGATGAGGATCCTACTCGCCCGCCAGATCGTCCTCAACGTCCTCGCTTCCCTCTCCGCCGGGTCGGACCACGCCTCCCTAATCGGCTACCTCGAATTGATGGGCCTCTCCGATGTCGGCATCCTTGTCCGCCTAATGACGTTGACGGCCACCGGCCGCGTCGAAGTCGGCAAGTTGAGGGGCGACGTCCCGGTCCGACGTCGTCTGCCTAAAGATTTCGGCGAGCAGCTGTCCGCGCAGCTTTCTGGCCCGGCGGCCGCGTGTCTCAAGTACCTGAGCGTCGGCATCGCGACGCTCGCGCAGAGCGACCCGCGCGTCTCAAATCTCGTAGTCGACATCTGCACCAAGGACCTGAAGGCCGTAGCGTTGGGCGTGGCGGCGCCCAAATCGGGCTTCGCCGTCACGCAAGCCCTCGTCAATATACTGTCGACGCGCGGAGGCTGTTCTCTAACCGACCCGCCCAAGGAGGAGACCTCCGGCGAGGGGAGGGATCTCGCGCTCGCCGACGCACTCTCCGCCTACGTACTATCGAGCGTCGTGCTGAAAACGGGCAAGGAATGGGCCGCGCAGCGTCTATTCAAGTGCATAGCGAGCAGGGCTGAGATGATGGCCGCCGACGAACCGCACCGCGCCAACTTGGCGGACTTGTCGGGCACGATGCCCACGCAGACGGTACTCTCGATCGAAGGGCACGACAACCGCGTGGCGACGCTGGCGTGGTGCGAAAGCAACGGCACCCTGGCGTCCGCCGGCTACGACGGTACCGTCCGTCTGTGGACCGTGGAACCCGGCAAGCAAGCCATTTTCGATTCGACCTTGGTAAGTTTGGGGCGGCGCCCCATTTTCGAAGGTTAGAGTAATTTCGCGTGTGTCTTGAAGCCTTTAGTTCACGAGATATAACACAAAGTTAATTTTTTTTAAATTGAATACCCCAATTTAAAAAAAAAAATGTTTTCTAATAAAATTTCCTGTCAAACGATGTGCCATACACCTATTTTTATTAAGCAGCTAAAAAGATATCTGCAATTTTTAATAATTACAATAGTAGGCTGTGCTTAACTCTGACCTTTACTATGATCAGATAAAACCAATTGCCATGATACACAAGCCCTTTGAAATCGGAAGTAACGAGAATCGACGGACGGCGTTAAATCTATATTTGCAGAGATATCCGGAAAGAAGGCAACTTAGCTCAAAAATATTTTTGAAGTCATCTACAAAAATACGGATCCTTTACAACACCGCTGCCTAGGACGTATAGAAGCCTAGCCAAAGATAGAGAGTTGGAAGAACTAACGGTTCTGGGAGAAATAAAATTAACCCGAATACTTCCACCAGGGCTATACTAGAATATACTAGAATTCCACGCAGCAATGACGTGCGAGATTTCACTCCAAGACGTGCACTTTGCAGATGGCACCTAAGTGAATGCCAAGAAGACCCCGATTTTGCCAGGAAAGTTATTTGGACGGATGAGGCAACAATTTCTAGTGATGCAATATTCACCAGGTATAACTGCGATTGCTGGAAACAACAAAATCACCATATTATGGTGCAACAAGCGAATCAACGAAAGGTTCAGTTTTGTTGATGGAAATTTAAATGCCGAAAGATACCAAGAAATTCTAGAAGAGCAGGGAATTACGTTTATCGACAATTTGCTACTTCAGCAAAATAATGAGCTATACTTTCAACATGACCTCCTCACAATGCACGAGAAACTACTAATTTGCTAAATAATGCGTTTGCCGAAAACGGGATCGTGGGGGTGAATCAAAGACCTTGAAGAGGCACTTCGTGCTGCGTTCAACTGCTTAATGCAGAAAATAACGTCAAGAGAACATGTAGGATATGTTTACAAGAAATCGGCCGTCAATTTGAGCATTTGTTTTAGAATTAAATAAACTTATTAGATGTAGATTTTAAGTGTTACATAGTTTCATTAATAAAAATTTTAAATAAAAAAAATGCTTTTAATAATTTTATTTCCGTTTATTTTTTTAGGGTTGTAATTATTGTAAACTAGAAGTTAAAGTGCGAAGTTGCTGTGTCCCCTCGTGTCGTAGCCAACTTGATTTTGTATGAAAAAAGATCAATAAAATTTTATCCTCACATTTAGGGCGCGCACAGCGCCTACTATGGTAAATATCAAAAATTGCAAATATCTTTTAAACTATTTAATAAAAATAGGTACATGGCACGTCGTTCGACAGGAAATTTTATTAGAAAACGGATTTTGAAGAAAAATTGGGGGTATCCCATTTAAAGAAATACAACTGTGTGTGATATCTCGGGAACTAAAAGCTCCAAGACAAAACTCTAAAAACCCTATTCTTCCAATTAAAAAAATTATAGAGGGCCTTTAAAATCGCATATTTTTGAGAAGCTCTTTTTGTGAAAATAAGTTGAAGCATTTCGCGATTTGCCACAGATTTCTGACTACATGATCATTGGATGTTATCTAGAAACCAAGCCATTAAAAGAAAAACCTCAAGTAAATTTCAGACTCCCGATTAATCAAGAAAATATGAATAAAATAATTCCAGAATTGTATGGTATGCATGGTATGATATACGCGCCTTTTATAACTAACATAAACCGGGTTGGAGATAAGATACTACCAATGAAAAAAATTATTAATGACAGAGTTCCTTGGATGAGCCCTATGATACTTCGCACAAAAGGCACGGGATATCGCTTATAAAAAGTTTAAGCATACTAAGTAGCAGACCGAGAAGTCGAAATATTATGAAAGAAGCATCGATCGGTGTAAGGAAAACAGCAAGAAAATGTGGCGAACGTTAAAGGGATTAAAAAGGAGCAAACGCAGAAATGCAGGCAACTTTGAAGATCTTAAATTTGAAGATGATTTCAGTAATGTAGAACAAAAATTTAACTTCTATGCAAAAAGCATTCTTGACATTGCTGCAAGTATTCCAAATATACAAACCAATTTTGACGAAACTAGTAGTAGTAGTAGAAAATCTTAAGGAATTCACACACTTTCAAACGCTGAATATAAATGAGCTTAGCCATTGGAGCAGAAGTCTTGTTTTTAGTGTGATTATCAACCTTCATTTTCGATACTGTAATTCGCTTTTGATTTCTTGTAGAAACAGTGGTGTTCATAGAATAGTAGTGCTACAAAATAAAGCCATGCCCCCCTTTACATTCCCATTTGTGTAATGCTTGGGTCTTTAGGGTGGTTGTCGGTGTCTCAGAGTATTGAGTTCTCTAATGTTTTGCTGATATATAAAATAAAAAAATAAATTGCTTTCAAGATTATTTAATTCTTAGGTCGTACAAACATTCTTGTAATGTTGACACCAAAAATGTACCGAACTTAAAAAGCTTCTTATATTGATATTAATATTAGCGTGAATTAGCTTTTGCTTTTATATAAATGTGATTTTCTGCGATTCGAATATATGTTTGTGCCTTATAGCATGTATGCTAATGATAATAAACCATTTGATTTCATTTTATTTCAGGTGCTGCACGCGTCCGCGGACACCTTCGGCAACGACCTGCAGGGCAAACTCGTCGGCCACCTGAAGTGGTCGCCCGGCGGCGATTACATCGCGGCAGCGTTGGACAGCGTAGTCAACGTGTGGCCGACGAAACGGTCGGAACGGAGCTGGTTCATCGAGCAGATGGGTGAGTTCGTGACGGACATTTGCTGGCCGCGACAGGGAAGCGAAGATCACCTGCTAATCGGCAAGATAGACGGCACCGTCAGCCTGCTGACCGTCCTGAAAGACGGCGACAAGCGGCTCGAGACGTTGGCGCACCTGGCCCGGCCTCACGCCGTCGTGCGCATCGATTGGCGACACGAAGACGAGCCCTTCGCGGTCGGCTACCTCGACGGGTACGTCAAGGTCGGTCGGCTCGGCGAGGACGCGGAAACGGCCGACGCGCACGTCAACGCCGTCTCGGGCATGGAATGGGACCCGAGAGGCATTCTGCTGGCCACCATCTCCACCGACGTGACGTGCAAGTTGTGGTACGGCGGCTCCGTGCTCGTTCACGCGATCCCGCTGGCCCACGAGCCGGCCAGCGTCGCGTGGTCACCGCTCGTCACGCCCGGCGGACTTCTGCTGGCCGTCGGGACCGCCTACGGCACGGTCCACGTGTGGAAGGTGATGCACCGCGACTCCGACTTCGACCCCGTGACCGCCGATTTGATGTTCTCCGCGCGCGGCCATTCCTATTACGCCGTCTCGGCGCTATCGGTCAGCTCCGACGGCCTCCTGCTGGCCAGCGGGTGTCTCAAAGGTATCGGCCTCCTTTATCTTTCCAGGAAATGGTATTGTTAATAACTAGAGTTAGGATTTTATGTAAAAAACATTTTTTGAGGTTATTAGATTAACCATATAAAAAAATTGCATATTAAGCTTCAGTGCATATTTTTAGTGAAGTGAATATTTTCTATTTTTCGAGCATAAAATCGCATAATTTTGACCCATTATTACTGGGATTTTCCAGATTATCTGCAATATTGGGGACTATCTATTTGTAGCCTTCAAATCCCGTTACCTAAGGATTAGGCCCACGTCCCTTTTCTTGTCTGACGCTTTTATCTAATGTGATTGTAACAACCTTTTCTGAAAATTATCACTGACGGTGCTTGCGATTGAATGAAAATACGTGCCACCCTCTTCATATGTACATTTTGAATTTTTCCAAGTATTTTGAACATTTTATTTGCTGTCCGAGAGTAACAGTAAGAAAATGCGGAAAGTGAATTATCATTTGGTGTCTGTATGGATTAAAAATCATCCAGAGCTATCTTTGGAAAAAGAAGAAGTATTCTGCATCGCTTGTGGAAAAGTGGTAAGTTCTCATTAATTAATTTGAAATATGTAATTGAATAAAATCACAAATAGACCAGCACGTCGCCACTGGAGAACATAAAAGTGGATAAATAAAGAAGAATACAATTTCGCAGAGTTCTTTGCAATAGTGCATTTCGGCGGCATCTTCAAGAACAACTGATCAAGACAATTTTAATTTACACCTATGTGTTAAGTGCAAATATTACCCTTGATAAGGTACAGAACACTAAAGTTAACTAAAGTTAAACAACATGAAAGTACTTTAAGAAAAAAATTGTGTAAGTTCCATTTACAAAAATGTCATTCAAATCATAAGAAATTATATTAAAAATCAGCATATTTACATTATTGTAGACGAGACAACAGATGCTTGTGGTCGCTATATTGCGAATTTATTAGTTGGTGTTTTGAATGAAAATGTTTTACCAAAATCTTTTTTTTAATAAGTACAAAACAGTTGGAAAAAACTAACAGTATAGAGATTGTTCGATTTGTAAATGAAAGCTTAATGGTTTTTTTGCTCCAGATATACTACCAACCCATAAAATCCTTCTCTTAGTCACCGACGCGGCAGCGTATATGACCAAAGCAGGGCTAAATTAAATATATATATATATATATATATATATATATATATATATATATATATATATATATATATATATATATATATATATATATATATATATATATATATATATATATATATATATATATATATATATATATATATATATATATATATATATATATATATATATATATATATATAAATTATATGCACGTGACTTGCTTAGCGCATATAATGAATAGTATAAAATAATAATAAGTAAGTCTTTAATTTCGAACTCGTAATTACTCGATGGGGAATGTGATTAGACGCAGTCTTCTTTCACGCGTATCACTTTATTCAAATAAAAAACATTGTATCTGACTTTTCAGATTCAGCTGATTCAATTAAAAAAACGAAAAATTTATATGAAAAATGTGAACTTATAGATCAGTTGACATAAATCAAAGCTAATTTTAGTTTTTTTAAGTGGCTTTATTAAAAAATTAGAAATCGAACAGATGTCTTTGTTTAGAGTCAATTTCAATAGTAGAAGAGCACGAACATTTGTTGAAAAAAGTTCCAAGCAGAATAGGGAAAATTATTCTTTTGCTACATTTAACCGCGTACCAACGAAAAATGAAGGATTTCAAAAGTTACTTAAAATTTCAAAAATGTTATCATTAGATACGGTTGATAATGATTTACATTATTTGGAACCAGAACATCCTGCTTCATTTAAATTCGCGCTAATTACTTCGGTCGATGTCGAAAGGACGTTCTCCAAATGCAAAAACATATTCAGCTATAAAAGACAAAAATTAACCGAAGAAAATTTAGAAGAGCATTTCATTGTCAATTGGTATAATAGTAATAATAGGTCTGATTGTAAAAAATAGTTTTTACCATAATGCTTTAATGTAGGTTAGGTATAAGTATATAGATATGTCATTAATTTATTGTTAGCTAAGGTTAATAAATACTCCTAATTAAGTATTATTATTTTTATGTCTAAAAACTGTAAACATAATGTTGTAATTTTTTTCGTTGTTTGACTATTCTTTTCATGATTTTCAGTAAAAAATAAAGGGCATAAAAGTACATAGATGGTAGAAAAAACATACATATTTTTTTGATAAAACCAGAATTTACGCGCATATTTTAAGCATTTTTTGAGCATAAAAATCCGAACTCTAATAATAACAACGTTCAGGACCTGGCGGCGTAGTCAACATATGGTCCTTGCATAGCGGCGCGCTGATGTACACGATGACGGGGACAGGGGGCGTGGCCCGCGACGGTCTCAAGTGGATCGACTCGAACGGTTCGCTGGCGATCGCGTTCTCGCGCGCCAAGGCGATCAACTTCCTCACTTACGGCGTCGACGATCTCAAACGCAACCTCCCGTTGGCTACGGCGCGATGCGCGATGACCAAGAGGGGCGTCGGCGGCGTGAAAACGGCTCCGTTTTTCAAGACGCTCGTCGCGTTGTTGCCGCGCATGCTCGCGCAACAGTACCATGCCGAAAAATTAAGCGTGTCGACCGGCTCGCAGCTGATGCATTCCGTCTACTTGAAAAGCCTCGCTTCGCTGGCCATCGTCCTCGAACTGGACAAGGTCGCTTGTCTCGACGTGAAACCTTTTAACGATGTGTACGACGGCACAGTCCGCGAGTGTCACTGGTTGCGCATGTTCGGCGTGGCCGCACGAATGGCGGACGGCCTTGTGAAAAGGTCCAGGGCGGCGACGGAGGAGGAGTTGTCGCGAAACGCCCTCTGGACTATGAAACAGGACGAGCAGATCGTGCAGTGGGCGGCGCAGAGGCCGCAGGACTGGGAGATAGGCGGCAAATGCAAGGTAAGGCCGTTACGTTTAAACTACCGTATGTGGTCGGCATATTTATATTACAATTTCGATTCTAAGAATTCTAAACAGATATGGAAAACTTTAAATGTGTTTAAAAATTGTAGTCGGCAGAGTTTGGAAGTACCACCCAACTTAAAAAATCCCAGTGATATTAATCATTATTTTACTTCTGTTTTTAGCAATATTAACAATTGCCCCGAAACCACTTCTTTCTATAAAAATCGCAAATTCAACTCGAATATATCATTTGCATTTAAACTCGCAACTATTGACTTAATTAAAGCCGTTATTTCAAACTTAAGTCAAATTCTGCTGGTGTTCAGATGACCCTCCTCCATATTACCGCGCCATAATAATAATAATAATAATAATAATGATAAGTTTATTTATCAATTAATACAAGCCATAATATAACGACTACAATATAAATATAACTAATTATAACTATTACTATAACTATAACTATTCATACTAATTCCCGTAACTACAAGTTAAAAAAATAAAATAAAACAAAAGATTATTTAGTAGAAGTGGGAGTAAAATAATTACGATTATTTGAAAAATAACACCAAAGAAATACTTCTTGTCGGTGAGAACTAAACTTATAGGTCTTATATAATTATGAAAAGTAAAAAGCGTTAATGAAAGATAACGAATACCTACCTAAGTTATACATGTAGTTAAATATGGATAAATCAATACAAATTGGAAAAGTCAAAAGGGTAATGAAAAATCGAACGGTAACAAATTGAATGAAAACTAAAATGAAAATGAAACAGGAAAGGAGTGATAAAATTATGTTGTAATAACAAGCTTGATTTGAAATGTAATTCTATTAAATTTATTAGCCATTGGTTTGTCATGATCAGCTACAGTTTAGTCTAGTTCTGGATACGTTTTCTTGGTTATGTGTTTTTATCATTGTTGAGGATACTTTGACAAATTCCAAAATTTATTTTTTTTGTCGTACTTTTTAAGCTATCCGTATTTTTTCATTAGCAGTGAATGAATTCTCTTTTGACTTAGCAGCCATTTGTTTGGTCGAGATTTAAACAAAGTTAAAGAATTTATATTTTTGATTTCAATCGGTAGCTCACTGTGGATATTTGGGCTCAAGTACAAAAAGAATCTTCGTCCTAGTGAGGCCTTGGTTTGAGGAAGGTAACCTGTTACTACTTTGTGCCTCGTGTTATGATTATGCTTTATGGTTTGTAACGTGTCATTTTTCTTATATTGTCGCATTGCTATACTTTGCACAAAAAGTTGAAGAATAACTAAAATTTCACTCTATCGGAATAACTTATTACTTGGATATAGTTTATTCTTGCCATAAATTACTTTTAATATCCACTTTTGAGTGATTTCTAGCGTTCTAAGCGTTCTATTATTCCATAAGTTAAATGTTGTTGAACAACTGCGAAATTTAAGGCTCTCTAGTACGACATTTCAAAATATGTTTTCAATTCTTTAAATTTTCTGATTGAAGATCTTAAGCGGTTATATTTTACGTGTTCACCCCACTTTAAATGCGGATCAAGTAGAATCCCGTTACACCTTACACATATTATTAATTGCTGGTTGGAAGTAGGCTATTCTCCTAGTATTTGGAGGTTTACTTTGATCATACCATTGGTAAAAAATAAGATCCCAGTCAGTTCTCAGACCTTCGTCCAATCAGTATCCTTCCAACTTTATCTAAAGTTTTGGAGAAATTCACAAGTGTACAAATTTATGATTATGTTATTTCCAAACATATTGTCACTAAAGGCCCCCACAGATGCTCAGTTTTTTAGCACAGGCCAATTTGTGCAGTTTAACTGTCCTGTCCCACACACACGCAGTTTTATAGCACAGAATTTATCCAGTTATACAGCTAACTGGATAAATTCACACTCACTAGTTTTGGCACGGTTTTTCTATACTTAGTAAAAGAAAATGGCTTCTCTAGACACGCCATTATATTCCAGTGTGCTTGCCTGTGCAATAAAGAAAAAGCAAAAAAAACAACGGTTGGTTCAAAGAAGCAAATGGACTAAAGATTGGTTACTCAAAAGAAATGATTACTCCCATGTCAATTTACTTGCTGCTTTGAAACTCGAGACGCAAGATTGGTTTAACTACCTAAGAATGAACGAGACAACCTACTTGAAATTATTGAAACTCGTTTCTCCTTTAATACAAAAACATGCCTCATGCATGTGTCTAAATGAGGCAATCAATTTCATGCCATGAGCGGTTAACAGCTATTTTTTTAACCACGACTTCCCTATTTGCTCCCGTATTTCTTCTTTGAGTTTTTCGACCGGACTTTTTATTTCTGTCACTGTATTCTTTACTCTTTATTTTCCATAAACATGGTAAGCTTTTGTATACCTCAATAAATTCGCTTAAAAACTGTTTGTTAACATTCGTCATTTTGTTGCTTACTATTTTTGGATTCTAAATAAACTTTAAAACTGAACAAATCAACAGAACGAGTCCCACACTCGCTCAGGTTTCCAAGTTTGCGCAGGCTAAATTCAAGCGCGGTCTGATTTTGCCCAGGCCAGGCCAACGGCCTGCGCAGTCGGCCGGACGTTCACACAAACGCACCGATATGCCTGCACAAACTAGGTTTGCACAGGCGGCCTGGATTATAAAACTGAGCGTCTGTGGGGGCCTTAACAGTCAATCTGGATTTCGTAAAGGTTTTAGTACCATTAGTTTACTTTTACACATCAATGATCACACTATTAGTTCTTTAGATAATGGTCTTGCGACTGCACTTATATCTTTAGATTAGGCTAAAGCCTTTGACCAGAAACGTATGTGCGCCAAATTGAGTTACTATTATTTACTAGTTACTATTCGTTTTTTAATGTTATTCTTTTTGTTTTTATTTTTAATAACTTTCTATTGTTCCATATGACTATTACATTCGTCTATTATACTATATTTAATTTATCAATGTTATCAACTTCCTATTTATAAGGTTGTTCGGAAAGTCATTTCGTTTTTTCCCGTCAGAGGACTTAATTACGTTTTTTCGAAACCAACTTCACACTTAAGCTGCATAACCATATACGTCTTGAGAGCTGATATTGCAAGGCTTGTGTGTGAAAAAGTTCTATTAATTCTACGCAGTAGTTTTTGGTTGGTGCCCTTTTAAATATGGAGAGCAATAAGCAGCATTTTCGTCATATTTTACTTTTTTACTCCAGAAAAGATAAAAATGCTGTCCAAGCGAGAAAAAAATTGACGGATGTGTATGGAGAAGGCGTGCTAACAGTACGCCAGTGCCAGAACTGGTTTGCAAAATTTCGATCCGGCAATTTTGATGTCGAAGATGCACCACGGTCTGGAAGGCCGGTCGAAGCTGACAAAGATGCGATAAAATCATTAGTTGATGCAAATCGGCGAATAACCACACGAGAGATCGGTGGGAGATTAAATTTGTCGAATTCGACTGTTTATGGCCATTTGAAAGGCATGGGCTTAACCTCGAAGCTCGATGTGTGGGTGCCCCATGTCCTTACGGAGCGAAATTTGTGTCGTCGCGTTGACGTGTGTGATTCGCTCCTCAAACGTCAAGAAAATGATCCATTTTTGAAGCGGATTATTACTGGGGACGAAAAATGGGTTGTATACAACAATATTAAATGCAAGAGGTCATGGAGCAGAAAAGATGAACCGGCTCAAAGCGTGTCAAAAGCCAACATTCACCAAAAAAAAGGTGATGCTCTCCGTTTGGTGGGATGTCAAAGGAATCGTTTTTTTTGAGCTTTTGCCGAACAATACAACGATTAATTCAGAAGTCTATTGTCATCAACTGGACAAATTGAATGATTCACTTAAAGAGAAGAGGCCCGAATTAATCAACAGGAAGGGTGTAGTGTTCCACCAGGATAATGCGAGACCTCACACAAGTTTGGTCACTCGCCAAAAACTTTTACAGCTTGAATGGGACGTACTGCAATATCCACCATATTCTCCAGATCTGGCGCCTTCCGACTACTATTTGTTCCGGTTCCTGCAAAATTTTTTGGATGGCAAAACCTTTACCTCAAATGAAGATGTCAAAAACCACCTGAAAAAGTTTTTTGCCAGCAAGGACCAAAACTTTTATGAGAGGGGAATTATGTTACTGCCAGAAAGATGGCAAAAGGTGTTGGACCAGAACAGCCAATATATAATTTAATAAAATATTTATTCATTATACGAAAACCGTCTTTCATGTTCCCCAAAAAAAACGAAATGACTTTCCGAACAACCCATAGTTTTCAATTTAAACATTTAAGAGGCTAAGTGGAGTAGCTTTTGCTAGACTTCGCCTCTTCTTATATTTCTCCCTCGTCACCTACTTCAATGTATGAGAAGTTTACTTCACCTACTTCAGACCTCTTGGCTGGATACACAGATTGTGATGTGTTGATTGGTGGCGACTTCAATTTACCTAGTGCGGTTTGGAATAATTGTTAGAGTGGTTTGCGTGTGGTGAGTATGGAGTCTGTCACGTCGGCACATCTGCTGCATACCTGTTGTAATTACCACAATTTAGGTCAAGCTAACTGTATCCCTAATAAGTTTGGTCGATTTTTATATCTGTTATTGAATATTACAGAGCATCACCTGGCTTATGAAATTATATTGCCTATTGATTGTGATGTTGGTTTAAAGTATGATGTCTTTTATTATTATGATTTTAGAAATTGTAAGTTTAATGAAATTAATTGTTACCCTGTCTTGTATACCATGGGTGAGTGCACTTGACCCAAGGGATGTTAACAAATGTGTCGATTATTTCTATAGTGTTTTGTATGGTGCGATTGAGATGTTTGTTCCTGTTAAGCAATTTAACAACGTTGATGATTATTTTTATTTCTATGGCTTAAGAGATCAGTTTAAGACGCTGCGTAGTGAGTGCTATAGTGCATACATAATGAGAATTAATCAGGATGTCACGTATGACGCAAAATCTTTTTGGAAACATGTAAATGGTTTGCGAAGGTCAAGTGCATATCCCCGGTATTTGGGTGACGAGGTTGCCGACTGTGATCAGGATATTGTTGGCTTGTTTGCAAAGCACTTTGCTTCTACTTATGAAAAGTTCAAGGGTGTGATTCCTAATTATAATTTTGACTATAGTTTAGACTTCAACTACACTAGTGTTTCACTTACTGATGTCTTTGAGAGTATCATGAACTTACAGAGTGGATTTTCGTATGTGGCCCGGACGAGATTCCATCAGTCTTGATTAAGAATTGAGCTACACAGCATATTTTTAACCCGTCCTGGTCCTCAGATATTTTTCCTGACTTTTGGAAGGTTAGCTATTTGGTGTCTGTGGTTCCTAAACTGCTAGATATGTTATTTTGTAAAAGACTTTCGTGGCATTGCAGGGGAATTCTGGCCGATCAACAACATGGATTTGTGCATGGTAGATCTACTGTAACAAATTTACTCACCTACCAATAATTTTTATTGAAAGAGTTTGATCAGGTAGATTGTGTCTACACGTATTTCTCGAAGGGTGGGTCTGTGCATCTTGTCTCTAAGCTTAGAGCCATGGCCCTGGGGGCTGGGCTGATGCAATGGATTCGTATTAATAATTATGTCTCAGGTAAAATTGAGATTGTTTCGGGAGTTACACTGGACCCATCCTCTTTAGTTTGTTTATAAATGATTTTGTTAGCGTAGTTTCGGATGATTTGAAGATATTCAGGAGGGTTGGATCGCGCGAGGATGCTCTGCTGCTTCAGAAATGCTGTAGAATTAGCTTTAGTCGTTTGTTGAGTATGGTTCGCAACCGATATAGCATTGACGGAGTCGAGATCGAGGCCGTCACTAGTATTAGAGACTTGGGTGTTTTCTTCGATTCTAAACTGTTTTCTGACACATTTTGCTTAAGTGGTAAACATTTTTGTTGTACGCAATAGTGGCCAACTTACTCCACATTGCCTTAAACTCCTTTATAACTTTTTGGTTCGCTCTAGACTGTGGTATGGTCTCCATATTATGCCTGCCATATAGATAACATCGAAGCCGTTCAGAAAGTATTTTTAAGATCATTGGCTTCAAAGGCCAAAGGGTATCAAATCAACTAGAGTATTATAGCCAAGGCCTTCAATATTGATATTCTTCAACCCAGAAGATCTCAGAGGGATTTAGTTTTTCTCTTTAAGATTGATATTATTGTCCAGCTCTTTTACATAGCACATAATTTATTCACGCCTTACTAGAATGCTGAAAGCGTGCAACTGATCCTTTTGTCGGCAGTCTCCGCTCATTTCGTTCTGATGAGTTCCGTTTGAGTGTTGCCACTTAATTCTATATATATTGTTATTGTTACATTTTGTTCTAGTTTCTAGTTGTTATACTACTGTCTTTATCTTGCCTTTCCTTTAATGAATGTAAAAGTTTTGTAAATTGGTTAAGCCGTAAATAAATAAACATTATTTTCGTCCTCCTGTTGCAGGCTTACTTGTGGGGCTCCGACCGGCACGGGCAGCTCGCGGAGCTGGGATACAGCGCGTCGGCGCCCGCGTTCGTCGATTCGTTTTCTGTAGCGCGCAAGATCGTCTGCGGCCAGAATTGCACGTTCGTCATACTGACCAACGGCACGGTGATGGCCTGCGGCGAAGGTAGTTACGGCCGGCTAGGGCAAGGCAACTCCGACGACCTGCATACCCTGAGCGTCATATCGAGCCTGCAGGGGTTTGTCATCACCGACCTTGCGACTTCGGTGGGCTCGGACGGCCACAGTCTCGCACTGGCCGAGAGCGGCGAGGTGTTTTCTTGGGGCGACGGCGACTACGGCAAGCTGGGCCACGGCAACAGCGACCGGCAGCGCAGGCCCAGGCAGATCGAGGCGCTCCAGAACGAGGAGGTTATCCAGGTAACGCTTTTTTTATATTTAAAAGAATACCAAGTTTAGGGGGGTGGAGGGGGTGCGGATTCGCTAATCTATTGATAATAATTGAAATTTAAACTGTGCTTGCTTGTTAAATAAAAAAATTTATATTTTCTACAAACTTCGCAACCAACCACAACCTTTGTGCTTTCGGTATATAAGTAATGCTGCCTTTGCGGGAGTTTCCACAAAAAAATTATTTTAAATTATGTTTGTATGTTTTTGGTATGTTACTTTGTGAACTGAAAAGTGGTTATGTGTTTTGCTAATAAGTAATATAGCCAAAATTTGAACTGTCATAAGACTTTTTCTGTAGGGTCAAAGGGAACTTAACAAAAATTATTTAAAAAGTTGTGACGTAGCGGGGGTTATTATTTGACTTTTTTAAAAACCGACTTATATTTTTTTGTCGATATCTTCATTTTTTATTTATTTCTTAATGGAGGAGGAGTAAACTGCTCTTATTAAAGCGTATACTGGTATGGTGTGTTCATAGATATAAGAAAATGACAAAGGGTGGTCCTTAACATACAACGCAATAAGATTATTACCTAAAGTTTCGGAATTTAAATTCAGGTAAAATTGTGGTCCGTAATAGAAAATAATTTTATACTGAACTGTTTTTAATATTCTTATTTTAAGTTTACTAGTAATTATTCTTATTTCGTGTGTAATGCAGCGTGTGTTGAATCGTGTGCGAATTATGCAAAATATGTGCGAGTCTAGCGTATCTCAGGAGATGCTCCCGCCCAAATGTAGAAAACACGAAAAAGATGAAGCTGGTGTTAAATGTGGCAGAACTACCTTATGAAAGTGTATCCAACACATGCGTTTTAGACTTAAAAAAATTGACAAAAGGCAAGTTTTAATGGAATCTTTTAGAATTCGGAAATGGCGACTGGAATATCTAGCAAAAAATTAGGATTTACAGAGAACAGCAAAGACCAATTATTTACTTGGATGAAACCTGGTTGGACACTTATGATATCCCGGACCAACCGATAAGTGTAAAACAAACGTGCCATCAAAAAGAGGTAAAAGAATAACTATTTTACATGCTGGCTTTAAAGATGGTCGGATTCCAAATGGACTTTCTCTGTATGCGAAAAATATTAAAGATTCTACTCTGGATTACCATGAAGACACCACCGCTGATTTATTTGAAAGTTGGTTTAAAAACAAACTATTGTATATGCATATTGCAAATAATATAGAACAAATAATAATTAGAACAGGGGATGATAGCGATAGAGATACTGATATATTATGTGAATAATTTTAAGTAATTTAAATAGGTAATAAAAGTAATTTGTAATTTTATTTTAGATTTAAACATAAATACATATATAAATAAATAAATATTGTTTAATGTCTACAAAGTTGCGCTTTCACCTCATCGATACTAACCGCAGAAAACGAAAATTTGTCAAGTACATTTGTTTTTAAATTATTTTGGTAATACTGTAGCAACATAGGATCCGCTTGTTGTTTATTTTTGGAAAACTGTAGGAAATACTGGTTAATAACTGAAGGTCTGTTTAATCGGGAAGGGATATATTTGTATTACCTGTGGAAGTTTCTTGGAAAAATTAACTATTTTTGGCTCATTTTTTAAAATTAATTTCAATAAAATAGAACTTTGTAAGACATTGCGACATTACGAGGGATGTTTCCAACGTTCTGGAAATTTTGCCGTAATTAATGTTAGAAACGTCCCTAGTAAACGCACGTATTTCGCTTAGGTGGCTTGCGGGTTTAAGCACAGCGCCGTCGTCACCAGCGACGGCAAACTGTTCACGTTCGGTAACGGAGACTACGGACGTCTCGGGTTGGGTTCTACGTCGAACAAAAAACTGCCCGAGAGAGTGACCGCGTTGGACGCCTTCAAGATCGGTCAGGTCGCCTGTGGCCTGAACCATACCGCGTGCGTATCGGTGGACGGCCTGGACGTGTGGACGTTCGGTGAGGGCGACCACGGCAAACTCGGCATCGGTCACACCACCACCAAGTCCACGCCCCAACGGGTCGAGACCGTGTGCGGCGTGGGCGTGAAAAAAGTCGGCTGCGGCACCAATCTGACCGTCTTCCTGACGCGCCACGGCAAACTGTACGTGTGCGGCATCGATAGGATGCCGTGGCACGCCCTGACCCACGACCGAGCTTCTTACCTGCCACACCCGCTCGACGCCCTCGCCGATTATTTCGTGGAAGACTTCGCCGTCGGCACCGAGCATGTACTAATACTGACGCGCTGTGGCAAGGTGTTAGGGTGGGGCATGAACACCGAAGGTCAGTGCGGATTGGCCCACGTGTCGCTCGTCCGGGAACCGGAAGTGATCGCCGAACTGACGGACAAAGGCGTCAGGCAGATATCGACGGGACGAACGCACAGCGCCGCGTGGACCGCCGCGCCCCTCCCTAGACGAGTTCCGGGCGTCACTCAGAGTCTCACGTTCGGGCTCCCCGCCGAGATCCCGTCGCAGTACAACCACCTGCAGAATCTCTCGATCAAGGCGATACAGGCTAGGTGAGTGGTAAATGTCAATAATAATAATAGTAATTGTTTATATTTTGCACTTCATATTTACATTTATCTATTAGCAGTAAACCCAAAGCACAGCGCAAAAAAAAAGGAACTGGGAAACAATTTTAAAAATTATCAAAACCCGGTCACTAATTTCATATTATGATACATGATATGAGCATTAAAAACGTTGATTTGATGAGCCATCCATCATATAGTCCTGATTTAGCACCTAATGACTCCTTTTTATTCCCATACATTAAGTATAAATTAGGTGGGCAACGATTTTTGAGGCCAGAAGAAGCGATTGATGCGTTGACGATTGGTTTTATCGAATACAAAAGTGTATTGAGCATCAGGGTGAATATTTTGAGAAACAAAGTAATATTTGTTAGTAGCTTATGGTTTTTTATTACAAATCCCGAAATATAAAAGGTAGCCCTCGTATACATAAGAAAAAACTAAATATCTTATTAATAGAAGTGTACTATCTTTATATCGAAGATTCAAAGTGTGGACATCCGTTCGCTATTATTATTTTTCCAAAGAGGTATGGAGCGCAGGCATTTAAAATTATATTATAGTGCATGAAACTGTTTTCCCATTGATTGCCAACCTGCTTCACATAGTTTATATGATACGCCTGACACCGTAGATCTATCGTAAACACGACTGTTGCACTCTCTGTATTCTGGTTACATCTTCTTGATCCAAACAAGGGCCATAAACCGCATCTGCGTAATTAAAATGAGAAAGTACCAGCAAATGCATTAATCTAATTTTAAGGTTAGTTTAGGTGACGTAAACTCGTATAGGCTTTTTGAATGCACTATCAAAGTTTAATCACAAATTGCGCGTGCGTTCAATGCAAATTAAATATTGGTTTTTAATCGTGCACATACGGTAATAATAATAAATTGCCATTATTATGTATATATATATATATATATATATATATATATATATATATATATATATATATATATATATATATATATATATATATATATATATATATATATATATATAAAAATGTGATGACACTATATTCCGGGATATCATCCGTTCGCTCGTTGAACTCCGACTGGAATCCTGCAGACGTTTCGCCAAAGTCTCACTTGGCATCTTCAATGATCGCGCTCCGAAAATACAAATATGCAGTAGAGAAGAGGCAAAGTCTAGTTTAAATTAAAAACTAAGTTGGAAGTTGATAAATTAAATATAGTACAATAGATAAATGCAACAATAGAAGTTATTAAGAGTAAAAATAAAAAGAATAACATTGATTGTTAAATTATTCGAGAAGTTAGCAGTATTTGAAAGTCAATTTAAGTTCCCGGATTTTGTGGGAAATCCCATCAAATTTACGCAAGCCGAAAATGAATCTGCAACAGCTGTTTTGAATTTTTTGCAATCTATATTTATTAATACTATCAAGGCACGGGTAATAGAGGACTAAACAATAGTTCATAATCGAAAGGACACGTGAGTGAGCTAGAAGTTTCCGTGAACTGAAATTAAGGACAGTTCTATGCCTGTACAAATGGCGCAAGACCAAATAAGGACTTTTTCACCAACAAAGATACATGTTCCACGAATCCTACAATCCTACAATTATATATAACCCCAAGTTTTTATTGCAATTCCCAATTTCAGGTTAAAGTTCTTGTACGACTTCTCCGACAAGCTGTACTCGTGCTGGAGCCTGGTGCCCCTGGGCGTCGCGCAGCAGACCGAGTTCGATATCGCCCCTCTCGCTGGTCTGGTCTCCGCAAAGCTCCGCCCCCTGCTCGCGCCTCGCGTCTACACGTTGCCTTTCGTGCGGTGCATCGGCAAAACAATGGTGCAGGGCAAAAACTACGGGCCGCCGATCGTGGTCCGGCGCATCTCGCAGGAGGGACGCAGGTGCAAGCCGATCTTCGTACAGGTCGCGCGGCAGGTGGTCGAAATGAACCCGCAGGAGTTGCGATTGCCGTCGCGCGCCTGGAAGGTCAAGCTGGTGGGCGAGGGGGCGGACGACGCGGGCGGCGTCTTCGACGACACCATCACCGAAATGTGTCAGGAGATCACCTCGCACGCGGTGCCGCTGTTGGTGCCGACGCCGAACGCCCTCAACGAGGACGGCTTCAACCGCGACAAGTACCTGTTCAATCCGCACCTGACCTCCGCGCAGCACCTCTCCTGGTTCAAGTTTGTCGGTAAGACGGGGCGGGGTCGTCGGCCGGCAATCGATTAATGACCGTCGCAGGTATCCTGTTCGGCGTGGCGGTGCGAACGAAGAAACCCCTGCCGATACCGTTGGCGCCGATCGTATGGAAGCTGATCGTCGGCGAACCGGTGACCGTCGACGACCTCGAAGACACCGATTCGATGTACGTGCAGACGCTGCGCAGCATTCGCGACATCGATCGCGCGGGCGTGACCGCCGCCCATTTCCACGACGTGATACCGTTGCAAACGTTCGAGGGCCAGAGTTGTACCGGCAAGGTGAGGACGATCGGCGCGGTTACGCCCACCTCACGCCGCACGTTTCGCAGATCGTGCCGGTGACCCACGGCGGACGCGGCATCGCGCTCACCTACGACAACAGGACCCAGTACTACGAGCAGGTGATCAAGTTCAGGTTGCGCGAGTTCGATCTCCAAGTGGCGGCAGTCAGAGAAGGCATGTCGGGCATCATCCCGGTTCCGTTGCTGTCGCTGATGACGGCCGAGCATATGGAGCAGCTCGTGTGCGGCATGACACGCATCTCGATCGCCGTACTCAAGCGGATCGTCCGGTAAGTTGGAAGAGTTTAGAATTCTGCCGCTCTATAATAATAATAATAAATAGCCTTTATTAAAGTAGAACAAAAAGAATATTGAGTCTATCCAGTCTATCATAGAGATACCATGGCTTTTAGTAACTAGTAATTTTATACACTAACGTAGACAGATGCACAAAATACCTTTCAGACGGATTAAACCACGCAAACCATTGCTGTATCTCAAGCAGGCATTTTGCAATGTTTGTAAGTTGTATTGATTGGTATTTTGGTCTTAGAGCCGGCCAGTATACAAAGTCCGCATATCTCAATAGAGACAGTATAAGAGAGTCACACAATTTGAGTCTAATCTCAGAAGATAAGTAGTCTTTAAATTTCCCGTAGGACTTCTGCAGTAAATAAAACAAGTGAGAATCAAAAAGCAGCTTACTCTCAGAGACCCCTAAGACTAAAGACATTTGTCGACAACGTCAAGCGGAGTAACATTCAAAGAAAGTTTCAGATCATTATTCTGGATAATTTCCTCTTTTTTATTACCAAAAAGAACAACCTGGAGATTGGAATCATTTAATTTCAGACCATGGGTTTTGGAGATTCTAGATGGCGATCAGATTTTTTTTTTCATTATCGCGTTAGCAAAATTTGTCGTATTTTGACTCTTCGGTTTCGTGAGTAGCCGTTTAAGTTCAAGTTTTTCTATACAGGGTGAGCCGAACTCAAAAAAATATAATTTTTATTTATAAATCTACCGGTTTTTAATTTAAGTTTCGTTAGCTCTTAAATTGTTTTCTTTCTCGTGCATTTTTGATGACAATCTTAATATATATCAATCTTACATAAATTCTTAGGGATTTGAATAAAAATTAACAAATTTAAATTATAAGTTTCACTTATCTCGCTTCATCTTTAATACACATTCGCGCCATTTTATTTAGGAAACAACGATTTTTTTAAATACTGAGTTTTTGAATAACATCCAGAGCAACATTCAAAGTTGAGCAGAATCTTCCGAAAACTTCATCCCAGAAGACTAAAATCCGAGGAACAGGTTAGTGTCAATGAGAATAAAAAAAATTGTTATTTACTAATGGTTATTTTTTACCTTATAATTTATTAATTATTGTACAGTATCTTAAAAACTAGAATTGCCATCAAAAAAAGACAAGAGAGAAAAAAATTGCAAATTGAGGTTTTCTAATCGACATAGGTCCATAGGAGCATACATCAAAAGGTTACAAGACTCCTCTGTGCGAGATAAAAATAAAAAATAATAGAATGAAATAAAAAGTCATTAAGGCGTTGACCGATATTTTCGATTCACCCTGTATAGAGAGAACGGTTTGCGAGAGTATCTTCACTCTTTTTTTATGACTACAATTGTTAAATATTTAATTTAAAAATATATTTATCTTTTATTTAAATTTTTGACAAAACAGCAACAAACTCAAACGCAAATCAATAAAAAATAAATAGATTGATGTTTGGATCGCGCAGCTTTATTTGCTCTAGTAGTTGAGGACAGTTTATATTAAACCTGAGAAGATCAAAAATTACGCGTATAGAGAATCCAGATTAAGTATAATGCGTATAATTATATGTTATGTTTTAACTTTGAGCGTGCTAAACAAGTATAGACACAGTTTTTGTTAAATCCTTAAAATTTCTAATGAGAAAACTTAGCAAATTAGTACACAGTACTATAAAATTATTTATATGATTGACAAATTTAAATTCCCCATAAAGAATTGACACCAAGATCGCTTTAGGTATACAGAGTGTTTCCTAATTTTCGTTTCTTTTTGCTATATCGCTTCATTTTCAGGCTATTGAAAAAATAAGATTTGGTGCGTTTTCTTTTTATTATTAAATTAAAAATTGAATAATACATACATTAATTAATTTTAATCAAATTAAGTTGCTTGTATTTTCTCGCATATCTTTCGGTTTTACAATAAGCAATCATTTTAATTGCTCATGTCGCTTTAATTAATCATTGAGAAACTCTGAGGGGATCTCCGCCAGTGTATTAATTGAAAAGTTTAAAAAAGACACAACGTAAATTACTAAAATCCCCTATTATTTATCATTTATCACTGGAATATCATTTGGTACTAATTAATAATACCAATCAACCAATTATTTTTTCAACACCCTATATTTCGAAATAATTATCAAATTTCTAAAAATTAAGTGAGAATTCTCCTGCTTCCTTTCCTCGCAGAGGTTAGGTAATACCCTGCATAAGTAATTTGCTTAAGTTAAGAAAAAAACGAAGGGAATTTGTCAAATTTGACCTCTAGTGAGTGCCGTATCGCAGGTACAGGGAGCTGGACGAAAATCATCAGCTCGTGAAATGGCTGTGGGACATTTTGGAGAATTTCAGCGACTACGAGCGGGTGCTATTTATGAGATTCGTGTCGGGGAGGTCCAGGCTGCCCGCTAACCTCGCCGACCTGTCGCAGAGGTTTCAGGTAAAAGGTGCGTAATAGTCCGGAATGTATAACGCTCGCGTCCGCGTCGCAGGTAATGAAAGTGGATAAGGCGCCGGACGGCCTGCCAACCGCCCAGACCTGCTTCTTCCAGCTGCGTTTGCCACCTTATACTAGCCAAGACGTGATGGCAGAGAAACTACGATACTCTATAAACAATTGTCGATCGATAGACATGGATAACTACATGCTGGCGAGGAACGCCGACCACGGGAACGCCCTCGACGACGAGTGGGCCTATGATGAGGAATGGGGTTATGATAGCTGATCGAAATAATAAAATAATTAAAGAGCGTTTAATATTTTTATTAACAACGAATGCGAAACGTTCAGTCGATACTCAGCGACCTAAAGCTGCCTTCCATGCTGACGGTGTGGGCCGGTGGGCGGGGCCTTTTCCTCTCGTCCACCGCCCACCGCGACTCGTCTACGACGTAGTCCCTGTGTTGCCGCACTTTGTCGATCCACGCGCGCTTTAAGTCGTCTATTTTGCCGACCGTTCCGCCGTACTCTTCGGGTAGGAGGTCGCGAGGCACGTGATCGTACAGAGTGGTCGAATTGGGCAGGTGCGTGTGGATCTGCGCGTAGCAAACTTTCGTGCGACGCAATCGTTAGCTTCGCCGACGTACTCACCATTTTTCCGACTTCGCTCTTCATGAACGGCCTGACGATATGCAGGCATCGGTCCAGAAACGTCGGTACATTGAGCAGGTGGATCTGCCTCAGCTTGATCGGGTGGGCTTCCTGAAAGACCGTGCGAAAATCGAGGCGACGCACTATCGCTAGACTATTTACTATAGAAAGTGCGCATTTTATGAAATATTTTATTTCATTTGCAATCTGAACAAAATCGTCACATACTGTGGGATAAAGCGACGCAAACTCAGTTTGGCTGCAAATAGTAATTAATCAGGGCTAGATTTTCGTAAATTACAGACCGCTTTATACTTTCGTGAATAAGTTAATTGTTTAAAATCGAATTCGGGTCTTCCTAAACAATTTTTTTTCTGTTCCTACGTCTTCGAGCGGATATTTCCCGGAAATTACTCACGGGTTTGGCCCCCATCGGATGTCATTTGTCAATTCTGACAGTCATGTCAGTGAATGTATTCGTGTTGTTGCCGCTTTCAAACGTGTGCAATATTTTTTAACAAATATACTTTTGGTTCCATTAACAGTTTACAATTTTAAACGTGAATCTGAATAGCAATTTCTAGCTAAACTGTTGCTTTCAAGTTTGATATCGGAGACACAGTTACTTAATTACTTACTTAATGACCAATTGGATAAGAAAGATGCGTTTTTTGACTTTTTTAGAAAGCTCTACACCAAATTTGATATATTTTTTAATACTGTCTTAAGGAACACTCGTTAATTTATTGTTTAAATGCAATTTCATCAAAATTTTGCCAGAAATTTACGTAAGAGGAAATTTGAAACTTACCTGTAGTTATTTCATCCATTTTAAACCCCGTCAGTTTTGGTTAGTTAAAGTGACTCTTACAAAATTAAAACAAACTATTATTTAAATATACAAAAAATCAAGTGTAGCTTAGGTAGTGTTGGAGGGGGGAGGGGGGCTGGTCTTTTGACCATTCAATTGGTACAAAAAAAAATGACGGGTCAATTTCACAACCCTAGCCTTATAGATCAAAAATAATTGACATTTATAAGCAATATTCCGCGCTGTCATGCGCAACTTTTTTGAATGAATCGGGCCCACAATATAGCTACTAGATATATAGAGGCTCTACAGGAATTTTTTGAAACGATCATAAAATAAATACATTAGGACATGACAGTTAATGTGCGCATGAGCGGTCATTTGAAATCGCGCTTTCGAGGAGTCAACATGGCCGCTGACAGTTCGTCAATCCGATATCATTTTTACAGCAGTATTTTCTCAAAATAGAAATAAAATGGCGCAAAATGCAGGTTAGAGGCATGCGCGGGAGATCATTTCCATCTCTATAAAAATATAGCCGATCAGGCCGCATCATTTATAACCGTACCAGAGCCACTATATTCTCTAACAGAGTCTCATTGCACTTACCTGGGTGTACAGCATGTACTTTTTCAGGACGGGTAGTACTATCTTGGTCAGGTGCTTGAGGGTGAAGTTCCGCATATCGAATATGGGAATCTCACCATCAGGCACCTCCGTCTCCAGCAGCATCCGCACGTCGGCGAGTACAAAAAACGCCTTAAGGGCGTCTACAAAGTGGTACTTTTCGGGGTCGCTGGTCCTTAGATTGTACAGGAACACCTTGTAGTTTTGAGCGGATAGTTTCGGCAGCGGTACAAAATCTCTGAAAAAGGTTGCTTAAGCTCCGCACGCTTAAAACGCTTCCGACTCACATGTCTTCGAATGCCTGCCGAATGTGGGGCGCGTCGGGATCGCGATCCGCGAAAATTTCAGGCGATTGCGACCTGATCGTGTAAAACAGGTCAATTAGGTGTTTCGCTCTTTCCACGCTGTGGTTGCAGGTGTACAGGAACCGTTGCAGCAGCTTGTCGTCTGAGATTTAATTAATAATGAAAAAACAAATCGCTAGGGATTCGATATAGGCAATCGTATAAACATTAAGCGCGTATATCTGGTCGACGATTCATGCATGTATTTGTGGCGTTTAAAAATAAACAAAATTTCCGCCGGTCGTTTAAAACTCACTTATATTCTGCGGCAAGTGCGGCTCTTTGGCCAACCATTCCTTGATAATTTGCAGATCGTTTTCATTTTCGGTAGCGGACATAACTTTTATAGCGGAATTCTTTGAACGTACTAGCTCGAAACGCTCGGCGCCGACCAGTTGAATTCTTTAACGTCCCACTTTCACGGGCGTAAACTTTCTAAATATCTCTCGCGTTATTAAAATTAAGTGGGGGGTTTTCCCGAATCTGACCTTTAGCCCTCACACTTTGAATTGTGAAAATTACGATTTGAAAAAACAAAATCAGCCGTTGACCTTGGACACTCTAGCCGGTGCCCTAACATTACATCATCGCATTGAACTTGTGTGAAACCGACCGACCAAGATTCTGTGACGATAATTATCAATTTGTCAAAATGACGTTAAACAGGTTGAAAAGAAAAGATGACAAATAGAACACTTCGTTATTTTTTAACAAAATTTTCGAAAAATGACTTTGCGTCGAGCGTGAGGAACTTTTCTAGGAAAGTAAGCAGCTCCGACGGCGGCTACAAAACAGTGAAAAACGTCCTTCCTGACGCGGGTGAGTTGAACTGCGCGTTAACATTGGTGATGCAACCTTACAGGATTATTATTATTCACAGGCTCCGGTAATTTAGTGTGGCGCGATCCCAGTTTTGAGCTGCTGGCGTCGAATGGGTTTCCCCTTTTTTTACGGGGTAATATAGGTTTAGCGTGGTACGATACTCAAACAACCATCAAAACTCATCATGAAATCGTTATGGAACAGATCGACGATGTAATACAGCATTAAGTAACGTCGGCCAATATTTACTCAATAACTCGTGTTGTAGACGGCCGAGAATACTGACGCGGACATGATTTTGAGGGTGCAGACTTGCCCGACAGTACTGCGGCAGACCGTTTCCGATCTATTTCCATACCGTCCTTTGGAAAAATCGGAATTATCCGTGATTACAGTAAATTTGAAGCCCAACTTGAAACAAATGCGGACTAACGCAGAAATGGAACTTGAGAGGATGGCTCAATTGGTACTCTTTGTTGCAATTCAAGTTTGGTTAAATAAACAGAGTTAGTGTTTCAGTTTTTAATTACAGCAAGGAACATATGTACAAAGCTGAAAGAGAACGGATACTGGGCAGATTTTATTAACCCATTTTCGGGCAGACCATATTTAGTACCGTCTTCGGGGAACGAACTTTACAAGGCTGATGAACGGTTCCGCTGTCTGGACTTCCAAATATTCGAAATCGACGAGTGCAAAATAATTTCAAACGACGGCGGCGTGAAAAAACGCTTCATCGGTAAGCTTTTATTTTTGCAACTGTGAATTGAGGTTGTGTAAGGCCCCCTTTTATTTTGCAGGTAGTCTGTTTACGAACGCGCCCTGCAACAAGTCCTATTTGAACTCGATTTTTACCTAGTGGAGCAGCTTCAAACTCTCAGTTTTGTTGGAATTTATATTTTAATTAAATGCATTGTATGACCATAGTTTGGTTAGTTTTTTCCCTGTCCTTATTCACAATTTATTTGGAATGCATTCGCGGGACTGTCACGCGCGCATATATGGCAGACGAGTTTTAAAAATCCTCTGAAAACGGTCAATTTGACGCCAATGCTCGGCTCCCTTCAGAAAAAAAAATCGAATAGTAAAAACGCTTACTTGTTCTGTGCTGTTTTTCAATTTGTTCTCTCCTGTCTACCGAGCGTCTATCTGTCTCCCTCTAAACATCATTAGCCGCCATTGCGAGTAGACAGAAATATTGAGTGGACGAAGGCAAACGTCGCGCCTATTTTTGCAACCTAGTAGAATTTCCAACGACAACGGCTAGAAAGATGTAGCGCGCGTCCCCGCCAAGCCCCGTAGCGTTTCGAACGGCAGAATGAAAGAAATCGGGCGACGCAAGCCGCATCGATGTCACCAAAGCTAACCTCTAAAGCTGTTTGGTTTGGCGATTGGCGATTCTCGGACAAATCTTTACGCGGTTCGCGTTTGTCGCATTTGGAAGGACACGCTCAGGTGTCTCGTTTACCCGCGCGCGTTTTGCCGACGCCCGCGTGATCCGAGCCAAACTAGTTGCGTGTTGGTGTGTGATATGTGTGGTTTTTAAGTGAAAACATGAGCAAACGAAAAAGGACTAGCTCTTTAGCCAGCCGGGGGTCCCGGGACGAATCTCTAGACCGTATCGAGGCGTCAACGAGTAGCGGACCAACTATGAGGAAGAGAAAAAAACATTTCGATCCTGTAAGTTAAGACTATCAAAATACGCGGTCTTTTTTCATGGTTATTGCGCTAGGTGGAAGTGTGTCATCAATTGTACGACACTATTCGCAACCACAAAAAAAGCGACGGCAGCCTGTTGTGCGACTCTTTCATTCGGGTGCCGAAACGGAGACAGGAACCCAGTTATTATGATGTAGTCAACAATCCCATCGATTTGCTTAAGGTGCAGCAGAAACTGAAGACGGACGAGTACGAGGACGTCGACGATTTGCAAAACGACATAGAACTCATTGTAAATAATACCAAAGCATTTTATAAGAAGAACTCGCACGAGTACAAAGACGCCACCGAGCTGTGGGAGCTGTTTCTGTCCAATAAAAATAAGTAAGTATTGGTGTGGTGTGTGGTGGCGATCCGTGAGTTTATTTGGGCTTGTGTGGGGAACAGGATATTAAACATTGAGGAGGAGTCGAAATCAGAACCGAAAAGGTTCAGCGTACCACGGTCTCAACGCTCCACTCCCAAAACCCCAAACAATGTGAGCCGGAACAGTGTAAACCACAATAATTCTTCATTAAACGACTCAGGTGTTTCGAATAACATCGGTGGCGATGAGGAGGGCCAATACGAAGAATTATTCAATACGGTCATGACTGCCAAGGATGAGCACAAAAAACTGCTTAATACTTACTTTCAGGTAGGTGTGTGGTTTGTGACAGGCGTATTTGTTTTAAAGTTGGTGTTTGAAGGTGTTGCCCTCAAAAACGAAATACCCGGAATATTACGAGGTGGTCGAGCAGCCCATCGATTTGAAACGCATCGCCATCAAGATACAGAAGAACGAGTACATCAGCATTCTAGGTTTGGAGCGCGACCTCATGCTGATGTGCAAAAATGCGTGCCTGTTCAACGAGCCCGCCTCCCAGATATACAAGAGCGCAAAGAAATTGAAACAGGTCAACATAACCTATAAAAATAAATAATCTCGAGTCCGTTGCATATGTGCTAAAGAACATCCCAAATTATTTATACAGATGGTCCCGATTATAATGGAGAAACTTTAAGGCATAATCAGCAGATAAAAATAAGTTAAAAAGTTCATATAAACTTATCTCCTAAAATGCTTAATTTTGGAGAGGGTCGAAATGTTGTGAAAAAAATCTCTTTTTTGCGATAAACTATTAGGGTATCACTTTTTTTATTATCTAAAACAAAAACAAATGCTGTAAATTTGCTTTTAAGTGGCAATAATATCTACTAAGTTTCAGAGCAATGTCTAGCATGGGTAAAATTGTGTTCGCAGATCATTCAGGAGAAGCGCGTCGAAATAATAGAGCGAGCGAGTAAACCGCCGCCCGCGACGCCGCCCCCGGCCTCCAAACCGAACGACCGGAACAAGGGGCGCAGACCTCGAAGCTATATCGCGACCATAGCAGCGGTAAAAGATGAGGACGAGGACGAGGAAGAGTCCGAGCCGGAGGCGGCCGAGGTCATCGAGGACGATAAAACGAGCGATTTTGTTAGTCAATCCGCCCCTTGACGTAACCGCGCCCCTTAATTGGCCACGTTTCAGGTATGTCCCGAGCCTGACAACCCTCAGTGGAAACTGTTCGAGATGGTGTGCAAGATGGAGGGCTCGAACGGGACTTTGCTCAGCGAGCCGTTTTGGAAGCTGCCGTCGCGCCGCATTTATCCGGACTATTACAAGGAGATCAAGAATCCGCTGTCTCTCGCCCAGATCCGACGAAAGCTGACCAGCAAATCTTACGGCACCCTAAGCGAGGTGGCCGGCGATTTGACAGTGATGTTCGAGAACGCGAAAAAATACAACATCCCCTCGTCCAAATTGTACAAGGTGGGTAGTCGGTGTGGGTTTTTTAAAAAAAGAAAGTGATGGTGGGGTGCCCCAAAGGGCTGTTCTTGGGCCGCAAATATACCATGAAGATCAGTGAGCGCAGTGAAAAATATGTTGCCAAAATTTACAGAATATATAAGTTGTCCGGCTCTCCCTAAATCTATTGTCACCTGTTTTTATAGTCGCAGATTACCAATAAGAATACAAACAAAAAGGAATAAAATAACGTATACTTAAATAGCACCTGGTACATTGTAATTGAAATACAAATATTCATCAGAAGAATAAAAATGCTGAAAAGCGCATTAAAAAAACTTAACGGACCAATAATTTGGACCAGTTTGACACCTCTCCAAGCGGCAGTCTGGTTTGATGGTCATGCAATTCCTCGTAAGTGGTAAATAGATGCGTATTTTTCCTTATAAATAATAGATTTTCTAAGATGCACAACAAGGGCAATGTAAGAATTTCCAAGCCTCGAAAGGCATTTTTACAGTCCTCTCGATAACCAAATCCACTAATTGCTTCTCGTTGTAATCTGAACCTGTCAGCAGAATGGCCCCATATTAAGATCGCATATAGGAGATGTGAATAAAAAAGTGCAAAATATGAACACCAGGAGAGACATTTTTGGTTAAGAGTCAAAGCAAATACAAATTTTTGGTCAGTTTCTGAGCAACAAAGTCTATATGGAAGTCCCACTGAAGTTTTGGGTCAATATAGATGCCGAGAAATCTGGTATTTATTTTATTAAAATTAACTGTACCTAAATTTCGCATGGAAAAAGTCACTGTCTTTGTTTTATCATTATTTAAAACTAATTTATTTGCACTAAACCAGTGTTCAGCCTTTTGCTGTGCGATCCTAGAACTCTCTAATCATCATCATCAGCAAAAAATGTGGAAACAGATGTAAGATCCACAAGGGGAAGGTCATTTATCTATATTAAAAATAATATGGGGCCCAAAATTGAGCCGTGGGGGCACTCCAATGTTGACCTCACTCTGTGCTGATGTCACTCCAGAGTACTTAATCACCTCGCATCTATTGCCAAGGTCAGATTGCATCAAACTAATAATGCAATTTGAAAAATTATAAGCCTGTAACTTGCGCAGAATAATTCGATGATCGACACAGTCGAAGGATTTGGTGAGATCACAAAATAATACAGTGTTATATTGCCAATTCTAGAATACATCTGTAATGTCTGGAAAAGTGTCGCCTTGAATACGTAAATTTATAAGTTTTGTGTTGAGGCAGTAATATTTCATTCTTGACAGGCTTCATTAACCTCGTGCTTATGTCAAATACGTTTCGACTATTTTTATTTTTGAGACTATTTATGATTTCCCTAACTTCATTAAAACTAAGTTCAGAATGCATAAAATGAGATGATAGTTCAATTTGGCCCCTGACTTACAAGAGACTGAGCTATATTTGCAAAATAAGTGTTGAATTCATCAGCGGTTATGATATCTGATGAGGGCTTTCCTGTACAGATTGCTATTTTTGTTTATAACATCCCACGTGCATTTGGTGTTGTTAGAAAATAATTCTGATAAGAAAGCCGTCTTATGGCTAAAGTACTTCTTTGAGACATAGACATACAATCAATGTACATTTTAAATTATGTATCTGTATTTTATTTTATGTATGTTAAAATATTGCATACTTGGGCTGTATTTTAGACACTATTTATATATTTATGTTCAACACAGCTCTCATTCATATGGATTAATAAAACTTATTGTTATTAATTGCGCTACTCACCCACCTTATATAGGTTGGGTATAATTAGATATATAATAGTCCGATATATAAGGTAAAGGTCGGTTATACAGTTTACATAAGAAAAGAGGAATAAAGATAGTAACAGAAAACAGCGATAACAGAATTTTGTTTCTGTGGTACCTAAATGGTAACACCCCAGTAAAAAGCCAGTGCATAAAAAGTTGATCAAACCGATCCATGTAACAGTAAATTTAATTAGTTTTTTTTTTTCGCACGCCCCAATGTATAATTGCACAAACAATGAAACATAAAGGACAGTGTACGGGGATTCGGCATCCCAACAGTAGCAACTGGGACGCGAGGGTGGGGACAGGTAGTCGGGGACTCTGCCTAGAGTGAGGCAACTTATATGTCCAGTAAACTTTGGTATTGGTTTAGATGCTGTTAAAAAGCAAGAAGCTTGTTGTTAGGGAAGCAAACTTTTTCGTATGACATAATGAAGTGTTGATGTCCTCCATTGTATCTTTGTCGCAGGACGCGGTCAAACTGCAAAAGGCGATGCAGGCGAAGGTGCAAGAACTACTTGACATTGATCAGGTAACACAAAGAGTCACTAACAAAACAACACGAAAGGTATGCCCGTCCATTCGCTTATTTATATTTCATTTCTAACTACGTTTTTTTTTTTTTTCGTTTCACTTTGTCGCTTTTTTTGTTTTCTCATTTTATCGTCAAATTTTTTCGTATATTGACCGCCGTAACGCGCACCCCGAATTGTTAATTTAAGTCGAGCGACGCCGATTCAGACTCGCCGCTCAAGCGCAAACCCTGCAAGCTGAAGAACGTCAGCCCCATGGGCACGCCCCTGCGCGGCAGGCCGCCCAAGGACTTCGTGCCGCTGAAAAAACGCCTCTTTGCCCTCTGCAAGTATATGCTCGACTATACGGTAACGTCATGTGCGCTTCCGCAATTCCACCACGGCTTAACCACGCCCCCTCCTATGTTGCAGTGCGAGGACGGTCGCAAGCCTATACTCGCGTTCATGGAGAAGCCGTCGAAGAAGCTCTACTCGGAGTACTACGAGGTGATCGCCGAGCCGATCGATTTCCTCGAGATCGAAGCGAAGATCAAAGCGGACCAGTACAGTTGCGAAAAGGATCTCGTCAAAGACTTCAAGCTGATGTTCGCGAATTGCCGCGAGTTCAACGAGGAAAACTCGCCGATTTACGACGACGCCAACCTTCTCGAAAAACACCTGATGGACAAGATGGGGCCGCTACTCAACGCGCCCGAGAAAGAAGTGGTCAAGAAAGAGCGCCGCGACAAAGATCACCAGGTCAAAGTGTGAGTGACGCGTGTGAGTATTTTCCGCGGTAAATCTTGAAACGCCTCCCGTCTTGCAGTTACCGGCCACGTAAGCAGCTGACTCCGCTGGAGAGGTCGCTGAAGACGCTGTTCGAGACGATCCGCGACTACAAGGATCCGAAAGGAGACCGTCAACTGTCGCAGATATTCATGAAACTGCCGTCGCGGATGGAGTATCAGGACTACTACGAGGTGATCAAGCACCCGATCGACATGGAGAAGATCGCGCACAAGGTGAAGAACAACATCTACGAAAGCGTGGACGAACTGGCCGCCGACTTCGTGCTGATGCTCGAGAACGCGTGCAAATTCAACGAGCCCGACTCGCAGATCTACAAGGACGCGCTCGTGCTTCAACGGCTCGTGTCCCGGACCCGTTTGCAGCTCAAGGAGGAGGCGGAAGGGGACTCGGCGCCGGACGTCGCGGCCGCCGTGCAAGATATTCTGCTCACCCTCTTCACCACCGTCTACAATCACCAGGACGAGGAGGGTCGCTGCTACAGCGACTCGATGGCCGAGCTGCCCGAGCACGACGAGATCGACGGCAAAAAGTGAGTCACACGATAGGCCGCGGGGCCTTCATTCACCGGTGGTTTTATAGGGTGCGCGCGCTATCCCTGGACCTGATCAAGCGACGTCTCGACAAGAGCCTCTACAAGCGCCTCGACACCTTCCAAAACGACTTCTTCGCGTGCCTGGAGCGCGCCAGGCGCCTCTCGCGCACCGACTCGCAGGTGTTCGAGGACTCCGTCGAGCTGCAGATGTTTTTCATCGCGCAGCGCGACGAACTGTGCAAGAGCGGCGAGCTGCTGCACTCGCCCGCCCTCAACTACAGGTGCGTCGACGTCCCCGGCCGTGCGCTCCGTCCCCTTCCAGACACCCGGTAACTCTTTGTTTTCAGCGCGGACGACGCGCGCGCCGACGTCGAGCACGTGCGCCACGGTAAAACCCTGCAGGAATCGCTCGAGGAGGAGACGGAGACGCGCAGTTCCGAGGACTCGCTGCTCAAAGGCTCCGCCGGCACAAACGGCAACCTCGAGGAGACGATGACGTGCAACCAGAAGACGTATCAGGTCGGCGACTACGTCTACGTCGAGGCGAAGGAACCGGTAAGCGCGTGGCTTCGAAAAATGAGCGTCGCGTCGCCGATACGGCCGATTTCTGCGCAGAACTGCGAGCCGCACATCCTCCAAATCGAGCGGCTGTGGGAGAAGGACGGCAAGCAGATGCTCTACGGCAACGTGTATCTGCGTCCGGACGAGACGTACCACGTGACCACTAGGAAATTTCTCGAGAAGGAGGTGTTCAAGTCGGAACGGCACTCGGCGGTACCGTTGGAGGACGTGACCGGACGGTGCTGCGTCGTCGGCATCAAGCAGTACTTTACGATGCGGCCGGAGGGCTACGACGAGAAGGACGTCTACGTGAGCGAGTCGCGTTACAACTGTCGCGGCCGTTGCTTCAAGAAAATCAAAATCTTCCCGGAATCGTCGGTGAAGTTGGTGGCGCGCGACGAGCCGCTCGCGCCGAAAAGGGTGATGTCCGTCTTCAGGGAAAGGCTCGAGAAACACAAGGACGAACTGGCCGAGTTGCAGGAGCAAGAGCGACTGATCGAGCAAGACTTGCAGGTGCGTTTCCTTCTCCTTCAGTTAAATTAATAAAACAAGTCTGCAGGTCGCACTGTCTACATTTGTTATTTTCTTCGACAAAAATGTTCGCCGTTCGTATTAAGTTTTGGCCAAATTGTGGAATTATAAAAATTGTAATAATAGATCCAGGCCCTGTAATCAGCTGGTGCTTGGTACAATAGCTGCATACAGACGTGGTATAGATGAATAGGGAACTTGGAACAAAATATTAATTTGAAAAATATTGTTTATAAAAGTAAGTTTATACTCTTAAATCAACCACAGTTCAGAAAAAAAAAATAATTTCGTAGTTCTATCTGACCAATTGTGACGTCAATTCGCTGGTGAGACCACCCGCCAGCCGGACGATAGCAATGAGAAGCTATTAGAGAACGACAACGCGTTCATGTCGATGATTTTAATTTTAACTTTAGTCACGATCCTGTCGCTTGCTTTTGTTATCTTGTGATTAGTATAAAAAGAAAGTTTTTTACACGAGCCAAAAATAAACGTAAATAATATAATTCTCGGCCTATAACCTGAATACCTGATATTTGGTATGCGGAATTTCTATACATACAACAAATGCATTAAATAAATTTAAAAAAAGTTTAAGTTCCCTATTGTCCCTCATTAGATGCAATTTTATTTTTGGTTATCGTTCATTTAGGGGTATGATGAACAAGATGCTATTTCTTCTTGTATTGCAAAGAATAATTGACACTCGAGTTTTTTCTAGTAATTCCACTGTTGTTTTTCGAAGAGACAGTAACTTTCAATTACATTTAGTACTCTGACGTCCGTGATGTTTTCTGCTTTAGAACAACAAAAGAATTCTGTTCGTTATTTTGATTGGTTTTGATAAGCTTTTCTATGGCCCGGTGTCGGTTTCTATTTAGGCGTAGCAATTGAAGTACGCAGTATGATAAGGAGAGTAAATTGAAAATTTGTTTTTCCAGAATGTTGTGGCGGACATATCGATGGAAATCGACGATGGTAACACATACTACGAACAGTACAACACGATATGCTCAGGGGTGGTAAAAACGGGTGACTTCGTCTACGTGGTGGCGGACGGAGGGCGGCAGGTCGTCGCTCAGATCGACAGCGTGTGGGATACGAAAGAGTGAGTGCAATATTTCCCTACCATATGCATTACTATTTTGTGGATGCGTGGATGTGGTCTTAAATTTTTATGTTGAATAACGAATATAGCAAGATTTAAAACTATGAAATGTAGCTGCCAAGACTTCCCTATTGATTGCATATGATTTTTTTTTCTACTTTGTGGGGCTATAATTTTGATATGCATTGTTTTAATGCGTAGCATCCATTTCATAAGCATACATTTTGTTAAAATTTAGTTGTCCAAATTGTTATTTATTTATAGCTTAACATGAAAACTTTTATATGACAATATTATGCTATAATAATTTGAACATTACAGATGACTTTAATGTACATTCGTGTTTGGTTTTAATTGGAGCGTATTTCAAATATAGACTATATGAAAATATACACAGTCATACTAGAAAAAATTTTGATTTTTTGTAATTGGAAGTTTCGACATTGTTTGTGTATCAACAAATAAATATTACAATACACATGACAGTTGACATTGACAGTTTTCATTATTTTAAAATTTATTGAAATAAATTTAAAATGATAATAATAAGAATAATAATAGACTTTATTTAGTTAATTTGGCATAAACTATTTGCTTACCTTAAAAATAACAAAAGACACATCACACCATGGTTGTTTAAATTAAGTTTACACATTTTCGTTAAGTACATATTTATATATTAAAAGGGAAAAAAAACTAAACCTATGTCTGCCTCTGTTTAATTTTCTATTTTTTTCTTTTATATCACTGAAATAAACCAGGTTTTTAGTTTGTTTGGAAGATAATTTATTGTCGCGTTTAGAAGGGAATGGGGTAGGCTATTATAATAATAAATAATGAGACCATTAAATCTTAGAGTTAACTTATTCACGTCTCTTGTAAAAATGATTTTTTTAGAGGTATTCGGGGTATCTCGTTTTAATGATCCTGAAAGACACGCATAAAACTCACGCAGCATTTTTACACAGTGGTTAAAGATAGAAAGAACAAGCAAAGAGTTGCAGTTATATGGTATGCTTTGGGCTAAAAAGTACATATGCCGAGAGCACACAACCCAGCTGTGTCGAGAATGTAAAAATGGTTAGCAATAAAACTCTAGAAAAGGTGGATAATACCACATAAAATTATAAATAAGGTTTAATGTTTTACCGTTGTAGATTTATTTAAATTCGTTTTGTTTATTTTTCATTTGATGACATAAAGTAAAGTAAATTCTAAAAAAAACTAGTTTTGCTGACCGATATAAAACTTAGTAAAGAATTTTTAATTTTTGTGCGCTTGCAATGATGTAAGTTTTTTGGCGACTGTATGACCGTGTTAAATCTGCGATAGTAATTTTGACTCCCGTTACACAGCGGTAAGTGTTACTTTCGCGGGCCGTGGTTCGTGTCGCCCGCCGAGGTCCCCAATCCGTTCAACAAGCTGTACTATAAGAACGAACTGCTGCTGTCGACGCTCGATGACGTCAACCCGCTCGTCAGCATCGTCGGCAAGTGCGCGGTCCTCGACTATAACGATTATATCTCTTGTAAGTAATATGGGGCGACGTGGTTTTATCTCGAAGGGAACACGACAAATGGTCGAATGTTCAAATGGTCGAAAATCCCGAACGGCGTTCGGTCCCGTTTCGGAAAGTCTCGTCTCGCGAGGGATCTCGATGTAACAGCCGTTCAAATGGCATACTTTGCAATTTGACAGTCGATACTAGATAAGTGTAATCCGAATATGAATTAGGAAAACGGTGCTTGTTTTAAAGATCACCGGACATACATCGGTTTGCTAAATCCGCACAGGACGAAGGGTGCTGCAACCCGCATTCAAAAGAATATTTTTTATTAACCCGTGAGTATCTTTTGAATATTTTGTCACCGGCTAAGGTAAGGTTGACGTCTATCAAATCAAATTTATCGGAATTTTATGACTAACAACTTTCATAACAAACTTTATTTTTTAGCAACATAGGTAGGGTTTACACATGATGATGGGAATAAAACTGATTATAAGCTGACTGAATTCACTGTGCCATTTGTCCTAGCCAGTTGCGAGTGAGCCTTGGGATAACACAGATTTATGGGCCCCTACCTCTAGCCTACTTTACAAATAAAATGGGGTATTTCCCATAGCAACATGAATCACATAAAAATGTGCTTATGGCAATACAAAAACACTTTAAATCTACAGCATCGCGGACTTGACTTTTGGCCCCTGCGAGGACCAGAAATGTCCCTAATGGCCCCACCAAATTTTTTGTTGTTCCATTGGTGTGGCAGAAAATATTTGTACAGATTGTTCTCTTTTATGATGTAAAACTGTTCAAATGGTTGAAATGAAACAAAAATTTTAAGCACAAACATTTGAATAATTATTCCCAAAACCTACTATTTCTGCCATAATTTTTTCCCATCCACATTTCGCCTTGTATTTGAAGTACAATCCACAGTGCCTTGTCCAAGTAAAAGCCTATCATAATACCATTTTTCATTTTTATGAGAAAGGTATTTTTTTAATAAACGTCAAATATATTTATTTATTAATTAAATCACTTTAAAATAATTTAAGACTTTAATATTTATTATTATTTATTTATTTATTTATAGTTATTTAATATTTATTTTTGGTTCCTATTAACTTATACAAAGGTAGAGGTTACCTACCTAAAAAATATAAAATACTTGCTAATCCGAGAAAAAAATCAAAATTTATGCCCATATTTGATGAAGGGTAGGTCCAACAACTCGCTTGCTGCCAGAACTATAGTCCAGTCTTTCAGTTCTACAGGTACATTCGATTGCCTCCACCTTTGCATAGAGGTACATATTGAGTTGAAGGAAGTATGACACCTTAGGCATTTCTAAAACTATGTTAACATAATTGCAAATTATTAATACTTATATAGTTTCAGTTGTACACACTTCTACAAATATTTTTAATACTAATAACTTTTTTTACCTTGTCACAAGTCTACTAGATATATTCTTTCGGTCTCCTTTGTCTCTTACACACGGTTGCAACTCCTGTCTTGTATTTGGTCCTTCAAGTGTTCATGATTATGTTGCCCCTTCCTTAAGATGACTACACCATTCACTTTTCCTGATGCTTGATATTTTGTTTCTGTGCTTCTGAGATATCTTTTTGCAATAACTCGAATATATCGATATCAATATTTATTAACCTTTAAACCTATACAGCGTTGAATAATGTTATAAGATACGACGTTTTTGCACTAAACATGCAAAATGCCTTTTTTTTATCTCGTTCCGTTACACCTTCTGCGTGAATAATACATAAAGTCGTCATGAAAAACTATTTGTTAAGAGGTTCTGTTCCTGTTCTGCATTACCCTATGAATTTACTACCCACAATTAACTAAATTCCTGTTTAAAATAAGTAATAAAACGTGAACATTTGAACATTCGATTATTTGCTACCATCTCGTCTCGAATCGTAACGACGTATTTTTTAGTCCGCCCGACGGAGGTGCCCGAGCAGGATATCTTCATCTGCACCTCGCTGTACGACGAGATCAACAGGCAGATGAAGAAACTCCCGCCCGACGGCTTGAAGAAGTACAACCACAAGCCGGACGTGCTCGAGGACGAGATCTATTACTTCCCGAGGCTGCTGAACCCGCAAAAGGTGAGAGCGTAGGCCCTCGCGCCCCGCCCACCGCCGATAGTCGCGCGAACCTTCATACGCGGATAAAACGTGGCGTACATTCATGGAATATTTGACCGAACGTTGCCATTTTTTTCTGTTTTTCACGTGTATCTGCGCCGGTTTTTGTCGACCACTGTCCCGCATCTTGCGTTCCCGGGAGGCGGGGCGGGGCGGCCGAGTAGTTCGAATCGACCACCGGCACGCGACATTCTCCGCCTTGCCTGAGGTTGCGTGTCCCGCTTTGTGTGCTTTTTCTCTCTCTCGTCCTGGCTTGTTTTTTTTGTTTTTAATTTTTTTTCTTCCGCGTGCGCGCATGCGTGTCTGTGCTGTGTTCCAGGTGGACGCTAGGCGCGCGCTGAACGCCAAGCTGAGGCGCAAACTGATGGCCGACGATCGGGTGAGTACACTCCCTTTGGTTGGCCGTAACCACGTAAGATTTTATCGAAACGGTGTTTGGGCTCTTAAAGACCATTAAAAATATTCATACATTGGTTGAAAAGTGCATGGGGGGCGTCAAAAGGGTTTATATAGATTTTGGAAAAAAAATCCGGGCCGTGAAATGGTGACATTAATTTCCCCAACTTTATATATATATATATATATATATATATATATATATATATATATATATATATATATATATATATATATATATATATATATATATATATATATATATATATATATATATATATATATATATATATATATATATATATATATAATTTATTAGAGTCCATTAATACATTAATTTATTATGGTTAAAATTGCACACAGCATCTTGCAATTTTTTAAGAGATGACTGCGAAATTGAGGTATTCCTGATATTGTTCGGATAATGGAGTTGTTTGTTCTAAAATTCCTTTTTTTACTGTTAAGCGTCTTGATTTAGGAACAAAAATTTGATCGGCCTGAATGTTTTTTACTAAAATTTATCTGTTCTTTAAGCTTCGTTAAGGTTTTTGGGAGCGCTACGATGGGATATTTTAAACTCTGAGCAACTTAACGCGAAAAATTCAGATATATTTACGTCCCAGAATGCCCAGTTTTCGGGATGCAAGGTGTCAAACTTTCATCTCTTTTGTTTTTCAATTACTATTCAAAAAGAAACAGGAAAATCCCTAGAAATATATTCTATTCAGTTTTATAGAATGTAGAAGGGAATTTAGATTTTATTAATTTTTTCAATCAAAAGAACATTTGGTAGGTATGAAAAAGGTTTTTTTGTTGTTTCGATCTTAATTATATTTTTACTACTTAATTATATATCTCCTTAATTATTATCATAAAGGGAAATGCGACCAAAACTTCATATATTGTGCCCTAACGTTGCTCGAAAATTAGTATTTTGTAACATATGTGTATGCATCACATATTCCATCCTAAAATTATATGTATAAAATTTTCATTTTTTTTTTTAACAAAAGAAGAAAGGTAATCAGTATCTCGATTAAATTAGAATAAAAAATGTTCAGAATTTCACAATTTTTTAATAATTTCTCAGCTGTTTCGGCAACTCAGTGCCTTTATCAATTACATGAATCCTCAACCTCCACAATTATATTCTTTAATTAAATTACACAAAGAGGATATGCCAATAAGGCCTGTAGTTTCTTTTGTAACAGCACCATCAGTTAAATTCTCAACAAGATTAGCAAAAAAATTTAGAATATCATACTGCCTTTAAACCTAGATATGTTATCAGAAATTCATTCATTCAATATTCTCACTGAGAGACAGGAAGGCTTGCCAGATAGTTTAATAATTTGTTTAGACCAAGTTTTTTTTCAATTTAATGGTCAATTTTGGGATACTTAGTCCACTACTTGCAGGACAATTTAGAAAATATCATACATAAACATCCTCTGATGGTTTAGACGTACATTTCTTGTTTCGCTAGAACGGAAAGACAACTGCAGTAAAATTTACCATAGAGACGGAACTAGATAACTCTTTAAATATAACTATAACTAAACTACAGAAGAAATTAGATTTTTCCATTTACCATAAACCCTCACACATGAACACAATAATACATAATAACTCAAATCACCCTTACACCCAAAATCGCTACCTTTATGCTTTTATCCACATGTTACCACCACTTTCCACATAAATTTTTAAAGAAGAATTAAATATTATAAAACAAATAGCTTTTAGCAATGGTTAGATTATAAGCAAAAAGCAGTTTCAAATAACTCTGAACTATATCTAACCCAAAACCTAGCAAGAAAATTTATCCATCTAAACATCATAGAGCATTTTTAACAAAAACAATTAATCTAAATTACGAAAAAACTCAAAAATCCGGATCATGTTCCAAAATTTATATCGGACCTACAGGTAGAAACAGGTAAGAAACGCATTAAAGAAACATAAAAGAGCGTATAAAAATAACGGTTGGGATTCTATCTGTGCCATTCATTTATATTCAGAAATTCCACATCTGACGAGAATTTTAATATTTTACATAATGTAAAATAAAGTAAAAAATTAAATTTGTTGGAAGCTATGGATATTAATAAAATGAGATATTCGAATCGATTACTTAATGACCAATTGGATTCAAATGCGTCTCCCTTGTTAAATTTAAATTTATAATCCTATACCGGTAATCAATGATAAAGGCGCAACGTTGCCGAAGCAGCTCTCATAAATCATAAAAAACTGTGAAAATAGGAAAAATTTTTGTTCTAATTTATTGTGTTAAATGAATTTTCATCAAGTAAAAGCCACCTCAGTTCAAGTAATCATTATCATTGGTTTCTTGTCGTTTGTCCACCACAAATGTTTGTGAGTAAACTTTATTTACAGAATTTTAATCTAATCACTTTTTTTACTAAATCGCTTTTGTAAAAAATAGATATGGCACCGCTATTCTCATTATATTTTGCAAATATTTTTTATGTGGTTCAGCAAGAAGTATTTTATATTGCTTAAGTTTATATTGTTTCTCGACCCATCTTCGACAATGAAAATACTTAAAAACGCCGGGTTAGGTTGGAATTTAACCGTCGCTTCATCACAACTTTCCGGTCGACCCCCGTACGCACTTTCGAAACATCCCCCGTTTCGATGCTTACGTCCCGCGATTCAAATTTGGCGCCGAGCGCGACGTTCCACGGCCGGACCCGAACGACACGTTAACTGTCAAAAATCAGTTCCGGTCCTGGCGAAAGCGAGCAAAGTGCAGTGGCGTTTTGTTGCTGTCCGAGTTTTTCATCGTTTTAAAAGTGTTTTTGCGGGTGCCCGAAACCGCGGTAGTTTTCTTTTTTCCGCGGAAAATGTAAGCCTCTCGCGACGCGCGCGCCAACACTAGAATTATCATGGATACCTCGATGGAAACGGCCTCGTTCAGCGGCAACGTAAGCGTCAACATTTTTTGGTGACTTTATAGGTGTCGGTCGTCCTCTTGAAACGGTATCGGTTCCGCGTTGCACACCAAAAAAAATCTGGTTTCTAATTCCGCCGACAGCGATTCGGAGATCCGGACTGTTTTAATTCCACCGATCGAACCGGACGAAAGATAAAACCCTATCGATGATAAGGCGTTGCCTAAAATAGTTTTTTTTTTTGTTTAGCGGGCTGTATTTTTATCGCATCGGTATTTGGGTTACTTCGGCGCGTAAATAGAATCTGCGCCGCGCTAAACGGGGTCGACGGACTAACTTTTCAATCATTTATATGATTTTCGTTTTGTTTAGGTTATCGTTTTATTTTCGTGCAATGATAACCGTTTTTTTTTCTCTGAAACGGGAACGCCACGTATCGGGCCCCCCTCGCTTAAAACTGACCTTTGCAGGAGTCGTCGCCCGTGACCCTAACCAAAATGACGGACATGGACGTAATCATGGAGGACTCGCTGGACGGTGGACCACCGTCGGTGGGTTCGGGAGAAATACCGGCGGTGGTATCGATGCCGGGGAGCAACGGGGGCGCCGCCCTAACGCCCGCGTCGACGAAAAAGCCGAGCAGCAAGGTATTTTGTAAATGGAGCATGGTGTATCTTATGGGGCTGTACCTGTGGCATTGTTTAGAGGCGGAATTATAGGTCTTGTTGGATTTCCGAAGGGGGGGGTTGGTGGTAGTGGTGGTGGTGGTGGTAAGGGTTGAGAAAATTCCATGAGTGTGCTGGGGGTTGATTTTGTACTCTTGAAGCAGCCGGTCGTGATCTGTAGGGATTTGATCTCGACAAAGGGTTCGGGCATGCTAATTTTGGGGTAAAATTTAGGGAGCCGCCTTTTTTAAATAGCGAGTGACAGAATGAATGCGGAAAAAATGTAAAAATAGTTGATGGAGAGACGGAATAGCAATACTTAGACTACAAACTGTAATCTCTAAAACTAAATTGAGAATACCTGAAACAGTGTTTTTATTTCTTATAAAACGAAAAAAAAATGCCATTAATTTCAAAATATTGAACTAATTGTTTAGCAGTTGGAAGTAGAGATGTAGGCCGATAATTTTCAACATCAAAGTTACCATTTTTAAATTCTGGTGTTACTAGAGCTTTTTTAAAAATGGCTGGAAAAGTTTCGTGAGGGACAGTAATATTTCATTCTTGACAGACACTATTAACCGCGTGCTTATGCCAAATACGTCTCTACTGTTTTTTTTTTTTGAGACTATTTATTATTTCCCTAACAGCATTAAAAATAAGTTCAGCAAGAGTAAAATGAGATGATAGTTCAATTTGGCCCCTTATTTACAACAGACTGAGCTATATTTGCAAAATAAGCATTGAATTCATGAGCGGTCATGATATCTGATGAGGGCTTTCCTGTACCAATTGCTCTATTTTTATTTATAACATCCCACATGCATTTGGCGTTGTTAGTTGATGAATGTATCAAACTATCATTGGCTTCGATCTTAGTTCTACTTATTGTAGCTCGATAAAGCTTTTTATAATCTTTGTATTGATGTTTAAAGAGAATATTACTTCTGTATTGCGGAAAGTACCGAATGCACAGTCATTCAAGCCTATTCGTTTTATAATAAGCCTGGTTTTACAATATGGCTTCTTAGCTATCGTTTACACCCTACCACATCAAGGATATAGAAAACTGTCAAATTTATTTCATCAACGTAATTATGCCATAAAATAAAGTTCTTTTAACAGCTATATTAAATTAAGGATGGTGTGAATTAGTTTTGCTTTCTATTTGTTTAATCATCTGTTTCTTTTCATTCTTTATACGCTTTATTAAGTTGTTTAATTAAAAATGTTAACAATTAAAAAGCAAATGGCGTTTATTTTTAATTGTTTTACTTATTCCGAGGTTAAAATTCGGGCATAACAAAATAATGATAAACGGCGATACGTTAACCGTAAATAGTGTTAATTGTTAAAAATAAGAGAGCTCTGTCGCTGGCGCTATTTAAAAGGCGTCCCATCGCCTTAAAAAAAAAAGACCCAAGGCCCTAATTTTTGACATTGTACTTCCCGCAGAAGAACAACAAGAACAAGGTGGTGACGGGGTACATATTGTACTCGCGAGAGGTGCGCAAACAAGTGGTGCAAAACAATCCGGAGTCGAAATTCGGCGACATCAGCCGCATAGTGGGCAGCGAGTGGAAGTCGCTGGCGACGAGCGAGAAACAGGTGTGGGAGGAACGAGCGTCGCGGCTCAACGAGGAGACAAAGGCGCAGCTCCTGCTCGAGGAGCAAAACTGCCCTAGTCCGGCGCCGTCCGGCGGCGCCGCTCCCGCCGACCAGGTGTTTGAGTGCTTGTGGGACAACTGCGACTACCAGTTCGAGGAGCTGACCGATTGCTCCGAGCACACGATCAAGGACTCGAAGGAATCCCAGGGCCACGTGCAGGCCTACTTCCAGGAGCGGCCGGGCGAGGAGATGTACTGCAAATGGCGTAACTGTTCGCGCATCAAGAAGAACCTGCAGCCGTTCCCGAACCTCGCCCGTCTCATAAGGCACGTGCGCGACATGCACATCAACAAGGGCAACGGACGGAGCGTCGCGCCCGAAAACAGGAGCAAGTGAGTTTTTCGTTTTGCGCGACAAAACTCTGGCAAAATGCGCGTAGAACCGAAATCCCTTTCGATTCGACTAGTGCAAAAATTTTTATTCAATGTCAGACATAAAAAATTGAGGTTTTTTTCCATATTTCTCGAAAACGGCAAGTTTTATCGTGAAAATAGGTCAGACGAAAGTTATAGATCACAAAAATTGTTCAGACACTTCAGACTCACCATTCGCGCAATATCGCGGTTTGCACTATTAGAAAATTTATATTTCACATAATATTCATTAGAATCATAAACAGTTTCTTGTGTTGTACTGACAGTTAGTGCATACGGGCCTAACCACACTTGAACTTGATAATACACACGATACAAATGCTGACAGGCAGAAGCAGATATTGGAGGTAGACAAGACAACTGTACTATTTTATTGTTCCATGCAGATTTTACAAACTTCAAATGTCTATATTTTTCTATGCAATCAGTTTACTGTTGTGTTACTGTACTACTGTTTTACCTCTTTTAAAAAATGTCGTAAATGCATATAAAAATAAAATATGAAAAATAAATTATCTCGTGCCGAAATGTGTGCATATTATGTAAAATATAAATTTTCTAATAGGGAAGCCGCGATATCTCACGAATGGTGAGTCGTGAGAAAAAAATGTACCCGAACAATTTTCGTGGGGAATGTATTTGCACGATAGAACCGTTTTCGAGAAAGATGTAACAAACCACAATTTTGTACGTTTAACCTTGAATAAATTTTTTTGCACAAGTCGAATCGAAAGGAATTTTTGACATTTCATGTACAACGGTGTGCTTAACGTTTCTGTCAATTTTTAATTCTATGGAATTTTGTTTAGTTTTACTGGATTACTTAGTACAGGCGACAAATTATCCAACAGTCAGGAAATTACATCAACGACTAACTAACCAAACGAACCGAAACAGATAACAACTAGGTTGAAAAACCAAAAACTTTGGCTTTTTTCTCAATTTCCCGGTGTGCATTTCATTAAATAAAAGAAAAACTTATTTGTAAATGTAAAAAATTGATAAGAATTTTCAAACGCCCCTCGGTAAAACCGAAAATTAACCAAAAAGTAATTGTTTTACTTCCGGATTTATAGTTTTTTCATATACGTTATTCTCTGATGCATGAATACAATTACTGTATCCGTCGTTTTAATGATGATCAAATGAAGTGATGGGAAGTAAAAAAAAAATGCAACTCGCTGTCGAATTGAAAATTGTCCATTGTTCCATGAAGTTAATTAACGAAAAAAAAATGTATTTCATTAATCACTAGTGAGTATTATATCTATTAATAACCTTAATTTTAAAAGTATGATATATGGTCATATTGGTTCGTTGCTGATTTTCTGTTCTTCTTGAGACATTTTCCACTGGAATCACTACTATCCTACTATCTATGAAATCTGTCCCGTCGCTTCAAAAATGTGTGCGTTAACTGCCGTTTTATTTTTTAATGTAAATTTGTCACGTGTGCGCAGGAACTTTATCGGCAACCGGACAATGCCGGTGCTGCAGCCGGCCATATCGACCGCCGCCGAAGTTTCAACCGGTTGGTTTACAAAAAAAATGCATATTTTTTGACCGTTTCGTTTTCATTAGCATGCTGCCCAACGTTGTCGGCTCAAAATCCTCGTGCGGATTTTGGCGTAAAGTGTAGTTGTTTTTACTAGTGATGAGCAAAAAATACAAACGGTGTTTCTTGAATATTTATAAATAAATTTGTTGTGGTCAGGGTCAAAAAAGTCTTGGCATCCGGTAAATTTTTTGCAAGAGCTGGCAACGTTGTTGCGACCCTCGTTTCGTGGTTCTTGCGGTATTTCTTGCGTTCCGTAGAATAGTGCGATGCGTTTGTTTTTTTGTTTTCTCCTTTTATTTCCTTTTTGTTGTGGTAGGAACTTCAGGCCGTCGAGTAAGGTCGCAGTGGTAAACCGCCCGACCCAATCCGCCACCCCCAATCCCCGTGAGTTGACTTTTTTATTTTATTTTTTGTTCCGTTTAGCGTCGCCCATGGTGGGCGGGTGTGCTGCGCGCCGCCGTCTCCGCGCGTGTCCTATTTGAAACTTGAAAAGTGTAAAAAGAAAAATATTGAGATGGAAACATGTAAACTAGTGATGACTTGTTGATAGGCTATTTGGTACCTGGACCAAAATTATTATAGAGCTTAACTTTGCCTAATATTTATTATTCCAAAACCGCAGCTCCTTATAGAACACCATGGCGAGCAGACCCTTATATTTCGACCAGAAATGTAGTGCTTTTACATTTTAAAGTGTTGAAAAACAGGAACCTTCAAAAAATGTTTAATTGTAAGATTCTAATAAATGTTTATCTGTATTCTTGTAACTTACCTTTATCTACACCGAATATAATCTATTATCTTAAAAATGATTGTTGTTTACAAATCAAAGAACTATGTAGAAGACACAACAATACAAGAAGAAGAATGTTGTTAATCGACAGGTACACAAGACAAAAATCAGGTACATAAATACTTACTGGAAGGATCACAGTCCGTAATATATATGAACATATTGCAATTTAGATTACACTATTAAGAACGATACATATCACCTGATGTTAAAATAAACGCTTGTACTTATTCGAAAATACGACGCATCAAATTTAAAACGGTCCATTTACCTTCCAAATAAAAATTTCAAGTTTCGTTACGGTCCATATCAGGCAAGACCTGCTTAATGCAGAATAAACATCCGATGGGATGGGTTTTACGACGGTCCTGCGAAGGTCTGCTGTTAAGGTATAGAATAACGTCAAAGCAATAAATGCACTATAATTTTGGTCTAACCATAACTGTCAAATACATTTTTGTGACTGTTTCGGCTTTTGTGCGTTTTTTAATTGTATAATTCTTAATTATATTTTATACTTTATTATTTTAGATTTTCATTGAAATTTTAAAATTTCATTTGTAATTCTAATATTTTCAAAGCAATATCTGAATAATTAAAAATTGAAACAATCGTTTAAACTGAGCGACCAATCGGTTTGTTTGGATCCCAAGCTTCGACAAATCTCAAAAAATAGCCGTCAGACTAATATTTTGACATCAAAAGTGTACTGCTTGGTAATGTTTACCTTTTATGAAATGAATAGTAATAATAATCAAATACATCAATACAATACAAAATTGTGGACGTATAGCGGAGGTGCGCAGCGCGCCTGAAACCTGATTGATCTGGCAGCAGAACTAATTTGCTTCGACTGATTCCCACATCCAACACCACCCCCCCAGTAGGGTTTCCCCCGTAAAAGTTGTCACCATTGCATGTCCAGCACGAGCATGTTGTGGGCGTAGGGGGCGGGGCGACCGAGGCCTGACCTGACCAGTACTGAGAAGCATACTACGTCATTGACGATTATCTACATCTATTTTCCTATACAAAAAAAAAATTGTTTCTAAAAAATAAAAGGTTGCAAACTTTTTTGGTTTAAATAGCTGCTTTTGGTAAGTTAATCATTTTATCATCATCAACGGGAGAGGTGCTTCTTGGTTAATAAAAAAAGGTTCATTATCATGTAAATCAACCGCAAAATCAATCAGCATTAATAAGAAATTACTTTTCCCACTGGGGAATAATAATAATAACAAATTACCTTTATTGTTATATATTGTTATTTACAAATATACAGTAGAGAAAAGGCGAAGTCTAGCAAAACTAGCAAAAGCTCCTATGAAACCTCTTAAATGTTTAAATTGAAAACTAAGTAGGAAGTTACATTGGTAAAGTATAATAGATAAATGTAATAGTAATGTTGAACAATAGAAAGTTATTAAAAGTAAAAATAAAAAGATCAACATTGAAAATTCAAATTATTTGAGTAGATAGTAGTTTCAACCTGAAATATTTTTTAAAGAATTTAATTGAATGGGATTTTACTGAATCCGGGTATACTATTAAAAATTGCAACAGCAAAGATAAGCGATATCGTGGCGGTGAGAGTCTGTAATGGATTAGATATGCTAATAGTTTGAAAATCCATACACGCCAAAAAGTAAGTACTGTCAATTTTTAATCATTTAAGTTCCCGGATTTTGTGGGAAATTCTATCAAATTTACGCAAGTTGAAAATAAATCTGCAACAGCTGTTTTGAATTTTTTCCAATCTATATTTATCTATACTATCAAGATATGGATAATAGAGGACCAAACCATAGTTCATAATCGAAAGGATTGAGCTAAAAGTTTCCATGAACTGAAATTAAGGACAGTTCTATGCCTGTATAAATAAGACTTTTTACCATCAAAGATACATATTTTAGTCTACAATCAAATATAACACCAAGGTTTTTATTACAATTCACAATTTTCAAACGTTCACCGTTAATTATTAAATACATTTGGAATATTTGTTCAATGTTAGGTTTAGAGGAAAAGAACATTACGCTGCATTTTTTAGCATTAAGTTGACGATTAGGCTATAAATATCAGAAATATAAATTAAGAATAATATAGGCCCAAGGACAGAACCTTGCGGTACACCTGATGAAACAGGGAGAAATTGAGGACTTGCATTGTCAAGGGTAACTCTCTGATCTCTGTTAGCTAAGTAGTTTTCAAAAAATCGAGTCGAAACATTATGGATGCCGTAGTAACTCGATTTGGTGCACATAAGTTTATGGTCAAGCCGATCAAAGGCTTTAGAGTAATCTAAAAATATAAGTGCAGTCGCAAGACCATTATCTAAAGAACTAATAATGTGATCATTGATGTGTAAAAATCTCGGGGAACGCAGAAAACGCAGTACCAGATGGTTGATCGCTTCTCGGCGTCGGCCACGCCCCCTTCAAACAGACAAACAATCGGCGCTTAATAATGTGACGTTTCTTTTTTTTTTTCGCGACAGCTGCGTGCAATTCGTTTAGTTCTGCCGCCGGAGGTTTCTGTACGTCATCAGGTAAAGTAAAAAACGAGCGACGCTAAGGAAGTCGCCTGTCCGTTAACACTGTTTTTTATTTTTCGTAAACAGCTTCGGGGAATAGCACGTCGGTAACCGCGGCCACGCCCCAGAAACCGTCCGAGCCGATATTCATATCGGTCCCACCCAGACCTCAACGGGTCCTACATTCCGAGGCGTATATCAGGTAGGTCCGTCGCGTTAACTTTTCCTGTTAACCCATTGCACTTGTATATACAGTTGTCTAGGTCTACATACAACGCTATGTATTGATCCACTCTGTATAACGAATTTCTCACTCTCCATACCGAAAGAAAAAAGGGCACATCAGGTAACAAAGTAAGGAATGTTGGCCGACTTGTAGTTAATAGTCTCTTAGCTCAGAATTCCTTACCCTAATCATCTAATTACCGAGATCCTGGTCGTCCTAAGTGTTTTTATTGTAATAAGCGATTATGTTAATGCCTTATGTATGTATAAAAGCACACCATAGTTTCAATCAGTTCTAATTTGACTTAGTGAATACGGCGAATAAGCGACAAATTTTATCTCTAAATGATGATGATTGCTTTAATTCGGGTGATACAACGGGGAGAAATGAAAAGTGATGTGGGACGTCGATACGGACTTACACCGTCGACTGTATAGACGATTTGGAAGTGCAATGAAAAATCATTCAGACTGCCAAAATTTGAAGATTTGGATCGGGCAATGTTGCAGTGGTTCCAACAGCAACGTCTTAAAAATGTACCGCTCCCTGGACCTATCGTAAAACTAAAAGCAGAAAAGTTTGCTGAACAGCTTGGCATTATCGAATTCTAGGGTTCGGAGCAATGGTTGGGGAAGCTCAAACAAAAACACGGTATAAATTATGGACAGAAAAGTGGCGAATCCCGTGATGTCGACAGAAACGATTGGCTGGAGAAGACGTGGCCAAAACTAACAGAAAAGTACCCTGCTGACGACATTTTTAATGCTGACGAAACTGGTATTTTTTAAAAAATGACGCCAGATAAAACTCTTAAATTTCGAAGCGAAAAGTGTGTGGGTGGAAAACTTTATAAACGTATAGCACTGTTAGTGGCTGCCAATATGAGTGGGAGAGAAAAAAGAAAGCTAGTCATGATTGGAAAATCAACTAACCCACGATGTTTTAAGAACATCAAGCATTTGCCGGTCATTTACAAGGCAAACAAGTCTCCATGGATGACATCGCAAATTTTTGAAGAGGAGATATGGAAACGGGATGCAGAAATAAAGGGGTGGAAAACATTACTTCTCTTAGATAACTGCCCAGCACATCCCCATATTCCAAATCTACGGAATATTGAATTGGCATTTATTCCAGCCAAAACAATTGTATTACAGCCGATGGACCAGAGCTTAATAAAAAGTGTTAAGAGTTGATACAGGAAAAACAAAGCAGTTTCAAACAACAATTACGTTTACAAATGAGGAGTTGCAAGAAGTCAAAGTACGAGATGCGTATTGGCATACTAAAAAAATTGAAAAGAAAATTATTTGAAGCATTAAATGTTGTTCTTAAATATTTGTATAAAATGTTCCTAAGTAGATGTTAAGATATGTATATAAAATAATTAAATATTACAGAACACATATGCGTATTGTTATTTTTCAAGTGCTTTATAACGAAATTCGCAATTTCGCTGTGCTCGGACTATTATTTTATCTACGTTTTTTATTTATCTACTTGGATTTTTTTATATTGGATTTTTTTTAATTAAAAAAATCCCCTTATAAAAACTATGTTTTTTTTTAATATTTTATTGTTATCACCACTACCTAAATAAACTCAGACACAATATAAAAAAATTACATCCTATAATCTTGTAGTTTATGGTATCGTTCGAAGCAGTCAACAATGTATTGTCAAGGCTTACGGGTGCAAGTGTCACAAATACATCTAGGTTTCCGCGTGCTGCCTTGTACTTTACGCTTAGAACATACCGCACAGTCTTTTGTCTTTCCATCATTTTGTAGTAGAATATGTAATTTACCATTTAGCCGCTCTTTTGTATCTACAGATCATGGTCTGCCAGAAATTTTGGTTCACCGTCCAAAGTTTTTTGTCATCTCGCCAACCAATTCCCAACAAACTTTCATTGTTTTTTTGTTTTGGCCCCGTTGTGAAATTTTATATAATAAATATGCATTGACACTAGAAATTTCGGGTGCCCAGGAAAATAACTTTGGCCATTATTTTAAAGACTTCCACAACCGCCTAAATTATATTCTTTAGTTAAATTACATAAACAATTAGGTTAGACCAGTGGTGTCTTATGTAACAGCTCCAGCAGTTAAACTCTCTACAAAATTAGTAAATATTTTTAAATTCCACACAGATTTTAAACCAAAATTTGCAATAAAAAATTATTTTGAATTAATCAACAAAATTAAAGATATCAAAATCCCTTCTAACGCAACTCTATTGTCTTTTGATGTACAAAACTTATATAGATTATATAGATTTAGTAGATTTTACCCTAACTCGGGAAGAGGTTAACCCATTGGTGAAACAAGATTTATTAGATTGCTTAATAGTATCTTTAGACCAAAATTATTTTGAATTTAATGGACAGATTTATATCTCTAAAGAAGGTTTGATTATTGGAAACCTACTTAGTCCTTTGTTAGCCGAGATTTTTATGGATAATTTGGAAAATATCATACTAGAACATCCTTTAAGTAAAAGGTTTTTATGGTGGTATAGATATGTGGACGATGTCTTTGCTTGCTTTGTTGGAACGGACAGACAATTGGATTCTTTTTTAAATTACATTAACTCAATACATAATCGTATAAAATTCACTTTCGAGATTGAATAGGATAACTCTATTAATTTTTTAGACGTAACTATTACGAAAGTGCAAAACAAATTAGATTTTTCAATATATCATAAACCTTCACACACGGACGCAGTCATACATAACAGCTCATATCACCCTTATACACACAAAATGGCTGCATTTAACTCTTTTATACACAGACTTCTTAATACGCCACTCTCAACAGAAAATTACAACAAAGAACTTAATATCATTAAACAAATTACACTGAACAACGGCTACAATCCGTCCATTATATATAAAATTATAAATAAAAAACAAGTACAGACAACAGTAAACTCTATTTATCCGAAACCAAATACAGAACACGAACAATTTAAAACAATTACATACATAGGAGAACCTAGAGAAAAAGTTTCAAAACATTTGTCAAAATGTGGTTTAAAAATAGCTTTCAGAACTAACAACACAATAGGAAAATATTTAAAAAACAATAAATCGAAATGTCCAATATCCCAAAAATCGGGTGTCTACAGGTTGAAATGTGGATCTTGTCCTAAAATTTATATTGGACAAACAGGTAGATCCTTCAATAAACGCATTAACGAACATATAATAGCGTTTAAAAACAATAGTCTAGATTCTAATTATGCTACACACTTAAACACAGAAAAACACATTTTTGACGACAATTTTGATATTTTACATACAACCACAAAAAGTAGAAAATTAAATTTATTGGAAGCCATGGAGATTAACATAATGAGACATTCAAATGAATTGCTTAACGATCAATTAGATTTAAATTCTCGCAACAACATTAACTAAGGTTTTATGGTCATTTTTCGGTATATATAGTATCAGGTAGTTTGTAAATATTACATTTGATAAAGACACGGTGTTGTCGAAACAATTGTCATGTCATAATATATAATTTCGTGAAAATCTGAACTTTTAGTTCTTATTTATTTTGATAAATGGATTTTCATCAAGTAAAAGCCACCTCAGTACAATTTTTAAAGACTTCCTCAGAAAACAGTATGATAGATATGATAGAATCAGGTATAAATTTGCTGTTGATTTGAATAGTACCTGTCAAATGAACATTTAGTTTTAACCATTCTTCTGCAAGTGTCGAGTTCTTATAGTATCTATCGGTGTAAAAATGATATCCTCTTCATCCTGGGTTCATCCAGAAGTAAATAGAATCCTGTATGGTACCTGATTGTGGCGCGTGACTTCTTGCCATGGACCAAAGTTACCAGGTTGTGATATATTCTCGTTTTCATCACTACTGCTTGAACTTGATGGTAAAGGTATGGTCTTTTAGTAACTGTAATATCACTACCACTACTAGAGTCACTAATATTATCACTATCCAATCTATCATTTTCAGGCGCGTCAAGAGAAAATTCACCGTCACTACTTTGCAATTCATTTTCAATTTCATCTTGTAAAATTTTCTTGGGCCTTTGATTTTTTTTTTCTAAATATACACCGAACTTTATCCAGTCATGTTAGTTATAAAACTGAGTTATATTCTAAATGCAAAAATGGTGTACATGTGAACTGAAGTGGTTGAAATATATACATCAACATATTTAAACTAAACAGCTTACTATGGCGTGTATAAAATAAATATCATGCTGTCTTTTATTTTTATGTAAACATGTCCTCAACGAAGGTTTGAGAAAGCAATTTAGAAATATTAGAAATGAGCTTAGAGGATAACAGACCAGCCAACCTGCTACAATGATAAGTCGTGCCTCCTATACGGCGACATACGAGTGCAATGGGTTAAAGACTCTATTTAGCCATTACTGTTACCTACTACACTGGTCTATGGAGGTGTGTGTTAGACGTAAAATTTTTGGCAGGTACATTGAGGGCCTGCAGGCGGACCAGAAACACATTACCAATTGGGAGCGGACGCTACACGTGACGCAGGAAAACGTCCAGATTCCCGACACGGAGAAGCTACAGCACGTGGCCACGTGGCTGGGCAAAAGGGCGGACCAGCACGATAACGTAGTCGCGGCCCTGTGGACGCTCAGGAACCAACTACTAAAGGACACTCTATGTTTGCATAAGACTCTGTAGGAGGCGGCCGTGCCGCGCGTGTTGTTTCGTTCCTGGTGTATATTGTTTGCGTCTATCCCTCAGTTGTAGCCCATAGCTTTTCCCCGCAGAAAGTATTTATTTTTTTCTCGCCCTACAGGGCGGTTTCGTTTAAGAGATGATTTTTGTTTCTTTAGTCGTTAACGGATTATTTTCTAATTTTATAGCGAGGAGGAATTTGCAGTAAAAGATTTTCGTCTTTCGCTTTTTTTTATGGTTAAAACTGCTAAAGATCCTTGGCCAGCTTCTACAACAACACATCATCCTTTGGTGTTGACAATGACCAAAAATTAGGTGGACATCATTGAGAAATGAAGTCCTCATCAGGAAACTACTGCATTCAAATCATTACCAGTAAAAAGTTAAAAATAGTCAACATTTTCGATTGCAAAATATTTGTAAGCAGGTGTTAGTAAACAAACTTTCTCGTATTTGATAAAATCACATAGCAGAGACAGAGACCCTGTCTATACTGATGATACAGAAATTTTTAACAATTGAAAAAATGTCGAGATGTGCCATTTCAAATCTGGTTGTCAACCAATAAGATCTACCAACAATTCGACAGGTTTCAGTTTAGAATTTCTACTGAAGTATGTACATCTCGTTAAATGTTCCAAGAAAACGAGTTAGGTGTGTGGACAACTCTGTTTAGAAAGAAAATGGCATAAAATGCAGGTTAATAAGAGAAATCTAGAGGCATGCCCCTTTATCATAGCCCCCAAAGGTGCCGTACAAAGACCACCATATTATTTAATAGCTATATACGTTTACAGCATATAGCTAGATACAGAGGCCATGTCAATTGCTGATAATACAGGAGGAGCTTATGAAGGAACTAAAATGTTTTTTGAGGTCAACATGCGCATGCGCGAGATTTAATATCTCATCTTTAACTAATGACCTTCCGGCATTTAACAACCAACATGGCCGCTGACAGTTTGGAGACGGCAGTATTTTCTCAAATTATGTCCAGATTCCATTTATTCTTCAGGTAAAAAAGTCGAGTGTGTGGATATCGCTGTTTCGAAAGAAAATGGCGTTAAAGTGCAAGTTAGTGCATCTCTATGAAAATGTCGTAACCCTCCGAGTCACTATATTACCCAATAGTTACGTGCGTTTACACTATTAGAGATATAGAGGCCCTGATTATTTGCAGACAATACGTAATAATACGGAACTTATCAAGCCACCAATATGGCCGCTGACGATAAGACAGATGGACAGTTTTCAGTTTGATGTGGAATATTTTTTAAAAATATCCCCAGATATACTTAAATGTTCGGTCAAAAACGAATTAAATGCAGCTTATGACTACTGTGTTATCAAATATCTATATAGTTACACACACTAAGTGTCCGACCAAAAATTATCTGTGATGGTTGGTCAATAGTGAGTTTTTAACCGTGACTTTGAACGCGTTGTATAATGGCGGTAAGTGTCGAGTTTGTGACATCTTTGTGCACACGAAAGCAGTCCCAAAACGGTGAAGGTAAGTGAATTGTCGCGTATTCAGATCTTTTTAAGGCAATGTCTGTGCACGTTAATGCTGCGTTACAAATATTTATAACAATAAAAAATCGTCGCTTTGCCAGGCCTTTAAAAAATTTAAATATGTTTCTTTCAATCTGTCGCCTTGGTTATTTCAACAGCGCAAAGAGATGGCGCGGCTATATTGTGCAAGTTAATTCAAAGTTCCGCGAAAGGAGGTACCACTCAAACGCTTGCAATCATTTAATTCGACGAAATAACGCCAGATGCCGCTCTGGGATGGTTGGCACGTTTTAACGATAAAAAGTGCCACCATCTATTGGCAATCGCTTGTATTAAGTAACTTTTATTATGTGGCCATGTTAGTGCTTGATACGTTTAAAAATTTACTTGGAACTTGTGTGGTTTTAATGTAACCTGCTAGGAGTGATTAATAAATTTTCGATCCTCCCATTCGGCGACGCTAAAAAAGCGGTACCACGACGTTACCATAAATGGTACCGGCCACGGGCCGGCCGTTACGTCACGCGTATCAAGAAGCCGGCCGTATTCGGTTAAAAATATGCGTGGCTAAGTAAAAGCGGCGTTGCCAAAATGTGGGGCCGCCGCTTTTTGTTAATCCCATTCGATTTTAGAATCCCCAAATCCGCAGACGGTCGTGGAAGTATTTCGCGGAATCCGTGACGAGTTTCGATAAATCTCAAATCGATTCACGATATTTAAACGAGCACCTACGACCTTATTTAAGTCCGGAGGTCTCGTTGCGCAGTTATTTTTAATGCGACGTTCGCGAGAACGCGAGAATTCCTACGGCAAACACTCGCTTGAGACGTTCCATACACGCCAGCACCGAGCTTGATGTCACGTTTAAAAAAACTCAAATAATATTTATCTAGCTAGCGGTGCTTTTTGGGTCCGTGACCAAACTTCCGCCGAATACCAAGCGTTTTGTACCAGGTGCATCGAAACGACAAAAATTCCTAATATTTTTTTCGTTTAATCGTTTAACCCGCCTAATGGGTTTTTTAGCTCTACGCCCCTGTGTGCGAGTTATTTTCGGGACCACTATCGCTTGGCAACGAAAATAGAAACATGATTTTGTATACACTGCACTTCGATCTCGAGGTGCTACGTTTTCGAGTAGTGCACGCCCAATTTCCCGAAAAACGCGGCCCGGTGTCGATGAATTTTTGACTTAATTAGCGATTACGGGGCGAGCTTTCATCGGACCAAGATTTGTGGTCCATGACTCCCTCCGTAACACAAAAGTGTCGAAACGGAGTTAATTAGCACGGATCAATCGCCGTCCGGTTAACGGCGCCTACGGGATGCACTTTTCGCAGTTTCAAATTTAGATTAGCAGCGCCTCATTAAAGATTATTTATCGTCGCGGCGGTTGGATCGCCGCCACGTCGCTACGGGAGCGTCCAAACCTTCGATAACGCATCGTTATTTTGGCGCCCCCTTCTGACCGAACAGCGCAACTTCCGATTACGACGCGCGGCCTACTTGAGGTGTTTTCGTCGATAAATTTCAAATGTCACGTTGTTTATTTTGCAAACAAGCAGATCAAAATTTCACTTTCGCGCGTGGCTGATGACGATTCGGACGTATTATTCATAGCGGACGGTCATTTCCCGAAATATATGGAGGAAGACCAAATACGTCTACGCCCCGGCCCACTAAGCGATTCAGATCGAGAAAATTCTTGGCCGCCCACTCTGTACGCGTTTACGGCAGATACGTCACGCGCAATTCTTCCGTTCGCTTTTACCAATTCGAAAAATCGGTGTAGGTGCATTTACAAGATCTGCGCTCTTTGCTCACGTCGGCCTGCTAAGCGCCTCTTCCCGGCCGGAATCCGTAATCAAGCCATTTGATAGCCTTTGTTGTGATGCAAATGTATCCATTTATACACAGCACGGGATGGGTGCTATAGTTATATATTATAAGCGAACTTACCTGGTAATTATATGTTACACCTCTTCCTAGAAATCAATATACGTAGTCCCCCTTCTGGGTGGCACCACCAGCTTGAAAGGAGAGTCAAACTGCGGAATAACTTACGATACCTGGTATACTCGCCATCTATGGTCTATGGTCCGTTTATAAAAAAATTTCCAAAGGGCATTTTAGTACATTGGGCGGGAATTGGTGATTTCTACGAAAACTTGTATGAAATAATTACGATCGAACTTCACTTACCAGGTGAGTTCGTTTGATCATCGAATCATATGTTGAAATGAAATCAGTAGACTTTCAAAGGTTATAAAACGATGTATTCGGCTATATATAATAAAATCCAAACCTGATGAAGCTTATGAAAGCCTCGAGTGCAAATACAAAATAAATGACTGTCCAAGAAAACACAAACATTCTGAAAAATAAATTCTAAGTCGCAAATATGGCATTAACAAAAGAGCCTGCACCGGCTGTACAATTATAAAAAAGGCCAAAATATAATCTTGGTTTAATTGGCGTTAGATTATAAACACAAAATGAATAGTAAGGAAATCTAAGACAGCTTTAAAGGTTATAATAATAATCCAACATCTAGACAGTTTAAGGTCTACACTTCTGGCACATTCTCAAATTCAAGAATAATTTGGTATATATAAACATATGTATTGTCAGCCTGGTATTACAACAACAAAAAATGGTGGCAGATGTTAAAATTTTGCAGAGTTTAAAAAACTTTACACACTTTTAGAGATTTTTTGTATAATTATGTTTGTAACATTAATATGACGATGTATCACATGTATTTTTCTCTTTTCACCCATTACTGAGAATACAGGAACTCACGAAGCAACTATGAAAAAAATCAACGGCGCATGCGCGTGTATTAAAATCTCGTGTTTAACCCTTGCGGTATTCAACATGGCCGCTGACAAATCGTCAATATGTTTCCAGATCCTATTAAATCTTCATGCCTTTGATGCCATGATGCGATTAGCGTAAGCTTTTGTACTGTACCGTAAACAGAGTGAACTTTAATAAGCTATTTTAAATAAGTAAAACGACGTCCTAACTTGTCAATTTTTATCAGAAACATGAGCGATTTAAAAGGGATCATTTTTTGCTGAGTGCGATCAGCACATTATAATATCACCTCAATTTTTTTAGCGGCTGTTGGAGTTCTGGCCGGTAATGCGATCGCGGGTCTGCGGTGCACGCACGCGCTGTCACGCGAGTGCGCCCCGCACACCAGAGTCTATTTAAAATCTTCAGCTTTCGTCGCTGGCCAGTTTGACTTCGCATTTCGTTGATGCTGGTTAGGCTGTCCGTTTAACGAGCGCCCAAAGTAGACTCGTTCTCCGCCAGTGACATTTCCGAAAGTTTTCGCCCGTGCAGTGTCGTACTAGAGGACTTTTTGTTTCGAATCGGCGACCTTGAACACACGCACCATGTCCGAGGCCAGCAGGAGAGACATCCCGATCAAGCTCGGCGACTTCAGCGTCATCGACACTGAATTTAGCAACATCAGGGAACGGTTCGACGCGGAAATGCGCAAAATGGAGGAGGAGATGAGCAAATTCCGGTCCGAGCTCATGAACCGCGAGTCGAACAACTTTTTCAGGAGCACGACCAGGTTAGATTTAGGTTATACGATATGATCGCGATCGGCGGCGTATCGATTTTCGGGATTTTAATGTTTGCGTGCCGGGTTATCAGTAACCTGGCAACGAAATCATCGTGCCGACAGGTATTTCGTTTGCGGTAAAGCAAAACAAGTAGTTTTCGAGCAGACGTATTGTGACCGATTACGATTTGTAGCGATTATGTAACGCCATTCACGTGTAAACAATCATCCATCGCGCACCCATACACGGCAATTGTTCAGTCGGCAAGGCCGCGGTTCAAGGCCACACGAAAACGGTGGGATTTTACGCGGCCTCGTACATGGTCTGTATAAGGTCCACCGAATAAGTGCATATTAACATAAATACTTACGTGGTTTGTTGCCACGCCTTCGCATACGTATATGGGCACGTCCGTGATCGGTAATATCGTGATTGGAGCGAGAAAGTTGCCCATTTAAAGCTGACTGCGACCAGAAAAAGGCGTTTAATGAGTAGTTAATGCTGCTCTTGTAGCAAAGTCCCGGCACACACCCTAGTTCTAAAATTAAACGCGTCCCCTCGTTGACTGCTATAAATAACAACGCGACAGTATCATCCCCTTACCCTAATAAAACGGAAACACTCAATTTCCTTCGTCCGGAACGCGAGCCTCCTCGCAAAAATTTTAAGCCGTCTCTGTGGCGGTACCACACTGTGGCATTTTATTTTTATCGTCTGACATCATCGCCGGGTCTCTCGAAACGGCCCGACGAGTTCGCTGAGCTCCGTTACATTTTTTTCAACATATTTTAATTTCGCATTATTAACGACGCTTACGCATCGATATTAACGATTTTAATTGTTCTTCGGCAGGGCCAAACCGTCATCCGTTTATTAGTTTAGATAATCCTGTAGTTTACGTATACAGTAGATGGCGGAATTTTATCTGTGATCGCCATAGCTTGAAATCGTTGCCAAACTGTTATATTTCTTTCAATTTAACTATGTAACCATTAAGCATTAAAATTGTAATGATTGAATTCTGCCTGTTTCAAATCAATAGAGATAAACTATCCAAGCGTAACAGCGGTAGCAATTTTACAAAAAAACAAGAGTTTATTTTAGCGCAATTAGTTGTTTTGTTGGCTTTCAAAATTATCATGGAAACATTATCACTTTTATTTAGTATTTTTGCAAAAACGAATGTAAACTTATCGTATAGCTTCTACAGATATAGATGCCCATCTAATGCCGGCAATACAGGAACTTATGAAACAACTAAAAAAAAATATGAGAAAATACATTCAGTGGCTCATGCGGCATATTTAATATCTCAGAAAATAAACTTGGAAAATATATAAAATATATAATTTCTGATATAGGTGTTTACTTAGATAAGTCTGTATTGCTTTAATATTGTTTTTATTTATTTCAAATTTACGTAACCTGGGACTTTTCGCGCATATCATCCCAACCTCCATTCCTTTCTCTTCTTCTCTTCGTATTGGTTTGTCTTTCTATCAACCTAGGCGTATTAATTCTGTGTGTAAAGAACATTTCAGAAATAGCAACGCGAAACATTACTGTAATATACTATGGGCGAACCAGCTGATAATTCTGATATCGACTATGCATGTAAATTGCAGGGTAGCCCTATTTTAAATATTGATCTGGTACCATCAAGCCAAACTTTCGGTCTTAACAACCAACCGACCATTATTGATCTGTGGCGGGCGCGGCCGGCAACGCTTGAAAAATCCTAACCTCACATTGCGTTAACGAGGAAAACTAACGGCCAACATATTTCCTTTCGCTTCCGGTTGCGCCCGCAGCCTCTCGGAGTGTAACCCCGCGCTGCCGACAACTAACCTCTTGCTTTTTTAACTTGCATGTCGTACGAATGCGAGACCGTAAAGGAGGGAAAGAACGAGAAGACTTCGTCGAGCAAGTCCTCGTCGTCCAGGTGCGTATGCGTAATATCATCCCGTGTGTTCGTCGTATGATATGTTACGTAGGGTCGAGTTTTGTTCGTTTCTATGTTTTATTCTGCGGGTTCTGTAATTTTATCGGCTGATGTTCCGCGTTGCAGCACGACGACCCAGTCGTCGAACACCTCGGGATCAGACCTCGCGCACAGGCCCCAGGAGCTACGCACGTGGTACGACGACATAAACTCTCCGCTCATCCAGAGTGACGGCAACGACAAGAGCTTGAAGCTGCGTTTTGACGTCAGCCAGTACGCCCCCGAAGAGATTGTCGTGAAAACGGTGGACAACAAACTGCTGGTAAAGGACAAAACGCTTAGTTTGTTCCCGCTAACCTAGAAAGTTGCTTAAATTATTTTGCGGAAATTTTAAATTGACAAAGTAAACCGGAGCAAAAAACATCTTAAATTATTATATAATGCGATTTGAGGTTTTGAGGTGAGAGATATTTAATATACTGGTTGATTCATTGTGAATAATTTGATGGACGGGATAGGATTGTTCTAAAAATTTGGTTACTTAAGTATTTGGACTTTTTGAAATGTTTTGCAATAAAGCGATGTTGCCGATTTGATCGAATAGCAGTAGCGTCGGGGAAAACTATTGTATTATACGATTTCAACGTTTTTAATGTTCAAAAAGTTGTTTGTTTGCACTGATTCGTCTTCGTTGGTTGGTTTTTCTAATTTCTTCGAAGACTTTCGCCAAACAAATGGTTGTGTACCATTCAGAATTGACTGTTTTACCTTTCACCTAAGAAACAGTTGCAACGGGGCCAGTTTTCCTAAAAAAACAGGCTACCATTTGTGTCGAGGTGTTTCGCGCACGAACAACTTTTGTGGGCTTTGACTCATTCTCAAAGACCCACACCAGTCGACTGCTGCTTACTTTCAGGTTCGTATGCATAGACCCATGATTCATCACCTGTCACGATATCATAGACGTGTTTGGAAACACCGCGATCGCATTTTTTTAGCATTTCCTTCGACCAATCAACACGAGACTTTTTGAGCTGATGATGTCAAATTGTGTAGAATCCAACGTGAACAAATTTTTTTACCGGCAAATGTTCAATTGTATTCTGGTCCCACTATTGCCCAAAGATACCTTAAGCTCATGGTAAGTCACATGACGATCCTGCAAAATCAGTTTCCTGCATCAAGGTTTTCTTGGACAACCGCCGATTTGGGACCACCTTCGCGAAATTCATTGTACGACGAATGAAGTCCGAAAAACAGTGATAAACAGTAGTCCTAGATGGTGCTTAACTCCAAAAGTCGAATTAAGTTCATCGATGCATTGTTGTTGAGTTAGTCCACGTCTAAAGTTGTAAAAAAATATTGTACGAAAATACTCCCGATTTAGTTCCATTTTTTACCGTCACAATTTTTTTCATTTATCACAAGAAGCACAAACAACACTCTTTCGCCAAAACCTAACTGAGTGACCCTAACCTAAAAATGTCAAATTTCCCTATAAAAACGTTAGTCGCCAGATGGCCGTCCTACTTAAGTAAATCTCGAAATATAAAAGGCAGCCTTCGTAAGACACTTAACAAAGAGATATAAAAAAATGTAATTAAAATAAATAAATAAATAATTAAAATAATTATTATTTGACAATATAGAAATAATTTCAGCACCAATTCTTTAGGGGTTGATATTCGAAAAAATCATTTTTTCTGTCGATTGTTATTATTTTTAAAGGAATGTTTATTTTACTGATATTATATGCTTAAGATCGTTTTTCCGCTTTTGTTCGAATGTGCGCCGCGACTGATCGTTGTTTTTCTCCTCCTGGGATTAGGTCCATGCCAAGCACGAGGAAAAGACCGAATCCAAGTCCGTCTACAGGGAGTACAATCGGGAATTTTTGCTGCCGAAGGGCACTAACCCGGAGCTGATTAAAAGTTCGCTGAGCAAGGACGGCGTGCTGACGGTGGAGGCGCCCCTGCCCGCTATCACGTCGGGCGAGAAGCTGATTCCGATCCAACATTAAGCCTTCCTTTTTAAAAATTTTTCGTTGTTCAGTTTTTTTCTATTATTGGAATCAATATGTTTCAGTTTACCCATGACGCGTAATAATCGAATTCAGCCCTTTTGTTTCGATGTTGTTATCTATATTATATACGTCGACAGTTATGTCTCATTACCCGCCCTCTAACCCCTTAACTTAGAATTATCACGTTACGTTTAAAATGTACCCGCAACGCTATTAACCTCATTCTGTCGTTTTTTCTGGAGATTATTAATTTTATTTAGAGTGACGTGGCAGCAGCTTTGTGTCCGCAGCGTAGGGGGTCACGGTAGAGTAGCGTAACGATGAAGTGTACTCTTTTTTTTTGTAATTTATTTATAAACAATAAAGTATTTTTCAAAATCGAACTGATTGGCGGTCGCGGGAGATCCGTAACGCGTTTGAAACTTTGCAGGGAACGCGGTGACGTCAGTGTCAGGGATGGAACGTGAATCGGTAAGTTACTGAACTCTGGTGACATCTATCGAGCGGACGCTACATCAGTAACTAGGGCCCTTTCATAATATTTGTTTCGCAAAAAAAAACATAATAAATTCATAGTTATCAAGATTACCATGAAAACGAATTTTATTTTTATTTGAGGAAATTTCCTTATTTCGGCCGTAACTGTTTATTGCTTTAAAAAATTATGGCACGTTTTAGTACAGAAATGGTTGAATAATTAATGAAAAATTACGTGATCATAATTAATTGAAAAGGGCTGTATTAGAGTGTCTCAATAGAGAGGAGCCCATTGGTGTCAATTGTTCCATACGTGAAATAAGCGTCCTATCTCCTCCCGTTCTGCTGAAACAATGGCGGTAATTACGTATATTTTATTGTTCAATCCTGAGGCCTGCACCAGATTTTTAATACCCATAATGTTTATTATTCTAGTATATTGTGGTTAAGTTTTAGTTTGTTATAACTGAAAATTTTGGGTGGAGGTGTATAGCTAATAATTTAGATATTGTTCTTTTCAATTTGTTAAATGATGCAAAGATTCCGCAATTTTTTATGAAAAACTGAAACAATTAAATACTAAATACAAATACACATCTTACCGATCACCCATTTTGCTCAATAATCAACATTTTCGTCGGATTGGATTAAAGTGCGGCGCAAATAATATAATTTCATTAAAATGCCTTACCTTAACATAGATACCGCAACCAAAACGAAAAGAATAGTCTATAAAAATGAAGTATAGGCACCCACAAAACGTAACGTAAACAACCGGGACAGCTGATTGCCGTTTCAACTTCTTCTAAACAACTGACGTCATTGGGCTCTTCCTTATTGAGACGGACTCTCTGTACCCACTAGTCGCATTCAGTAAACGTAGCAAAATGATCCCGAACGTAGCGATAGTGACTGGCAACGTGTATGTATATAAAGGTTATGGTGTCTTTTTTTGTTTGGATGTTGTTGATTTGAGATTTAGATTTTTTTCGAAGGTATATCTTTTTCAGTGTTTGTGTGTAGTGCTGCTGATTTAATATGTGTTAATAAGGTGGAAACGTCTTTGTACTCTAGGACCTACTACATCAGAAATTAGTAGAAAGGACGTTATGGACATGTTAATTGAAAACGAAATGAGGGAGGATAATTTAGTCAAATGGCTTTTGAATTAGCAGAACCAATTCGAATATTTGAGGATAATGAAGGTGTCCAATACCAAAGAATTGCAAGACTGTAAAGAATTATGGAGGGAACTTATTCTTAAAATATTTTCGACGCCTACATTTGTAAACTTATTAAAAGAGGTCTATTTTAGAATTTATCACATCCAGCATGTTGAGAAGAGGATTTACCACACCTGGAAGTTGATATTGCAGATGAGGTTGGAAATGAAGAAAGGAACAAAATAGCAAATATGCTCTTATAACAAATAAAAATATGTTTTCGAATTATTGCTTTTTTTTTGTAATTCACATAAGTGCAAAATTTTATTTCTTTCCTCCTGGATTTTCTCACTTCTTTTAATGGCACTTCGTAGGAGGTTAATTTCTTGTACTCGAGCTTCCTCTATATTTGTCAGCCTTCTGCGTAGATAAAACATTAAACTCTGACTTCCTAACCTTGGTACTTCTAAAATGGAAACATGTTATAAGACTCTAATTAATTTAATTATTCCAATAAAAAAATTGTTGAAACAACCTACAGGGGGGATACACATGTTGCTCCGATTGGAGCGGTTTCCATCTGTGAAGTCACTGGGATAACGGGTGGGTCCTTCTTATTTTTGGCAAGGGGCTTTTTTCATTATGCCAGGAACCGTTGTAGAGGTATTAGGTGTTTTGTCCTCCCTATGTATTTTATCAATCTGGTGATAATATTCCTAGTAAATTCTACCCCTTCCAGTTTTCCCTATATTGTCTTTGATGCCTGTGTCGTTTTTTTTTCAGGTTTCTTCATGTCCTGTTCAATATTTCTTCGGTTTAGTGAAATTACATTCTGCAAATAGCTTAAAATTCCATCTTTCCATATTTCGTGTCAGTGTAATTTTCGTTTAAAAAAAGATTACCGTTTGTTTGAAAAAAAGACAAACCTTCATACAATCTTCGAAAATTAGTGGGGTTTTCGAGCAAACTTTCCTGTTAGGACCCAGAAATTTTTTTTTGTAAATACGAATAATAAATAATAACAAATAACATAAATTTATTATGTTGGAATTTTGTACTCACCATCATTGTCCAATAAAGCTTAACCAAATTCCTTGTTCAAGACCAAATTTTGCCAATACCGATCGCTTCGCTACCGCTACCTAGCAAAAATAAACTCGCTACTAAAAAAGAAATGTTGGATTTGTAGTGCATGATGCACCGGACGTTTCCGATACGGCTATGTAAATTCAAATGTTCAACACGCTCCCTTTGCTACGTACGCTGAATACGACCACTCTATGATGAATGTTAGAAAATTTTGTGGAAACCGAGCTTTTAAAATCAAATAGCAGTTACGTCCCCTGATGGTCAGGGGACGTAATTGCCAGAAACAATGAGTTCTAGTAGTTTATCTTAGCCGACCTACATAATAAATCAATTTTTTTTTTATTTCTCGAACTGTCGTTTTTCCTATCGGGGACACCGCCATACGTAAAAGCTAGTCTGTTACTTTTGAGAGCTTTAATAAATTTTCGGCAGTATATTTTTAATACCCCTCCGCTATGCTCTATCTATGCCATCACAGACTTTAAAAACACAAATAGTGCAAAAAGCACCGCCTACTTTTACATGTCGGCTACTCCCTTAGATCTGTCAAGGCTCTGTCGCGTAATCAAAGAAAATGACGTTCGGTGCATTATTTTCGCAACAAGTGTTTAAAAAATCGCCGGACAGATATCGAAAGTACCACTTTGTTTTATCGAAATCAACGACAACGGCTGGATTAGTTTTTATTACTCTTTTAAATGCTATCTCGTTTTTAAGTACAAAATCAAACATGCGCCGCTCAACACGAAAGCGGTTTTGGTCCACCAGCGAGATCTGCAGCTCGGGGATTCCCCCGTTATTAAGTCGGGCGGTTCGGCACGGCGATCCCACTAAATAAAAAAATATCACCCTTTGACCCGGTCGCAAAACCAACACTCGTCTCACTTACGCGATCGATTTTCGGCACCAGCCGCTTAGCGATCAGCTCGCAGCCCCTAATTTTAATCCTGATACTCTTCAGGGTATCGCGTAACCTAGTCGCATCTTTTTCCGCCATTTCTTCGATGTGCGCGCTTTTCATCAAGTAAGCCAGGCTCGCGTCCATCGCCAACGCCTGCTTGACAGCCGATAAAAGTTGAATACTCACGTCTAGGTTGCTGTAACGCCCACCGGGAGCGACACGGTGTATCGATTTCGGGTGGTACGGGTGCTTGTAGAACTTGAAAAGACCGAATCTTATTCTGTGCCGCTGAAACGGCAACGCGACCCCGAGCTCCTTCAAATCGCTGTCGCTCATGTGCAGAAATTCGTACAAACCGACGTTTTTCTCGTAAAATAGAGGCACCAAAGAGCGGCACCCTGTGGCTTGTAGCATGTCGCACACGTCCAGGAAAAACCGCGGCCGTTCGTCGATGTCGAGTCTTGAGAAGTGATCTTCGAACGAGCATCTGTTCTTGTCGACCACCTCGTACACGACGTCTTCTTTGTCGGGCGGGAATAGATTCAAAATCTCCTCGAAGTTAAAGTTTTTCGCCATGTCTAGCGGTGTCTGTCCTCGGACGTCTTGCAAGTGCGGGTCGAAGCCCTCGTCCAGCAGAAACTTAACCACCTCGGTCCGGTTGCTGCTCACGGCCCACGTCAAAGCCTGTAAGGCTTGAAATAGTGCTAATAGTCCTAAACCTATTTTTACTTGCAACTAAAGGAAGAAAATTGTTGAAAATGGCGAATTTGGAAAACTGCGCATCCTAAAAATGAGAAAATTAACAATATGTTCAAAGCTCTTCGCGATTAAAACTCAATATTTGATGCAAAAATAGTTGGTCAATATGACTAGCCCCATCAGGCCACCAAAGAGATGTACCGGGCGTTCAATTTATCTATTACGCTATTACTAGAATATATGAGAAGAAAGGTAGGTATTTCTCAGGGATTAATCCACTCAGTTTTGAAAAAATATAAATATAATGCATCTAAATTTCGTAAAACTCAAAAACTAAGTGCAGAACAATGACAAAGGAGGATGTAGTTTGGTTTGGATTTTTTAAATAGACATAATGAGAATAATAATTTTTTGAAAAACATTTTATGGACTAATGAAAGTTTATTCATCACAAGAAGGGGCTGTAATAGACGAAATACGCGATATTGGTCTTTAAATAATCCTAGACAAATACATGAAATGAAAGCCCAGTTAATATATGGTTTTGTGTCATAGATGGGCATAGGGTCCGATATTTATAGATAAAAAGTTAACTGGAGATCATTATTTGCAACTCTTAGAGCACCAAATAGAACAATATATAGAAGATTTACCCATAAATATATCAGCGCTGATTATATAGCAGCAAGACGGTGCCCCTCACAATGTCGTGCAAGTTTGTCAACAATGACTGGACTAAAATATAAAGTGTGTTACATCATTGTAATCGGAATAAGATATTATATTAAACACATATATAATATACAGGGTGTTCCATTAAAAAAATGATGTAGGCTTATATGTCAGAAAATTGATTGTGTTTTGTTTTATACGTCACTTGGAAAAAACTTGGCTACTAACCCTACATTTTGTTTTTTTGTTTACAAACAACAAAGTTACAGCCAATTAAAATGTTATCAAGATAAATTGAATGCACGGTACAGGAAGAACAGAAACTGTAAGGATGAAAATACTGCGATCAAAAGTTTTACAAGAAAAAACGAAAATTGTGGAATATTTTAAAGGAAATGGGTTTTCGTTTCCAAAAAACAATTTCAAAAATTTATGCCCTCAAAAGGGGCTACTGGACATTCTAAATTTGAATAAAACAGGTTATACGAATATTACTGTCGACGAAATCGCTTCAAAACGAAATATAACTTCGCTTTCGGCCATATTACTGTAAATTAAACCTCAGAATTGACATGCGCGCAAGTAAACTGGTTTGAAGCAAGGCATAACAGACCTTTTCTAAACTAAGGAAAGTTGAAACCCTCTGTTGCAAGGGGGAATAAAGACAGTGGATGTGACTGAAACAAAGGAAATAAGAAGTTGATAACATGCTAGAAAACTCATTATTCCTATGGACTCCAATAGTTCATCTGACTAGTGGGAACTAAAATTTACAAATGAACTTGTATGGTAAATAGTAGTTTTTTTGAACATAATATTTATTACAATTTAACTATTTTTATATGTCGCAATTATCTGTCCATCTCTATAATTGTGACAGGGGCATTACTACATATAGTTTATTAGACCAAGCTCCTCTTTCTATTGAATTTATCTGAAACTATCGTTGCAATTTATCCAAACTATTTGATATAACCTTTGTTTAATAATTCCTTTCGTTATTATACCCTTGCATTAAGAAATGAAATATAATCCCGATATAAAAAATCGTGGATTCTTACACTCCACCTTTGGTTGTCCACCGCGTTACGATCGGCCAGCGGCAGAATGTACCGGACGGCCCCCAGGTTGCCCGAGTTGGAGGCGAACATCAAAGCAGTCATTCGTTTCCGGTCGGTCGCGTTAACGTCGGCCCCTTTCTCGGTCAACAATTTAGCGATGGCGAGCGTTTTCTCGAAGGGTGAGGTCGAATCAGGGCAGTTGCATGCCATCATCAGGGCCGTAACGCCGTGCCTCGCGGCGCGAACGTCCGCCCCTCTGTCCACGAGTTCGAGGGCGAGTTCGAGCTTGCCATAGCTAACGCATAATAGTATCGGCGTCCAGCCGTCCCTGAGGTCCGCGTTTACGTCCAATTCATCGTTTAGGGCTTCGACAACACTCACGGTATTACCCGCCGAGATGGCGACGAACAGATCATTTAGTCGTCGAATCCGTTTTTGTTCGTCCGTTAAGGGGGCGGCCGGCCGTTCCGGGGCGTAGCGGCAGCTCTTGACTTTTTCCTTGAAAGAAAACGTCGCGTAAAAGTCGACGGAGGTGGCCCCGGTTACCGGCAAACCTTGAAGTTGTCGTAGTCGCAGTCATCGGAAAATAGGCTGTCTTCGCTGTCGGAAAAGTCCGGCCCGCAGAGCATCGCGATCGTTTTGGGGGCAAATTGTTTTTAAATTCTTCGTCTTTTACTTCTATTGGCCAAGACTGCTAGGATCATTCGGCCATGTTTTTGTCTCTCTATATCGTATATAGAATAACTAAGGTCGACGATCCAATTTCCGACTTTTACGGCGTGCAGCAATTTAATCGACAATTCGCATTAATTCTCTTCACTATTCGCTATAAGCCGAACCACATCCACATCAATTTTATCAGTGAGCTTGTTAATGTATGTAATGTATTAATGTATCACTTATGTTATGTCTTCGTCAGTTGTGTAAAAGTAAGTAATAAGACTAATTCAGTCATTTTAGTTTTTTTTTTTCAAAGGGGGAAATAATTCTCTCCACCATTCACTCTATACCTTGGACAAAGGTGCACCTGTCATTGTCTGTTCTCGATTTGGCTTTTTCTATTCTTACTAAAGGAACAACTCTGATTATTTTTTTCCACTATTCTACTGGGAAAATTTTTGTGAATTCTATATGTATTTCTTTTGTTTTTTTTTTTTCAATTAACAAGGCGGATTAGTTTTTTCCACCGATCAATGATGAATCAGTCATGTCTCTCAGTTCTATTTCCGTTTCATTTTTATTATTAAACGACCAAAAGGATTGGATTCCGACGACCTTGCTAAATCAGTTGCATCCAACTGACAATGAGAGAGCATCAGCCCATTGTTTCCACCGTTCAATGTTGTCATGTTTTTTGTTCATGTTTGTCAGTTATAGCTTCGTTTTTCTTGCTCTTATTAAAGAGACGTTTTATTCATATTCTTCACCATTCTACTGCGAAGCTCAATCTATTATCTGTATCATTTCTAGCTTCTTTTTCTTTTTTCATTAAACGGATAAACATATGGAATAATAACCACCTTTTTGTATGTGATAAAACTTTAAAGTCATTTTTATGAATTATATCTCTGTTTCTCTCTTAACCGTATATAACTTGTAGAATGGCGACAACCTTTCTATTTATTTTATCCACCATTCTACGGTGAAGGTCAATTTTTATTTCTAGTATTTGTAATAGTATTTTTAGTTCTACCACCTTTTTTTTTCAATTAAACGGACGAACGATGGCACTGGATCTGATACTTGTATCAGTTTCAGCTCCTTTTTCTTTTTTCATTAAACCGACGAACGCATGGTGACTACTTTTCTGTATGTTATGTTAAAAGTTATTTTTGTGAATTCTATATCTGTTTCTCTCTCAACGTACATAACCTCGACGACCTTTCTCTACCAGCTGGATCCACCGTTGTTTCCACCATTCGCTATACGTTAAGTCCATCATTATTGCCAATTTCGGCTTCATTTTTTTCTACTCTTATTAAAGTGACTAGGCTGATTAATTTTATCCACCATTCTACTGTGAAGGTTAATTTGTTATTTGTATTTCTAGTATTAGTAATAGTATCTCTAGTTCCAATTCCTTTACCAGCTAGATTCACTGATGAGAGAGGGACCAGGCACCTCTGCGAAGGTCAATTTATAATTATTTGTATTTCTAGTATTAGTAATAGTATTTCTAGTTGTACCTCCTTTTTTTTTCTTCATTAAACGGACGAACGTATAGAATAATGAAGACCTTTCTGTATGTGATAAAACTCTAAAATCATTTTTATGAATTCTAGCTCTGTTTCTCTCTTAACGTAAATACCGTGTAGAATGGCGACAACCTTTTTATACCAACTAGATAATGCTCGTTGTGTCCATTATTCGCTATATTCTCATAAAGTGACGAGGCTAATTAATTTTATCCACCATTCTACCGTGAAGGTCAATTTATTATTAGTATTAGTAATAGCATTTCCAGTTCTACCACTTATTTCCTTTTCAATTAAACGGACGAACGTATAGAATTATGACGACCGATCTGTACGTTCGTTGTCCCTTCCCATCGTTGTCCAAACGCTCGTCAAACGCGCAAGCGCGACAAGTGGCGGTGAATAAAAGCTACGCCCGCGTTCAATCGACATTTATTTCGGCAAATTCACAAAATCAGACGATTGAAACGTAAACCTTAAAACGCAACAACATAAAAAGGGCGGGCGCGCGCGCGCGCCTCAGTCCCGCACCGCGACGCCCTTGGCGCTGTGCGCCTGCAGCACCGCCACCGCCTCGTCCACCTTGGCCCTGAGCGACTCCTGGTCCTTGATCATGTCCACCAGTTCCGTGTTGTCGATCTCGAGCAGCATCCCGGTAATTTTGCCCGCCAGTTCCGGATTGAACTTCCTGATACTCGAGTACAGCTGCTCCCCGATCATCTGTTTCTGGGGATCCTGGGGCGGCGGGGGCGCCCCGTTGTCGCCTCCGTTCCCCGCGCCGGCCCCGGACCCGTCGTTGCCCCCCGACGACGACGTATACTTGCTGTTGGGCCGCGACGGGGGCGGCGCCCCCTGCTGACCCGTGATCGGCCGGGGATGCGCCGCAGAGTTTCTCGCCGCCGCCGCCGGTCCCGCCTGCACCGCCCTCGTAGCCGACCTGTAAGCGGGCGGGGCCACCGGCAGTCCGTAAGTGCCGTTCGGTCTCGCCACCGGGGGCCACCTCGGGTTCGGCCTCAGGTGGTTGATCGGGGCCCCGAGTTGGTTGTAGTAGCGGGGCGGAGGCGGCGGCGCGGCCGCCGCCTGCACCGACGAGAACACGAACGGGGGCGTGGTCGTCGGGAACGTGATGCTGGATTGGCGGAGTGCGGCAGCCGCCCTCAGCGAGTACTGCGTGTTCAGTATCGCCTTGCGCTCCTCGCGTCTCTGAGCGTGCGCCACGTAGAGCGGTTTCGTGCCTACTATTTTGCCGTGCAGCTCGTCGATCGCCTTGTCCGCCTCCTCGGGGGCGGCAAAACACACGAACCCGAAACCCTTGCTGCGACCGTTCTCGGTCATCACTTTCGCGGACGTGATCGTGCCGAAACCGGCGAACACCTGGTGCAGCTTCGCGTCGGTGAAGGTGTCGTCGAGGTTCTTGACGTACACGTTCGCGCCCTGCAGCTTGTCGAACCGCTCGAAACGGATCTGGTCGAATTTTTTCCGCAGCAGGCTCACCCGCTCGGCCTTTTTCTGCGCCCGACCGACGTACAGCTGTTTGCCGTCGTAGTCGGTGCCGTTAGCGGCTTCGACCGCACGCGCGGCCGCCGCCGCCTCACGATACGCGACGAACCCGAACCCCTTCGGGGTGCCGTCGTGGTGTTTGGCGAGCACGATGCTCGATATCGGGCCGTACTTGGCGAACATGTCGCGGAATCGATCGTCGGTGATGCCGGCGCCGAAGTTTTTCACATAAATGTTGGTAAACTGGTTCGCCCTGTCGCCGAGCTGCTTCACCCGTTCCGATTTCGGCACGAAATTCGACACGTACACGATTTTTCCGTTGAGCAGCATGCCGTTTACCTTGCTGATCGCTTTGTTGGCCACATCCTGACTCTCGAAGTGCACGAAACCGTAGCCCTTGGAGTAGCCGTCGTCGTCGAGCTGCACCTTGCAGCTGAGGATGTTGCCGAATGCCGAGAAAGTGTCGTACATCGCCTTGTTGTCGATGCTCTTGTCGAGGTTCTTGATGAAGATGTTACCAACGCCGGACTTGCGCAGGGACGGGTCCCGCTGGCACCACATGATGCGTATCGGTCGTCCCTTGACGAGATCGAAGTTCATCGTGTCGAGCGCCCTCTCGGCGTCCTGCGAACTGTTAAAGTTGACGTACGCGTACCCGAGCGATTGTCTCGTCCTCGAGTCCCGGCACACGCGGAGCGACAACACCGTGCCGACGGCGCAAAACTTCTCGTACAGCATGCCCTCGGTCACGTCGGGGTGCAGGTCGCCGACGTAGAGGGACCCGCCCGGGAACATTACGCCCTGCGGCGGTACGTTGCTCATGGGCCCGCGCGCGCGATATATCCCGCGAATTGAAACTTATCCGTTAAGAAACTGTTCGGCTTAATACGTAACGCAACGAGTTTTTTTATTGCTTTTCCGCGATTTTTTCGAGTGTTTGTTTACGTTTTCCGGGCAACGCAAAACCGAAACACTACAAACGCGGCATTTTGAAATCTAAACGGCCGTGGACGGAGACGCGCCGTTTCCCGATTGGTCCAGTTTAAACCACGGATCGGTCCGTCGATTTTAACGGTTCTTCTTCGTCGACAGACACGAGCCCCTACTAGAGCGGGCCGATCCGATTCCTTGTTGCGATCAGACGATTTCTTTAATCGATCATGATCGCTAGTTTTCCACAACCAGCTCGCCTTATTGGCTTGTGCCAGTCACAGGAATCATTAATCAGCCGTAGGCGCGTAATAAGAGACTACGGCGTACTTTGTCGAAGAACCGAAAGACGCAATAGTTTGCACTTTTTTGTCTAGAAAATCCTAATTTATTGCCATCTACAAAATTCCAAAGTTGTATTAAAAACACGGAATCTTTACCTTACCTCACTCTTTAGCAGTTAGCAAAAAGGCGGGATCGATTCGTTCATTTTTAACGATGTGTTCATGATCGACCCAGCTCTAACCCCCATTTTATTCCTACCAGGTCGACTCATGTTTCTGAATTCCGATTCGTCGTATGTATTCTTGTATCTTTACGGCATTAATCGGAATCAATTTTCGAGGTTAGTTCTGTTATTTTCTGTTTATTGCTCGAAGGCATGGGTAAAAAGAGGAAATTGAAGCAGTTGAAAAACGACGAGTACGAATTCGACCCGGTGCCCAAGCATCTAGTTACTGACCATTTGAAAAATCAGGAAAAGCGCCTTATAATCATATTGGAAGGTGCCCATTTGGAAACGGTTAAGGTCGGCTCAAAATTCGAGTTACTGAACTGCGACGACCATGCTCATATTTTGCGTCAAAATAACCGCGAACTCGGTTCATGCCGACCGGATATCGCACATAGTTGTCTCTTAATGTTGCTCGACAGTCCTTTAAACAGGGCGGGTTTGTTGCAAGTGTATGTTCACACCAGCAATAACATTCTGATTGAAATTAACCCTCAGACGAGGATACCGAGGACGTTTAAGAGATTTGCGGGACTAATGGGCAAGTGTACACTTGAATGGGTGGACGTGCTTTATTAATTTGTGAATTATTTTAGTACAATTACTTCATAAGTTCTCGGTTAGAGCGGAAAGTGGTCCGAAACTGCTTAAAGTGATCAAAAATCCTGTAACTGACCATCTACCCGTGGGCGTGAGGAAAATAGCGACATCATTCTCGTCAAATGTCTTTCGCAAGTGTGTAGATTTAGTTCCAAAGACGGAAGACCCAATAGTATTCGTGATCGGCGCAATGGCAAAAGGAAGCGTAGACGTCGATTATATCGAGGAAACAGTTTCAATAAGTAATTATCCCCTGTCTGCTGCCTTAACCTGTACAAAGCTTTGTTCGGCCTTTGAAGAAATTTGGGGAGTCCTTTAGTTTGTAAAATTTTTGACAAATAAATATGAATATTTAGAAGGTTTGAACGTTATTTCATTTTTTTTAACAGTTGAATTTATTCAATCTAAAAGAACTTTGTACTTGCATTGCCTTTAGCTTTACTTAAGGACCCAACGTTTAAGACAGATAAGTTGCTCTCCTTTAAGTATAGACCATAGAGAAAACTAATAGCACAGCAGTTAGTTAATTACCACAGCATAACGATTTAGTCAAATGGAACCGCGTAACATACTTTTGTGCGAATGTGTTCAAAAACATACCACCGTGTAAAGCGATAAACTCTGAGTAGTCGAGAATTTGCGTTTTTGACTTCTAGTTAAATGCGAGGAAAGTTTAAGCGAGTTTTCGAACTTCCCGGACTTATCGAATTCGCTCATTGGTCACCGTCATCCTGCCCGTTCTGTCAAAACTTCCCTCCACAAAAAAGTTCGCGGAACATGCGCGTTTCCGAAAAAAACTGTAAATCGTTTGGAATTTTCGGACTGCGACGTGGTTCTGTTTCGTAATATTGGGAAATTTTTCAAAATAAAACATTTGCTCGGAAAAGTTGCGATAGCGGTTTTCAAATGTGTTTTCCTTTAAAATTTCCCCAAAACAAAAGACTGAAAAATATCGCTTAAGTCAATGACGACGTACACGAATTGTGATCGGAGGCAATTTTTGGAAAAGGCATTTGCTCTGCGAAAAAATTTTTAAATTTTGACCGAAAAAGTATGTATTGCAGTGTTATTTTAGCATCGTAATTCGTGCAAAATATTCGGTTCAAAAGGGTGGCCATTTACTTGACCTCAAACAGCCATTATGAAATCCGTGATCATCCAAGCCGTAATTCTAGATTATTTGTATTTGCGGTCGGAAATATGTGGCAAATGTTATTAAAAATGCCATATTAACGATATTTTTCAAGTTTTCCTCGATTTTAATGGTCATTTCGACCTTTTCATAACGGCCCCGCGCCAGAAGCTACCTCGGCGGCGGCCATCACGGTAGTATGTGCCAAAGCTTGTGAAGCTGGTTGTGTTAAGTGGAGTGAGTGTTCTGTTGCTCCGTATTTTTCGCGATTCTCATGTGGAATATTCGAGAAAATACGCAGGTAATGTACAATAAGCTTCGTTAAAGTCCAATTTATCTGGGAGAGTCGTTATTTAGCCGCGAAGCGACGGTTTTCCCGGCGAATTGGGAAAAATTCACGCGAGCTTCACTTCATAGGCTCCATTAAGTGCCCGCCATATTGAAAACTCGTCGAAGGAACGAATTTTCGCGTTCGTAACGTCTCGTTTCGCGGAAAGCGTTTTTTTCTGGCACGTTTATGCGCGTATTTTGCCGATAGTTTAAGGTTAATAGTTCTTTTCCCGCGTTCCGACGTCAAATGCATCATCTTAAAAGTGGCCGTTGTTCTAGTAGCGGTGCATTTCGCCGATAACCGCTGTCTCTCGTTCGCCTTCCCACGGCAATCTTCAAGGTCCCTTCTTCGACGGAAGTCCGAGTTTTGATAGCGGCTTTCACTGAAAATTTGGGTCTCGGGCGAAAAAGTTTGGGAAATCGCCGCACATAAACAATCACGTTTACGTTATTGAGGACGCCTGAACCCGGGGTGGAACTCATTAGCATTCGGGAAGTTTTTAATTGCACCGTGACGAAGGCTGCGGTGGCGATCGTTTGGATAGGGAAAAAAGGGGGTGTGGCAGTCGCTTCCAACTCGCGGTAAACGCGATTCACACTGTTTTTTTTTTGGTTTTATCGTGTGTGGGTGGAAAATTCACTTCGGGGCTCCTTTCAGGGAGGGACGTGGATTTTTTTCTGAAGCGGTGAGCATTTTCAGCACCAAGGAAATGTTTGGCGCCTAACCGTGCCCTGCTGGGTCGCGTTTTTCGGCCGAATCGGTGGTCCGGTAGTTCAAATGTATAAACTTTCTCCGAATGTGTTAATTTTCGGTGTCGGAGGGCGATCTCGATTGCTAGTTATTCCGCTGGTCCTCGGAGTATGTGTTTTTGTAGGTTAAGTTTTGCCCGCGAACAAGTTTGAGTCAATGGCGTCTCGGAAACAGGCTCGTATCGCGTAAACTTGAAAAACATTCTCCAAAAACGAAAAAAAACAATGTGATTTTTAAGGCAGCAGTTGCATAGTATGTCGCGTAGATCAGATTCATTCAATTAGAAATTAAAGCTCAATAAATCTTGTTCCCATTGAATGAGGGCGGTAATTTGTAAAAATTTGCAACCAAGATAACTTTCCAAAAAACAATTTTTATTACATGTTTAATTTTTATCGTTATTTAATCATAATTTTGGTTTAACTTGTTAAAATTACAATTCGTTTTTGATTGTTTTTCTTTGCCATTTGTATTGCAGAAACAAGATACGATAATGAATATCGCTTAATATTAATATGCCATCGCGAAGGATGGGATATTGGTCCGGCCTGACATCGCTTCGGACCAGTTCTTGATAGGCCCGGGGGGCGTCATTCATTCCGTTAATTCGTTTGGTTAAGGGTCGGCGCGCCCCAAAGTGTCCCCTCTGACGACCCCCTCTCGGCGATGCAACAAGTCGAGGCGTCAACTCCTAACAATACCGTGAGTGATTGCCTGGCCCCCCTTGAGGTATGAACGGTCGCAATTTTGGCCTGTTTAAGGGCGGTAGCAAGATGAACGACACTAAGGACAAGGAGCCGCCGCCGCGGAGCGAACCGCAGACTGAGCCTGTCAACGGGGTGGTACAGCCGCCGACTGTACCGCCCACAGACAGGCCCGGCCGCGTCACCAACCAGCTGCAATTTTTGCAGAAGACGGTGCTCAAGGCCGTGTGGAAGCATCAGTTTGCGTGGCCCTTCCAGCAGCCCGTCGACGCGAAGAAACTCAACTTACCGGTGAGTGCCTGCCACCCTCTACTACCCCACTTGCTCACATAAGCAATTGTGAGCCTTTCTGCACACTGTTTTTCAGGAATTGCTCGTCGGTACATAGATTTGTTCCAATCCAATGTTGCTGAACCAACCAGTTTTTATAAATGATTCTTTTTTCATTATTGGTTCCTTCGTTTGAAATTATAAGCTAACTAATGTAAACTTAAAACGTGGAAAGGGGAAGCGATACATTTTATGGTAGTTTTCAAATAGATTAGCTAATTCAAGGCATTCTTTGTCTCTTCCAAAATGTATTGAAGGTTTTTTTAGAAATTCAATAACTTATAAATCAAAATTTCTGAGTACATCATTTGTTGCTCCTTATACACCAGGCGTTTCTAGCTCCAATACTGTGGTGAAAAAAGAATATAAATATACAGTGTCGATTCAAACAGCTTCCACTGAATAGGAAGTATCCAATTTAGCATGCAGAACGAATTTCGTAGGCAATATTTGAAGTTTCCTTGGAATACATTAATGTGATATCTTGAATAATTTGAGTTTACAAGGCATCCCCAAGGACTAATTTCAGCAAAAAGTTATGGAGTTTTGAAAATAAAGGCTGGGTTGCCTATTTTTAAATTAATTTGATGTGGAACTTCCACACAGAAATGTAAGGAAATTTAAAATAAATCCATAGTATCATCCGCATTAAAAAAAAAAAAATCAGTTAAAAGTTTTATCGTAACTTCACAATTTCTTGTGGAAAAAGTAAAAGCTTTTATTTTCTACATTTGTTAAGCTTGATAATCCAGAGGCATATTAAAAAATAAAAATTTGCATCCTATCTGGTACCTGTCATCTAAAAGTCTGGAAAAATTTGGAATTCTAGTCCTTTAAGTTATTGAGAAGTCTGAAAAATCTGTAATACTAAGTATATTATTTTATGAGGTTTTGTCGTCAGCCTAGGTTTCGCAAAACTGTTTATTGCAATTGTGAAAACCCCGTTGCAAAAGCAACTCGGCCAATTTGGTATTCATGGTACCGCGTTTGTCCCAGGACTACCACAAAATCATAAAACAACCGATGGACCTGGGAACGATCAAAAAACGACTGGACAATAATTACTATTGGTCGGGCAAGGAGTGCATACAGGACTTCAACACGATGTTCACCAATTGTTACGTATACAACAAACCCGGCGAGGACGTAGTTGTCATGGCCCAGACCTTGGAGAAGGTATTCCTGACGAAGGTGGCGGACATGCCCAAGGAGGAGTTCGTCGTCGAAACCCAGGCTAAGGGATCTAAGGGCAAAAAGGGTAGGACGAGCCTGCCCGGCGTACCTGGTGCCACCCCCGGCCGCGGACGACCGCCCGCCGCTGTCTCCTCCACCGTCGCCAATCCGGTGGCCACCACTACGGGTAAGTTTTGCGTGGCACAGTGGAACGACCTTATGATATCAGAGCGATATGAGGTTTTTAGTCTGGAAATATATTGTACAAAATAGTTGCTTTACATGACTTAATCATACGCAAAAATATAGTGTGTTTTACAAAAACTTTTTTTTATATATGCATATAACTTTGCTTAAATGTCATCTAAATCTTTCGTTTTGAATTTTTTGGAAAGAAGGAGCTTTCAATTTTATTATAAAAACATTTTTTTGTAAAACAGTTAAAAACTAGACAGCGTGTTCAACAAAAATGAGTCTTTAACAATTGCCCTTTACTCAAATATTCTTGTAGAATTTTCATAGTCATTTTTGAAAAAGCCAGTAGGTATTTCAACATTAAAACAATTCATAAACAATTAAGACGGCTGACAATTTCTGCAGTTACATCTCAAATAAAATTGTTATTTGGTTAATTTTGCTAACTAGAATATTTAATGCTTCTTCCTTACTAATACACTGTTGTAAAAAGTCTACGACAAACTGAGCATCTTTAGATTTAAATTGTTTTCCTGCAGCCAAACGTATATGTTCTTCTGGAAAATTTCGGACATATTTCGTATTTCTCCATTTTTGGCGCTATTTGAGATTTCTAAAAAACCTCCAAAATATTTTTTTTCTTAATGTGAAACCAGATTTTTAATATATCACAAAAACTGTACATTTTACCTCATTTGACCAACCTTGTAGTTCTCATAGTGGTTATGGTTATCGTTATGGCAATTGGAACGCCCTTTATAATATATAATACAGTGCCCGTATATAGTTTGCACCATATGGCAACTATGTCTATTTTAAGATAATTTTGTTAAAAAATGCTTGGTAAAATTTCTAAAACAAAAAGAATTGTTTTGAAGTTGAACAAGTATATCTCAACTTTTGTAAATTCCATAGCTTCCATGGTTACATTTTCGTGATCGTAATACTCCAGCAACTATATTGAGATTATTGGTAAAGCGAATCCTGTCAAAAATTAAATTTTGTAAATACAAAAATGTCAATATGTTTTTACCTAATTTGTTCATTTTATTATATTTCTGATAAAAAATACGACTTATTTGTGTAAGATTTTCAAAAAAACCATTAATGTGTATTAGGCAATGACATAACAAAAATATTTATCGAAGTCAATATTTTATACTAGATTTTTTTTGATTGGCATTTCATTTAAATAGTAGTAAAATTTGTAGTTACACACACTTGTAGCATAAAGATATCTATCACCCAAAATTACAATAAAATGATAATAAATTGACTTCTTTCTAGGTAAGTGTGCAAATTTAATTCTAAAAATATAAAGAAAATTCTTTTGGTCTATGACTTTGATATTATACTAAGCCGTTCCTCTGTGTGTGAGGCCGAATTTCCAGGGGAGTGTAGAAAATAGACTAATTATCCAAATTGGATATTATTATACTCCACTGTAATATTATTTTTCCAACCATCCTGTTGGCTTCTTCATAGCTTTACTGAAACTGAAGTAGGAGAAAAACTAAACCGGACTGAAGAAGTCAACAGGAGGATCAGGAGGAATCCAGAAGTTGGTAAATAGTATTGCAGTAGCCCGTGGAAGTTTCTTAAACAAAAAAGAAATGCTCCACTGTACTCGGAATTTTTAGGAATGTTAATAAAAATAAAAATTTTTTAGGTTTATAGTCAAATAAAGTTTTTTTGTTTTAACTTTTATCATTTGTTTTTTTTTTTTGAAAATTTTTGTTTTCGGATCTGGCAAAATTTAAGTGGGACTTCTTGCCGTCAGGTACGACAGGGTTGCCGTTAGGTACCGCCGCCCCCGTCACGGTGCCGGGCAGTACAGCTACGACGACGATAGCGCCGGCGGCCACCACGGTGCCTGCCGCTCCGACCGGTCCCACCGCTTACCCTACCGCCAACTCGATGGACGCGACGGCGGTGGCGACCGCCGCCGTTAGTTCCGCTGGCGGCGTGCTGGCTACCGCGGTTCTGCCACCGTCTCAACCCGCCAAATCGAAAAAAGGTGTTAAGAGAAAGGTGAGTGATCCGGTATAATGGAACTACTATATTTGCTCTCGAAAACGCGTCGAGTTTTTGGACAAACGCAATGATTGCTATAGAAATTTTTCGCCTCTGATAATATTTATCGGGTGTCAGCCCCTGCCGATCAAAGTCGAAAACAGCGGTTTCTGAATATATCTTTTCAAGTATCTTACGTACCCTGTACGATAAATGAAATCTGTAAATAAGAAAATTGGTGATCTCGATATCACTCGCATCACATCACTGGCCAAACCATATATTTCACTTTCATCATTTCTTTAAAAAGTACAGTGAAGTCCGGATATAGTGAACTCGAAAGTTGCATCAAAATTGGTTTGCTGTATCCGAGGTTTACTATAAGCAATAAGCACACCCGATGTTGATCCCGATGAAAGCAGGTTATTAAATAATATATAAAATGATATACTAACATTTTTCTAGATATGTATATGTATTATGTAATTTTGGAAAAGTGAAAATGAAATATTCTGTACAAAACAAGTAACAAGTGAACAAGAACATGTAAACAATATCTAAAAAAATACATGTATCCACCTACTCCTGGATAAACAAGTGGGATATTTTGGTTTGTACAAGTCTGTTGGAAAAGTTAATATTACTTATACAGCTTTCAAGGTTACAAAAAGAATTCGAAACTTTCTCAGGAACGTCGCGTGACCCCAAGGATGTGCGTATCTCTATTATTTTTTCCGACATGTCTTTTACTGAAGGAACATTGGTCATGGCCACTTTCTCAATCATCTCCTCGTTCAGCTTATCTTCACTCAATTCTTCATTTGTGTCTGAAAAAAATAACGTTAATTTTATGTTATAGATACCTGTTGACGCTAACTGGACAATTTCGTCTTCTATCAAAGATTCAGTTGGAATAACTTGTGACCTCCTGAATGTTTTTTTAACCATTCCATTCATCACCAAAGTCAAAATCATCTTCTGCTTCAAAGGATCCTACATGTTTATAACAGTTTTGCAGTATTGTTTTTGCTAACTTACTACCAAGCACGGTGAATAAAATTTACAGCATCCAATAAGCTCACTGAAAACTCTTGTCCATCATTAATTGCTTTAATCATCTTTATCAGCAAAATCTTAGTATAGGGACACTTCATTGAATGGATTATGCCTTGATCCATGGCTGTAGTCTTGAATTGGTATTGATTTTTAAAGGTAATGGAGACAGTCGCTTTGGGCAAATTCATTTCATATTACTTTGTTTGGTGCCACTTTTAATTTTTTGTATTACATCGTATTTGAAGGTCTGTCATCACGATATATATAAATCACAACTAAGATAAAAAAAAAAACAAATGTGCGATGTATTTTCATTACAGGGGGAACCCCCGTAAAAGTTCATTAAAAACGGAAAATATATCTTAATCTTAACGAAATTTAGTTCACTGTATCCGATTCACTATAAACAGTAAAAATTTACATTTGTCTTATGAGACTTTTTGAGTGTATTTGAAAAAGTGTTCCTTATAACCTAATATTCAGAATAAACGGGTTTACTATATTCGAACTCCACTGTATTTCAGAAAGTCTGATGGTCCCCAGATTTTAAAAGATAGAAAAGGTAGAATATCACCTTCATGCCAAATTTGCGGAAGCTTGTGTCCTGCGGAATGAGGTTTTTGAATTTTTAAAAATACTTCCCGGTCCCTATCTCCGCGAAATACATAATCGATCGATAGCTTCAAATTTCGGACACTTATTTTATTTCATAGCGATATTCAAAAAACAACCGTAAATAAAAAAAAAGTGCAACCCATAAAGGACATAAAGTGCGTAAAGGCAAGGGCAAGCCAAGAAATAAAAATTATGTTTCGAGGAGATATGATATTTTTATACAAAATTAGGACGTTTCAATTTCTTTTCAGAAATTATATATAATTTTTATAATATATGATGTATAATTTTTGAACATTTAAAATTTATTTAATATTATAACCTACATATTAACAACAAGAAAACGATATAAATATTTTTCATTTTGTTTTTAGTTCCATTTTTTGGTACTACTTGTTTGGTTTGAAAGCGCTTAATAATTTGTCATCCGGATATTCAAAAAGTATGGAAACCGTGAAATATTGAAAATTACATATAATGGCCCAAGATGGTGCTCGAATTGCAAAAAACGAGTTATCTTATTTATCAAGAAATACATACATACACTTTTATAAACCTCTTCAAACACTCATTTATAAATAATTAGTTCATTTTTGAGTATATTAGAGCATGGAGTGGAAAAAAATCTGTTAAAAAAGGAATTTATAATACTAAAGTCGGATTCAGAACCCAGTATATTGACAAATATGATAAATCGTGTTTTTTTGCGAAAATTCAAAAGAAAACCTTTTATTTTACATATTTGTGGCATAGAATCCGAATCGGTAATAAAAAATGTTTTTTTTTTTCATTCACTGGGTTGGGCTAGAGCCTCATGTTTTGTTGTTGGGTATTTTATTTTGTCAAAGAGATACGGAGGGCAGGCATTTATAAAACGACTGCATGAAACTGTGTACGTTTTCCATTGATGGTTAATTTCCTTCACGGAGTTTATACAACATGGGTTTTAGACGCCCGGTAAATAATTTTTGTTTCTATCCAGGCCGATACGACTACGCCCGCGACCGCCTACGACTACAACCCGTCCGGCGAGTCGAACTCCTCCTCGTCGGCGAAGATATCGAAGCGACGCGAGTCGGGCCGTCAGATCAAGAAGCCGCTGCGGCCTGAGCTCGACGGTCTCGTCGCGTACCAGACGTCGGGGGCGGCGGTGCCGTCACCCCTCGCGCCGGGAGGCGGGACCGCCGTCGCGCACCACGCCCACGTCCTCAAGTCCAAGGAGAAGCTCACCGAGTCGCTGAAGGCGTGCAACGAGATCCTCAAGGACCTGTTTTCGAAGAAGCACTGTGTAAGTGTACTCGTGACGCGCTAAAACCAATAAATTCGGACCTCTTATGAAATTTCCCCCTTATGCGCTTTTACGATTCGATGAAATCTCTGGCGGAAAAAATATTACTGTGGTTTTTAAGTAAAATTGGGAATGGTTGAATGATTGACTTCATGTAAGATTAATGTTTGCGTCGTATTTTGATGTTGATAGTGTTTAAAAAAAAAATGGCGTGTTTGGCATAGGTTGCAATTCAGTGCCTGGATTCATTCTTCTAAAAGTTCATTATTAAAAGAAAAGCTTGATGTTGTTACTCGAGAAATAGTTTTTGATGTAACACATATTATTCTTCAAACTTTAAGCATTATGTTTGCAGCTTATCAACAAACCAGTTTTACAACTGTTTATGGATCTTAGCCTTTTGCAATATTGAATTGAATAGGGAGTGCTTTTAGAGTCTTTATTTAATAATGCTTTGCTTTCTGTAAAACTGCAGCTTTCACATTATCCTTTAAATATGATAAAAAAGAACATAATAACTGATAATAGAGAATAATGCTTAGTTGTTGTACATTCTTTTAAGTTATCTTTACCTTAAAAAGTATGTTAACCTTGTAAGAAACATTATTTTGCTTTATATTTCACCAATGAAGTTCCAGATACACCTCCAAAGTGCCATTGCTTTCCAATATTTTACGTTTTTTAAAAAATCGAAAAGGAAACTATAAAAGTCTGCTATAAGAAGTTACCTTCAAAGCGCTGACTCGTATATCTAGGGACCCTGAGGACCACTTCTTTGGTAGGACGCAATTAGATGGCTTTTAAAATAAACAAAGAAAATAGCCAGTTTAAGTACCGGAGAAAGGAGAGAAAAAGCTGGAAATTATGTTTAGGTTCATGAAATGGTCGGTAGGGGGCGTAACCTTTACTGTAAAATAGAAAATAACGGATTTTCTCAAAAATATTCCAAAACAACTACATCAAAATTATCTACTCTACTCTAGGTAAGAAAACTTTGTTGTTTGAATTATTTATTTCGATCTATCTCTCTATTTATTTCTATCTCGTTAGGGTCAAATTTCGGTTTAGAAAAAGTTGAATAACTTTTTTTTGGCTAATCCGATTTCGACAAACTTGGTTTAGTTTTAAACTGTATTTGTAAGAGCTTTACGAGTCGGTAGTATGCGCTTCATGTTAAAAACAGCAATTTTTATGATTTTCTCGAAAATTTCAAAAAAAAATTCAAAAAAAATAATGGTATTAATATTTTTATCCTTATTTACAAATTAGGATAAAATCAAATTTAACTCTAGTAGTAAATGTAAGCATTCCACGTCACGTATATCGTCTCTGGTACTATAACTATGCTACGGTTGGAAACCATGTTTAATAAACACATTTTTATTTATATCTCGAAGACGAAAAAATATATTGCCATGTCGTTTCCACTACTTTCTGTGTTTTTTTACGCTGTTTCAACTTAGCAAAAATATTTATAATTATATTTAAAATTTTCGAGAAAATCTGTTTTTGTTTTTGACATGAAGCGCCTCCTACCGACTCGTAAAAGAAATAATACCGTGATATTGACATGCCAGTCCTGTAAATGCTCTTCAAAAACTAAACAAGTTCGTCGAAGTCCCTTAATTTAACGAGATAGAAAGAAGTAGTTCAAACAAAGCAGTTTCCTTATCTACAGTAGATTATTTTAAGACTAATTTTGATATAGGTTAATTTGGAATATTTTTGAGAAAACCCGTTTTTTTTTTCGGCCGTTTAATAAACTCAAAAATTATTTACAGCTATTTCTCTTGGTCGATTTACCTATAAAATTCTTTTTTCTAAGTCGTATTATTAACGGTTGCTGAAATAGGTACAATGGAATAAAACCAATCTTTATTATTTAATTCATGGCATACATATCGTATTACTACTAACAACACGAACAAGGGAAAAGGTTATATCTCATCAAATGCGTAAGCTTCAAATACCGGATAAAGTCAGTCAAAGCCAAAATAAGAGGTCCAGAGAGTTTCTAATAAATATAAAACTTAACGACCGGCGGTTGGCGCAGAATTACGCGTGGCCGTTCTACAAGCCGGTGGACGCTGAACTGCTCGGCCTCCACGACTACCACGATATCATCAAGAAACCGATGGACCTCGGCACCGTCAAGCAGAAAATGGACAACCGGGAGTACCGTACCGCGCAGGACTTTGCGCAGGACGTCCGGCTGATATTCACCAACTGCTACAAGTACAACCCGTCGGATCACGACGTGGTGGCGATGGCGCGCAAGCTTCAAGACGTTTTCGAAGTCAAGTGAGTCCGATTGAACTGGCCCACCACCATTGCCGTTAATATGTTTTTGCTGATGTTTATTTATACTGGTTCTGGTACGTCCCTATCGCAAAGAGCCATAAAGAAAATAAAAATTAAATTAAAAGACACGTTAATGACAGGAATTTTAAGAAACGTTGCTGCAAATCGCAATAAAAAAATTCTCTTAGGGGGTAGAAACTGTAATTAAGTCTTTGATTTTTTTAAATAATCATAATAAGCGATATTGGTAATCCCTGACACCAACTTGTTACTTTCGAAAAATCGATGAAATCGAATTTTTCGAAAGTATACGCGCTGGGCAACGGATCGTCGTACAGCGTCGCCGTTGGTACCGATGGAATCGGCGTCGAACAATAAACGTTGCAATTTTTTGTTTGTTCTCCGTTCTCTGTTCTCTGTACGCTCCATAAAAACGCGAATAACTTCCAAACGGTTTGAGTGAGGGCGCTGAAGTTTTGCTCCTTTTAAACTGGCCACGAGACACATGTGCCCATAGGAAATAGCTGCGATTGAAAATTGGCATCTGTATTTTTTTTGTGATTTTCGTCTGTTTTTCGTACATCGCTATGGAACACGACGAGTGTCCGAGATTTGCAGCTATCGATTTTAAAATTCGCACAAATATAGAGTTTAGTCCTCTAACGGAACATATTGAAATTGGGGAGACCGGGGAGTCTGGAAGTATTTTTAAAAATTTAAAAATCGCATTTGCATGATATCGAGAAAAAAATCATTTCTCAAAAACGGTATACGCGATCGAAAAAATTCTTGGACCAGAAGACGTGCGAGATCTTGACCAAAATCATTTATCTTTGATGATTTTTTAAAAATGTACAGGGTGTGCCGGCAAATTGCAAAAAACTGAAAATTGGGTTCCCCTTATAAGGCTGCCATTTTCTTTCACGCGACCATATAGTCCGTATGGAATGCTTTAGTATTGTATTTTAGGTTTTCGGAGATTGTACAGGGTGTTCGGGATATTATGCACCATATTCAAATATGTAGTAGATGTCTCAAATTTGTAACTATTTTTTCTTTTAGAAAAAACAAAATTTCTGGAAAACTATTAACGGACGCAGAAGATTCGGTGCTCTATAACTTCTATTTCAAGCATTTTTTCGATTATGTAAGGGTTTTCCAATTATAGACAAAAATCTAAGACACTGAAAATCATTATTTTCGCTGTTATTATTATTAGCCGTAAAACAAAATTTGTAAAAATATGGCCAATTGGTTTAGATGGTATTGTACAATGTAACAAGAGCTAGAATTTTGAATTTGAAAAAATCCAAATGAAAATCACCATTTACTCGAGATTTACAATACCCCTTTTTCTAAAAATTAGTTTTCTAATCAAATTTCCTGTCAAACGATGTGCCATACATCTATTTTTATTAAGTAGTTAAAAAGATATCTGCAATTTTTAATAATTACCATAGTAGGCTGTGCTTAACTCTGACCTATGTAATTTTATGGTATCTATCTAGGTAGCTATGATCAGATAAAAACAATTGCCATGATACACGAGCCCAAGGGTCAAAAGTAATAAAATATTGTATTGAAAGTCCAATAAAATTTTATCTACACATTTTTGGCGCGCACAGCGCCTACTATAGTAAATATCAAAAATTGCAAATATCTCTTAAACTATTTAATAAAAATAGGTGTATGGCATATCGTTCATTATTTGAAAAATGATTTTTTTGATAAAATATAAGTTTGTGTGATATCTCGAGTACTAAAGGCTCTAAGACAAGACGGATAAAATAACTCTATTCTTACAATTAAAAAAGTAATAGAAGGCGTTTAAAGTCGCACAGGTAGCTCACCCTGTAGCTCAAAAACGCCTTGACATATCACGATACGGTTTTCAGTTTTCGACTTTCTCTGGAAAATCGAGCCCGTAACATGCAAATTAGTTTTGGGCTCACTATGCTGCAAGAGCCTGTATATAAGGTAACAAGTTTTCCAGTGTGCGGGCATTTTTGTCACAAAAACTTGAGAAAGGACCGGATGGCACAGACTGTTAGTATTCTGTTAAAATAGTTACAAAACTTTACTCGGCGTTCCCAATATTATCCGGATTTCAGAGACTCATATTGATTTTTATAACAATAAATCAATTTTCCAGAAAAAATACGACAAATGGGGGATGTTGCATGCGTGAAGGATAATTCCGAACTGTAGGAAAATGTAGTTATCTGCGGCGCTTCAATTTTTACCTTGGTAATATAATATAATTTTGAAAATTGGATACCATAGCCACCATTTTCATTTAGCCACTCTGTTCTCAGTCACTCATTCCAATCGTCTCTAATAAGGGTGTTTTAAGATCGACGTCTGATCATCTGCAGTTATAATACTACCATAAAAATCCTTAAATAGAAGAGAAATTAAATCAAAGTTGGAAAGGAAAAACAGAACAGTACAGTTTCATTCAAGCACCGCAAAATACTCTCTTAAGGAATAGAAGATATAATTAAGCAATCTCTTTTCATAAAAAGATGTCAATGTAGCTGATGGAATTTTATTAATCGAAGGGTTTCCTTGCGTTGCAGGTTCGCGAAAATACCCGACGAACCGCTGAACAGATTAAGCAATATGGTTCCTAACGAGTCGAGCTCGTCGGGTTCGAGCTCGGAAAGCTCGAGCGACACGGAAGACTCGGAGGAGGAGAGGCGGAACAAGCAGCTGAAGTTGCTGGAGAAAGAGGTGAGCGGAGGAAATTTTTTTAACAAGAGACAAAAAAAATAACCATTTGGGCGCATCTCGTGCAGCTCACGGCGATGCAGGAGAAGATGCGCAAACTGGTCGAGGAGAGTAGCAAACGGAAGAAGGAGAAGAAAAAGCAGAAAGTGAAGGACAAGCCGAAGAAGGGGGGCACCGGCGCGGCATCGGGAGCGACCGCGGCCGTCCACCCCATGCCGAACAGTACCGGTAAGGCGGCCGGGGGCGGCAAACCGGCGGCCCTCGCCGCGGACAGCGCCCTCGACGACGGCGGCGGCGCGGCAGCGGGGGCGGATTCCAAAGCGGGCGGCGACCATCACCATCACCCGCCGCGGGGTTCTGCCTCCGCAGCGCACCACCACCAGCTGTCATCGGCCGCCGCCGCCAAAACGCCCAAGAACAAAGGTGAGGCCAGGCGAGGCGACACAATTCCCCCCCACATCCCGGGGGGTAGGGCTCTCGGTAGGCGTTACGTTCCTCTATTTTTCTGGCACGGTGCCAAATCCTTGTGGAACACCTACTTTTTACAAAACTTCTGGATTCCTGCTGCGTCGGTTTTCGCCGAGTCGAACTTGCTGGAACCGAACCTTCTCACCTTAATGGAACATATTTTTCTTATAACGGTCAAATTTTCGAACAAACTGTCACCTGTCATGGCGAAAGCTCTCGACACCTTCTATCTAAAACCAAAATTGTGGAAACGCTACGTCGATGATACTTTTGTTATTTGACCTCATGGTCAAAAATCCCTAGTAGATTTTTTTAGGCCTTTAAACTGGATACATTCTAACATAATTTGATTTAGAGACTAATAATAACCTCCCATTCTTAGATATTCTTCTCAATAGAAAATCATTCATCAATTCTCTCTTGTTTGCAGAGCCGTAAACCTAGTTCAGCCCGAGGCCCTGAACCCAGAATTAAAGCACCTTACCTCTGATCTCTCTACTAATTTCCACATTAAAGATATTAAGCGTTTCATCACAAAATATTCCACCCAAACATTCCAATAGCAATGAAGCTGAAAGAAATCTCACACTTCCACTGTTGTCCTTTCTTACATTCATTACGTCACTGACCACATATTAAAATTTCTAAAGAAATATAACGTCAAATCCAGATTTACCATTTGTCCAAAAATCTGAACATCCGACCACGAAAGAGCCTTAAGACTATGACCAACTTATCAGCAGTTGCCGAACACAATCACGAAACCGGACATAAAATTTTATAAATCCGAGAGTCTATAGAAATCAATAAACGACCTATCTAACAATCTTAATCGCTATTCAGGTCTTTACTTGTCACCAATATGGGAATCAGTTATCATTCCCCTCAATTAGCTCCGCCCCCCTCAAACGATATATAAGCAGGTACAGAGTAAAATGCGAGCCAGTTTCAGTAAACCTCTGAAGAAGCCAACAGCAAGTTCGACTCAGCAAAAACCGACGCAGGAGCAATCTAGAAGTTTTGTAAAAAGTGTTACAGTAACCTGTTTAAGTTTATTTGAAAAATTACCTCATTGGATTTTTTCAAAGAAACTTCCACAGGCTGCGGTAACACTATTTACAAATCTGCAAGATGGATTCCTTTTGCTTCAGTTTTAGATAAATCAAAGTTGCCGACTTCTCGCCAATTATCTTGATGGCTTCTTTAGAGCCCAAGCAAACAGGATGATAAGCGAAATGTCAGCAAATTCGATTTATCAATAACCGACGCAGGAAGAATCAAGGAGATTAATAAATAGCTCATTGGAATGTCTTGGGACGACATTTTTTTTTGTAACGCCTATGGCCCGCAGTGCATGTGACGTAGACATATTGGATTTTATTTTTTGACGTAGTATTTTTTGGATTACCGCATGGTAATAATATTGTATTTTCTATCTATCAGTAGACTACCTAAATTATCTCGCTTTCCTTACTACTAAGTTTCTTATCGAATACACGCCAACATAGACACGCTGCTTGCATTTGACCTTGCCTTGCCTCTTCTTTTTTTTTTAAATTTGTCTTCGGTACGTACAATGCGGCGCCGGCATTTTCCACCGTGTGATAAATATAACGCGCCGCACTGTATTTTTTTCCTAGCGGTAAAGCCGATGTTTGATGATTCCACACGTTCCACTATTGACGGTGCCGTTCAAAAAAAATATTTTACTAAAAACCCCAAGACGAATTTAACAATATCCCTGTTAACTGTTTACAAAAGTAACCAAAGAAAGCAATAAATTTTTCAATTATTTTCTTGCGAGTATATTTACTTTCGACTTTTTAGTGGAAACACCAAATTCAATTTGGAAAAATATCCCATCAACAATATCAATGATTTTGGCACATTTATATTGGACCAACAGGTAGAAACATTTAAGAAACGCATTAATGGAGTATAAAAAAGTAAAAGATCGGATTCTAACTTTACGATTCATTTAAATTAAGAAATGCACAAGTTTGACGATAATTTTTGATTATTTTACATAATCATTGAAAAACAAAAATAATTTTTTTAGGAAGCTCCCGAGATGAACAAAGTGACATATTCGAATTTATTACTTAATGACCAAGTGGATTGAAATGCATCTCCGTTGTTAAATATAAATTTATAACCCAATACCGGTAATTAAAAATCTATTACTATCTGTTTTTATATATAAGTGTGGGAATATAGACATATTTTGCCGAAACAGCTGTCATAAAGCATTAAAAACTGTGAAAATCTGAACATTTTTTGATCTAATTTAATTGTTACATGGATTTTCATCAAGTAAAAGCCACCTCAGTCCAAGTAATCATTATAATTGGTTTCCTGTCGTTTGACCGCCACAAAAATGTTTGTGAGCAAACTTTATTTACAGGATTTTAATTTAATCACTCAGACCACTACTTTCAGAAATTTTCATGGACAATTTAGAAAATATCGTACATAAACATCCTCTGAGTAAAGTATTTCTCTGGTGATATCGGTACGTGGAACATATTTTTGCTTGTTTCACGGATACGGAAAGACAACTGTAGTCCTATACTATAACTAAACTACAGAAGAAATTAGATTTTTCCATTTACCATAAACTCTCACACACGGACACAATAATTCATAGTAACTCAAATCACCCTTGTACTTCATACTTTTATCCACAGACTAATTAATATACCACTTACCACAGAAAATTTTGAAAAAGAATTGAATACTATAAAACAAATAGCTTTTAGCTATGGTTACGCCCACTCTTTGATGGATAAGGTTATAAGTAAAAAGCCGTTTCAAATAACTCTGAACTTTATCTATCCCGACCGAACCGAAAATGTATAAAACAATCAAATACATAGGCGAACCTAGCTAGAAACTTTCGAAACAACTATCTAAATTTGGTCTTAAGATTGCTTTTAAAACTGAAAACACCATTGGGCATTTTTTTAAAAAGTAATAAAACTAAATTACGAAAAACTCAAAAATCCGGAGTCTACAAGATGAAATGTAGATGATATCTCAAAATTTATATAAATAAAACATGACAAACATAAAAGAGCGTATAAAAACAAAAGTTCGGAATCTAACTATGCCATTCATTTTAATTTTGAAATGCACAAATTTGACGATAATTTTAATGTTTTACATAATCAATCAAAAAGCAAAAAAGTAAATTTGTTGGAAGCTATGGAGATTAACAAAATGAGATAATCGAATCTATTACTTCATATTTATAACCCTATAAAGGTAATCAAAATATTGTCATATTTTGTATTTGATAAAGACACAATGCTGCCGAAACAGCTGTCATAAATCATTAAAAACTGTAAAAATCTGAACATTTTTTATTCTAATTTAATTTGTCTGCTGGGCAGTAAACGCTCTCACTCCCCGTCACCGACATTTCGTATAATCGATCATCGAAATCGACAAATCGGAGATCGGAAGATCAAGGAAGGGTAAATTTCACCTTTCGGGAGTCTTGTGAAAGAATCGATTTAATTGTATTGGAACCGGCATCGGCTTTATCCGTACGTGTGAAAGCGTCCTTATGAGGATTGGGTAGTTTCCTCGCGCGGGTGGGGGCGATCTCGGTTGATCCAACCGGCGTGTGTTCGCAGGTCCGCGGGGGCCGAAACCCGCGACCGCAGCGCCGAACGGCCCGCCTCCGAAACGGGCCAAGGCGAATAGCAAGGCGGGCGGCGGGCCGGGTCGGAAGAAGGCGCAGGCGCAGCCGGCCCCCGCCGCATTTGACTCGGAAGACGAGGACAACGCGAAACCGATGTCGTACGACGAGAAGCGGCAGCTGTCGCTGGACATCAACAAGCTGCCGGGTGAGTCATCTCTTCCCCGCCACTATTTATTTTCTCTACTCTCTACCGTCCGGAATTTTCTTCCCTTTCTTCTCCTGCTCCCTCTTTATTCTCCTTTATCCTCTTCTGCTTTTCCTCCTGTACCACGCGTTCAGTTTATCTTGATAACATTTTAATTGGCTGTAAGTTTTTCGTTTTTAGAAATATCAAGGTAAACAAAACACAAAATGTAGGGTCAGTAGCGTAGATCCTATTTTTTTAAATGGAACACCCTGTATATCATATATGTCTTTAATAGAATATCTTATTCCGATTACAATGATGCAACACACTTTATATCTTAGTCCACTCGTTTTTGACAAATCGCCAAAAATAGGAAATTTCAGTGCCCTGACTGACAAATAAAAATATGTTTATGTTTGATAAAACTCAAAAACTAAGCGCAGAGCAATGTCAAAGGAAGGATGCACTACAAGAAAGGGTTGTAATAGACAAAATACGTGATATTCGTCTTTGAATAATCCTAGACAAATACTCGAAATAAAAACTCAGCGGTACCAATCAATGAATGTATGGGTGGTGTCATAGATGGGCATATTTTATATCCGTGATTTATAGATGAATAGATAATAGAACATATACAATAGAATATATAAAAGATTCACCCATAAGTATATCAGCGCTGATTAAAAATTTTCTTAAATTAAAATTAAAATGTTATCAAGATGAATTGAACGCACGGTAGTCTCTTATTACGGTTGTATTTCAAAACTATTTCATATTTAAAAATTTAACAATAATGAATAAAATGAAATATTAGTCATACTACAATGGATTGATTTCAAACAGCTAACGGTACAACTATATCCATAATTTATTTCCAGTTCTAATTCTAAAATCAGAAGTAAACAAAAGTCTAGACATGTCTTATGCGCAGTCTAGTTTTCAACAATTTTCATTTTTTTTAATGGTTATGTCGTTTGACATTTCGCCAGATTTGCATGATATTTTTAATGGTTAGTTAACGGCAGACAAAGTAAAACAAAGGGATTGGGTTGGTTATTGGTGTAACCACGCTTTTACCAGTGGTTAACTAAGAGTTGGTGTTTTATCAAATTTTTAATATTCTATGGTCTGACACGTACCAATATTGATTCGAGCCCGTCCCAGATATCATTCACTTTTCGACTTTGATCTGCGGATAACAGGACAAGTTCTGTTGGAAATATTAAATTTTCGAATATGGAATTTGTCGATCGGGAATATATCCCGAGTTTGTCTTGGCAGTTTAATGTCACAGCGACCTGTCTAGCTGATTATTTTTGGCAATCGTCGTTTTAGTAGAATTTTAATTGACAGAACCTCGAAAATCTTAAACGACATCGTAAGTTTGCTAACATTTTCTGGTATTCTAAGTCTAGCGAGACGCTAAACAATTCTTCACTCTAGTTTTTTTTTCTTCTACTTTGTTCCTTCTTTCGTCTGGGTCGACGTTCTCCGATTTCGACACCTCTGTTGGGAGTAGCCAATCATCAGTGCCTCGGAGTGTCTATCCGTTTATGAAATCCCCTGTAAGACAACTTGCAAGTTGGGGTCGAAACATGACTTTAATTATTTGAAAAATGAAATATCTGATTTAGCTTTCTACTTATCTTTGATAATTACAATAATAAATAATAACTATCTAGTCGAGACTGACTTCTAGAGTGACTTGGATAACAATTTCTTAGTTAGCATGTAGCAGTCTCTGTACTCTCTCTACTATTCTGTACTTTCTTCTGTTTGTACTTATTTAGATTTCGAAAAGGTTTTTGACAAAGTTCCGCAAAATCTCCTTTTGCTTAAGCTCAAACACTACGGGATTAGAGAAAATCTACTACGTCTTATTGCTTCATTTCTGAAAGATCGTTACTATCAAGTACGAGTTTGGGCCGCTGCTTTTTCTAATTTATGTAAGCGACATAAGTGAAAACTATGATGACCTTCTGAGAGACCTAACAATGATAGAAATTTGGTCCAAAAAATGAAAAATGAAACTAAACGAAGAGAAATGCAATGTTTTGGATATTGGAACAAACAGAACTGAGTGTCGTTATACCCATAATAAAAAGAGCTTATAACATGTAGAAGAACAGAAAGACCTTCCAACTTGAAATGGGAGACATGTATTTCAAAATAGTTAAACAGGTTAATTCTTGAGTGTTTTGTATGAAGAACGCTTTTCTTAATAGATCATCTCAGGCCATTGTAAAACTTTATAAGTCTTTCATTCGTCCAAAATTGGAATATGGTCAGACAATATGGGATCCCTACTCTATTAAAGACATTGAAAAGCTCGAGCGCGTTCATAGAAGAACAACAAAACTTCCAATTCATTTATCTAATGATTCCTATGAGGAAAGACTGAATTGAGTCTTACAAGATGATACAAAACTGTTACTCATGTGAACCGAACATCTTTCAAAATGACCCGAAAATCCATCTACGAGATCACTCCAAAAAGACTGCCAAACTGCAGAGAAAAAACTTCCTATGTAACAGAGTGGTGTATACCTGGAACTCCCTGTCGGAAGACGTATCGTCCGCAACAAGTACTAATTCTTTCAAAAACAAATAATAACTCTTTTTCTTCCTTTTTCTCTTTTGTAAAAATCTTTTTCTTCTTTGTGATATCATTGAAGATACACTTTGTACATACATATATTATGTTTTTTTTTAACAAGGATTATTAATTTAGTTTTATATATATATATATATATATATATATATATATATATATATATATATATATATATATATATATATATATATATATATATATATATATATATATATATATATATATATATAAATAAATACATACATACATACATACATACATACATTTTATTCATCAGCCTCATCGAGTTAACTGCTTGTTGTTGTAAATATATAAATAAATAAATACTTTCTCTACTTTATTCTCACAATCTACTCTAGTAGATTTGAAGAGAGTAGTTCTGTTTCTTGTGCATATATCTTCATCCTACTCCACTGTGTGAATCTGAGGAATCAAGTGAAATGAAAAAAGATTTGCATTTTATTTTCGTATTAATCTTAACCGTGGAACAGTTTCTTCGAAACATAATAGGTCTAAAGTATCATCCCTGGTAGGCGCAAAGGTGAACGTAAGCGATATCTTTTTTTGTCCGCAGGTGACAAATTGGGCAGGGTGGTGCACATAATACAGTCGCGGGAGCCGTCCCTGCGCGACTCCAACCCCGACGAGATCGAGATCGACTTCGAGACGCTGAAGCCGTCGACGTTGCGCGAGCTCGAGAGCTACGTCGCGTCCTGCCTGAGGAAAAAGCCACGTAAGCCCCACTGTAAGTTCCGTTTACATTGCGTCTGTGTGCGACGGCACCTCCTCCCTCCACCTTTTTTTTTTTCGGCTATCGCAACGCCGCCCCCACCTACTCTTTTCCCATCTTATTTATCTATTCTTTTATTTTTGCGTGTGTGTGCCACAGGCGTACGTAATTGGAACTACACGGAGTTTTTCTCTAAGCATGGTAGAGTGTCGAACGGTTTCGATGTTTTTATCGCATGCCCAACGTCGGTGATGGGTGTACCTGTCTCGGGAGAAAAAATAATATTATGGGGCCGTTGATAATGATTTTTACGCTGTTGCACATTACCTGCGCGTTAGTTTATTAAGTAAAATTTTTAGCAATTTGTGAACAAGCTTTTTGAATTGACTCTGTGTGCTGTCAGACTTCCTTCAAAAATCCTATGAACTATACGTGTGCCCAAAATAAAATGTGGCTGATTCTCACTACACAGTTCTTGATATTGTGACAATTAAAAAAATCGTTGATCTGACCAGATGTCCGCCAAATAAATAATTAGCAAAACAATTGCTGCACTTCATTAAATTTGTATATCTTCAAGATTCTCTAACCGTCAGTTTTGTAGTAGGGTCCGATAATTTTTTGACTGGTCCCTGTATACTAATTTCGCACGCTGAAATGAGTTCTACGGTAAAAGTTTTATGGATAAGAGACAATTTCGATAGTTGAGTTACGAATGGTGACTTTTCAATTTAGCTTTGTATTTCAAAAACTAAAAATGCTCTTAAAATTTGCCAGTGAAATATCCACTGATAAATTTTTGCGTTTTGATCGGTTATAAGGAAGTGCTGTGAAATTTTAATTGAAATTTGTTGAGAAAACTTATCGAATTTTGATTATTTTTGGTTATGAATACAATCCAAATGTATAATTGTCTGACTTGGAAATATCGGGGATTATTTTCTTTATTTTTGGTTCATACCAAAAGTAGGCACCTGCGCGCTTAAAACGTTTAGAGCTTCGTCAAGTCCGTTGACCACGTCCTTCTGATCGGGACGCGGTCGAGATGTGAACGTCCGTTTTTTTCTTTCACAGACAAAAAGTTGCCGGGTAAATCGAAGGAGGAGCAAATAGCGGAGAAAAAAAAAGAACTTGAGGATCGACTGCTCGACGTCAACCACAAGATCGGGCCCAGCAAGAAGGCACCCAAAAAAGGTTAGTAAATCCCCTTGCTCTCCCTTACGACTATTTTTCATATTGCTATTAGATAATATAGCGACTCTGAGGCCGGTGATAAGTTCAAAAGTGATAGGTCAAAAGTTAACTTGAGAAAAAACATATTGTTGTGGTATAGCATGACCAGAAATATAGTGCTTTTACAACCGACCCCGTGATTAACTTTGCCTGCTGTTTGTTACTTCAAAACCGCAGCCCCTTATAGAACATCCTGCCTAGCAGGTCCGTAACCATTCCAGAACCGTCCTAGGAATTTATCGACCTACACTAACAAGCGGGGTATAAGTATCTTTTCAATTTTTCAGTGTACATGAAAAAAATTAGTACAAAGTAACAATTTGTCACGTTCTATTTCATTACATTTCTACATAGTATCATTATTAATATACAAAATATTAAATGTAATAATAATAAAGTATCAGTCACTTAAAAAATCGTCACTATCGCTACTGTCGTCACCTAGTTTAGTAATCAACTCCGCCACTAATCGTTCTCGATAAATATTTTCTTCTTTTATTACTTGTTTTTGACAGTTAGACCAGTTTTGTATTGACATTTTAGCTACCTCTTGCCGAATTACGTTTATGGTACTATCACTAAACTTTGGTGCAGTGTTATTTCTTGTTATATGCGCTTTCAACTCAGACCAAATCATATCAATCAAAGATTTCACTGTTGTTTACAAATCGAAGAACTATGTAGAAGGCACGCAAGACAAAAATGATTACTTTCAAACTTACCTGTACCCTTACCCTTTGAACTATCCAATGAAAAAATCCTCTCAGGGTCAAAGCTCGAGAATCAGGTACAAAAAAACGTACTTACCTGATGTCGTTTCTACTTGTTCGAAAATACCCTGCAGCATCAATGCTTAATCAAATTTAAAACGGTCCAGTTATGTTTCAAAGAATAATATTAAGTTTCTACAAATATTCGTTACGGTCCATCTCAGGCAAGACCTACTTGATGCAGAATAAACATCTGTTGGGAAGGTTTTTACCACGGTGTAAAATACTTAAAACGTCAAGCAATAAATGCACTATATTTTTGGTCGTCGTACAATCTGAAAAAAATTGTTGCTCAAGCTAGACGTTTTGCTTAGCTTTCAAGATGGTAAATTTTATTCCCACTTAACTGAGGTCGTCGCAGAAGATTTGTCACTCCCCTTGTCTTTATATAGTTAATTGCCCGCTTAATATTAAAAATAATCTCAGTACAGCACTCAATGGCCAAAGGCAAGAGAAGGATAACTATTTTGATATAAAATTCTTTTATGTGCTGTCGAACTGGATTTTAAAACAGTTGAAAATATTAAAAAAGAACGCTTGATTCCAACAATTTTTATTTATATTATATATTATTTATATTATTCAATCATTTAACTTTTAATTTTATAATTATGATCAAATAATTTTTTTTCAAAAGTAAAACTTATTTTTGAAAAAAAACAGTGACCATTTTCACGCTTAGCCCAGTCTAGGTGAAAGTACAAAAATACTTTTCACCTACGAAAAAGTGCGGGTCCTTATCAGATCTCAACAAAATGTCTAAAGTAGTTTCAATGAAAATGTGGAAAAACTTTTTTTATTACAGCATTAACTTTTTTTCTTAAAATCATTAAAGATCAGCTTACATTGAATTGTTATAGGGTGGGTCGTTTATCTTAAAAACAAAAGTTAATTGGAGTATTACAAACCTTCAATTTATCTTAATGTTGTATATACAGGGTGTTTCGTTTTTAGTGGGCGAGTATCAACTTTCTTATTTTAAATGGAACGCTTGGTATATTACTTCATTTTTGAATTCTATGCAAAATTCTTGACATAGTTTGTGTATAATGTCCTATACCTAAATGTAACCGTTTCTGGCATTTTCAATTTTTTTATGCGAAAAATGACGTTTGCAGACTCATTTATGGTTTCGTAGATTCTTAGGACTCGAATAACGGATTTCATATTAGGGAACGCGAAAAATAAGATTAAAAACGAAATTAAAAAAATTGCCAAAAAACCTTTTTTTTTTTTTAATGGAAACTACCGATTTTTATAATCTTTTCATATTTAGCATAAAAATTAAGTCAATTTTATATAGAGTTGTATATGCCTAATATTTTTTTATTTTTACTCTTTGAAATATTATTTCCGTTTAAACATTTTTCACAAATAATATGCTGTTGCCATATAAGTTGAATTAGTACAAGTACTAGAATGCTGCTTGCGTATTATGTTTACCACAGAGGAAAAGATGTTAGAAAGTTACATATCGTAAAATAAAAACCGGACCCTGGCCCTTAGAGATTATATTAGAAAATTTCCATTAAGGAGCCGCCCAGAAAAAAAGATCTTCGGCAGTATTTGCCAACACTTTAAAATATATGGAACTTTAAAAACAGAAGAGCAACTTAATATTTTGTTGCATTTTGCGGACACCAATGAAGATTTAACCCGAATCTGACATATTGAACAATTGTAAGCTATTAATTTTTTATAGAACGTTCATTAATAAAAAAATTCACCGACGTTATCGCTTATCTTTGGTCTTATTTTGTATAAATAGTGCACACATAATCTTTGGATCTTGTTAAGTGCATCGGCACATCGGCATCGGTCTTGTTCAAATGCCGTCATGGCCACTTTACCCTAACTAACTGAATTTATATTGCAACAGCACATTATTGCGATAAACAAATGTTTAAAAGTAAATGTTAGGCATATTGCCTTAATTTTTAATGCTAAATATGACAAGATTATACAAATTGGTGGTTTCTATTTAAAAAAAAATTTTTCGGCGATTTTTTTAAATTTGATTTTTAATCTTATTTTTCGAGTACCCTGTATTAATATGGCAGATATTTTACGTCTTGCAAACGTTATTTTTCTATATGTCTAGAATTTTGTATAGAATTCAAAAAGGAAGCAGTATTCCAGGCGATCCATTTAAAATAAGAAAGTTGAGGCTCGCCCACGTAAAATGAGACACCTTGTGTGTATGTATAAAATTAAAATAAATTAAAGGTTTGTAATACCCCAATTAACTTTTATTTATAAGATAAACGGTATACCCTATACAGTACGTCAATGTTATTTTTCCAAATGTTCCGGCGACACGTTCGTGATTTGGTCGTCCCGTTTCGTTCCAGAAGATGGCGGCGGCAACAAGGCAGACCCGACGGGCGCGGGAGCGGGACGCATGTCGTCGTCATCGTCCAGCTCCGATTCGGACAGTTCGTCGTCGTCGTTGTCGAGCAGTTCGAGCGACTCTAGCGACAGCGAAGCAGGTTAGCTCGGCACCGCGCGCGGGGGCCCCACCATCTTTCTCTCCTCGAATCACGTAGATCTCCCGTCGTCGTCAGGGCGCAGCACAACGCGGGGGGCTTTCGGCCCCTCGCGCGTTTAATAAGCGAAACAAAACAAATGCGAATCTTGATTTGTAGATTAGGAAAGGGGGCGGAGTCGGGGCGGGCGTGCGTTGAAAACGGTTTGTTTTCGGGGGCGGTAGGAGACGAGCCATCGGTTCCAAATTACAGCCTAAAGTTAAAATTAGAACATTTAAATAATTTAAAATTGATTTTAAGAGCGTAAAAAAAAGCAAATTTGGAAAGTCGGAAACGACACTAATCTTACACGAGTACCAAATTTAAAAATAAAAAATACCGTGGACGATCAGAAAAGAAAAATGGTTTTAGGCTGGATAATATTAAGTAAAAAAAATAAATAAATGTTAATGTAATCTCCGAAATATGATGTGCCATTAAACAAAAGAGTCCGCAAAAGTGACCTTTATTCGATTTACTTTCGAAGCAGAGGGCGCGTCGTCGAATTGTAAGCTTTAAACCGATCCTTTCGTTTATTTATATATTTATTTATTTATTTCGTTTGGCGCGCGTCACCCCGACCCGACGCGTCTCCTGCGTCGCGACGTATTATCCGCGTTTGAGATTCGGTGCCATCGGAAAATTAGTGATAGAACGATGTCAATATTGATATAGAATATGTTTATTTCCATCGTCAGCAATACATTGTATGGGAAGTCGTTCTTAATACTAACCTGGCCTATGTTAACGACTTGTAAATTACTTTTAACGCCACAGAAAGTATTTTCTAATATAAGTTTTCTACTTATCATAACTTTAAAGATTTGCACATCTTTTTGGCGAGTTAATATTAAAAAATAAGGGTCCCGAAGTTAAAGAAGCGAAAGTCAATTTCTTGTCGCAGATCTATAGCAATTTTTTAATTATGGTCAAATGAACAAATTTCACACACAATATATACACGTTTTTTTGAGCAATAAGCACATCTGTAGCGCGTGCTTTGTTAAAGTGTTACATAGTTTTTCAATGTCTTAAAATGTCCCCAAAAGAGGCTCTGTTTACCTTTATTGCTTAACCGTTTTTATTTCACTCTCCAACATTATATATCCATACATTTCTACATTCTGTTTGATCTCGCCAAACGTTTAGGTAAAAAAAGAAAAATTTGTTTCAAAACGCAATGGAATTATAAAACGGGACTTGTCCAGATTTCGGTTTCGTCTAAATAGATTTCGCTGTTTATGTTACGAATATCGTTATCGGCAAAAAAACAAGTGATGTTCTATCACTAATAAGAATTGCCCCGCTAACCCCGGCCGTCCCCGCATCGGGTAACAGAGTCTTCGAAAACGTAGCGCGTAAGGCGCGGGAAGCCGGGACACGCGGCGGCGATTGTCGGTACTAAAACGCGGCAACACACACGTCTCACCCGTCCCCCTCAATCCCCGTTTTAGTATTTATTATAATTATTATTTATCCGTGGGGGTGGGAGGGACGGTCGCGTTTTTTTTAGGTTAGTAATTTCGCGCGATTCTCATTCACTGGCAGTATTACGACGCCGCGCCGATTGACGACGTCGAGAGAAGCGCGACACGCCTCGCCCTAACGCCTCGAGGGGCGTTCCCGACGCGCGCGCGTCGTTGCGAGGCTTAGGGCGCCTTTATTTTACATTTTGAATGTTTGTGTGTGCGTGCGTATGTGCGTGTGTGTGTGTGTGTGCGCGCGCGCGTGTGTAAGAACGTCTTACCTTCGGCGTCGCGGACTCGAGTGCATTCTGTCCGATTAAATGGGGGCACAGCTATAAGGACCCAGCCATACAGGTCTTACCGCATTCCTTTTTTTCTCTATAGAGATACACACCACGACTGCTAGGCGGCGCCGCCGCCGCCTCCGCCGTCCGGGGCTTTTTGTCGGCTGCCTTGGGGGGTATTGCTTTCGTTTTTAACTGACCAAAATGAGAAGGGGCAAGCATTTTCAAATCTGCCGGTCCGGCGGCGGTGGCGGCGGCGACGCGCGCGTAATTTTTTTTCTCTTGTTGACCGTTTTGGATATGCTAGTTGATTATTAATATTAAGTATCATTTTTTACTCGGTACGGCGGTATACTTGGCAAACGCTACATATTTTTGGAAATGCAGACAATGTGTGTGGCGGCCGATCGGCGCGTGCGCGTGTCGTTTTTTGTTTCTGTGCGTTTTTCCGATAGCGTGCCGCACGGGCGAGTGGTTTGGAACAAATCGGGTCGGTAGAGTCTGTATGGTGCTGCCGGTGGGCGTGGTCGCTTCTAAGCTGGCCTCCATTCACATTGTTTGCACTCGGGGCGGAGCGGGGCGGGGCGGGGCAGAGGCGCACGCACGCAAGGCAAAAGAAATTATTCGATATTCACTTGAAAGTGTCTTCATTAAAAGATTTTTTTTGTTTAATTTTTCTTTTTTTTATATATAGATATATATAAAATGTATTCTTATTTATAGGTATATTAGACCGTGCACAGTATGGTTATACATACTGTTATTTTTCACGTAATATTTTTTTATTAACGGATCGCACTGTATTTAAAAAAAATGTTCGATGTTTTTTTTTATGTATTTTTTTCCCGCAACAACTTTAAATATATTTCTATTGTCATTTCTTGGTTTTGTTTACTTTTTTTTTTTCGCCGCTCCCGTGTGGGTTAACTCATTTTTGTTGTGTAAATAATCATGTGTAAATAAGAATAAAATGTTTTCCTTAAAAAAAAAACGCTTTAATCGAACCGTTTTTAATGTCTGTCTTGCCTCTATATATGTAGTGTTTGCTGGCCTATACTTAAGTTTCTTAAGCAGAGAGAGAGAGAGAGAGAGACGACCTGTAAAAATTATCCCTACCGAAAAAAGAAAACTACAAACAATGAGGAAAATGTTAACCTACTAAATAATGTCAAGTGCATATAAATAAAATTTATTATTAAATTTATTATAAGTGGTGGTTGTTATTTCGCTGGGATTTCGCGGTAAGGCCTCCCAATTTCCCATTTTCCCAACCGCGCGGTAAGTAGGTCTCGCGGTCGTGTGCACTCGGGGACGCGCGGGCGTGCAATCCGGGAGCGGCGCGTATCACGAGGAGGTGTTTCCAGGTACCACCCCCGCCGCCAGGCAGGTGAAGAAAAAAGTGACGGCGAAAAGTTCGTCGGGCAGCACCGTCGCGCCTCTGGTTAGTATACGACCCCCCCATGTCCGCGTGGCGGAAAATAATTAAGCGGGCCCTCGAAAATGACACGCGCGTTGCCCACAGCCTCCGACGACCACGTCGCAGCCGCAACAGCAATCCAAGGCGACCCCCGCGACATCTGCGAGTACGACGGCGCCGGCGGCGGCTCCTGCCGTCGCAAAACCGTTGCCGGCGGCCGCCCCCGTCGCACCTTCCGTTCACAAAACGGCCAACGACAAGCCGCCGACGATACCGTCGCCGCTTCCCGCGCAGCCGCCGAACGCGATAAAGGCGGAAACGGGCGGTCGAGGCGGTCCGTCTCCTGCGCACGATAGCAAGCCTAAAGTGAGCAACGCGCCGTCGCCATTGACGTACACGGATCCGATAGAGCAGAGTCTGGCCAACCTGGAGCACGAGATCGTGAAAAACGAGCCTATGGACAGCATCATCGCGATGACGACGACCATAGGTCAGGTAAGGCGGGCGCGAGATAGGCGTGGTCGTGCTAGCTTATCACGTTCGCTTTGGTTTTGTTTTCTTGTCGCATAGAACAAGATGCAGATGGCGCCTATGAGTGCGGTAACATCCAACATGCCTCCGCATCACATGGCTTTGCCGCCGGGTCCAATGGCGGGGCTAATGTCGATGGGCGGACCGCAGCACCACAACTTGCATATGGACCAGGACATGCAAAGCTTGATGCACCAGGTGGGCCTGGTATGTTGACCTTTACGTGCGAATGTGAAAAATAAAAAAAATCGTTTTGTTTCTCATCTTTTTATTCACATACGCCGTGGTCGTCATTAATTTCCTCCAATTTGCGTGTAGGGTCACCCGCCGCCTCCACATGCCACAATCCACGCGCAAAATAACGGCTACGGCGGCGGCATTAAACACGAATACGAGATGGGGACGAACAACAACGGCATGTCGACGATGGGTCTACCCATGGAACTGTCGATCCCATCGATATTCGATCCGTTGCCGCAGCACCTGAACAACAGTAGCGGCGGTCAGATGAAGAAGGACCCGGGAATGCTCAAGGTCGAGCAGTCTGACCCGATGGTCAATTTTGGACTGGGCGTGGTCGACAAGAAGCCGCCGTCTTCGATGATCGCGGATCCGAAAATGGCGCAGCAGGCGTTCACCGCGGTCGGTCCGCCGCTCTCCGGCGGATACAAGGCGAAGCCCGACGTGAAGAACGCGAGCTCGTGGTCGAGCCTAGCCAAGGCGGGCTCGCCCCAGAACAACGCGTCTGGCGCGAGCAGCAAACAGCAGGCAAGTATAAGATCATTGTTCGCACAGGTACGAGCGATTAGGCAGTCCTCAATTGTTATGAAACGATTGAAAGCGAAAATTGATGCTGGAGTTTACTGAAAAGAGGATATGTGTGTGTTAAGTGATCGGTGATTAACCCTCGGAGTATTGAGTGATGTAATGGAAGCTTCCCTAAAATTCTAGATTAACTCACTAAAAGGGGCAGACCAAAATTCGTGAAGGAAAGAGGTCTCTAACCGCTCCTGTGGAACTCAAGACTGTCTTCCTAATATTAATAGGTGTAAGACCTGGTTCTCTTTCCTAAAGGGGTGTCGTGCATGAATTTTGCTCACCAAACTATCTTCATCCATTCTTCTTATGTGTGCACTCCATAAAAACATCATATGATTGAGGCCTGCGAAGTGCAACGTTTTCATTTGATAAGAAAAATCACGACACTAATGCGTTCGCTGATGATTTTGTCTTTGTATGCGGAGCGTGCTCCTCCTGTCCATCAAACTTCTCAAGTACTGAACTATGTTTCACCAAGAAGGTAAAATACCAACTGGTGACACTCGATAGTATCTTAATATTGGCACTGGAGAACAATCCGGAATATCGTCATGCCTTCGTTGACGCGTTAGTCCACAATGTGACGATGTGGTCAGTTTTCATCTGAATTGAAGAACATGCAGATGTCTGAAGAAATCATTTCGCCGACTCCCTGGTGAGGTGGCTACTCTACATGACTAAACTTCAAAAAACTGATTAACAACCAAACAACTATCCTTCCTACTTCCATTGCTTAACAAACACCAATTCATATTGGGTTTGAGTAGAGGCGATGCAGTGGAACACATCACCGAAGCGACTCTTCGAGTTGTCATCGCCTACGTGAAGTTACTAAGACATTCTACCTCTTTAGGTTCTCGTTCCTCAATTGATTTAATATTATCTTACCATCGTTGATACGAAAGCACGTTTCCAAGGTCCGGAATAAAATTCGTAGGTCATGGACAGCTTCAAGGCGTTCCAGAACAAGGCGAAGGAGAAGGCAGACCGGGAGAAGCAACGGCTGGAAACGCTCGAATTGAAAAGGCAACAGAAGGAGCAGGCGGAAAAGGAGAGGATGCGGCAAGAAATGGAGCGGCGACGAGAAGTGGAGGAGCAAGAGGCGTTGGAAAAGGCGAGGAAGGCGGTCGCGGAACGCGAGCAGCAGCAGCAGCAGGCGTTGCCCTCGCAACGGGTCGAAGAGCTCAAGTCGTCGCCGGGAGAGGGCAGCACGTCGCCGGGTTCCCTCAGTTCCGGCTCCGACCGGATATCGGACCGGGAAAGGCAGCGTCTGCAGGAGCAAGAGAGGCGGCGACGCGAGGTGGTAAGTGTGGCGAACGCGTGAGCGGGTAGGTTCCATTTTGACGGCGTCGTCTCCCGTTCGTAGATGGCGAACAAAATCGACATGAACATGCAGAGCGACTTAATGGCGGCCTTCGAGGGTTCGTTATAATGGACTTCTTCATTGAGGACGGACTGTGCGCGAGGTGTTTGAGACATAAAGGGTGGGGCGTCTTCGCCGCCGTTGAAACTTTCCATTAAGAGGGTGTGTAGATTTTACTCGCATTGAGACGACGAGATGTGTATGTATATAATAGAGAACGATTAATATAAAGAGTACGTGTACAGACGTTTTGAGTTTTTTAGGTTTTAAGACGAGAGGCGCACGGGAGCACGCGTTTGCTAGTTGTTGATAATTTTATATTATATTGTTCGAGATAGGTACAAACGATCCATTCAGAACCATTACCTCATTCTTCTTTTGTTTTTGTTTTTTTGAAATCGTCGACTTTCGGGCGCCGCTCTATGATACTCAGTTTTTTTTTTGTTAAGGCCGGGCGTCGATAATTTTGGTCTTCCTCCTATCCCGCCTCCCATTTCATCCTCATCCCGAGGCGGACCCCGCCCACTCCATTCCTTTCGGCCTGTCGTACATTTCCCCACAAACGACCTACCTTAAACGTTCTTCCGCGTAGTTAACTACAACTTACCAGGACGGTGTAAATTATAAAAGGGCGAGCAAAAGTTTCCTAGCAATAAGGTACCTACTATCCAACCGATCGGGCCGGGGTGTGGTCCGAGATTCGAGGGGCGTCCCGTCCGTAGCTGGATCCCTCTCCCCTTGTCGTCGGTCCGCCCGCCGGCCCGACTTGTAATTATTGTATCATAACGTGTATTGATGATTATTATACTGTGTTTTTGGTATGGATTTTTGCATCGACTTCGTTTGCAAAATTGAAACGAAGGCGCGCGCGCGCACTCACAGACACACACCACACACAATCATTCGTAGATCCTTCTTTTTTTAAATGTTTTATTTTGTAGTTACTGTATTAACGATTTTTTTTATTGTTTGGCTGTTATTATATATTTTTCAATAACTTTTCAATTTTAAGTCAGAAATAGTGATGTTAGACTAAATAAATGAAGATGTATTATAAACGAATGACGTTTTCATTTAACGATTCTCCCAAAAAAAAAACCCGTCTATCCAAAACTTATATTTTAAAAAATCCCGATATCACTAGCGCCTCGTTAAATGGGGCTAGTATACAAAAAGCGACGCCAATAAGACAATTAATTGTAATGCTGAAGACACTCCAAACTCGTCTTAATTAACAAAACACCATGAAGGAGAATTGATTGTTGTCGAATTTGGTAAAAACCATATACCTATGTTCTAGATAAATGCAGTAAAATTTGAAATTCAAATCGAACAATGTCTAGTGAATGAGGGTATAATAAAATATATATATATAAAAAAATTTTTGCACATATGCTTCGCACCTCTCCACAACTTACGCACCTCTATATATAAATGCGTCTCTCGTCGCGCGCTCACCTCACACGGGCCCCACGTAGGGCGCGAGTCTCGTGATGGGCCTGTGGTCGTATTGGCGCACCTCGACCGCCTCCTTGACGTAATCGCCGCTCCTGCCGCCGGTCTTACTCGTCAGGTAGACGTCGGTAATCACGATATCGCGGCTGACCGCTTTGCACATGTCGTAGATCGTAAGCGCGGCGACGCTAACCGCCGTCAAGGCTTCCATCTCGACGCCGGTCCTTCCCTCGCACTGAATATCCGAAAATAGTTTCACCTCTTCGGAGTCGACGTCCAACGCTGCGGTCACGACAATCCGCGTCAGCGGAATGTTGTGACACAAGGGTATAATTTCGGACGTCTTCTTCGCGCCGAGGATCCCGCTGATCTGCGCGATACTCAGCACGTCGCCCTTTTTCACGCCATTCTCGCTGATCAGTTTCGTTATTTTCGGGCCCACTTTGACGGTGGCGACGGCGGTCGCCGTGCGCACCGTCACCGCCTTGTGGATAATGTCCACCATCGACGCTTTGCCGCGATCGTCCACGTGGCTGAGGTGGTTCGAGTAACGGCGCGTCGAGAGCGACGCGGCCGTCCCTCCACCGACGCCAAACGGGTGCGACAATTTTGAGGTTAGGGATGTGATTAAGGGAGGGGCGGTAACACCTGCAAACAAACGATGCGGGATGTTAGTGCGGTGGAGGATATATCGGTGCTTGAAATGATATCGGTACTAATAACAAATGTCAGAAAATGGCATACGACGTGCAAAAAAATCAGTTCAACGGAGGAGGGTTCCATGACAGTACCACGCCTTTCTCAAATTTCAAATAAATATTACAAAAGTCGGGATATACATATATCAAATACACCATTTTTTTCGTTATAATATTTTTTCATCTAGAATAAAGATACAAGTTGTTATAAATAACGCTTAACTTCGTTTTTAAGGTTAGGGGCTTGATGACGTTTTGTGTTCTAGTTTTTTTTTTAATTCGATCTGCAAGTCAATGCAGGCCCGCGAGCAAGCAAACTTTTATTTTAATAATAATGTCCACCGCTCTATCGGTCATTTTATGAAAAATTCTTCATACTGACATTTATTTTAAATACAATAAACTCCGTTTATAACGTACTTCCGGGTTCTACGTACATATACGTCTAAAATACTCATTTTTCATCGCATATATAACCATATATAACTAATACGACAGTTCTAAAGTACAATTTAATGTAAATTTTCACTATTGTTCTGATTATAAAGTACAAGTGTATGCTAAAACCGGATATAGGTGCGTGTCCGGCCGACAGTTTCCACTTTGTTTATTTGATTTTTTGAATTTCTGGTTAAAATGGCGGATCTGAGCAAATCTCTAACTGTAAAAGAAAAAATAGAGATTACCAGAAGTACTGAGAGTGGCATCGGTAAAGCGGAAATTGGTAGACACAAGAAATTGACAAAAACAACAATGTCTACAATTTCTAAGATCCGAAAATATTGCAATAAGTGGGCCAGTTCTGAAATCGAAAGCCGAAGAATAAGCCAGGGGATTACAGGGTGAGGATATTTTAGTTTTACAGGTTGGCTCGAACGTTTTAAAATTCGTAACAACATAAACGTCGGAAAAGTTTCTGGTGAAGCAGGAGATGTTAACAACCAAGCTGTGTTGAACTGCTTAGAGGATAAGTAGCCCAGTATTGCACAAAATTACAGCTCTGAGGATATTTTCAATGGTGACGAGACTGGGCTGTTTTACAAGATGATTCCCGATTGTAGCCTTAAATTTAGCGGAGAAAAATGTTTGGGTGGGAAGCAGTCGAAGTTGAGGTACACCGTTTGGATTTGTGCAAATATAACAGGAAGCGAAAAATGCAAACTTTTTTTTGTTATTGGTAAATATGAATGATCGAGATGCTTGAAAAATGTTAAAAATCTACCTGTCATATATAAGTCAAACCAGTGAGCATGGATGACCTCAGCAATTTTTTATAGTTATTTAAAGGATTGGGATGAAAAACCAAAACGTCAGAATAGAAAAATATTGCTTCTGGTTGACATCCTAAAAATCTAATCCTTTCAAATATCGGATACTATATTACCGCAGATATTTTTTGCATCGTTTGATCCAGTCAATTGAAAATAAGGAACCTTTCAACGTCAATATCCTAGACTACATAAAATTACTCGCTGAACGTTGGAATGAAGTTATTTCAACCACTATTTCAAATTGCTTTCGACATGCAGGTCTGATAAAATCGGAAGATGAGTTTGATTCAGACGATGACTTTGGTTTAGTGGTTCGAGAAGTACAAAAATAATGAAGACATCTTCCTGAGCTGGATAATTTCCCGACTGTTGATGATAATTTAATAACAAAGGAGTTATTAATGGATAACGATATTATTAATTGATTGAAGTTTTACAGCCAAATGCTCAACAGGACGCAGTACCAAGTTATCTGAAGCGCTTTGTCCTTGCTGCGTCCTGGAACGTTGAGAAGCACATCGAGAATGTGAACTTTGTATGGAGCAAAAATAAACAAACAAAAATAAGGATTTTTTTTACTCAAACTCAACTTGTATGTTGTAAAGTTTATATAGATAGATAAGTTTTTAGTTCGGCAATTTAATTTCTTTCGTTTTTAGTACCTATATTAGTGTTTATTAGTTTTCTATTTTCACCTACCTACATATTTTTTTTGTATTTTTTTATAACGTACTTCAACTTATAGAGTGATCATTTTCCAGTCCCCAGAGGGTACTTTATAACCGGAGTTCATTGTAGTTCTTCCACATAACCGATTCACTTTGTTAATTGATCATATTCGGCGATGGTTTTAAAGCGACAATGATGAAGTATGACCGTGAGACGATGTTATTTACCTTAAAGCGAAAAGAGACGGAAAGGCGGGGAGTTCGAATTAGTGTCCGGGGAACCCAAGCAAAAGAACCGAATCACCCGCCGATAAGGATCATCGGACGGTTCTCCATTCGTGACAAATTCGACACGCCTACAACATTCGCAAAAAACAACAGCCATAGAAACGCAACGCAACGCTTCGCCCACTCACCGGCGTGCTGCCGTTTTTTCCTCATTACGGCGGCACCTATCAAATACGTCAAATCTTCGTCCGAACATCCGGAACGTATCGCGTCCCTCAACGACACCTCCTTGTTACCGAACAAACACACTTTAAGGTTACCGTCGGCCGTCAGCCGTAACCTGTTGCAAGTACCACAGAAATGCTCGCTCATCGAGGTTATGAAACCCACCTGGCCCCGGTGGCCCGGCACTTTCCACGCTTTAGATGTGTCGTTCGGACCGTCGACCCACTCACCGAAATCAACGTACTTCGTTCTGATTTTATCAACCATCTCGCGGTACGGCACCATTTTGTTTTCCGCCCATTCGTTGCCGGTAAACGGCATGTATTCGATGAACCTCACGTCCAGCGGCTTGTCTTTGGTGAGCGCCACGAAATCCAACATCTCGTCGTCGTTGATTCCTGAAATCGGGGCGCTCCTACAACCACCGGCCTCCGATAGGCGAATCGCCTCGAACCTTTCATAACCACGCAGTTGATTTTCACCGGGTCGTAACCCAACTGTACCGCCAGATCGATTCCCGCGATCGCACGACTCCACATGTCTCTTCGGGTAATTTTGCGATACAATTCCGCGTTCAGCGTATCCAGGCTAACGTTCAACACGTCGAGTCCGGCTCGTTGCAGCGCGACCAACTGTCTCGTTAGCGTTAAACCGTTGGTAGTCATCGCGACGGTGTCGAGACCCGCGACGCCCTTCAAACGACCTAATCCCGCATCGCCGCGTGTGAATTTCCGAAAATAAATACGCCGAACGAAAAAGCACCTTTCAAAAATCGAAAAAGTCAAATAAAATTTATATTCTCTGCTCACACGGATGACATTTTAAGTAACGTCACTCATCTGCGAAATCGGTCGCTGACCACAGATACTATTTGAAGACATTTGATCAGTGAGGCCGGAAATAGCCAACTCGGTATTGTTAATTCGCATTTTTATTACGTTTCATGGAAGTCGGACAGTTGTAAATAAATAACATCGATTATACAATTCCTTCGTTCGTCAACTTATTGATATTCCTTAAAATATAACCTATTGGTTTCAATATACAGGGTGTCCCAATAAGGGCAAAAGGACAACGGGTTCCGGGATTAGAAATTCGAAAAAAAAGTAAGTACATCGGGGCGACGGAAAATTATGGAAATTATTTTCGAATTTCTGGAATGACATCGATTATACAATGCCTTCGTTCGTCAACTTATTGATATTTCTTAAAATATGACTTATTGGTTTTAATATACCGGGTGTCCCAATAAGGACAACGGGTTCCGGTATTAGAAATTTGAAAAAAAAAAAAGTAAATCGGGGTAACAGAAAACAGTGAAAATAAATGAACACTTAAAAACCTTGGATTTTGAAAAAAATGTCCACATTCGGGTCCGTATTAGTGTGTAATTATTCCGCATTTACCAAATAAAGCCCTAAATTATTATTTATTTATATCAAACGATATTTTAAATGAAAATAAAACTCATTATTTATGTTTAATCCTAATTATATCAACCATTGACGTATTTAAGTAGTAAAATAGGGAAAACCATTTAAATTAAAATAAACATGCTCTGAGTAAAGGATTTCTCTGGTGGTATATATACGAAGATGTTGTTTTTGTTTTCACTGGAACGGAAAGACAACTGCAGTAGTTTTTGAACCATATTAACTCCATAAAATAAAAAAATTTGGTCTTAATATTGCTTTTAAAACTGAAAACACCATAGGACTTTTTTTAAGAAACAATAAAACCAAATTAGGAAAAACTCAAATATTCACAGTTTACAGGTTGAAATGTGGACCATGTCCCAAAATTTATATTGGACAAACAGGTAGAACATGTAAGAAACGCATTAACGTACATAAAAGGGCGTATTGGTATTGGTATTAAAGGGGGGCGCCCTCGCGGGCGTCCAAGCACTTAGGCCACCAGATGGGCCCGTTGATAAAAGGGCGTATAAAAATAAAAGTTCGGATTCTAACTATGCCATTCATTTAAAATTGAGAAATGCACAAGTCTGACGATAATTTTGATATTTTACATAAACAATCAAAAAGCAAATTTGTTGGAAGCTATGGAGTTTAAAAATGAGATATTCGAATCTATTACTCAATGACCAATCGGATTTAAATGCATCTCCGTTGTTAAATTTATATTTACACAACAATATATAGATGTCTGAATATTGTCATATTTTGTATTTGATAATTTATCCTCGAAAACGGCAATTTTCATTGCCCATAATTGACACACCCTGTACATAATTCAAAAAATTCCGCAAACAAGTTTTTTCTGAAACCATGCAGTGCACCGTCATAATCAATGAAATCATCTCGTGTTGACAGAGCCCCCGAAATAGCGATTTTAATATGAATTACGAGTAAAAAACACCAAGTTGGCTCATTGCCTATCACAACTAAAGTGTTGGTTACCTAATTCTTCACTCTGGTTGGCAGACAATTAAAAAATGTACTTTTTATTGGCGATTCTTTTTCGAAATTTGCTGTACGTACGAATAACGTCGACCAAGTCTCGCCTGACCGTGGGTTCCCCGCCCGTTAACCTAACTTTCGTCACCCCTTGCTTGACAAACAGTTCCGCGAGGCGCAGAATCTCATCGGTCGTGAGAAGTTTCGCGGACTGCGTCAACTTGACGCCGTCGGCGGGCATGCAGTACTGACCTGAAACCGCCACGCAGCCGCCAACTTCAAGAAATTGCAACACGACAAAAACCTAACCTCTACGATTCACTTACATCTCAAATTGCAGCGCTCAGTTAATGAAATGCGTAGGTAAGTGTGTCGTCTGCCGAATGAATCGGTCAGCGGGTCCACTTTTGTCTGAAAACGGCATTTTTTTTTCAGCCCCTTCGGTAGCGCATCGAAAATAAAGTACCTACCTCTTTGGGAAGCACGGAAGTCGTCGCAGTGGAGTACCGATGTCCGAAAAATCGGACGGCGATTACACACCCGCTACGTTTCAACATTTTTCTGACACTAAGCACCCGAGCAGTTTATGAACACCGATTAGATAAAAAAAAAACACAAAGTTACTATATAAAGACTATGATAAGGCACGAAATTCAACACGATAAAAAAATTTATGATCCTAATATATAGTTAATTGACGATGGAGCCAAAAATAAAAACCGCCTGTCGCCGATCAAGATGGCCGTAACTTACAAAACGACAACCCTATCGAAAAACACACCACAGCACACTATTTATGAAGAACAAAATCTTGTTTTTGCCTAACCGCACAAAAACAAGGTTCGGTATCGGTCGACAACCCGAAAAATTCCGAGCCGGGAATGCAGGATTCTGCAACCCGCGGCGCCATCTGTTAGTCGAAAACGATAACCGTGGGTACCGGTCAACCCGGAAACATGTCACTATCGAGAGCGCAAAGCCAAATTAACACTGGCCGCTCGGCCAAACTCGCACGAATTCAAATGGCAACGAATTAAAGCCTGGTAGACACGATCAAATATTTACATTTATGTATCTACTCGATTGAGAGGAATTTAGCAGAACAAATTACCAGCTATTTTTTCCCGAATTTGTGCATCTAAACCTGAACAAGCGTGTGTCATACATTTTTTAACGAGGAATTGGGTCGGTTGTTAATGATCCAAACTTGCTAGAAGGAATCTAGAAGATTTGTAAATAGCATAAATGTTTCATCTTTCAAATATATAATTTTAAAAAGTGCCAATTATTATTATTATTATTATATTATTTGGTATGTATAGGATTTTATTCAGCAAACATAACCATTTTTCTCTTTTCTACTCTTATATGGTTAGTAAGAACATCTTTGCATAAAATTTGGCCATTTTAACACTAACAAACACTATTATATCAAAATTTAAAAACCAACACTCCAACAAAAAAATCAAGTCCACTTTGCTAGAAAAAATTGCTTAGCGTCTACTATTTTGAAAATTTATAAATAGTATAAAAGTTTCACCTTTCAAATGTATAATTTAAAAAAGTAAAAATTAGTATTATTATATCAGTTATTGTATCAAAATACATGGTGTACACCATCACAAAATTGCCAGTTAAATTTTTTTTATTTTAATTCTCACTTAAAATTTGTTGGCACAAAAACATTATGTTGTCCAATCTTACTATTTGCTGGGTAAAAAACGATCCAAAACGTGATACGGCTTTTTCTTCTTGGCCTCTGCGCGGCTCAATACCCCTTTGGTGATGTTGATAAACTCCTAAAAAACAAAAAAATCAAGGATATGTGCGACGTCTAGCGGCAAATCTCGGTACCTTTTTCGCCTGACTTTGGACGATTTTCTTGTTTCTCGCCAGCTTCACCGTACCCCCTTTACCTTTGCCCTTATTCCTCGGCTCGTAGTTGATTTTTGGCGGTTTCAGATACTAGAAAAGAAAAGTAAAACATCCCAGTCGGGGCTCCGCCCATTCACACTCACCAGCAGTTTCTTTTTGGCTTCCACCTTATCCCTCAAGGTCACCACATCCACTTCCGCTATTGTGGTCGGATCCAGCGTTATCAGATCTGGCTGTACCTTTTCCAGAAGCGCCTTAACCTCTGCCTCGCGCCGCTGACCTTTACTCTGGTAGGGGTTGGCCTCGAGCGTATCGAAGTTGGGCTCGCCCGCCCCCGGTACTAGCAGGCTGGTGAAACCGCGGGTAGTTGCCACGCCCAGCACATCCTCGTAGGGGCAGAAATTCAAGTTACCGACCGAGTCGGCGAACCTATGCCGGAGGTACGGTCGTTTCGCGCGGGCGGCACAACAGTCCCTGCAAATGCGCAGTTACGCCCACCGTTTCGAGTCGGATCATGCCCCTCCCACCTACCTGTACACTTCAACGATGTTGCCAGTTCCGACAGCGAGCAGCTGCTTCTGCGAGAAGGCCAGGTGGCGGGGCGCCGCCACCAATTTGTACTCCTGAAGCGGCCCCTCGAGCTTGCGCACGTCCCATATCTTCAGTTCGCGGTTGGTGGCGGCGGTCGCCATGTACGTGCCTGAAGGGTCAACGTGGAGGGCGCTGAGCGGGGCCTTATGGCACAACATTTTGGCTAAAGGTTCGCGCGAGTTGGGAGACCACATGGAAACTACGCCCTTCGCGTGACCCACGCAAAGTAAAGCGTTCCATGGATTCTGGCACATCATACTTAACCGACCTAAATTTGTATTGTACTGGGTGACCAGTTGGCCTATAGACACGTCCAACCAACTCAGATAACCCACGTCGCTCTAAAACGGATAGGCGCGTAGATCAAAGCGAATCGTTACAGGCGTATGAACCTTACGCAAGAGGCAAGCAAAAAGTGGTAAGCTAAAAACTCCATCCTCGACACCCTGTCGAGCCTCTTGATGCAATGAAGCTCAATGCCCTGGTGGTCATAGATATAAACCCAGCTTTTTTGAGCCACAGCAAACATCGTCTCGAGATGTAGGAAGCACACGTCGTGGACAGACTCCATGACATTTATCTCGCAATGCAATTTTTTCGTAAGCCAATCGAACGCGGCCACGTGACCTTTTTGACCACCCAGCACCAGATGGCGTCCGTTTTTTGTGTATCTAGCGCGGTAGGGGCCAAACTCGAGTTTTAACTCAAAATGTTTGGCCGCGGCGGATATGTCGACGCTATTGGCGATCTGCTTCTGCGTGAACTGGGTGGTGGTCTCGCCCGCGTCTGCTTCCAAGAACCCCGCCTCCTCGGTCAGTAATAATTCCGTCCGGGCGGCTAATTCATTGGCGAACTTGATCGATTTTTCCTTGTGCTCAATTTTTTTCCGGTGCACCTTCGTGTGCACACCTTTTAAACCAACACCTTCCCCTTTGCTATACTTTTCGAGCAACTCTTTCGGTATAGGAGCCTTTCCCTTGAATCTTGGATTCGGATTCGATATTTTCGCTGTTATTTTGAAGCGTTGGTTCCGCCTGTCATGCTTCTGGTCCTCCCTGCGCCGGCCCCATGGTTTTTTTTTCACATTGCTAACGTCGAATTCGATAACATCGGGCGAGTTCTGTGCACTCGTCTAAAACGTAAAGGATTTGGAAACGTAATAACTGGGAACAGAATATACCTTCATTCTAATGAGTAGAAGATTTTTCTAAACAGAAACCAGAAACAACTTTCCATTTGTCGTTCCAAAACTACGATGTTTTTAGGTTATGGTACATCACAGAACAGTTACATTAATTTCTTTATACGCAATGGACCTTTGAAGTTTTTTTTTCTATTATACAATGAGCTCGCGTCTTTACTTAGACGGCTGCCCAGGGTTTTCCATATATCAACGAGTAAATTAGGTAATTTTTGCCATCCGTTAAAATCGGACAATTACAAATACACCCAAGGCTCCCGGTGGAAATCGAACCCACAACATCCGCCAAGTTCGAGTTGGCAAAAAACGCCTTACCAACCAAGCCATTCTCGGTCCCATGAAAAATTTTCCAGGACCCCATAAAATTGAAATAATGATATTCTGTGCTTTGGCGAGTAACCTTCGCAATTTTGCCAAACGGGAAATGCGAAAAGAAGAAGATTATGTTCTGTGCTTGAACAATTGACATTGGACGATTGATCTTTTTAAAGGTGCCCAATTTGCGGTGAATTGTAAGAATATAATATATTAAGACTTCTTTCGTTTGACTCACGTGTCAAAACAAATCGCAGAAATGCGTATCGAAACGTGTTATTTCTGCTCCTCCAGGATATATCCGGGACACGGCATCCAATTTGTACGAAATGATTGCAAAGTAAGCAAGAAATGTCGTTCTTTTTGAAGGTTGCTTATGCCAAGAGGTTATGTATCGTGCTGCCCTATCAGTTTTCTCTTTCGTAGATTTTCAAATTCTGCCGCTCAAAGTGCCATGCGGCGTTTAAAAAGAAAAAGAACCCGCGCAAAGTTAAATGGACCAAGGCGTACCGCAAAACCGTGGGCAAGGAGCTCGCCATCGATCCCTCTTTCGAATTCGAAAAAAGAAGGAATGTTCCCGTCAAATATAACCGGGAAACGTTCACCAAGGCCGTCGAAGCGATGAAAAAGGTCGAGGCGATCAAACAAAAACGGCAAGGCACCTACATACTGCAAAGGCTGCGTAAGGGTAGGGAATTGGAGCAAGAGCGCGACGTCAAAGAGGTGAAACGCGATTTGGCACTGATCAAGTCGCCGGCCGCGGGCTTGAAACAGAGAAAGGAAGCAGAGAAGGCGTCGGAAGACGTCAGGCAGAGTGATGACGAATCTATGGAGGGCGTGATTGAAGATGGAGGCGAGGTTACATTATAAATGTGTATAATAAATTTAGATTTTCAAATACCGACTTTTCTTAACACTAGTTATTCCAAACCTGCTTTGAGTAACAAGAAATGATTTTGGGCTGATAATGTCATTAGTCGCTTTGTATAAGGAAGATCTTTTTAAGACCAAAAATTGCTTTTGTTATGTAAACGTGTATAATAAACTTGGTTTTACTTCATCGTATTGTTTTTTTATCTCTGGGAAAAGAACCTTCCGCCAGTCCCGTTGATGACGTACTAATATTTCTCTTTTTTAATATCTCCGACGACTTTTAAATTTATTAATACTATTCGCCCAAATATCGACTGAAAACGGTCATTAGGCAAAAACCGGCGGTGGCGGCGGCCAATTGCACCACGCCCGCCGCCCTCTTGCCGTGCTGCTGGTGCCACCTAGCGCGCTCCCGCGGCAGCACTTCGCTTACTGTGACATACAGCAGGGTCCCGCCTGCCAGCGCCTGAAACGAAAGATCAATGTATGAAAATACCGGTATATTGACGAAGGGGGGGGGGGGGGGGGTGACTGACTTGTAATATCGGTATGACGGCGCTGGTGATATTCCTCGGGACCTCGGATATGACCATTCCGAGGACGATCCCCGCCAGGGACGCTCCCGCGAACACCAGGACGCTTACGAAATGAGTGCAGAACGTCACTTGAGGACCCGACGCCAGTTCGGCGCCCAAACAGAACCCCACCACCAGCTTGTGCGAGGCTATGGCGCCGAGCAACAGCAACACCTACAGAAAACATAACATTTCACATAAGCATTGAAACAACAAATATTTGGCCGAACGATCCCGTCAATCTTACATAACGTAGATAAAAAAGAATAACGAACTAACCAAAGAAACTTAGCAGCAGTGGCCAAATAAAGCATAAAAATAAAAAAAAAAAAAAACAAAGAAACAAACTTCATGCGTTAGTTGTAGGTCATGTTCATGTACGTCATAGATCCTCGTTTGGTGTCGGGTTTTTTAATACGATATTTTTGTTTTACTTAATAGGAAGCAAATTATGAATTCTGCTCCAAGCATCTACACATAAGTGTCTTATGTTCCTATGATTGAAATTGACCTATATGGCGATGCAGGGGCAAAATATAATTGCTTTTTGTACCCAGCGAAGTGTTACCGATCCAAAAACGTAACTACCTTACTGGGAAGATCCTCAAGCCCGACCACTAAACCCTCGAGGAGCGAATGAACGGACAATGCGACCAGCAACCCAAAGTTCGCAGTCGGTACCGAACTCGGACATGGTTCCTGGTGCCCCACGTGGCACAGTTGCGAGGGTGTCGCGTTATTGTCCTGGTACAAGAAACTGTCGCTCCTTGCCCGAAAAAATGCCGGGTTGTAAGGGGGCGACCGCTGATACCGCAAGAGGGCGCCGTTCTCTGCGGTGCCGTACGAGTTTTTGTCGCTTGCTGAGTGTCTCCTGCGTATTTCGCCTCCTTCGAAATGTGTCTCGTGCTTGTGACCCTCCGCGCCGTAGAAATAATGCACGGTCTCGTCCATGAGGTAGAGGAGGAAGAAACCTCCGCAGAAAAACAGTTCCGTGTAAGGTTTGAAGTTTTTTCGAGTGGCCTCCCTCGCTTCGGGCAGGATGTGGATTAGGGACGTGGCGAGCAGCACACCGCCCCCGAAACAGAGCAGGCACGACAAACCCAGGGGGTAACGTTTCCGACTTTTGTTCGTGAAACATGCCGGCAACAGGCCGGACAAGATACTGCCCACGCCCAAGGACACTATGGCAAACACTTTGGACTGCGCAAGATTCATATCGCAGCTCGCATCACACGCACACGGGGGCACCGTATTTTTTTTTTAAATGCAATCGAGCACCGAATCGGGCTGTTTATTCAAGTACTCATCGCAGCGGTGTATTTCTGATTTGCATTGTCTCTGCACACACTCCCGCTCCTTTTTAATCTGTTTCAATAATATAGAACAAAACAAGCCGAATAAAAGTACTGATAAAATTTATCTGCTCCGAGTAGTTTGTTAGTTTTCGGATTTTTAAAAATACAACGCAGATAATGAGCTTCTTAGCGCCAGGTTCCGATTCGATAAATTCTCGTTTTTTATCGATAGTTTTTTGGCAAATAAAACTTGAACGAAAGGTTTAATAGCGATATAACGTTTCCTCCATAAACATTTATCATGGACCATTCAAAGAAAATAAAAACGTGGTGCATATATCACAGACCACAGGGGTGTTATATAATCTTTAGACAGCGTCAAACGCTTGACCGTGGTCCCATGTTGCTACATTTGATTAGTTTCTGTGGAGTCGCTCAAGAGATAAGTATTATATACATACCAGGGAGAGAATACAATTTAGCAACAATGAGACTTCAGTGAAACATTAAATGTCTTTTTCATATTTTGTGCACATTAGATTGTCAAATTTCCCAGATGTGACTTAAACAGTTTATGGCAATAAGACCACTTTTAACATTAGTTGGTAATTTGTTCAAAACAAATAAAAAGTAATTAATCTAAAATTTTTATCTGCGGCCACTTTCTATATCCTCTTTCTTAAGCTTAAATGGGTGGTGGATTTTAAAAAACTGCTGGTAGGGTTTCTTTTGATCCGCGTTGGCCGGTAAATAGTGGCCACCTTTGTGCCTGACTACAATGGGATGCTCGAAACAGTTACTCAGTGCTTCGCTCATCTCTAACAAAAAAAAAATGTTGCAAAGTCGTACACAGTCAGAAAAAGTACATTTAATTACCTGTCGGAATGATCTCGTCAGTTTCGCCAAATATGTGCAAAGTTGGCACAGTTATCCTTTCTGTATAATACTTCAAGTGAGGCAACGCCCCTGATTTAAAACCAGACGCCAAAATGGCAAAACTAAATCTTATGTTTTTCGTCACTAAAACAACGGCCTGGAAAACACAATTGCGAAAGCGTACCGCACTTACGCCCCCTCTGTTGTAGATCGCAAAGGAGCCCTACAAAGCAGGCTCCTTGCGAGAACCCGAGTAACCCGTCAAAGGGTCCTTCCTTGAGAAATATTTCCTCAATCATTTCCACACTTTCTTGAAAACCTATCGCGGGACCCCCTTTCCTTATACCTCGGAATGTTTTGTCTTCTCGGTTAAAAAACCATCCGTACTGTTCTAAAATAATCCACCATGTTTAAATCTAAAAGGTGATAACGTAAACTGTGGAAACCTTCATCTTTGCTTTGTCCGATGTTGGGATCCTTCGTGGCGCGCATATCGTCGACAAGAATAACCTTGTGGGGCGCCGTTATGTAGGTAAATTGCGCCCACTTGTGTACGATTTTCCGAAAAGATCCAGTTTTCGCTTTGAAGGTCTCGGCGTTTTGTCGATAGCCGTGAATCGCCAGGACTTTCAATTTTTGAGATTCGGTGAGCGGAGTACAACATTCTCTCGCAGCGTCTTTAGAGCGCAACATATTTAAAATAACTTCTGTTGCCCGTCACAAGTTTAAGGTTAGACATACGGGCCACATACCAAATTATTATCTACACCCAGACCACATTCAACTCTTCTTCTATTGTTGTTTCTGGGCTCGAATCTAATTAAACACTCAAACAAACACATAAAAAAAGAACCAACCTCACTTTAAAAAATTGAAAATACCTATAATTTAAAAAGACCGAAAAAAAGCGGTCTGTGGCCTGCGAATTAATATGTGGAGGCCGTTTCAAAGCTCGGGGACATTGTACGTTACCCGAATTAAAGAGGGCAACGATCAATTACATATAGCGCTGACGAATTTCATGGTTCTTTGGGAAAACATTTTTACTACAAAACAGTTGGAGCGTGGTTTCAAAGTAAACGCTTCCGTAAAGTCAGCGACATTGTTGCAATTGACCTGGATATGTTTTTTTAAGCAATGTAATCCTGTAATCGAAGCCTCCATGCTTGCAATAAAAAATAACGCGCTGGATTTATTGTATAATATAAGGGAATGCGAGGTGTTGATTGAGAAGCGAGGCGAGGATGTAGAACTTCAGATAAAAAGAGAACTGTCAGAACAGATTAAGTCTGAACAACTGGTATTTAAGTACATTTTACAAAAAAAGGAAGAAGCATTGGTTTGTACGTCAGATTCCGTGTTTTGCTAATCTTCATTCCCGATTACTACAGTTTAAGGATTATATTACGGTGCCATTGATACAAACAGTATTTTACTTGGAGACACAACAGAGGACATTGTTGTCTGCCATAGAGAGGAAAGACAGGGAACTGGAAGAGCATCGAATGGAAAAAGGAGAAATATCTCGAAGTAGACGCTACTGAAATTTAAAAATGTATGTTCTCTTAAAATGTTATTTTATTAGATGACTTGAAAACGGAAAAGTTCGACCCAGGGTCGTTACAGAGGGACAGTAAACTATTTTTAAATGTTTTCGAAGGTTCCTTGTTGGGCAATTTAATGGAAATATTTAATGACGAAAGTGAGGGAATTGCGCTCCCCACTCCCGGGTAAAAAAAGCGGTTTTGTTCTTGAACATTCTTTTTCAAATATCGGGTTGTAGCGCTTCCGTTCAGCACTGGAATTTGAAGCCGAAACGGAAGAAAGTTTACAGCTCGAAAACCGTCGTAAAGAAAGGATCCGGCATCTCTTATAACAAAAAATAGTATTAATAAACTCCTTTACACTTTAAAACCTGTTTATATTTCCTAAATCAAATATATTAGTCTCGCAAACAGTTTTAAGTTGTAAATAATACTATACTTATCACAATGGTTGGAAACATGCGCAATTCAAATGGTCCCGCGGAAGCTGCACCAAACTGGTAACGCGAAAGTGATGGTAGGCAGTGTCTTCTTATTAAATTAAACATGAGCGGGTGCCAAAGTAGGTAGGCGCAACAATAATCACCTTCTTGTTTCCATGATTCGCTAGATGATGCACTGACCTCTAAAACTTTTGATGGTCTGTAAGATGACGTTCTTACTAACGCAACTAACGAAATGCTATTTATAATCAATGATCGAGGAAGTCTGTGGCGATTACAAAACAGCGCATGCCGGCATTTTTACTACTTTCTACACTTCGGCCTCAATGACAACATAAATTGTGGAATTATGTGCATGGTACGTAATGGAAAACATTTAATAATGCGACTATACTATGGCGACCACAGTTCAACCCGAAACGCGCGAGGAAATAATTTTCCATAACGCTAATTTGACAAATTTGAGCGCGTAACAAAAGATCGGACTTAAAAACCGCAGTCTTCGTGTAAACATTTACCTACGGGCTACTTTTAGCAAGAGGATGCCGAGCAACCTCGGATCTGTATGTCGGATTTGGTTTTCAGGAGGTCAGTGTGGTCGTCGGGTACAGGATCCGCCAACGCGTAGCCCTAAAAAGCGATTCGGCTACAGTAACGGCTAAAGGATCCTCCCGGGTCTACCCACTTTCTGCTCTCTTTTCTCGCGGATCTTTCTCGCCAGACACATAAACGACGCGTCTATGTTCACATTATCCTTGCAGGAAACCTCGAAAAATGGCAAATCAAAATGTTCGGCAATTTTGTGCCCGCTCTCGCTATCTACTATTCTGTCATTCGATTCGCATTTGTTCCCGGCGAGCACTGTTATACAATGCGGCGACGCGTTCTGAAAGAACAACGCGCGGTCAAAGAATAATAATAATAATAACTGATTGATATTGCAGAGCCTTGCGTAAAGCGTCATAACGTTTTATTTCACCTCTTCGATATTTTGTAGCCAGTAAGTTATGTGATTGAACGATTCCAAGTTGGTGACGTCGTAGAGCAACAGGATGCCCATGGCGCCCCTGTAGTAGGCCGTGGTCAGGGTACGGAACCGTTCCTGTCCGGCGGTGTCCCAAATCTGAAGCTTTATCGGGACACCGTCCAGATTAATTATTTTCTGCTTAAAGTCTATGCCTACGCAAAATCGTACGAGGTTTGCATATAATAAATTTACCGAGCGACGAGGGGCAACACTCACCGATGGTGGAAATGTAAGCCTCGTAATAGCGCTCGTCGCAAAAGCGATGGACGATGCACGTTTTGCCGACGTTCGAATCGCCCAGTACCAGGATTTTGTAGGTAGCTGCAAAATCTAGCGCCATATCTAACCCGTTCGTATCGATTTCGACCGCTTGTGTACATCGCGACGGGAACAGGGGAAGTAATTGATTTTTTAATATGATTCCCGCGCAATCGCTTTAAAAATTTGATTTATTGCTGCAAAGGCACAGTTCAAAACTGGCGGCGGTAACAGTTTCCGTCCGAGACCAAATTTAAAGCAACTCGCATTTTGTTGGAATCGGCAATTCGCGTTGCCGTGATGTTAAGCTCTCACTTTGGATTGAATATGAATCCTTGTTGGACACCCGCAAATTGAGAAAAGAAGAAGAATGGCACTTCTATGGTCAGTGTCGGGAACGTTTAAAATAAAACTTGCCTAACCTTGCATTGCAAAACTGGTTTTATACTTTCAAATTAAGGAATTACACGAAAAAAATTAACTCTACAGGGTGAGGAACTGACTTCAGCCCAACTCGGAGGGCTTAACATCGTTGGTGTCCGCTGGCTTTTGCGTAGACTTTTGCAAGAGGTTCTGGCTAAACCATGCCGGTCTAGGCTTTTGCATTTCCACAATACGTTTCCCTTGCCAAAACTCGTCGGGCTTGTCATCTTTTTCGCCCTCGTACAACACCACGACCTCATTTTCGACTGGTTCGAGCTTGAGCTCTTCTTGTATCGCGTCTTGCATCGTCGTAGTTTCGTCGATCACTCGTTTATAGCACGAAGCTAAAACAGGTTATGTTTTAGTGGCGTTTCGCGAGTGCCGCAAGTGTGATTGAATCTTACGACACAACGTGCCCGCTTCGTAGTCGTCGCCGCAAGTATGGCACGTCCTTAAATCCTTCCGCGGACGCAGTATTTTAAGTATGTATTCGGGATGCCCGAAGCGCCGCTTCTGCCTCTTTTCCAACGTCCTCCTGCTCTTGGGCACCGCCCAAAGGAAGCCGTCGCCTATTATGTCGTTCAGCAGGTCCGTTTTCCGGGGCCGGTCGACATCGACGCATCGCGCCCCGACCAAACATAAATCATCTGTCAGAAAGTGAGGTTAGGTGCGTAATCGACGGCGTGAGTTATGTAATTCGCGGCTCACCCGGAGGATATCTGCATCCCAACGCTCGTAAAAACGCCCCTTCGCACTGTCTCACCAAAGCACTCGCGCGGCTAATTAAAGACGCGATCGCCATCCCCGAAATACGTTCTTTCTTGACGCGCGTGCTATGGCCGAACCGTGAATACGAGCGCAGTGGTGTGGAGAGTGGGGCTTTGGCCGACAATGCGGTGAGCAAAGACGGTTTCTAGAGGCGCGTGCAGTGACAGTCGCTGCCATGGCTTCCATGGGCTCGAGTAGGATTTTCCGTGTTCGGTTACAGGAAAAACTGTGTCAGTGGGGTTGTTACCCTCCGTCGTTTGTCGCGGACAAATTTACGTGTCACCGTGGGGGGGCCGCTTTTGGATTTTCCGCCAGTGCCGCCGCCGCTGCGCCGTCCTGTTGTCAGGTTAGAAGCCTTTTTACCTTTTTTTTTTTTTTTGGTGACCCCGGGGGGTGGGGGTCCGTTCGCGAATTTTTCGCTCCATCTGCGCCCAACCCCACAAAAAATAATATTTCCGAATCCGAAAAGTGTGTCAGTCGGGCCGTAAAAATGGAAATTGTACTTTTACTTTTTAGCGGTCCATGGACGTGCGTATACGGAATGCAATTGAAAAATATTGCAAAAATCAAATAAAAATAGTCAAATTACTATGTATTACGGGAAATATATTTCCAAAACCATATTACATTGCCGCCCTTCCCCCTAAGTACCAAGTGCTTGAATAATATTCAATATATTTGTAAGTTTTGTTGGTAAAACGTTCAACATGTTACGGGATGTAAATTGAAAACGGGGTTTGAAAAAAAAGCTCTGGCGCGAAAAAATTTTTGATTTTAGCGTTTTTTCGGCAACCCATTTTCGAACCCCGCCCGCGCTTTCACAATTCGATCGTCCAGTTTTGGATTAGTTTTGGCCATTCTGTGTGGCGTTGTTCTCGAAAAAAATGTTTTTTTTTCTCCCCTCTTTCTATTTCCAAAAAAATTCTAACCCGCATTCTTGAAATCTCGGGAATAGAAATGAAACAGGGACAAAGAATTCCACGTTACCAAATATGAACGTCTGTAATATATTATGAGTTTGATAGTCAACTCACCCAAACGTGTATGGTTCTAATCTATCATTTTAAATAAAACTACAACGGAGAATAGTGGTCCAAAAACTATAGTGCCGCTATACAAGTTGTTGAACAGGGGTTTAAGTTGATAAACGTCCCCCATTATTATTAGTAGTAAAAATACCGTGAATAAGAAAAGGCAGAAGAAAAATACATGTGTTTTCTTTTATCATGCACGACTAATAGAATAGATCGGGAATAAAAATTTCGTATTTTTTTTTAAAGAATGTTTTCATTTTAACGTTTTAGGGAACACGTCCACTTTTGGCCATTTGCCCACGACATTTCTATCCCGCGTCGATCGTACGTCACGTCGTATTGGCGCTTCAAAATCGACGATACGTTTCATCCTCGTTAAAATATACACGGTTACGGATTAAGATACGTATTTTCACTTTCGAATCGAAAAAGTGAACACCGCGGAAAATTTGCCGTTCGGTCGGGGCCCCCTTCCCGCGCGCCCGCCGACAACAACAACTTTCTCGGGGCCAGCCGCCGTATAGATTCCGAAATAATAATAAGAATACTTTCTTCGGTTTAAATGAAGAGCGCGACGTCGATACGTCCCGAGGTTTTGCGTCATTCGACGACGAGGGTTTCTAAAATTCTAATTAGCCGTCGATGAGTTAATATTTGGTCTCTGTGTGTGTGACGGTATTCGTTCGAAAGTCGTCCGATATCTGTATTTGGGCGGATCGTTTCGACGCACATTTATCGCTTTGCGACACCGAAAACGAGATTGCAATTTGAAAATGGAAAAGAAAAAAATCACGACATGGCCCGTAACCGTCGAAGCCTGAGAGTGTATGCCACCATCGTTGCACTCACGCATTGCGGGTTGCATCTCCGGGGATATCTAACAAACCTTTAAAATAAAAGTCAATATAAACGTGTGCACAAGAAAGAACACTTGACTGATTGAAAACAAAATTGCTTTCGAAAAATAGTCACTGGGCGGGGCAAGTTCGTAGAAACTGTTTCAGTCAGCAGCTCTGAAGAAGCCAACAGGATTGGCGAAACGTCAGCAAGTTCGACTCAGCAAAAACCGACGCAGCAGGAATCCAGAAGTTTTGTAAAAAGGATTAGAGTTGTCGAATGATATTTCTTCAAATATCTCGCGCATTCTGTATTATTGACGAAGCGTTTACGGCATAGTTTACGATACTATTGAAATAAAATTATCCCATCTTAAACGGTTTCGCATTTATCGCCAATAATTTACCAACAAAAACGGTCATTTTTAGGATCTTTTAGATTTTTTCAATAATTCAACCTATTTTTCCGTTTTTTTGAATTTGCGGCGCTCCCTGTATATTTTTGAAAAATTGTCAAGAATAAAAGTTTATAGAGCCGTATCTTCTGCGTCTTCTGGTTCAATAATTTTTTTGTTCTCGTAAACGGTTTTTAAAAAATGATGTTTTTTGTAGACCCTTGCAAACGCGATTTTTTATTTTTTTAGAAAACTTCCCGACCTCCCAGCCCCCATTTTCAATAGGCTCCGACACGGGGCAAAGCTGCATATATTTGCCAAATATGAAGTCGATTGCCTCAAATTTCGGACACTTATCGTGTTTCATAGCAATGTCCAAAAAACAGTCAAAAAACGCGATACCGGTGTCGGATCAGGGCCATTTCTTATAAGCTTATGTGCCTCGTGGAGGGTTAAAAAGGAGGCAGATTTCAATTTTGTAGCTCCAACGAGAAACTTATTCAGGAAAATCCAAAAGACGAGAACAGAGAACGGACAGACAAAAAAAATTTTTTTTTTTCGACGGTGATCATTTCTGTACCAACGGCGATCCCATAGGACCTACCGTTACCGAGATATAAAATTTTTATACGAGCGTAGATACTTTTAAGAAATTCGATTTCATCGATTTTCGAAAGGAAGTTACATTAAAACTGACGTTTGCTATGAATGATTGATTAGTTTGGGTCAATTTCAGTTTTATTGTAACTAATTTCCGCAGGAATTACTTTAGTGTTTGTAAAGGCAAATTTTTCCTGTTTCTTTTTAAATTTTAAATACGAAAGTCGTATGGGTTGTTTGTACGCATTGAAAACATTTACCATTGTACCGGGTATCTCGTAAGTTTCTAGCAGCATCCAACATCCTTATTTTAAGTAGAACACTCCGTATATTATTTCGTTTTTGGATTTCTGAGAGCATTTCATGGCATACTTAAATCCGACATGTTCTTAGATATATCGATTGTTTTGATTTTAGTTTCTAATTAAAATGCATTTTCGGGTTTAGCCATGTTCATTTTATTTCAAAAAGTAATATTTTGTTCTGGTGCCTGCCAAAAATCACATTACAATAGGCACTATGGAATAACAACGAAAACCATTAAAAATAGGTATCGGGAAAGGAATAGTTAATTCTATTCTGCACAAAATAATATACAGGGTACCGTAAACACTTTCTATTTTTGGACATGATATGTTGACAGTTGAAGAAACTTTTTATAACACTTCTGGATTCCTCCTGCGTCGATTTTTGTTGACCATGTCAAATGTTGTCGAAATCTAGACTAACTAGAGAGAATTTTTGACATGGAATTTAAAAAAATGTAAAGTTTATGTAAAATTAAATTATGTATCATACAATACAATAATATACCACGTAATATACATGGTGTCGTATTTGTAATTGTATGGCAAATTAATACATAAAATACAGATGATTAAAATATCTAGGAACCTAGTGTTATTAATTTTTAGGAATACCTGTGAGAGACTACCATGAAATTTTCTCACGACATACCACGTGTTCCATTTACAATAAGGCAGTTAGGTGCGGTTAGAGTTAAATGTGATTCCTGTATAACGGTAACTATTTTCATTAATTGTAGCGCTCTCATACAAGCAACTTTTACGTTTAAAACAAAATCAAGTGACGTGACCAAAGTTCCGAAGTCAGCTGTAAGAAAAATTGTTGCAAATGGAATAGTCAAGAGGAAAATGAGTGAAGATGCTGGTACTTATAAAATGAATGGTGTTTTAAAAGTATTGAGAGACTTAGTTATGCCAAAGAGTCGTTTTTACTTTTTTCTAGAAAATGGATTTTCAGTTCCAAACAATTAATGAACGTCAAGTGCTAATGGAATCTCGTATGCCTCAAAAATTCAAGTGTGGATTACCATGAAAACATGACCTCGAAAATATTTGAGCACTGGTTTGAGAATAAACTCTTACCAAAACTATCGCCAAATACTTTTATTGTGTTGGATAATGGCTCGAATTAAAGAAATTAAATTAAAATTAAAGAATTTCTCTACGAAAATGTTTATATATTTGAAAGAGAGCTACACGAAGAAACAACTTTTGGAATTATTAAAAATTAAATATTTTAATAAAGACTACAAAATCGATTCGATAGCACAACAAAACGGACGTGAAATCTTGAGATTACCCTGAGATTGGTCTGAGTTGAAAACGCATATAAGAAATAGGAACACTGCACCAGAAATTAGTGATAGTACCATAACCGTAATTCGGCAAAAGGTTAAAAAAATATCAGTACAAAGTTGGTCTAACTGTGAAAAATGATAATAATAAATAATAAAAGAAGAAAATATTTATCGAGAAGTGGCGCAGTTGATCATTGACAATAGCGATAGTGACGATTTTTTAAGTGACTCATACTTTATAATTATTATATTTAATATTTTGTATATTAATAATGAAACTATGTAGAAATGTAATTAAATAGTAATAAATTGCTACATTGCACCAATTTTTTTTATTTATATGTTTTAAAAATTGCTCGGCGAAAAAGATCGAAAACATACTTATATCACGCTTGTTAGTGTAGCTAGATAAATTCCTAGGACGGTCCTGGAATGATTACGGGTAAGGATCTGCTCGAAAGAGTGTTCTATAAGGGTCCGCGGTTTTGGAGTAAAAAAGTTAATCAGGGGGCTGTAAAAGCACCATATTTCTGGTCTAAGTATAACTTGTATGCAATCCATCTAAGAGATACTTACTTTCCTGTGGGGAAATATTTAATCATATTTAAGGTTTAAAACCAACTAACCAAAAACTAACAAAAACAAATCAATTGTCTAAACGATCCCAGAAGGTCCCAAAATTTCTCTTCCAGCGTTGACGAGCTCCCGCACGAACGTTGTTTTTTTGTTTTCGAGGAAATTGCGCCACCCTCTTCTCGGTCCAAAACGCAAGCTGTTGCGCCAGACGGGCGTGAAAAAAACAAAATAAGAAAGATCGAAATCTGAGATCGTGGACGATATCTGCGGAAAATTTTTCTTTCCAAGAAATAACTTAATTA